TTACCTTGCGCGGCTTTGTCACATGTTGGAATCCTGAGGTATTGCTAGACCCGTTGTGCAGTCGCGCTTTGCACTCGTCCTAAGGGGCACCTCAAGTGACTGGCAAATCACTACTCGCTTTGGCTCAGCAGAGAGTGTCGCCTTTCCGCCGCTCTCAGAATTTCGAAAAGTATGTGAGGCTTTGCAGAGGCAATATGGAAGATTTGCAGACCAGGGCATCGTGTCAGAACACCTTTGCAGCGGTGCACTGAACTCCGGTAAAAAAACCGACTTCCAGGGGGTCTGTTTGAAGGTCAACGAGCATCTTAAACCGACCTCCGGGGGGGGGGTCCTTCTAGGCAATGTTTCGACCCCTAGTAGTACGATATCTGAACCCACCTTTTCCTCCCCCTTATCTCTGATTTGGCTTGCAAAAGGTGTTGGGTTTTCTTTTAAACCGCGTCAGAGACTTGTCCCGGCCACGTTCCGTCGAGTATTGGTTACAAAGCTAGCCGAAAACCTGTTTAAAATACCTCGTAGTTTTAGAATTTGCAGTCTGTATTGCCGGAAAGACGACCCCCGAAACGAGTCGCTCAGTTCGCTCCTCTTCAAAATGGATTGAAGTAAGTTTCAAAATTAACTCCTCAAACCAGTGAAACCACCTTTCATAACCCCGCCCCAAAAGTAGAGTCGAAGAGGGATAATCAAAACCGGCTTCCATACCCTGTCGGACAGATTTGGGTTCTACTCAAAACCGGCTTCCATGCCCCCCTCGAAACTTTAAAAAACCGGAGTTCAGTGCACCGCTATAAAAGTGTTTTGACACGATGCCCAGGAAGAAATATCGAGCTACCCGAGAAAACGATATCATTACCCTTGATGAGCTGGCCACTCATCGTTTGGAAGTCACCGCAGTCATGTGGCGAGTTTGACTACGAACGAGATCAGTAATCTGAGGGGGGACCTCTCAGGTTACTCAAATTGTCGTCCTTGCCTAAGTTGGTGACGAAACAGCAGGACGATGTAAAAGGAGACCGTTTCGCTTAAGTAGTCTGCAATCGCCGCTACCGTTCGAATGCTGGCAAGTGGAGAGAATCACAGGGCCAAATTTCTAGTGTTCATGATCAGATTGCGTCCCTAGTGGAGCGGCATCGACTCCTGCGAAGCAGTACGGAGATAGATTGCGAGCTGCAACACCATCTCTTCCGTCGGTTGGTCTTTTCGGATCTAAATCCAAAATATCAAATCGACCCGTAAGAGATCGAGTGAGCGGGAAAGGCATTCCTCTGGTTTTGTAAACCGCAGCTCTTTTTAAAACCAACCTGTCAAAGACGACCTTGGCGAGATTATATTGTCATGGAAAAGGATACCGAACCCCGCGATCTCATGCGCCAGCGTTTCCTACCGGCACGCTAATCCTGTCCTCAAGGGAGATTTCAAGTTTTCCGCTATACAGACGGTTTTCCGCTACCCAGGTTTCAGGCTACGGTACTCAGTGCTGACTGCCTGATTGGCTGACCGCCTGACCGCCTGTCATGCACGACCTGCCTGACCGGACTGACTGACTGACCGCCCGACTGCTTGCTGTCCCTCGTCACCTGCCTAACAGGACTGACTGACTGACCGCCTGACCACTGTCTCCGCCTAACCAACCTGACTGACCGACCGCCTGACCAATGTCTCCGCCTAACCAACCTGACTGACTGACCGCCTGACCGCCCGCCTAGCTGTCACGTACTTCTTGCCTAACAAGCCTGGCTGACTAACCGACTGACCGTCACACTTGCACAGAAGCACTTGTATAGTCTAACCAGCCTGACTAACTAACCAGCACCTTCGATGGCTCCCCCGGGCCTAACCACGCTGACTGACTGACCGACCTGCACCAAGCAAACCTTACCCGTCACCCGGGCATGACTTTGTTAGTATATATTTGTGATATTCACCTTTTGCTCGTGCAAGGGGTGTGTCCCAAGCAGGACCACCCCGGCCTTCGGCCCCCACCTGCCTACCCCCCCTTCCCACTTCGTCACAGGTAGGTAAGCAGATAAGCGGCGGTAACCGGCGCCAAGAACGCGCCGATTAGGCGGTCAGTCAGTCAGCGGCGGTTAGCATGTACAAGATCGCAGACACTATAGAACAAGCCCCCGTTAGGAAGTCAGTCAGTCAGAACAGTCAGGATCATTCGGCGCCAGTACCAACCGGTTCGGGAGTCGGTCAGTCAGTCCGGTCAGCTAGGAATGTACGCCAGGAATGATTCCGTAGGGCCTGCTGATTCGGCAACTTTCACAGTTCACCGGAAACTCGGCGGAATTCGCGTTTCGAGACCGGAACTTGAAATCTCCCTCGTGGACAAGATTACCGGGCGCCTAGCGTTTCCTGAATTATAAATGCCCACGTCAGCAGCCAAATCGCGTCTTATCGCGCCTGGAATTCCTCTTGCCTGCCCAACCCACGGGATGAAAGCGGGAGGGGAGTCCCCGTAGTGGGCGATGTAGTTCACCGCTAATGGCCGGCTTATCTCAAAGATTGAAGGAGCAGTGCAAATTTAGCGAAAGTAATTTGACTCGGCAACCTCAAAAACGTTGCAAACTGTTCGACCAGTAGCTCTTAAGTACTGGCTCTCTAAAATAAGCGGTCTGCGATGGAGTACGACATACACGTCTTATTACAGCCGTTCAAATGAGATTTTGAGCGGAGGAAACTCTCCAAGGAGGGTACGTAGGGGATCCCGGAGCTTGAGTCATGCAGTCTATGACGAGCCACTCAGCGATGCTTCCAGCAAAGTTTGGCAGTGCTTTGTCATCTTGGATTAAGACGAGGGCGAACATGGCTTAGATCCGTCCGGCTGAGACGACAATGAAAGTGTGGGGTGTGACAGCCCCAATCAACATCATCACTGCCCGCCTGGCCAAGACAGAGACAAAGTACGGCACCTGGAAAATGCAAAGCTCGAAGTCAAACCGAATGCGTTTTTCGACGTGCAAACGCTCAACTTTGAGATTCTTGTTCGACCTTGAGTGGTTCGGTAGTGCACTCCCCCTCTGTTGTATCGATGAAACGCTGCCGTTCCATACAATATTCAACAGAACAGCTACATCGATGGCTTGTCGTAATTGAATAATCACTGTGACAAACGCGACGCAGTCACCTTAGCGACCATTCGAATGCTTTCCGTTCCCAAAACCAGAGGCTTTGAAACCTGATTCAGCAGAAGCGACTCAATAACCTTCTGTTGATTCACCGGTCCCCGCTGGGTGCGCTAGCAAAGCGGGTCATATGGAAACAGTGAAGTCAGTTTCTCTTTATGACAGACGTGAACTTTCTCTGCTAGACTTGTTTACTGACCCACAAGTCGAGATTTATTAAATGAGAACGAACACAGAACCTTGCATTCTGATAAAGCTCACGATTAGAGAATCCTAGATCGTGACTCTGCAAAGGCAGCGTCGTGGAGAAGGTGAGCTGGCGTCTTTCATAAGGAGAGACCGCAGAGAGTTCTTCACGGTCACCAGGCTAGCACTTCTTGGGACACTCTGAAACCCTGGCCGGGCGCGCGCGCGATAGCGCGGCTTCGCCGCGAATCTCCCTTGCTCCTCCAGCCGAAGCGCGAGGGCAAATCTCATATTACAAAACAGCGGTGGAAACGTCTAGTCCGAGCCAACCATCTCAAAAGACTCTGGGTTGCAAAGTCGATTCAATGGAAAAAGTGAAGGAGAGCATCAAGCTCTTTCTGAGAGCGGCTGTTGCCGGCACACTAACATCAGACTGGTTTCGTCCACCCCATATGACCTTAATACGAGCATTGATCAACTCCAAAACTTTCCGACCAACAGATGGACGATCGGAAGCGAACCGTTGTGGTAATGTTTCCAGCTGGATATCGTAGAAGCAAAAGAGAACTTTCAACGAAAGGCCTCCAACGCAATCCTCGGCTCCGAACATAAAGCATGCGCCCTGTTGAGGTCCTACAAAAATCAATCGTTGAAAGTCGTCACTGCCGGCGAGTTGTGAAACATAAACCAGAATGGACACATGGTTTAGACGACGCACGCTAATGATTTGCCCCAAGACTTCAGTGTCAGCCCGAGTAGCTAGACTTCATGAGAATGAATCAAGCACAAACGTAATACATGCAGGAACTCAATTCCGACTCCGCGTATCTTCTGTTTACAAACCACAAGTCTCCCCTTTGCAAACAACTAAAATCGATAAAATATGAAGATGCAAGACCGGCCAAGGCTCTTCTTTTGTGACCGTGAAAAAGAGGTCGACTGACTGCCATTCTTGTTAACTCGCAGCTTCAAGCAGCTCGCGAACGCCATTGAGCTTAATGCCTGAAGCTTAGAATAGCCACTGCTTCATTGCCGCAACGGATTCATTCCAAACGACGGCTGTGCTGGACTTACGGGCTGAAATGCAATGGAACAGCTTATCGAAACGAAAGGATTCGGAGACAAAACTTCTAGTACGCAGCCGTGCTGTGGCCGCGTTGATTGGCCCAAAAAGGTGAGCCGATGATTGGAATGAGATATGAATGCTGCTGAGGGCGCGGACTTGTTGTGACTAACCAAAATATGCTATCAAACAAGTATGTGCGGAAGCGAAAACTTTTTCGGAAGCTGTGGGAACGGGATTGCTACGGAATGCGGATCTTGACAACTGAGAAATGAGACGTCCACAAAGTCCACGACGGTCCTTTTATAGTCCTCAACTAGACGATAGCTTATGCAACTTCCTACCAAAGTCTTAGTTTATGCTTAGTCTGCAAACATCCTTCTACTTATTATAGCTTATGAGTGGTGACGTAACCAGTCTATTGCGCTACTGCACACCATGATGCATATGAATGTTCTAGAAACTAAGGTATGTCTACCGCGTAGCGTGTAACTAGAAGTTTCCTATTCTCATACATTCTAGATTATTCAACAGACTTCCGTTTCTGCGCGCGCACTACATCTTTGCGCGCCACAGCTGTGACTCCTCCACCCTAAGAGTTTTGGTCCTCCAAAACTGTGTAATTACTCTAGCATGTCTTCTAGTGCTTCTTCGTCCACTTCGTCTCTCTTGGCGTGCAACCGGACGTTGTCCAGGTGATGGATGAACTTGGTTCCTTTGGCATCTTCCACCTCGATGTTGCTCTTTGTTGGGAATCGTGTGACTCGATAGGTTCCAATCTCTGCTTCAGAATGTACTTTGCTGCGCTTGGCAGTCTGCACAAGCACGAAGTCTCCCACTTCGATTGGTGTCTCAGGCGGATCAAACGTTCTGTGCCTCTTATCGAACTCAAGTTTCTGGCGTTGCTGAGCTTGTTCGATGTTGCTGAGCGCCTTTGTCTGTACTTCGTCGAGAGTACTGGCGGTCTGCATCAAGTGGTCGATGGTTTCGTCCAGGTTCCAGGTTTCTGTTTCGTTGATGTTCAAAGTCGGCGGTTCCTGGAAGGAGAATGGGAGGACTGGATCCCGTCCGTACATCAACTTGAACGGGGCAAAGCCCGTGCTGCTCTGGACGCTTATACGATATCCCAGCAGTACGGCAGGGAAGTCGAGATCCCATTCTTCAGGATTTTGTACTGCTCGTCGTTCAGTTCCGTGGAGAATCGTCTGCCCGGTTCGCTCTGCAAGACCGTTTGCTTGGGGGTGGTAGGGGGACGTCTTGATGTGCTGTATGCCGTACCTCGCCAGCTCGAGCTGGACTTCTGCCCAAAATTCTCGGCCTTGGTCGGTTGAAGTCTCCTCAGGGACAGTATGTCGGGCAATGATTTCTTCGTAGATGAAACGTGCCACTGTGGCTGCCTTTTTGTTGGGGAGTGGCCGAGCCTCCACCCAACGGGTGAGTCTCTCGACGGCTACTATGTACAGGCGATTTCCTCGCTTGGTCTTAGGAAAACCGCCCATAAGATCGATTGCCCAGGCTCGGCCCACACCAGGCTTCACTTCAATGGGTTGCATTTCGGCCTGGGGCTGCCGGAAGCTGATGGCTGCCAAGTTGCAGTTGGTACACTCCTGGCAAGTTCGCACGCAGTCTGCGCGGAGGTTGTGCCAGTAGTAATTTTGGTCCAAAATAAGTTTCTCGAGTTTGGCAGCTCCCATATGGTTGGTCCCGTTGTGACTCCAGTCAAGGATTTCTGCTCTTTGTTCTGGCGTCGGAATGACACGTCCGCTCGGGTACTTCTGAGTTGGCTTGATTCGTAGGATTCCGGTTTTCAGTTCGTGATTGTTTGCCCGTCTGACGATACGATTGCGTTCTTTTACTGAGACGGTAGCCGAGATTGTTCCATCCGTTAAATATTGCATCACTGCGTCATCCTCCATTATGTCTGGGTACTTTGAGCGACCGGTAGACTTGCCGGCCCTCTCGTCGTCAGGTGGGCTGCCTGCGTCATCTTCGTCCTGATCATTGTTTTCCGGTTCGTCATCATCCGAGTCGAAACGGATGTGTACGGGCTGCTTTGACAGGTACGGATTTGTCGCTCGAGTCTCCGTAGTCTGGTGGTCGGGTTCTGGCTGCGCAGCTGGGGCACGGACTTGGTGGTCCATGTCGGTCAACCAGATGGGCGGTCTGGTCGGCCGACCGGTTGTCCTGGCGGCCGGTACTTCCTCCACCCTAAGAGTGGAGCCGGCCGCGGCTCCGGCCGTGAACACGCAAAGCTCAGGAACTGTGGCAGGGTTGGGCGGGCGGGGAAGCCTGCTGAGAGCGTCGACGTCGGCGTGTCGGCTTCCAGGCCGGTACTCAATGTCAAAGTTGTATTCTTGCAGCTTGAGAGACCAGCGCATAAGGCGCGTATTGAGGTCTCGGCTGTTCATTAGCCAGCGAAGTGAGTGGTGGTCGGTAAGCAGGGTGAATTTGGTGCCGTGCAGGTAAGGTCGAAAGTGTTTGACGGCCCATACGACTGCAAGGCACTCGCCCTCAGTAGTAGAGTAGTTGCGTTCAGCGGGGGTAAGAGAGCGGCTTGCGTAAGCAATGACGCGCTCGTGGTTCTCAGCGTCCGTTTGTGCCAGGATGGCACCAAGACCGGTGCCGCAGTAGTCTGTTTTTAAGAGAAATGGTTTGTTGAAATCAGGGTGTGCCAGAACGGGCGGGTTCGTGAGAGCGGACTTCAGGTCTTCGAAAGCCGCCTGTTGTTCAGAACCCCAGTCGAAAGGAGCATTTTTTCGGAGCAACAGGGTCAGCGGAGCTGCCCTGGCAGAGAAGTTGTGTACAAACCGGCGGTAGAAACCGCAGAGGCCTAGGAAGGCGCGAAGGAGAGTGACGTTTGGGGGCGGCTTAAAGTCGCGCACCCAACGAATCTTGTCCGGATCAGGTGAACAGCCGTGAGCGTTGACCACGTGCCCGAGGAAAACGAGTTCGCGGACGGCGAAAACAGATTTCTTGGGGTGTATGCGGAGGTTTGCATTTGTCAGGGCTTGTAAGACGAGCCGGACGTGCTGGAGGTGCTCCTCGTAAGTCTTGCTGTAGATGAGAATGTCATCCAGGTACACCGCACAGAAACGGCCCAAATAGGGGCGAAGTACAACGTCCATCAGGCGCTGGAAGGTGCTGGGGGCATTGCAGAGCCCAAAGGGCATTACTTTAAATTGGTACAAGCCCGTCGGGGTGATGAAAGCTGTCTTGGGCCGGTCTGCTTCGGCAAGGGCAATTTGCCAATAGCCGCTTTTGAGGTCGACTGAGGTAAACCAGGACGCCTGGCCGACTTGGTCCAGCAAGTCGTCAATGCGGGGCAGTGGGTAAGCGTCCTTTTCAGTGAGTTCGTTCAACTTCCGGAAGTCGACACAGAAGCGGTCGCCGCCGTCCTTTTTACCTGTGATAACAGGGTTCTGCGCCCAAGGGCTTTCGGAGGGTTCAGTGACGTCGTCGTCCAGCATCTCCGCAACTGTCTGTATGACGACGTTTCGTTCCCGTTGTGACAAGCGGTAGGCACGCTGCTTTATTGGAGCAGCGTTCCCAGTACGGATGTGGTGCTTCACCAGATCTGTGAACCCGAGTTTTCGCCCTTTCCACTGAAAGGACCCCTCGAATTCGGTAAGAAGTTTGGTCAGGCTGTCACGCTGCGCTGCCGTCAGCTCTGTCCCACGGCGGATAGAGCGAATGTTTTCCATGATCTCGTCAAAGTTGACGACGCCAGTGATTGAGGCGCGCCATTCGTCTAGTGGTTCAATGTGATGCGCAGGGACGGTGTACGTTGCTGAATCGGCGATTTCCTCAGCGTGCATGGCCGCTGTAAATTCGGCCGTTAGATCGTCCAGGATTTCGTCAGGGTCGAATTCAGAGTCGGAGTCTTCTGAGTCGGAATCCGCTTCGCGGAGTGAAGGTACATCGTCATCCGAGGAGAAGAGCTCGGATCCGAGGTCACTGTCAGATTCTTCGTCAACGAGTGGAGGCGGTTCGTCGCCAAACTGGGAATCCACTTCACCAGTATCTTCGTCGGAGTCATGACTGATCAGAGGCGGCAAGTCTTCGCCCAGATCAGAGTCCACATCGCCAGTATCAGTTGCAGCGTCGTCAAGCGCCGAAGTCAGCGGGGTGCCTTCAGCGTACATAATGTTTGTAGAGGTGTCGAAAGCAATGGGGATTGAAGCATAGCGGTCACGGTCAAGCCTGTACCGCAGTGTACGGTCGACGTAGTTCAGAGTAGCTCCAACCTGATGGAAGAAGTCGCTTCCAAGCAGGAGGTCGTAGTTGGAAGCTCGGACCACGTGAACGTCCAAGGTGATTTCAAGGTCTCCAATTTTGATTGGGAATTTGGGCAGAATTCCCAAGGGTACGTCGCGGTCCCCGCTAGATGTTCTGAAGCTGCAGGTCGGTGGTTCAAGCATGTCAAGCAGGTCGTGTCGGCGTGCCTGCATTTGTCCCATTAGCGTGGCGGACGCGCCGCTGTCGAGAATGGTTTCGACGGGGTGGTTGAAAATGTGTACTTTGCATCTGGCCACGGTGTATCGTGTTGGCAGATTGGTGGTAAGGGTGTTTGAGCTGGCGGCCGATTGGGAGTCAGTGAGACTGGTGGGCAAAGCTGAGCTTGTCTCAGCGGGACCGGTGAGGTATTGAAGCAGGTCTTGACGGACCTTAGGGGAAATGTCTAGGAGGGTACGAAAGTCAATTTTGGCCATGGTGGCGCCAAGTTGGTTGAGAATGGAGTATGGCCCACTGTTTTGCGTCTGGTACCGGCTGCTGGAGCGGCCATGGCCAGCTCGGTAGCGGGCTGCAGTTGTTGCAGGACCGGGTTCCGTGGGGGTCACATCTGGCATGGGTGTGTCAGACGTATCTCGGCGCGGCAGGTTTAATGGAAATGGGGCGCGCTTTTTGCGTGCTCCCTCATTGTCTGGCGCATCACTGTGACGCTTGACAGCTGCCAGGATATCGTCTTTGAGAGTTGTGTTCACAGAAGAGTCTGGGAGAAGCTCCATCTCTGTGACATGAACATGTTCGTCAGTGGTGTTCAATTGCTGTTCCTTGGCAGCATAACGAGCTGCCCAGTATGCATTGTCATCGAAGTCGCTGGCAGCCAGAGCTGCAGTACTGTTCGCTGGTAGCTCTTTGCGGCAGTCGCGTGCCATATGTCCTTCTTCGCCGCACTTGTAGCAGATTCTGGGGCGTCCACCTCCTCCACTTCCACCTGCGTTTTGTTGTGACAGGAGGTGCAGCTGTCCCAGCTTCTTGGTCAGGTCGGAAATCTCTTTGTCGAGCTGGTTCTTATTGCGGTTGTCCTGTACTGGGATGTTGGAAGCGGGAGGTGTGCTCTCGCTGGGCCTTCGTTCGTCATTGCGGCGGAGGTTCCCACGATTGTTTTGCGGAAACCGTGAGCTGGGCGGTGTTTCTGTGTCGAGTAAGCTGGCCAGGTGTGACTCGTTGGCCTCAAAGTAGTCGGCAGCATCCTCGGCGTCTTGTAGTGTTTCGGGTCTACTCAGTACCAGCTTTGCGCGCAGTGTAGGGTTCAGCCCTTCAGTGAAGCGGTACAGAAGTGCATCTTCAGAAATTTTCTCGGGGAGTTTAGATGCCAGGTGGCGGAGCTCGCCCAGGAAAGTTCGAGCACTCTCTCCCTTCTTCTGTGTACGGGTCTCAAAGTCTCGGCGTAGGTTCATTTTTGAGCTCAAGCGTGAGAAGCGCTTGATCAGGTTGGTTGAAAACTGAGTCCATGTCCATGATTTGTGGTTTTCCTCGGAGAGCAGCCATTTGTCAGCTTCACCCTCAAGAAATGCGAACGCCATGTTCAGACTCTTTTCCTCATCCCACTCATATGCACGCGCACGCTTCTCAAACATGCGAATCCAATCCTTTGGATCGGTTCGGCCATCGTACACAGCCATGGGAGGCAGTGAGAACGCCATGGGGAATGTTGCGTTGGAATGATGTACGGAGTCTTTTGAGTCTTTAGAGCCTGAAGGAATATCAGGCTTCTTAGAAACTGTACTCATTGTTGGTACAAGTTTACAGTCTTAGAGTACTGTTCTGTTCAAGCTGTACTAAAAGAAGTACCGTCTGAGTTCACTAGCGGAATCTCCTTGCCTAGGTTGCTGGTGGTTTAGCGGGGGTCGCAAGTACGGGATCGTGTACCAACCGGAGGGCCTCCTCGAGACTGGCCGCCACTGCAAGGTAAACCCGGGGGCTCGTTGAGTACTCGTGTGGTACGTTTTCGCGGTTTCAAAATGCAAGAGTTTGCCCAGCAATGATGTTTCAGGTGGTACACGGGTAAAATCGCGGTTTTCAGGTGCAAAAATTCCGGTATGTTCGGGGTTCTACCGGTACAAGTGCACGGATGTAGGTTGTTTGTACGGTTCTGCAGTGCGTACTTACTTTCTGGTACAGGCCGAGTTGCACGGCACTACGCAGGGAACACGTTCACACGCTCTGGGCCGCTGGTACACGTTCCGCCGTCGAAGCTCCGACCTGGTCCTGAGGTCGAGTCGCCCGGTTCAGGGTGTCACCGGCTCCGCAGACACGGGTACAAGGTTCGCTCGTAGTCGTCGTGGACCCCGGATCGTGATCGGGCTGGAAAGCCGATCAGCCTACCTCTGATGCCAACCAAAATATGCTATCAAACAAGTATGTGCGGAAGCGAAAACTTTTTCGGAAGCTGTGGGAACGGGATTGCTACGGAATGCGGATCTTGACAACTGAGAAATGAGACGTCCACAAAGTCCACGACGGTCCTTTTATAGTCCTCAACTAGACGATAGCTTATGCAACTTCCTACCAAAGTCTTAGTTTATGCTTAGTCTGCAAACATCCTTCTACTTATTATAGCTTATGAGTGGTGACGTAACCAGTCTATTGCGCTACTGCACACCATGATGCATATGAATGTTCTAGAAACTAAGGTATGTCTACCGCGTAGCGTGTAACTAGAAGTTTCCTATTCTCATACATTCTAGATTATTCAACAGACTTCCGTTTCTGCGCGCTCACTACATCTTTGCGCGCCACATGTGCACGAGCTAATCTTTGCGCGGGCCTTCTGCATCGAGCTTTACCGTTTGTCCACCCATGCTCATGTCTTAGAAACATAAAGGCACGATTGTCGAACTCAAAACTCAAAAGGAATCTCAGTCAAATTATTTGGCAGTCCGCCATGGGTTCAAAAGTGACCCGCATTGATGAGCTTTGAGGCTCAACAATCAGACGGCCGTCATTGGCGTGATTGTCCTGGTCATTTGAGTGTCACTCAATTTCGTGTACACCGGCCAAAGACCAAGCCCAACTCAAGCCAAGACATGAAGGCTTGCAAGCGCGATCGAAGCACACTTGGCAAAAAATACGCGCAGAATTTGACAGCTCACTCAAGCGTTGATAGGCACCCGTCAAAAGTATACCGTCATTTTTATGCGATCGTCTGATAGGCACATATAGGAACCCAAAACATCGTCTATGACTTGTGCGAGCAGGAAGCTGTGAAGGTCGGCGCACCTGCGACTCAGACATCCCACTCATGCAGGGGCACTCCGCCGAGCATGGAAACGAGTCTCGGTTGAATGGACGGCCGGACCATTTAAGGAGCCCACTGGGTCGATCATGCGTCAGCCAATTACGAGGCTAGCTCTTCAAGACACGGTTTGTTCGAAATACATGGTAACCTCCAGAATAAGAATAGCCTGTCAACTATCCACCAAGTACTTCCCAGCCATCGTTAGAAGTCCTCATCTCGCCAGACTCCGACTCCTTGTGAATCCCATTAGCCTTCGTCCGGAACTCTAACCGTCCGTGCGACTTGACATAGTTATGATCCCCGACGAAGCTCCGCCGCACGAGCCTCGTCCCCGTTTCACTCGCTTCAGCCCCCCGGCTAGCGGCCCTCCTTTTCTCCGTTTCTTCCGCCGCAATCGCTTTGTCTTCCGCTTGCGCCCCCCGCGCTTCTTCCAGCGCTTTCTCCTGCGCTCGTTCGAACGTGACAAACCGGCTCTGCAACTGGCGCGCTAGCGGCTCTTCTCCCAACAAGACTAACACTTCCGCTAGCTGCTTCAGTTCCGCTTTCAGCGGCTCGCTTGCGCGTAGTCCCGCTAAGTGCGTCACGAGTGCCGATTCTTCTTCCGGACTGCCTGCGCGGATCTTCCCGCCCCCCTGCTGGATTTTTTTCTTCGCTTTCCGCGACAATTTCCTCGCCCCCCCCGTCCCCACGCTGCTTTCCACCCCCCCGGTTCCGTGCGAATATGCACTGAAGCCACTCATCGCCGTACTGGCAGCCGTGCTGACTACCGACGCACCATCCTCGTCGATGACGTCACCGGCGCCCGTGGGGCCGACACGTGTCGCCAGCTGGAGCCGCCGCTGCCGCACCGCCTGAAAGCGCGCCAGGTACTTCCCCACCTTCTCCTGCCCCTCCTGTAGGTCCGCCACGTGTCCCCTCGCTGACGTCACCGCCGCCCCCAGAATGACGTCATTCACGAGCTCCCCCCTTTCTCGAGCGTACGCGATCCGCAACGCCTCGGACCACGCCCCGGCTTCCGTCAGCAACCGCACGCCGGAATCGACGTCCGAGAGGTACTCTAGTGCCACGTGGCCGGCATCCGACGGCCGGCCGAGCGCCTGCAGCTCCTCCACGACCTGCCGCGCAAGCTCTTGCGTCGCGCTGACGTTATACCCGAGCCGCCCCGCGACGCAGAACATTGCGCGCCACGCGCCCCCGTGCCGGTACGCCGCCAAGGCTCTCTCTGAATGCCCCCCCGCGAGGAAGGCCATCGCGGCCTGCTCGAAGGCTTCCCCTCTGAGTAGGTGGTCGCCCCACGCTTCAAGAATCGTATTTCGGAGGGGGATTTGGCTGACGAAGATGCTGTTTACGGCGGACGGGTAGAGATCGGGATGCTCGGAGAGAATGGCGAGGGCGGTTGGGAGATGCTCGTCTCCGGCCTGCAGCAAGAGTGGGAGTGTTAACAAAAGCCTTCTTGGATACACAATTTGAACCGTCTATTAGTTCGACTGCCCGCTTAATCGATTCTGCAGCAAAATCTCCAAAAGGTCTTGTACTCCTCTTCCTTGTTAGCAGCCAAATGTAAGCGGAGTCGGCTGGAAAGAAACGCGTGAAGCGCACCTTGAAGCATTATTTGCCCTGACGTTGATCCTTACCCACTTGAGGTGGACTGCTTCCGTAGATTCAAGCTGGAGCCTCAAAATTAAAGGACCGCTTGGACTTCTGTAATGAACGACACAGCATTCAAGTTGCTTCCCAAGCGCAATTGTTTTTTTCAAAACGCAAAACGAAAACAGCTCGAGGCATTTGGTTCAACTTACGCAGCGCGATTTCCTTTAACTGCTCAGAAGGGGAAACCGCCATCTTTGAGGCTTCTCCAGCTTAATTTGGGCGGCTCTGCATGTTCACAGTCTTCCTTTCCTCCGTGACTTTAAGGCAGCTAGTTTGATCTTCCGCTTTCCCTGCACAGATTCATTGTGGCAACTCCTTGACAACCACCAATGCACAAAACAGCTTGGGGCTGCCACAGTTGGATTGTCGCAGATTTGAGTTCCTTACCTGTGCCAGATTTCGAAGAGCGCTCTCCCATCGGCCCAGCTTCCGGTCGACGGTGTACTTTCGAAGAGCGGGAGACAGCGATGCCAAGCTCTGCGAGCAAAAACAACAGACTTTCGGTTTTCAGCGGGGCAAAAAAGGGCAGGCGCTACGTTGTCTGCCTCGTCCAGCAACGACCCAAACAAGCACGGTCAAACGAAGTCGAAGTTTGTGACGCGCTTAGGAAGCTCAGAAGCAAAGTCCTGCCATGCTGCCCGGCGAGTGATAACTCCAGTAAAGGGCCCTAAAGTGATCCTTTCGTACAGCCACGTAAAGTTTTTTGACGGCCTGCTTCCTTTGCCAATAAAGATACAGTTTTCCCATTCAGGACTAAGCCGGCATCACAACTCTATTGCGACCTAGCGCAATCCTGACCAAAAAGGGACAGCAAACTTGCTGAAATACGACCTGAAGACGAGAAAACGAAGACAACCTCAAGCGCCAACCTCCGACAAGACAGACGTCTAAGGTGTAAGTAAGGCAAGTACTCTCTGCGTCTGCGCCTTCTGAAGTGCGGATAATAAAAGCAATATAAAAGGAGACCCAAGAAAGAGTAAACTAGATCAGCACAAAAGACGGTCCGTCCGCTCATCAACAAGGACAGGAATCTCACTTGCAAGTACGGCAAGAACTCTTTCGGGTCCATTTGCGCTTGCGCCGCAACCATGGCCGCTAGTTCCAAATCATACATCCCCAAAGCCACGTCGTACAGCGCGTTTGCGTCGCCGCATAGCCAGATGAGGTGCTGCATCGCGCGGTCCGCGGTCAACGGGGCGGTGTCGGAGATCAGCGGCGCTCCCTCTTCGTCCGCATCTGCACAGCATTAAAGCGTTTTGGCAGTGGTCTTATAGACTGAACGAAGGCCAATGCGTGGCGGTCTATCAAAACGATTCCAGTCAAAGAGGTCGGACTGTATTTCCGGTGGTTTGCAAGGAAAACCCAGAAAAAATGGACAAGCGTACGTTAGCGGAATTCTCATCTCACGAAAAAGATCCCCCGCTTCCCTGTCAACAAACTTTCATGATTCCACAAAAAGTGCTTGAAAATGAAAGTAACGACAGCAATCAGAGGGTCGGTAGTAGCGCCACTGCTGATTCAGCAGCAGCATGGGGTGTCCTCATTGCTAGAACCAAATCAGGCCCTTTTCAGCGCTTGCAACAAACAATCCAGTCCGCAGCCCTTGATCCGGCAGAGACAATAGGCAGCGCCCGCAGAATCTTTGGCGGCTTCCACACAATATGCATAGACAGTGTCTGCCCGAGCTTTGATTCCGTGGAGACTTGGGTAAGCTGCGGCTCGAGGACTGATGAAGATGGAATCTCCCGAAAACAGACCCCAGCATCCGGTTCTTCTTTACCAGCAGAACCTCCTTTCCAGAGAGTAGCACGCAAATTCTACATATGCAAGAATCCACGAGACTGGGCTGCATCGAACGCACAAGCATGTTACAGCACTGGCTCTGCCTTTACTAGATGTAGAGGCGTAGAGACGAGGTGTGAAAGACTGGGCGCTTCCAAAAGACGAGGTCAAAGGAATGGATAAAAACACTCTGGACGAGCAAGTATGAAGGGCTAGCTAAAAGGATAAGGAAATCGGAGCACCCACTTTTGTGCTTTTCACGATGGCCCAGAGGCAGGAGGCAAGATGCACAAAACCAGGGAACCAAAGATCCAAACCGCGCTTAAGCGTGCGTTTGAAAGTTAGGGACACGAACAGTCCATGCGGGCTTATGCAGGGAAGTACTTAAACTGAACGCTCCGGTTGCTGACAAGCATTGAACGGACAACCCTAAGCCTGAAAATCGACAAGGCTGAAAGTGCTTTCAACGTGCCTCAAGCTTTCTCGCACAGCAAACGAGCTGACTCGAAAATCTACACTGGCCAATCAACAGCCAACGACGGTGACAACGACGGACCCCCCACATAGTTGTCACGTTCAACAGCTGACAGTCTCCGCAACAAGCATCTGGATGCCGAAGACGGTCGAGTCCTGAACTGATGAAATACAGAGCTACAAATTTTGGCTTCTCAACCACTGGAGGTTGAGAATGAAGCCTCTATGGCAGGAGGTGTGATGTCCGGCGCTACCCAAACCGGTTCCGGTCGAAACCCGGTGGGTGAACCCAAACGGCGGCATCTTTTTACACGTACTTCATTACACATAGTCGGCCCCCAGACGATCTCGCGAGAGAAAGTGATGCCATGTCGACATACATGGTGACCGTCAGGATGCAAAGCGGTAATGACCGACAACGATCAAAGGCAATGCATCATCACAGGCTGCTTGGAAGAGAGTTCTACCGGGTCACCATCCCCGTGAGACAAGCTTTTAACACGACCTAGAATTTGCGGTATTCGCAAGACGTGTTGCCGCTGCTACATAAATCAGTCTGTAAACCTGGCCCAGCTGCAAAAAGTCTCTGACTGCATGACGAGACGACTGTTCGACAGGGTTGAAAGGCAAGTGAAGGTGAGGCAAATCGAAGCTTTTCTTCAACGCTCACGATTGACCCGCGAGGTACAAATGAATAAAATGTGGAACGGAAGGAGAGATACTTAGCCAGAGACACGGCGTCTGGACAAGTCCTTGAAAACTTGCGTGCAAGTCTAAACCGCCCACGCGCAATCCATCATTGCCGTGGCCTCTAATTTTGTCAACAAATTAAATCTCGAATGACCGCGAGGCCGATGCTCGCTGCTGTTCCACGAGTTGAGCGCCATCCGAAATCTCCAGTAACTAGGGGCTTCAGAAAGCTCCTTAACGTCAAACGAGGCCACAAAGAGCTGCAGTGTCAAGGAACATGCGGCACCCAAATCAGGTTTCAATGCGCCATGCAGAAAAAGCCACAGATTAGCTGCTGATTTCAAGTGCGCCACGTTCATCGAATAGTTACTAGCGTGCCCTTTCCTGTCATCACCTCCAGATGGGCTGTCTTAGACGCATACTATGCCAATGTATTGATAAGTGGACCTCATGCAGGCGGCCAGACTTGGCAAGTAGAAAGCATACAAACTCAACTGGGCAAATCCGTTTGTAAACGAGCAGGTTGAGCAAGAAGCATTTGTTGTGGCTCTGTTGGATCGTACGCTGGGAGGCCAAGCTTGGAGTTCGACAAAAGCCCCAATAGATAGCATCTTTGCCCGAGATAACAAGCCCTCCGTTACATGGCCGCAGGCTGGGATGCAACAATTGCAAGAAGAAGCAGGCATAAAAAAGTTGCTATCGCATCAGCAGTCCAGGGCTGATGGGTTGACTTGAAGTGTCCCTCGTTTTTGCAAATCTTACGGCCTTTCGCCCCTGTCTGCCGGAACGTGGGCGAAAATTCAGGAGCTGCAACATCAGACAGATTTTTTAACGAAGTGGAACACATACTTCTCCGCAGACTCTCACGCATGTACGTCTGCGTCATGCAGGAAGGACGGCGGGACGCAGACAAGATCGCTTCGTATCAAATGGCTTCTGCGCTGAACATCACTGAGGAGCGATGTCGCAACCTCAGATTGCGCAATCACTCATTGCCAAACCTAGCAGAACCGCCAACGTTCGTTTCCGTTGCATTGAACGCCTTTGGCGGATCGTTTTGATAGCCGGCTTCGCAGACCGTGTCAACTTTCGAGAGCGCTCTTAATCAAGCTGACAAACGGTGGCATCGTTTCTTCAGGAACAATTGGGGTACAATCAATGGAACCCCCTGGGCATTCCTCATTGCCAATAGCAGAATATAAAACAAGGCGATGCACGCCCGTCGCAAAAGAAAGGAGCCTGAAACAGAAGGCGGACCGCAGAAGATTCCGGATGGACGAAGGACTGAAAGTGCGTCGCCGCCATCTAAACTGTGTGTGAAAAATCCAGTCCACAAAGAATAGCCTTGAGCTGTTACCATCATCTCTGATTCCGATGGAAGGTCTATCTTGGGCGTGTCCCGCAACTACGACGAGAGCATTTCTAACATCTGAAACAAGTGGTGGCAACTTCCTTCACTGCTTCTTCCCAACAGTATCTTGCTGTTGCAAAACGCCTTTCCAACTTACGACAAACGATTCGAAACAGGCTTGCATGGCTCTTCGTCTGACGAGCTCAGGAAGTTGAATCTGTACACCAGCGAACTCAGCCCGGGGTCGTCGTGGCCGTCAAGGTTATCTCACCTGAGTCTGATAGCCGCAATCAGAAAGAAAGCTCCTACGAGGCCGGCACGATAAAGCTCACATACTGTCAGCACGATGCAGCCTTTTATGAGGTCAGCGACTTCCTGAAGAGCTTGAGATGTGAGCTGCCCGCTCAACGTTGCCGGATATCGGTCATTGCTACCGAACCGTGGATCTAGACTCGTGGCCACAGCCGTCAATCGCTTTCCTACCGTTGAGCAAAAACATTTATATATAGAGCCATATCGAGTTCAGGTTTAGAACCTTTCAGTGGTGCAAAATTTATGCTCAACGACGGTTCAGGCCCAGAGATATGTACGTACTGAAGCCGACAACGAGATAGGAAGTAGTCTCGACCAAGTAAGGCCCATTTTGAATGGGTGCTTGTCCAATTCCTAGTACAAGAGGGAGGAGAGCACGACGGGTTACTGATGCACCCATGGGTGGTCGCCAGCAGTATGCACGCAATTCGCAGATTCTCAGACTGCTTTGACCTCCAGACACGATAAATATACATGTGGGCGAACGTAGGACAAAAGGCAGGCCGAAGCAGTTGGAGAGCAGACAACTCTTTCCAGTTTCACCCTTGTATATATTTGGACGAGAGAAAGGTACACCTTGTCAACTTGTGTGGAATCAGCTGCTGAAAAAAAAATGGGAGCTAGAACTCCCAATTACATTTGCATCGCACCCACAACGTGTTCCATAGACTAAGTGCCCTGATTATCCTGCTAGGCTGCATTTAAAGTACATTCTCCGCATATAGGCGTCAACCGGATTGCAGATTGTGCTGAAAAGCTGTCGGATTCTGAACAGGAGTGGCCTTCACATACAACGAGACAGAGAGCACGATGAACAATTTGATCAGCGCAAATGACTCTGGCAGTCAAACAACCAGGAATATGTTAGATATGATCAGCGATCGGCACCCATCGCATGGCCCGACAACCACCCACCAACCAGGTGCATGCGCATTTGAGCACTCCTAAAGCCTTGCAATGGAAAGCGCTGGTCAAAACTCGTGGAATAACCTGCCTAGCCTACAGAAGATACGGGATAACTTGGAGCAGCTGAGTGTGTGGCTCCGTGTTAACGACGCCCTCGTGTGAGGTCTGGATTTCAACCAAGGTCCTCACTGCCACTTTCACGAGGCCCTGAAACCTTCGACCAGAGACGAACAAAACCATTGACGCATTGCATTCTCGAAGGAACGCAGCCCCTTCAATGCGTAGCTACCGAGATTGCAGCACTATTGGGTGCGTCTTCCGGACTGAACTTGTTTTAAAGGCGCGAAGTTCCTGATGGTGCAAAGAGCGAGATAGCGACCTTGGACCACGCAAGCCTGACTCCCTAGGACATGAGCGGCAGTGGGGACAACACTCGCTGAGGAAGGGACGGTGCACGCAGATAGTCACGCTAGGCCTCCGCAAATATCATACAAAAACGCGGAACAATGATGCGGGTTTCTCGCACAATGCAGAAAGAGCCTGAGAAATACCTGACCTTGACCTTTTCCTTTTAGCTAGCCTCGGGCGTGCTTTTGCACGAGGGGACGCTGGCAAAAAGCATACAACTGCAGCGCAACAAAGCAGGCAAGCACTAGCCGTGTCAAAGGAACGAGCGGTCGCACCGGACTAGCTTTTACCGGGATGATGTATGGGCGCGCAAATCCAAATCCCTGGAACAGAGGGACGCTCGTATCGGCCTGTCCCAAAGCATGGACCCTAATGGAAGCCCCGCTTTCAAGAAGTATAAGGGAAAGAGAAATATATGACAAAGTTCAAGCCGGACATCTGAACACGTGAGTGAGGCTTCAATCTTGGCGGGCTGAGTGAGCTTGAGTGCCCAACATCCAGGGTGATTCATTGCCACATCCTCCCACCCAGAAAACAGATCACACGCAGTGTCAAGCATTTCGTCGTGGAAGATCTGGCCGCAACCAAGGAAGCTTCCTTCTCCGTCGAGACCTCCAGTCAGTGGACCCTAGCCAGAAGTGGAGAACGAAAGGAGCAGCGGGGTTGCCATCAGATTGCAAGTCTTCACAAGAAGCTTCGACCAAAGTCCACATGACGCACAGGGGTCCTCTCGAACTCCTCTCGAAAATACAATCGCAGATTGGCATGAACGAGACTCATTAGGATGCGTAGTCGCTAAAATGAAGCTTGAGCACATTATTCTTCCAATCGGAAAGAGGCACCTTCTTTGAACCAGAGTCGGGCACCAACCGATCGAGGTACATCAATCGGCTGGTTGGAAGTGGAAATCAGTGGCCTCAACGAAGATAGTGTCATACTTGAGCTCAAAAGCTCATGACAATACAACTTTCATCATTGCCTTGCAAACATAAGAGAGAGAAGAATTGACACATCTTCAGGGAATGAATTAAGGTGGAGGGATGAGTACAGGCGCAGAAATACAAAGCTGCATAGTACGTTGATCGATCGGGGTATCTTATGATCTTGAAACGACAAAATCTCTCTAAATGGTTGAAAAAAGGCTTCTAAATCATCAACAGGAACACGTACAAATCTGCCAAGCGGATTGAGCTCCACGGAGCATCAGCCGCAATCCTGTGAAAAATTCACAAACGGACAGCAATGAGACCGGGATTTTGGCTACAAAAAGCTTGGAACGTTGTTCTCCTCACGCGTTTCTTTCCAAGCACAAAACAAGGATTCAACCTACACGCAGCTATTCAGGGCTCTGGAACCAATCATGCGTGGGCACCAAAGCCAACATATCATAGCCATTGCGTTGAGCCGCATTCATTGCAAATTTCCCCATCTCAACGACAGTCTATCATTTCCCGCTCATACCTGGGTAGATGAAGGTTTGTTCCACACTCTTCCGAATCTCTCAAACCGAGCATAGCGCCAAAAGCAAGTCGTTCAATCTGCCCCTAAAGCAAGCAGCGATGCAATCACCCCGTATCTGCAGGCCACAAAGCAACGAAGGACCAAGTATCTTACACCCTTTGCAGCAGCTGAAAAGCCACGAACCGGCCCTTAAACTCAAGACTCCTTTGGTGCTCTCAGTTGAATGCAGGGACGACCCCGAGGACACCCGGACAGCCATCGGAAAAGGCTTCAAACTGATCTTTTGACGTCCTCAATTTGCGCATACAAGGGGACAAACAGCTGTATAATTGGTCCTCGTCCACCTGCGTTGCCCGGTGTCCTCAAAAAACCACACCATTGGAGAAACTGAAAAGCAGCAACTCTGGGCTGAACAGATTTGACCAGACTCTCCGAACGTTTCTTCTCGCCTTCGGGCCTTTTTGCTGCCGTCAAGCTCGCCAGCGCAGCGTTCAAGCCTTCACTTCGCGCCGGTTCCTCAAAGAAAACCCACATTATTCAAGTCACTAAAAAACAAATCTGCCTGGATTAACCCCGTTTTAACCAGGCTCACAAACTTTGCTCACCTTCGGCCCTTTCCGCAACCGTCCGGCCCGCCAGCGCCGTGTTCGGATCCTTCTGCAACTCGGCCCGTCGCATCTCCTTCAGGATCCGCAGCGCCTCTTCCAGTTGGGGGGGCTGACTTCGAGCGTGCGTTGCCAGTACACACAGCCCAACCGCGCCGCTCTGAATCCCCTCACCAGCCCCCCGTAACGCTTCCCGTATAGCCGTGCAGACCGATGTAACTTTCCCCGGACCCCCCTCTTTGCTTGGGCTCACCCTCGCCACCCCCATGTCTGTAGTTTCTGGGTTGTCTTCGGCTGAGTTTTCGTTCCAGGGGGGTAGCAGCCCCTTGTACGCCTCCCTGGTCACGTCCCCCTCATGGAGACTCGTCACCAGCTCCGCGACTCTGGCGGGGCTCCCGACCGCCCGCACGAACGCCGGCGCATCTTCCACGAACCGCTCCCAACCACCAAAGTCAACAATCAGGTTAAGGTCTAACCTGTGCCGCCGGCAAACCTCCAGGGCCTGTGCGTAGTCTTTCCTCCGGAGCGGATTGGCGGCCGTGGCTAGAACGAGCTCGCGGGGGTACAGGGTTTCGAGGTTTCCCCGCGGGGTTTGGATCATAACCCCGGCCTCTTCCCCGAGCGCAGCCAAGAGGACCGCCCCCCGTTCGTTCAACGGCATCGCCCGCTGCTTCTCCAGTGACGTCATCCCCAGCTCGGCGATGTACAGCTCGTCTTTTTGCGTCGTCCAGATGACGTACGCGCTTCCATCCCCGTCCCCCTGGTTTGCCCCGCTGTTTCGGACGACGACACTCGTGACACCTGTCGCGACGCAGTTGGCTGAGAGGTACAGCTTGCCCGACATCAAGGCGATGACGTGGCAGACGCTTCCAACTTTCACAGCCTCGATCCGCGAGCTATTTCCTTTCTCCAGGGTCAAGCAGGGCCTTGGGGGCTGACCCAAACCCCACCACTGAAGCTTCCCCCCTTCCAGAAGCACTAGATCCGCTTCGGCATTCGGCGCTGGCCAAAAGCTGACTAGATTTCCGCCAACCGGATGAGATTCCGAGCTCTGAACGGCGTACTGGCCCCGACTCCGCAAACACGCATCACTTCCCGCTTCGGACTGCCGCACAAACCGGAATGACGTCAGCACCGAGGCGCTCTCCCGCCCGCTCTCTTCCCTTTCCAGAGCTAACAGAGTAAGCGGTTCCCGTCCCCAGAACACCAGCCGACCCGACACGCTAACGCCCTTCACGACTTCCCCCTTAAGTATCGGCTCCCCATACTCTCCCTCTTGTTCCCCGTCCAAATCCTCCCACCTCCCCTTCCGCTCACAGTGCGCCAGTCCAATCGTCCCGTCCGAAAGCACGACAGCCAAAACCTCGCCAAACCCTGACTCGTCGGAACCAAGACACGCCGCTTGCACTGGTGCTGGAAACTCCACAGCGGCCGCGCAGAGGGGGGGCGGAATTATGGTTTCCAGGAGGGGGGTGATCCGGACTCGGGGGCCGTCAATAACTAGGGCGGTGCAGTTTTCGATGGTAACGGCGCTCTGCCAGGCGAGGTCGAGGTGCGAATGGGCGCCCCGGGCGGTCCACAACTGGAGGCGCAGGGGCTGCTCTGGATCCCAGGCGAAGTTGAGAGAGCCCACTCTAGTTCGGCTCCGCCGCCACTCACGCTTCAGGTACCTGCCAGCAAAGTCGAAAGTAAATGAGGATAATGCGTCCGAGTCACCCGCACCCGGTTTCAGGTATCAACGCACAGTCAATTGTGGCTTGGGGATGTTGCGTGACCGCAGGATCGAGGGGATTTTGAGAAGGGCTACAAGGCTTCCGCTCGTTTGACAGGCAAAATGCCCCCTCAAGACCACGGTTGGATCGACAAAAGGACTTGTTACAAGCAAATGGTCAAAGAGATCGACAGCAGGGTCCTTTTGATATGCGGACCCTTGGCTTTGCGCGGGGCGTGTTCATCTTCTTTAACATGTCCACCAGGGTGACAGGCACAGATTGCGTTTCTTATCTTCAGTTGCTCAATGTCCGTTATGATCCGTCATGTCAAGCTCAAAAGCTTCTGAGGCCCAAGCAGTCACCGGAAAATCAACCACACCCGTCCACGTTTCTCTGTCGACCCCCCTGTTTATTTTTTCAGGCCCATCGTCCTGAAATCTATATCCAGGTGTGGATCAAACCAGTATTGGTGAGAGTCGACTCACCAGTGATAGTTTAACCGGAACCAGATCTGCACCGCGACCGTGTCCCCCCACTCCAGGGCGATTCCCAGCAGTTCCGAACTCGCGTTCCACTGCAGGCCGCGCACCATCGTATCCCCCGGTACAGTTTCCAGTTCGAACCCACCCTTCCGAAGCCCGTTTCGCTCGAACAGCACGACTTTTGGATGGGTGAAATCCTGGCCAGGTTGGACTGCGGCAATCAGGGCGGCCCGGGGTTGCCAGGCGACGTGGCTGTGAAGGCCGGGAACCTGGACGAGAGGAAACGAATTGGTTTTACGACGAACGGCTTGATTGTCTGGAGAACGCCGCTGAAGACTTTAACAAAAGTAGGCCATGGTGCTTCGAAATATGATATAGCGATGTAGCGGCAGCCGTGCACTCAAGGATTCCGCCGATCCTAAGCACCTGCCAATTGCGGTGCAGCTCGAAATTGTTGACGATGTTTGCAATTGCAGGACAAATGTTGCTTCTCAAAGGATGCAGCAACGCCTCCATGGCACCCGACTTCTGCTCCATAAGTCTGACCTCTTATCCTCCAGAATTGGGGTTTTACGAAACAAGTGTTCACTGTTTGTCTGGCCGTGGGCAGGAATTGTCGGAGGGCGGCAACGCCAGGACAAGAGGTTACATGTTGAGGCCCATGTTTCACACTCAAGATCGACAGAGTAATGTTTCCATTAATCTGCACCTTAAGAAGGAACGTTTCCACCTTCATCCTCACCTTCTCTGCGCGGGCGTGGAGGACGCACCCGTCCCGCTCCCAGACTACTATTGAGCCCCCAACGTTTGTAGCAAGGTATTTGCCATCCCCCCGCCAGCTGATGGAGACCCTCTCCACTCCAGAAGGGCCATTTGCCACATGGCTTTCCATTGTTGGAGATTCCAACTCGACTTCCGCAAGGACGTCCCAATCCTGCGGAAAGTAAGCAGTGCGCAGTCAGCTCCAAGAAAGCAAAGCTGCAGGAACTAAGAGAAAAGTTGGTCCAGGTTAGCTCGTTCCCCACTGACCGGCATGTTTATTCGTTGACAGGGTGACTAACTCCTACTGGATTGAAGTTAGGTACTCTTGAGGACACATTCCAATTTTCACAATCACTGAGCTGAAGAGCAGTGAGACCGGTGAGTGACAGCGTTATTACGGGCGAAGACCCGCGCATTGCTGTTTAGATCCATACAGAGGTTGCCTTTGCGTATCTATCACAGAAGAGTCCATCGCAAGTGCCACAAAAACCATCTTGCAGAACAGATTGTACCCCCAGCCCCGGGAAGATGGCAAGAAGGAAACTTCCTGAGCGGTGGTCTGCAACTCGACTTTTGCCTCAGGTATGCAGATAAAAAAGGAGCAAGAATGACATCATGCTACTCTGGCCCTGAAAGAATCACCACCCCAGGAAAGAACCAAGCTAAGGCCAAGTTTAAGGCCAAGCTGACAAGCTCCCCACCTTTGTCATTAGCAGAAGCTTCCCAGCGCCAGTGGCGATTGCGACCACCTCTCCATCGGGGCCCCAAGCCATGCCAGCTACCCCCCCCTCAAGCATCCCCACTGCCTCGACCTCTACGGGAGATCTGTGGACCAGTAATAGGTCCCCATGCAAGCTGGCAACTGCGAGCGCTTCATGCTCAGGAAGCCACTCAAGAGCGACAATCTCGGCGCCTTGCTCCAGGAAGGGGGGGCTGCCATCTTCCGAAAAGGTCGTGAGGGAAACCAACAGCGTGGTCTGAGAGAAGAAACAAAGCATTGGGTGTTGATTCGAACGAGGTGTCTCGGATTGTCAAGTCCCAGGAAAGTAGTTGCTTTCGTAGCTTACTCCAAGAGTTGGTGGAGATTGGAATCAACTGATGCAGCCTGGTTCCCACGTCTGTTTGTGGCCGGTTCCTCATTCCGCTTTGTTTAAGAAACGCAACACGCATTTATATATACCACCCTTTGCTGACGTTTGGGGGTTGAAAGGTGATCTTAACATTCTCGGGCAAGCCATAAAGAGCCAGATCCAAACAAAGAATACAAAAACCATGTCCAATCAGCAGACTTAACACTGGCTTTCTGAGGCATGCGCGAGCTGTCAGATTCAACAGAGAAATAGAGCTTCGCAGAGCCTCGAACAAGTTTAACACACATTTGTCATTCTATGTCCAGCCTATTATCGGGTTCCGTGTGAGACACGAGGTGGTCAAAATTGAAGAGCACAAATAAGCGCAATCTGAACGTTGAACAGCATTCTGTACTTCATCACATACATCACCACCAGTGTATAGCTTTCGCCACAAGTGGTGGTGTTGACCGACTTAGCTCACCGATTGAAAGTAAGTAAAAGATTCATCAAATACATTTGAAAAGTGCAGTGGAAGCGAACGGGAGGAAAATCACACTGGCTCGCAAGAACATTTTCAACTTTTAGGCACTTTTGCAAAGACACAAGTACTCTTACCTTGCCTCTGGCATCTCTTTCATACAGTAGCCCATCCCTTGTTGCAAAGTAGGTACCACCCGTGTCCTGATCCGTTGCAAGAGCAAGCACCTCGTCCTTTTGCCCGCTGATATCTGCTCCATCTTCAACAATCCACTCCACCTGGCCCCATCCCTCTCTTACAACCACCAAGTTCCTCATTGCAGCCAATCAGCAAAACATCTGCTAAACAAATGGTTCCTTCGATACAAAAGTACTGTAGTAACGGTAGATATCTGGAAAGACGCCACCACGTTTCCACCCTTTTATTACTCGTTCTGGGCGTGAAGTTGCAATGTCAGCTTGTCCTTTTCTGCGGAGTGCAAGCTGCACGTTTCTCTTCAGACTTCAGATCTCTGAAGCTTCAGTGGTATGAGTGTGGAAGCAAAAACTAAAGCTTGAAAGCCGAGGCATCATGGGGCACGATCATCTTCAAATCGGAGGGCTCTTATTGCCCAAGACCCGAAACGTGGTATATCGAACGGCCTAGAAAAGGTTTCAGGGGGTCGCGACGTGCCTTCCCTGACGGGTAAGACTGGCCTGCTTAAATCCATATTAATCACGTTGCATGCAATCCTTCTCACTCTCGAGCAGAGCTGCGTACAAAGTTCTGCGCTAGAGTGAAGTCTGAAGGCGGGGGAGGCGCCTTGACGGGGAAGGTTGCCTCTCTGAAGAGGAGAGTGGAGGGTTTCTCATGCAGGGACTTGGGCAGAGCGTGGATTAAGGTTGTCACCTCTCACTAAGAGTCCGAGTCTTACCTATACTGCAGTGGAAAAGGAGGGGATGCCAAGGAGTCCGAGTAGTGGAAAGCTGTCGTTCTCAGTCACCTAGGTGGTTCTTGCAGCAAGCTGCAATACTTGCGCGTGATTTGGGTTGCTGCACACCTGACTGCAGGTAAGCACACTTGGCGTTCAGCTCTCTTGCAAGTTGCTCGAGTTTTTATCCTGTTCTGTGATTGGCAGACTTTGGAGCATTGATTTTGAAGCAAGCTACACAATACTGACAAAGCAAGGTTGTGTGTGCTTGTCTCAGAGTAGGTGTATTGACTGACAATCCTAAGCTGCCCTTCAGCCTTGCCCTTTCGGCTGCTATCTCATAGGAAGATGTGTTTGTATGCACAGGCAACCGTGTTGGTCTGTACAATGTCAAGGTAGAAGTAGACTAAAGTTATAGTTTGATAGTGTATACTTGCATTTTGCAAAGGCAGCTTGTTATTTTGTACACTCTATGGTGTGCCGGGATCCAGTGCTTTCTCTGGATGGAGGATTGCTGGATGAGAGTAGCGTAGCTAGATTGGGAAGTTTTGCCAATGAAGTTCAACAAGGAAGAGCAAGCTCCCTGTCAAGCTGTTGCCGTGCCCTTGTGTCATCCTCGTTACTAGGGTTGCCTTCAGAGGTTTTGTTCAAAGGCTGGCGGTGTCTGAGCGGAGGTTTGGATCGAGTGTCTAGTTCAAATTTGCACCTCCAGAAGAGCAGTCCTTGGGCCCTAAAGCTTCCTGGAAAAGAAAACATGCGTATCTGTGAAAAATTATGTCGGCGTGCTAGTCTTATCACAGTGCTTCCTGTGAGATTCCGTTGACTCGAAAGTGCAGATACTTGGTCATTTGCATCATACCTGTCTTTATAAATCTATCTACTGATCACTCAACAGCTTTTCTGGCGATGATTTGCTGCACAACTGCTTACTTCTGCTTTGAGGTTGCACCCATTCTCACTGGCATGTAAAGGTTTGCAGGCGCACATTTTGCCTCTTTACGTGGGTCGATGAACTGGCTCCGTAGCTAGTGGGATGAAGCTTGTCATCGATAGCACAGTCTCTGTGGCCATCACCGTCGCTACCTGACTGCTCTGCCTGCCTCCTATGCTCGTCAAGGCCTTCCCTGCAGGAATATGTTCTGATTAGGAATGCCTGCACACGCAATAATGTTTCTTGCGAACCTGGTCATAACTGCTCTAATCGTCAACCATCATCATCCATCGCTCCCTGCATGACAAGCATCTCCTCATTGACCACCGTGGTCCTTCCGCACACCACAAAATCAGCCGGCAAGACACCCATCCTGTGAGATGCTCGACTCTACCTCCTTCTGACCATTGTCTTTCTCCGCAGACCAGCAACTCGGTTCCAAACACCCATTCCGTGAGATGCTTGGCTCCTCCGTTCCTTAGCCATGCGGCACCAACACCATAGCAAAGGCAGGCGAGCCTCTCGCGCTGCGGTCGCACCCGTGAGCGCAAGCGAGTGGGGGGACCCCACCGGAAGCTCTGCGGCGGTGATTGGTGCGGAGGACGGGGATGAAGAGATTTTGTGTCCCCTGTGCATCGAGCCCCTGGACGAGACGGAGGTGCGATTTAAGCCGTGCCCGTGCGGGTGAGTGTTTGCATCCGTACTAGACCTTTGTTCTTGGTTCCGAGGTAAGAGCAGGTTTGTTGCATTAGGGTGCTGAGTGTTGGGGCGCGATGGTGCTCCTGGATGCGAGGACGCATGGGGTTGTGCACAGCGAGGTTATTTCAGATTGAAAATTGAGAAGGGTTTCTTTTCAAAAGAGCATCTGGTGCTCCGTGGATGAATTCTCCAAGCAAGAACTTCATTCGCGGAGCAAGCATCGGTGCACTTCAAGCCTGGAGAGTGCTGTGGAGATTGACTTGTTATTCTGCCGTCCCTTGCTTTAAGTACGTCTTACGAAGTTCCGGTGGTCAGCAACATCTAGTCACTTGGTACCCTTCAAGTTTTGTCATCGTTCCATCCATCTTGGCAGTAATCCTGCTGGACTCGTTCGTTGAGAGCATCTTTTCAGGACCATTGGATTCTCTAGCAGTTGTGCTTTCCATTCCACGACTTCTTTCTATGGCCGACAGTGGAGCCACATCAGGGAAGAAACAATCTGCAGGCCGGTTCACGCAAAATCCACCCAGCTTGTTACACCAATTCAATCCTTCATCAAGCTGCCTGCTCACACCTTTCCACCTGCTGTCTGGACCATAGAGGCCGAGACTCAACTAGAATGTTTCCGGCCTTTTCCTGATGACTTCTGGATTGGTGCAAGGCCTATTTGAGTCTGTTGTTGATTCCTCTTTGATTGCTAATGATGCTCGTTCTTCCTGCTACAGGTATCAAGTCTGCCTCTTCTGCTACGAGCGGATCAAGCTCGAGCTGAATGGTCTGTGCCCCAGCTGTCGAACCGCCTATGGATCCCCCCAGGAAGCGAGCCCCCGGCAATCATCTCCGTCCTCCTCTGGCTCTTCTAACACTGCGGCAAGCACCTCTGACCGTTCGCATACTCTAAGCGGGGGGGCAGTTCCCGTGCAAGGTTCCGACTCTCTTGAACCATCGCAGCTGCCTGAGCCGGCACCTGCGCTGCCAAGAACCCCATCATTGCAAGAACTCCCGGACGCGTCCCCAGCGCCTCAGAGAGCTCTGGAAAATGCGAGTTCAGAAGAGCCGGGTTTGTTGGAGATAGCAAACAGAGGTCAGGCTGCCGCACCTGGGGGGATCCCTTCGGAAGCCTCGGGAGAGCAGGCGAGCAGCAGTAATTCTTCCAGAGCCTACCATGCAGAAGCACCCGGTAGCAGCAATGGGAACCACCGAATGGGTGGCCCCCAGAAAGCAGTGCCTCAAAAAACATCCCAGGTCGTTTGGGGTCAGACGCCGCTCCAGGGTGGCCCAAGCACCAGCGGAAGCGGCCCCCCGAACTGGGCGAGGCCTGGGCAGGCGCCGTCGGACGTCCACAGGGTGCGGCAGAATGCGTCCGAGGCGGCAGTGCAGTCATCGGTGGGCTTTTCTTGGGGCCCACCCGTGGTGACGTCGCAGCTGACGTCAGCGGACGCCCGACGGCGGCAGCCTCCCGATTCTCATGTGGTGGAAAATGCCAAGGCCGTCAAGGAGGTGGTTAGGAACACGGCTAGTGACGGGGGGGGAAACGTATGGGGAAGCGGGTCTATTACTGCAGCGTCGGTGTTGAAAGGGGGGTCTGTTTCGCGGTCGGAGACACCCCCCCAACCCGTTCTGGTCGCATCGTCCTTTCCAAGCCTGTCGGCGGGGGTTCCGAAGCCCCAAAACCCTGCTCGGAAGCCAGGAAAGCGGCCGAGGACGCCTGCGGGAAAGGTGAATCGAAACGGGGGGTTGGGCCCTCCCAGTGCAAGCGCCAGTCCAAGTGTGACCCCCCAAAACAGTCGGCCAGGGACTCCCCTGGTAGAGAACGGGTCAGAGGAGAGGACTTTGGAGAGGGATGTCTCTGGTTCCGGGGGGTTGGAGTTTCCGAGTGGGACTGCAAAGACGGCTGCAGGGGTGGGAATAGGTGTTGGTGTGAATGCGCACTTTGGGACGCACATGCCTGTGCCTGCAGCTGCATTCGCGGGTGTGAGTACTGGCTTGAATGGTTCTCCTGCTTTGGACACAGTCCTGGGAGCAAACGCGGGCGGTAGAAAGGAGGACGGCGCGGCCGCTCTGAACCTTCTCACGAGCAAGCACGGTCGGAGCCTGAGCGAAGACGTACTTCGGGGATTCGAGGGCTTGCGATCAGAGGGGGGGTCCGCAAACGGTCTCCACCGCCCCACGTCGAGTGGGGGGGTGCAGGCGTCTACATCGCGGCTCTTTTCGGGGGGGTACGGTTTACACAGGAGCCTAAGCAGCCGGGCGAGCAGTGTTGCGAGCGAGGATTCGGGGGGTTCTGGCTCGCCTGCCAGAGGGGGGGGTTTCGGAAAGAGTGTGTATGGGGCGGCGCTGGGTGGGGGGACGGTTTCAGGGGGGAATGGGTGGTCGGTTGGAGCGGCCTCGTCAAGGCAGTACAGCGAGGGGTGGACTCCCGAAGCACTGGCAAAGGTGCGCACAAGATCTGCTCATTAACGTCTGCAACTTTGTCTTTTCATTGGGGGATCGATACGTCCGGTTTACAAGAAACTTGATCGGGGACAGGATTCTCGTTGGCCCCATTCACAGCTCGGTAGCTTATGAAGATACCCTATTTGGCCATCTTATCATTGCAGTCCGGTTGATTGAGTGTTGAATCATACACTTTCATATACCAGGCGTTTCCGAAGTTGCTGTTTCCCCGGGGTTCTTCTCGACGGAATTACCTCAAACCTATACTGTCCTGGTCCCTGAATATTGGAGTTTTCTTTCTCCAGGCTCGCGCGATCATCGCCGCGGCCCGGCTGGCCCAAGTCGGCCCCCCCTCCGCTCCGCCCCCCATCCACGCATGGCCCGCACACCCTGAACTCCAGTCAACCGGCGCCCCTCTTTCAGTGTCACAACCGGCCCCCCCGTCATCCGACCCCCTCTTTTCCGCCAAGTCAGACGACAGCCTCTTGCGCCAGCTTGCCGAAGTCGGGGGACCCCTCGCGAGGCAGCTGAGTGGGCTCGCCGTCTCTGACGTCAGCGAAAACGTCGGCAGCGGCGGTCTGTTCGCAATGGGGGGCCCGAGGCAGGGCGGTTTTGTGGGGGGGGACGGAGGAGGGGAGAAGGCGCGGGTGCCGCGCTCGCAGGGGGGGTCGCTCAGTCGGTCGAGCAGCCGGCAGAACAGCCTGGAGCGGGTCGTCGAGTGAGTCTTTTGGTTTCAGTTCTGCATTGAGCGAGGTCTATGCTGATTTCGATCATCCATCCGGGTGCAAACCAATGAACACCCTAAAGAAACGATTGCCGGGCTCTGCACCTGTACCCGTTTGAAACGCCAAGCCAACCCCACCCGTTCGCTGGCCCTTGCCTATTGCAACGTAGCCATAAGTCAACGTGACTGCGATGCTATCGGCGACTCTGCAGTCATTCCAGAGTTATTATTTTCTCTATTGATCAATGGACCTGCGACTCAAATCAGTGTGACACTTCTTGCTGCGATTCCAGAAATCAACACTGTTTTGCTTCTTACGAACAGTTGACGTGCACTGAACTGCCTTCGTGATGCCAGCAAAATGAGGGACGCAAGAGCTTTTCTCTTCATGTCCCAACAAGACGGCAGCAGGTCGGGGTAGCCTCCTGCGAGACAGGCTGCGCTACTTATCCTCGCAATCTTGGTTCAATTCATTGGTTGCCGTTTTACTTCGTCTCGCTATGTAATTTATTCGATAAGCTACTGTCTTGTTGTATCCCCCAGGTATCTGCTGGAAAGTTGCCAGCAGGTACTGTCTACTCGAACCCACGCGTTCGAAAGGTCGAGTGTATGAATCAGCTATCTACATCTGGCTTGACCAGCTGGTCTTCTTACTGATAGCCCACCCCCTCGCAGGTCGTCGGTCTTGCACCTGGTGCGCGAGTGCGAGTCTGGCGCGGAAACTTCTGGAGAGATCCTCCCCGACAACCCCTGGCAGGCGCCGCAGCTCTACCGTTCCGTCGGGGGCACAGTGAAACCGTCAAACCCTACCGGGTTTGACACTGCACCCGGGTTAAGCACTAACGCATTTCAGGGGGGTTCGGTCTGGAACGATCCTTTTGGTTCCGGTGCAGCTTTTGGAACCCCCTCCGATCAGGGTCTAGGGTTAGGTGGGTTAAGGACCGCAGGGTTTAACGGAACCGGTTACTCGTCGTTCCTCGGGACGGGGGTGTCGGGATCCGCCCCTGCTGTTCCAGCGGCCATCCAAGAGGCCTTCAATCGGCCCATCCCGCCCGCTAACCCGGCCCCTAACCTGGCGGCAAACCCGTTCAAACCAGGGGAGATTCCGGCTCCCTTCAGCTTCGGGTCAACGAAACCCCCGACTGGTCTTGCCAATAACAGCAGCCCGATCAGCCCCCTAGGAAACCTCCCCCCCTACCCAGCGCCCTCGTTCTTCGGCGCCCCCAACCAACAACAGCCGTTCGGTTCCCCCCCGTTCGCAGCGTCTGCCCCTCCCCATGGAATGGCCACCAGCCCCTCTTCGTTCAAATCCGCACACTCGTTCTTCGACCAGGACTTTTCCTCCTCCCGCATACCGCACCCGGACGCGTCCATTCAGCAGCTCCCCCTCCCCGCCTCGCATTCCCCGCTTTTCTCTTCCGCGGGGGTAAACTCCGCCGAGATGCCCATCCTCCCCAGCCCGCCCCTCGTGTTCTCCCCCCCGGGGGGCAACGACCTCCAGTTCCTGGGCGGTAGCGGACCCCCCCACCAGTTTTCAACAAACCCCGCCCCCTCGTTGTCGCTCAACTTCGATGATCCGGGGCCCCGGGGGCCAACTCGCGCAAGCGCAAACCGCAGGTCCGGGTCGCGCTTCTTCAAAAACGTGAAGGACGACTCCGGGGGGGGCGGCGGCTCAGGGGGAATCCTCGGGAACGGCCCACCGTCGATCTTAGGGATGCCCGAGCAACCCCTGCCGGGATCCCCCTCGGCGCTTCGGAAGATGCGTGACGTCGGCGGGGGCGGTGCAAACTCGTCGTCTCCTAAGTCCGGCTCTCCCCGCTCCCCTAGGACACCGAAAGGGACTGCGAGTCCCGTTGTGAACATAAGTGCGGCGCAGGCAGCTGCGGCTGCGGCACAGACTGGTCTGCAACTCGGAAGCAGCCATCTGGGCGCGGTTCATAGTGAGCACTCGGCGGCTAGGTCGCCCAAAGCGAAGTCCCATCGTGCGCAAGAGTATACTGCGGCACACAACGGGCAGGCAAGACGGAAGCCGATGGGGGAGGGCTCCAAGCAGGTGCCTACAGTGCATCAGTTGGAAAGAGGGGCCCCCAACGGGCTGGGAGGATCCGGAATCAGTCGGGCGTGATTTTACAGATTGCGACGTGGAAGACGACCAGTCGACTTCCCCGCCACATTCATAACAAGTATTTGAACCTTGGATAGGCTACGTGTGAATAACTGGCAAGTAGTTGTACGTTCGCTTGGTCATTTTACTGGCATCCTGGAAAACGTTGGAACGCACTGTGGATTCTCTTAGCATCGACCTGTAGCAGCGCTTGCAATCAACTCCCATGGACGGTTGCTGCCAAACAGCCCGTGAAATCTGCTGATGATGCTGATCAATGCGGGAATTTAATGGAACGGTTCCGTGAAGCTTGCTCTCGATTATGCGAAGTATATGCAGAAGTGCCACGATGGCACGTGGCGCAACAAACTTCAACTGGCTAGTGATTATCGATTATGGTGCGCATATTTGCCTACCAAGAGCCTGTGCATCAGTGACGCAAGCCGTACTGCGTTTGCGGCCCTCTGAGCCTTCATCTGCATGCATGTACATGTACTAATTGCAATTAAACGTACAGGTTCTACATGGCCTTGCAATTGATCGAATGCATGTGCAATTCCAAGTTTTGGGAAAAGCAGTGCGTTGGTATATGCGTCAGAGTCCAACTGCATGCCAAAACTCCGGCTGCTTGCTAGCAATTATTGTCACATGCATACCGGTAGCATGCCGCATACCGCATGCATACCGGTAGCACATATGACATGTGACACTTGCGCATGCACGCGCGGCATACTATAAATCAATCATATTAGGTTCTTCTAATGAGATCCAACGATTTTATATTGAGGATGACTTTTATTGAATGGGTCACATGTGCATGAATTTTACGTGATGCATGAACTTTCATACCCTCAGGGCTGTCTGAAGAGTTCATAAATAGGTATGACATGTTTCATGTATAAACATGATGTAGTGTAGCTTGTCACATATGCTATGCAAGCAGCCAGAATATGTTCGAATATACCTATACGGTCTCAGAAAGCCCAGGATAACAATTTATTAGACTACCATCATTGCTTCATGATAAAGCTTCATGATAAAACACAAATCACGTACAATGTCCAGAATATGAGATACCGTACGTTTTTGTGAAAGTGAGGTGCTACTGACTGCAAACCTTTAAGAGATTAAACATACACACAAGCATCCCTATCTACAAGGATGTCATTTCCCTCATATCTCCAGCTGCAAACTTGGCAAGTATTCGTTTGATCAGAAGCAACACGTTTCAACTCCGCATTAAACCTACCATCATCCAAAAGCTCGTTCAAAACACACACTGCTATCTATGTGGTCCGATCCTGAAAAGTGGTTACCTCTCAACAAGGTATCTCGAAAAGTAACTGTCTACTTGTCATCCAGATCAGACACAAACGGTTCTCTTCCCTTCTGCCCGTCCTTGCGGTCGACAATACCACCCCTGGAATAGGTCCAGTACGGGTCTTGGGTGTTGGCATCGAAGGTCTTGGCGGGATCCCGGGGAGCCCCAGCACCTTCGTTGATAGGCGCCTGCATATCCAGAATGGAAGACATGGTTAAACCACAGTTTGATTCTGACACTAGTAAAAAGAACACCTTAAAAACAGAAAGGGGGGGGGGGGTGGACAACCAGCATTACACAGAAGAACATTAGTCCATTGAAGGTTAACACGGAAGAAAGCAGCGGCAATTCGACGGGGAAGTGGTGACAAACTCGAGCAATATTTGCAGTATTAGCAGAACAACCAGTCTCGAAGTTTTTGGAGATTTGCCGTCTTTGCAGGCACTTTCTTTCTGAACATAGACAAACCAATTTACAACCAGCATCAGACAATGCTTGAGCAAAAACCTGATGCTAGGGACTAACCCATAATCGAGCTTGAGAAAGAACCTTGTGAAGAAGTGTCGCCTTTTTGACGTTTGACGCCCAAACAAGTCACTGCACTCCAAATCGCTCCCCTTTCACTTTCACAAAATCTGCTGAGCAAGACCTCAAACCTCTCACCTTGTTCACATCAGGAGGGTTCTGGATGACAGTCCAGCCGCCAACCAAACCAGCCACGGTCAAAAACAGGAGGCCAGAGAGGAGGGGGCCCTTGATAGCGACGGTGTCAAGGCCAAGCTGGCCCAAAACTCCCTTGCCAGTGACAACCTCCATCACTAGAGCAGCCTGCAACAAAAAAGGAGAGCGATTAGAGGTAATTTGACACGTTCAGGCAACTTGTGAGGAACATGCAGATGCTTCAACGACGCAGTAAGCGGATTGCAAAGAATGGAATCCGTTAATTAAGCCAACAAGTGCAGGAATTTCGAAAGACAGGCTGCAAGGTCAGAGGAACTGGAAGGGTGAACCAAAATAAACCATGCCCAGAAAACACATAAAACTTGCCACAACATGCAGACGGGCCAGAACAAACCCTTTTTTTCGAGTGCGCCGCCAGCCCGGCGCGTAGTCTTTCATCAGTCTGTCACAATGAGGCCACAATATTAAAGATAAGAGGCACACAGGGCTAAACTTAAAGCAAACAACTTTGTCACATTGAGACTCCTTCCAATTCGGGTAAAGCTTGGGGCGAAAAAGAGACCCACATCCAAACAAGAGCTGGTAGGATGAGCAGATTACTTAGCACATGAAGGCAACAACTGAATGACTAAGAATCACACCGCATTTCTGCTTGAGACCAAATATGTCATTTCATGCATTGGTAAGATGTAAAATGGCGCCTCGACAGTACTCTAGCTGTGGAGCAGCAATGAACTTGCATTGGGCAGCAGCTCGAGAGACTTTACCATGACTTACTTTACACAAAGCGTACATCTTCAAATCGCAGAAGCTTAGACAACTTTCGGCCCCACAAAAACACCGTCGCTGATCCCAAACAGAGCAGATCAAACACATGCAAGCTGGTATCATCATAACCAGCTTAGCTTCAACAAGATTGACTTACAATGCAACATATTGTTACAGAACTGCACACCGAAGGACACTCAAAATAAAAGGGAAGGCAAGCAGGGCTGACAGCAGAATCCAGCACCACAACCTAGAAAAGCAGGCTAGTCGAAACTGCTTAATGTGAAAAACAAAGACACATCATAAGAAGTGCACACAAGGAAATCCAAAGGAAAGCAGAGCACAGGGTGACGAAACAGACTACTCACCGCGAAACCCATCATAGCCAGCCGGCCGACCTCCCTTTCCTGCTTCCTCCCAAACCCAAACCAAGTTCCAGGACCACCCAAACCATACCCGTCCGGATTCTGGGGAGGTTTTGGGAGTCCCTCTGGGGTGGTGCCAGCTGTTTTGTCCTCCTCTGCGGCGGCCCTTGCCCCTGCATGGCGCCTGCTGACAGGTGATGAAGTCGACGAGTACACGCGGAGTCTGGAAGCGTTACTGGAGAGGGAGTGTGCTGAGGAGAATGTTCTGAAAGCGGGTGTGACAGGTTCTGACGTGGAGGCGGGGTTGCCGCTGCGCGCAGCAGCGCTCTGCAGTGCATGGCTGGCATGCGCTTGGAAGCGCAGGGTCTGGACGGACGCCATGGATGATCAGGCGGGGATCAACCTTGTTTTGCAGATCAAGCGATTGCAGATCAGCCTTCGCTGCTTGCAAATCAACGCTCTCAAAAAAGCTTACACCGTGCTGAAGAGTGGTGGCGAGGACGAGAAGTGAAGAGATGGCTACGAATATGACATGCACGTTGGAATGTCTTCAGAAGTGATCGGGTACAGAAGTGCTTCTTCTTGTGGACGCTGAAGGCCTGATCAAGAAAATGCTGATCGCCGATCGGTGCAGTCATGCAAGCCTTCTTCCCAAAGAGCAATGGGTGGAACTTGGAAAGAAACCAACCATTCGGAAGTTGCAGCGCTGCCTTGCTCGTCCTTTCCGCCTCAGTCCATGAAGACCGTCAACTGTGGCACACAGTATCGACGTCTGTCAAGCGGCCACGCCTCTCTTTTGGACGGTGTAGAAGTCTCCACGACAGCTTCTAGACCTTTACCGGACACAATCGGTAAAGGAGATCCCATGCAAGATTGCCACAATCCATAATATTCCCTTTCTAGATGGTTTCATGGCGCTGAGCTTTTCCCCCTCCCATTCAGATGATCCCTCAAGCCTCACTACCTTGGCGGGCTGCGCATCTGCGAAGCACGGTAGCAGTTATCCGACCGCTGCCAGCATTCTCCAAGGTAAGCTTCAAACAGAGCGCTGGGTGTCAGTAGCTAACGAGCATCCCAGATCACGTACAGCAGACCTGAAATCCGAGTGGCCTGCATTTATCCTGCGCAAATTGTTTGTTCATGTCAACCCGGGCCCGTTCTGGCTCCTACGTTGAACCACTTTTGCCACCACCACCAAACCCTGAAATCGACTTCTTTCTACGGATACAACAATTATCATTGATCGGTGACAAATTCTAGCATGCAAATTCTAGCATGTAAGAACTCAATTTTCAGCAGTCCACAGCTCGATGAGCTTCTGAAAGTTTGCGCGTAAAAACCTGCCTCTCTTTGGTGGCCCATCAAGGTGTGATGTTCTGGTGTTGAGGTGAATTCTCACTCCTAAGCTCAGCCTATTATGTTTATCTGCCTGTGCTACAAAGTCGCGGTCCTCAAGTCCAAGTTTTCCACAAGTCAAAGGTTTGACATTCCAAACGACAGCTGTCATCAATGTTCCAGACGTTCCAGAGACATTGCAATGCTGCCAACTCCCCGGATATATCCATTGCATCTCCCGTTGACCTTTGCACAGAGCGCCCTTCTTGCGACCAATGCCTTGTACCAGTGACATCATCAGAGGTGACATCATTCGCCAGCGACGTCGGATGATAGGTGGTCAATGCCGGCCGACGTGCTAAGTGAGTTGGAGGCAGAGAAGGCGGCACGGCGCCAAAGAGAGGCCCAGCGATCGGTGAGCCACTGCAAGCATCTTGTCGTCCTTTTTGTTGTGATTTGTTCTACTCGTCTTATTTATTGGCCTTTCAATCTCTTTGGATTATCACAACCAAGCCAGCCAGTTGATGAACTGTTCCACCTTTTCTTACAGAGTACGCAGTTTGAATGTTGACCATTGAACCTCAATGGGGCGTTGCGCCCTTCACAGCACCTCAGCGGCTCTACTGCTGCTTGCGTCTCTGTTACGAGAACTCCACTTGTCGCATAAGCTTTTGTGACCAGACGCTGACAGAGCGTCGTTCTTCTCCTCAGGCGCAGGTAGCTGCCGTTATCAAAGCGGAGGTCCAAAGTCTGGGATCCAAACGAGTGAGTATTTGCAGCTGGAAGGTCAACTGCAACTCACATGTTATCGGCTGTCCTAAGCAACTGCTGTGGTATCCGGTCTTCTTGTTTTGTCTTTAGGGTCCGGTATAAATGGAAGCGTCGCTTCCTTGCTGGTGTCAACACTCCTCGATGATTGACATATCAAACTCTCAGGCCCGCAGTTCGGCAAGAGCTTGCTTCAAGTCAGCAAGTTACAATTTGGACTTATTGGACTTTTGGGACGTGAAAGAGTTGAAAAGCATCACTCACATCGATGGACTCTTTGGTTGTTGATTATCTTTTTGTGACCTCAACATAGTGCTTAGACATCCACAAAAAACGCGGCGACTGTTGGAACGATTTCAGACACGGTTTACGGTTTTTTTGGCAGGAAGTGTACGTCAAGAAGGGCGGGATTTTCTTCCGCGCTGACGCAAGCGCAGCGCTCCGCGAAGCAGCTGAGCTGGAGAAGACGGTGAAAAAGTAGCGCCCGATTGCAACAGCGTTCCTTGGGCAGTGTCCGGTAAGTCGCCTGGTTCCATCCGCTGATACGGTTCGTGTTTACGACGAGGCTGCTTTGTTGAGTTTGTTGGGTTTGCTGGTATTTGAGAATACTAGTTAGCTTGTTGAATTTGTTGGGTATTTCAAACGTTTAATGGTCCTGAAAAGTGGGACGAGTGGAACCCAGCTTGGCCGTACTCTTTCGAGTGAGACTCAGCTGTAGGGTCGGGTTTGCCAAGTCGCTTGGATTGTCTAAAAGGAGCTTCCGGAGCTTCCAAACGAAAGAGGTTTCAGCACGGGAAACACGATTAGTCAATCCAGCTCTGACCTGATCCAGTAAATCAGGCGACCCTTTGTCCAGGATCCATGCAGCCTGGTCGCTCGTTTCAAGCTGCTCTGGAGAGCAAAGGGGAACCCCGGATTTTCCTCCTCTTCGACGTGCCAAGTGATGTTGCCGCAACAGTTGAGACCGTTAGAGCTCGGCACGATCATCCAAATCAGCCACAGGTTTGTGCCTTGACGTTGGCTTTCAAGAACGTCACTCTAACAATTGCGGCCGCTTTTCCCTCCTGTCAGGCTGCCACATGCCCGCACCAATCGGACACTGAGACGTCGCGCGCACATGAGGGTGAAAGTCCTTTATTTCGCCCGGGCCCGAGAGGCCACGGGCTCGACAGAGGAGTCGGCCGAGATTGAAAACGGGACCACAGCAAAGGCTTTGTTGGAGACACTAGTTCGGCGCTTTCCCAAGTTGCAAGAGATACGGTCGTGCTTGGTCCTGGCAATCAACCAAGAATATGCGGACGGGTCTGCAGTATTGAAGGAAGGTGACGAAGTGGCATTGATACCGCCGATCAGCGGGGGGTGAATGAGCAGCACGGGGCATGTGAAGCTGCGGGGTTGTAAGGAAAGTGGAATTGCGCAGAAGCCCCGCAGAAGCTGACGGTATCTGGCTATGAATACGTCCTCACATTCTTTTTACTTCTTTTGAAATATCTGATGGTTTTTGCACAGCGACTGATCGTATGAGCGGCCGGTCTTGTCGGAGGCACAAATCTTAGCCGCGCCTCATGCCAGTGGCACAATTGATAAGTTAGTGCACGACATATGCTATCATAAAGCTGCATTGAGTCAACGCGTGTACTTGGTGAATAGAATGGAATCGTCGGCCATTGGATTCTTATACCAGTCATACGTCGGTGTTACATATTTGGTGACATACTTATATACAACTCATACAACCAGTTAGTCATATACCCACATCCCGTGCCAGCCGCCCCTTGCTAGTCACGTCGGGGCGAAAATGGGGCAGTTGCGCCGTACGTACCCACGCCGCGCGCTATCGATCTGCTGCAATGATGGTCTCCTTTCGTTCTCGCCATAGCCAAATAGGCCATAGGCTTCTCATGGCATACATGTATGAGTGTGTGTCTTTTAACTTAAACTGCTTTCCGGCGGCTCAGTAGCCTCTACCTACCGGCCTACCAGAGGTCCGTACAGTACAGTCCTGAACATGATTATGATCGTGGACATCATCGATCACGATCGATCGGTGCGCACTGATGCTCAATTCGGCCAGTTTAATCTCAAGTCAAACGTTGCCAGCCAGCGATCATGTGACGGTCCAAACCGGCCGCGGGCGGCGTACCATGGGCTGCAGTGCGCGGCGTCACTTAAAAAGATTTTAATGGATATTGATGATCGTCCCAATGATTGATGAACATGATATCCAATGCATGAACATGTGACGATCAAATCATGTGGCTGCATGCCTTCCTTTTTAGCGGATCGGACGGCAAGTGAGAAAGGGTTTGGCCCGAATGCTCATGCAGCCTGGCCGCCACCTGCCGGGTGATCACCGTCCCTAGCTGTCCAGTTGCATTTGGGGACCACTGGCAGTGCTATGTGGCAATGATGGCCAGCAGTACGCGTCACGAAACTCGTAGTATACCCTCGTCCAGGTTCCGGATTCATTGGACTTCATACAGCTTCAATGCGCGTACGGTAACATGATGATGGTATTCCAGTTAGTAATTACTTGCACCAGACTGAACCAAACAAAAGCTTAATATTGATCAAGTCCATACTCAGTGTCATAAATCCTCAGGGCCTCTTAAGGGAGTCTGTATTTTTTCTGATGATCGCATTGGGCCCTGCACGATTCATGTCTTAGTACCCGTGGCTAAAGCATTGATACCATTCACTGATCGCACATCTAGTGTAATTTGATATTTAGCCTCTACCACTCACTTCTGACTGTCCAACTCGTTCTAGTTTGCTTCAGCTCACAGCCTAATATATACCGTTCCTGATTTTGGCCCTTTTGTTCATATATCGGATGCTTATATGCGTGCATCCTGGTCCATCCGGGCTTAAATTAGCGAATGAAAGCAACTTTTTGTTCACGCCTTAAGCGCTAAGAGTCCCTTCGCCTTCAACTTCTCCTCGACCGAAGCTAGCAAGACATCCCATTTGATGGGCTTCGTTAGATAACCATCAAACTTCAGGTCTTGACTAAACTTTTCTTGGGCTAGAACGTCGGCAGACAGAACGTAGATTGGCAGGTTGCACTTTGGCGGGTCCAACCGCCTGATCTGCTCAGTGGCCCCGATACCGTCCAACACTGCAACCAAGACAATCCAAGCGAGAGTCAGCAAGACATTCGACTCAAAGTGAAGTTGGAGACCAGATTTGCACAGCATACAGGACTAAAAACATTTTAGACCTTCTGGTTTCTTGAGTTTGTTCGTTTTGAGTTTCGAGATTCGTTCTTCTGGTTCCACCGTGGCAGGCCAGGTTGGAGTGCTCTTCGTTGATCCTGATACTTCTTAATAGGGAGCTTCATTGAATGCAGCGAACCCTGAACGGACTTAAAAACGTGATTTCTTTCTCAGTTTTCTTATCTTCTTGTTCAGCGATTTTTCTTGTTTTCATATTCTCTATGTTCAGATTGAGAAAAAAATGCCCACCTGGCATCTGCAGGTCCATTAAGCAGAGCGCGTAGTCGTTGGTTTTCACAGCTTCCACTGCGAGCGCTCCGTTGCCAACTATGTCGACACTATGGCCAAACTGCTTCAACATTCTCTGCAAACATGAAGGAAACGGTCAGTCTCACGCAAAGCCTGCGAATCCTTCGAGAAAGTCGTCTTTTGTCGCAACTTGCCTTGCGAACCCATGGCGAATTCATGAAACGGCCTCCGCAGAGATCCGAAGAAAAGCAGGAGTGCCTTGGCCGGTAAGAAAGGAGAGGCAAGCTATTGCCCGCTATGCTGCGTATCGACAATGGCCGCTTTTGCAGAAATCAACCTTGATTGTCAGATTTGTCCGCACCAATTCAAATGTCCGAAAGACATTCCATTGACAACAGCTTTTGCATGTGTCAAAGTAATCTGCTTTTGAATGCCGGAAAGACCATGACAAGTAATTCTTAACGCTTTTGAGGTTCATCACGGGGCGACCGAGCGATGCGCTTCAATACTGAAGCGTTCCTCAGCAGATGGAGTCACTCGTAAGCGTAAAATCCTGGCTTTCCTTAACAAACACAATCAATGAATCAGAGCTCCCGCGAACACCAAGAGTGGGACATCTACGATCGCAAGATTCACTCGTCAGACATGTGCAGTTGCCAGATGGATTTAGGGCAAGCCAAGCAGGTTGATGGGCTGACGTCAGGCTTCGGTCACTCACCTTTATCAACATCTGGTTCACAACGTTGTCCTCGGCAACTAGAATGTGCGCCGCCGGTTCGATATCCTGGTAGAGAGAGGGGCGTGCGTTTGGGGCGTAATTGATGCGCCGAAAGAGGTGACGATCTCTTCGAACGGGAGCATGTTTAAGGTGTAGGATAACAGAGAAGAAATGTTCGACAAAAAGCAGTGCGTCGATCCTCTTGGTCTTTGTGGACTGGGCCATCAGAAAGGCAGATGAACACCTAAAACGAAGATGATGAAGTTGAGACAACGTGGACCAGGTGAGACGACAGGAAGGGACAGTCGCTGAACCAAACAAGACATCGGCGCAAGAATGTAGAGTTTCTCGATGATACACTGTCCTAAAAGTGCAAAACACAGTTCCTTCAAGCGCGCACATTCTTCCAGAAGTTTGACTACCGTGTACAAAGTGTGGACTCGAATCCAATTACGCTGAGAAGATGGACTTCATTCAATACGCTATCTACGTCTTGTGAAGACGAGATTCCCCCTTTTCACGACCATTGCTTACCTTCGTTGCCTCCTTCGTAAGGGGCCAAATCTTCGGGGCGCTTTGGCGTTCTGGAGGGCTGTCACCGTACACGACAGGCGCTTCCTCGGAACGCCTACCCACTCTGCTTTCGCTCCCGCTCATCTCCCCCGCGCCTCTAAGGCAGGTCACTGACCCTGGTTCATTTTGACTGGTTGATCCACCCAAGAATTCCGGCCCCTGCTCCAGACTTGACGTAACCCCCGAAAGGTTGCGTTCGGAAAGGCCCCCACTGACTGTTCCATTAACCGTGTTCCTATCTGACGTTTCTAAGAGGGACTCCGGTTGACTGTGACTGTAGTTCCCTGCGGTTTGGGAAGGCGGTACCGTTGTAGAATCGGGATGACTGGTGCCCACTTGGGGCTGTGCTTCGGGTACCGTTTCTGTCAAAGAGTGGTCGGATGGACTCGGGTCGGGTTGACTGGCGGCTTCGGAAAGGGAAATGAGCTGACTCGTCAACTCGCTCAACCGGTTTGAGTGCCGACCGTCGCTCGGTTGGAGCTCGACCACCGAGGGAGTGCCCGGTTGTTGTGGCCGCAGGTAGACTGCAAGGGGAGAGTGTTACTTCAGTCGCTTCCAAGTAATGAAACCCCAAGAAGAGAAGACCATACGCTGAGAGAGAAGACCCATAGGACTGAATCACCTGGGAAACTTGGGCCCATAAGAAGTCACGAAGCCATCCATTGATAGTGATTGCGCTTTGAGCAAAATTCCCGCCCGTAATATGGGAGACGCCCTGAGGGGTGACTGCTCCCCACACATCTGATTGAAGTTTCCAGCTGAAACTCAAGATACACCAAATCGCGCTTCACGATGAATCTATACCTGCTGGCAGAATGGAAGGCAAGGGGTGCTGCTTCAGTGCGCTTCCCGGTATTTAGATATGAGAAGTAAACAAACTAACCTACATAGAACCTGGACCTGTGAAGAGCAGTCGCAGAACGGACACGTAATACTGCTACAACGCGTCTTGAAAAGGGCAACATGGGACTAGATCAGAAGCGGTGACAAAGAGTAACTGAGCGCAAACTTGAAGGGGTTGTCGCCGTTACGCACAGTTATCATTACCACCAATGTCAGGCTTTTTGAACAGGACGTTTTGCGACCATCAAAGGTTGGACTCTGACACCCAGAGCTTCACATGCATTTCTTTAGAAACGGTCTTACGCCTTTACCACAACAGCACCCCTGGCATTGCAGGGACCCATCAGAGCGTCGAGTAGAAACGAAGACCCAGAAACCTCTACGACGCTTACCAACACACGTAAAGGTGGACCCCTCCCCAACCTGGCTCTGTACGCTTATAGAGCCCCCCATGGCAGTCACCAGCTTTTTGCAGATGACCAGACCGAGACCCGTCCCGCCAAACCTGCAAGAACACACGAAAAGGGGATCGATAACCGAATGGATGCAATCATCGAGCAGTGTTTTTAATCTGATGAACAAGCAGAGGAGCGGCGTTGCGGCGAATACTCACGAACGCGCGGGGCTGATGTCCGTTTTCGAAAGCATTTCCTCGAAACGCGCTGATAACTTTACAATCTGAACGCCCGAGGATTCGGTCTCCGATACGCGCAATGGGTCGTTAACACAATTGACCGGAAAGGAACCGAGCGACCCTCAATCCTTAAAAACGTCGTCTTAGATTCGTCAACACCTGGAATACCTGTAATCATATGAATGGAAGAAACCTTGCGACAGTAGAACGCTGAACGGTGTTGAGAGGAAAAACGAAGATAAAGACAACACGCCTCGCATGCGGGCTGTGCGGTCGTCCGCCTGCACAAACGACTGGAAGAGCCGTTGCTGGCCCTCGTCCGTAACACGAGCTCGATGTTTTAAGATATAAAGCCCGGTGTCTAAAATATGAAAACCTCAATCCTGAAACCTAACGCTCTGAAGACCCTCGGTAAAAGCCTCACATGCGGGTCGTGCTGTCGTCAGCCTGCACGAACGACTGAAAGAGCTGTTGCTGGACCTCCTCCATAACGCTGAGCCCGATGTCTACAATGCGGCTTCCAAGGAACCCTCAGTCATGAAACAATAACGTCCTGAAAAGCCTCACATCCGGGTCGTGCTGTCGTCAGCCTGCACGAACGACTGGAAGAGCCGTTGCTGGACCTCCTCCGTAACGCTGAGCCCGATGTCTACAATGCGGCTTCCAAGGAACCCTCAGTAATGAAACAATAACGTCCTGAAAAGCCTCACATGCGGGTCGTGCTGTCGTCAGCCTGCACGAACGACTGAAAGAGCCGTTGCTGGACCTCCTCCGTGATCCCCAGCCCCGTGTCCGTGACGCTGAACTCGTACCACAGCCCGTCCGAATCCTGACCGCTCTCGCTGCTGCGAGGGGAACCAAGGGACCCGGCGGGGGCGTCCGACATCTTGCTGCCGTTCGAAGCGTCCGAACTGACCCGGGAAAGAGTTTGGACTCGGCGCCTCTGCAGAAACATATGACAAGACATTGGTAAGGCTTCTGCTTTAGGAAAGCACAGGTGACCATGACGCTGCTAAGAATGGAGCCCTGAGAACCGGCGGGGATGTCCAAAGTTTTGCCCGCCGTCCGAAGCGTCCAAACGGGCGCTCTGCAGAAGGAGATGGAAACCCTTGAGGAAAGTGCAAAATTGCCGAGCTGCTGCTACGAATGGAGCCCTGAAACGGTTCGAACCTTTCGCACCGTCCGAAGCGTCCGAACTCACCCGAGAGAGAACTTTGAACTCGGCGCCTCTGCAGAGTGAGATGGTAAAAGGGTTTGAGAAAGCGCAACAGCACCGTGTTGCTGCTAAGAATGGAGCCCTGAGCATCCCAACCTTGTAGCCGTGAAAAGAAACAGGCAGAGTCGCTCCGAAGAGGCGTGAAAAGCAGTGCTTACGCGTAAGGCGCTCGGCAAGCAACCGACCGGCCGCTCGTCCTCCTCGATTTTGTCGGCCGGCTCGTCGATGTCGACCGCCACGTCAGCACGGAACGAGGAAAAGGAGGACGGGTGTCCCCCTCCATAGTTCTGCGGAGGAAGGCGTCTTTCTTAGCGCGCATCATGATGCCGGAAGGAGTGACTCTTTATGAATGAGCGTCACGTGGTTGTAATATGTATATACTCTAAGCTTTGCAGAGTCGTAGAGCTTTGCAGTCCCAAAGAAAGGCAACTCTCGTATTTGCGCCGTGGGAAACAGCAAGGGATAGAGGCGTCGCCACCCAACGGGTGTGCAGCGAGCCGGAAAACCGTCCTAACAAGCAGAAACACCGAGGAACAAATGAACACTCACAAGGTGTGCTCCATGAAGGCGCCGCCAATTGATGCTGATGCTGCCTCGGTCGGTGAACTTGATGGCGTTCGAAATGAGGTTTGTCAGCACCTGTTGAAGCCTGCACGACGGCATGGAAGGGGTCTTAAGACTCTAGCTTCAAGGGCTCCCGACTTAAGCAGCGGATCATCCGTATCGTGTGATTTTGCAAGATAAAGAGCCTCCTCTACAGGGCCTCGGGGGTATCACGTGTCAGGATATTTCCAGGATAATTTTCCGATTAGGAGAGACGAGTAAGACAAGACGAGGAGAAGAGCAACTCATACGTCGAATCCACTGCACGATGCAGACACACAGTATGGCGCGCATGTTAGAAGCAAAAATCAAAACTAAGCTTCTCTGACTCAATGAGTGGATCGTCCAGCTGACATGAAAACGCAACGAGAGCAAACCCTCACCTAAGGGGATCCCCTCGGGCCTTACAATCATTGGGGGGCGGCAGATTCGTGTGTATTTGGAGCCCCTTCTCCTGCAGCTTGCCGGAGAAGAGCGTCGTGACCTGCTGCACGACGTCCCTGATGTCGAAGTCAATCTCCTCCAGCCGCAGCTGGCCCGCTTCGATCTGGGACATCGAACAAGAGCGTGAGCAGGTTGAGATGCGGAGCTGCGTCGAAAGCTCCTAGCCCTTAACTACAAGCTCTCAATAAACTATAATAATGATAATAATAATAAACAATAATAAAAATAAACTGGTAGGTTGCTTAGGCCCGTGTTTGACACCAAAGCTTGTCTCCTCGCTGTAAGGAAATATCTTCCTGCCTGGAAACGCTGGGAATCGGATACGCAAGCACGGAACAACACTGCAACATGATCGCCGGTGTTTGGGCGCTCATTGGAGCATGACAGGGATAAGCATGGCATGCTGGCGTGAAGAAAGTGTCATAAAAGACCACCCCACAGTTCAGCCACGCAGACCCCTAAGACAGACTTTCTTGTTCGGGTCTATGTGCAGTTTCTCACTTTGGAAAAGTCGAGGATGTCGTTGAGACACGCTAGGAGCGACTCCGCAGAGCCTTGCATCGTGGTCACGTATAGAGACTGTTCCTCAGTCATTGGCGTAAGTCTGAGGAGGTCCAGCATTCCCAATGTACCCTGCATAGCAAAGTTGCAATGTTTCGGTACTCTTTCAAGCTGCTTCTTTGTTGCTATGACGATCCATCTTTCTGGCTCCCTTCGAGGTATCTCACTCGTTCTTGGAATCCAAGAACAGTCGATGCCATGGAAACTGTTGCTTTTGTATTGCGATTTGACAGTCCAAGAGCAATCAGGGTCGCGGTGCCATTGAGCTTGAATTCTCCTTTCATGTACATGCTCAACCTTTTTATTCTGCTTCGCATACTTTCCAGGATGGCAATGTGTCTGCGCAGATCGTCCGCTCCTGTCAGAATTGGAAACGGCTTCGAAGGAGCAGCTCGCCATGCTTACCGTCATTGGCGTTCGGAGTTCGTGTGACATCATTGCAAGGAAGCTCGACTTTGCCTGCAGCGGAAGTGACGTCATATGGTCAACCGGCGGGTCTGACGGGACGTTCCAAGCCCTGCAGCCAGTTGTCTAAGGAAGGAACCGCAGACACAGCGAAATAATGGACGCGAGCACTAAAAAGTGCTGTCGGTTGTTCAATGCTCAGTGCTCAAGAGCGGGTAATTTACCTAGATAAAGTCAAGGCAAGCAAAATCACTAGAACCGCTCTCTTGGACTCGAGGAAGGTCCGAAGCTGACGCACAGCAAATCCGCAGCCAACAGACCATTGTACTTAAACATGCAATTCTACGCGGAAATTCCTTTCCCTTCCAATCAGGAAGCAAATTACAGGATAACTCTCGGAAAAGAAGGTCCTGCATTGGTTGAAACAAAAGTTTGATGACGAACAAAAGAGCCGGCATGCTCGTCTCACCTTGTCTGCCGATACTGCAGTCTGGCGGGCGACGTCCAGATCCTTGTTCAGCTTCTCTACTCTTTGCACTTCCTCCTGAACAACGAAAGAGTCGCCGCATTAGAAACCCGGGACATGTTGGTCGTTGCCAGAGCAAAAATCTGGCCCCCTGCAGACCTTCTCACAATCCGCCACTGAACCAGCGGGCAAATATCTAGTTGATAACAGACACTTAGTAAAGTAAAGAGCGCAGATCGATGATACGCTTCCCAAGCTCTGTACGCTCCCATCATTCATGCACTTGAAAACCAAAAAGTAACGAATAAAAAAAATGCTGTAACCCAGCTCTCTCGAATCCTTGCGTCCTTCAATGCTCTCACATTTTAATAACACGAGAGCTCTGCGCTCAGAGTAAACATCGAACCCCGTGTGATCAGGTCTTTGCAAATGTTAGACAATCCAGCGACCCCGTCCGTGCACGTTCTGCAAGATCTATCAGCTGCAGATAATTTCGTCTGGAATCACGAGTGGACACATGGGATGATAAGCGCACGACCCAACAGGAAAACTCGCCCTGTCTCGTTGGAAGCGGCGGGTAACAAGAAGGATAGTCAGCGCCACCAAGGTAACGAACAAGAGGACTAAGCAGCTCCAGGGCAGCGAGTCGGCCAGCAGATCGCCGACGCTGACGAACTGCTCGCACTCTATCCTGCAACCGCAGCAAATGCAGATCCACACTCAGTAGAGAGCGGGGAAGCCTGCAATCTACTGCCGATCGAGTCAGGATGTCGGCGGTGCCCTAGTCTGCAATCTAAGCTCGCTGACCATCGGTTGTGCGAGGCACAAGCGTGCCCGTTCGACGATGTGTGTGAGTGCAGGAAGGCTCATTTGCGCTGTTGAAAGCATGACATGAAACGTGGAATGTCGCACAGGTTAAGCCTGGCTTTGAGGTTTCGATACACAAAAACTTCATCTACCAACACCCTAAAGCTCCTCGTGATCCGGGATCCTGTGGCACCGATGCGCACCGCGCAGCAGACATCCGAAAACGGACCTGTACATTCGCCCTCCCAATGCCTGGCTTCTCACTGCGCTGATCTTTTTGCCGTGGCGACGCTCCTCAGGGGTCAACTTTGTGACGTTGTAAAACAGAGTTCCCCCACGCTTAGGATCTGCACAAGAGAGGAAGGACTTGGATGTGTCAGCGGCAAGAGAAGGCGCAGGTTGAAGAAGTTCAAGCATGCTTCGAATGAAGCTATTTTCTTCTCGATTCAAGAAGGCTAGGGGGGATTGACCCCGTCTGCTTGGTAGAATCCTTCGCCAGATAATCGACCCAAATTGGACAAAAAAGCAGCCCCATAGCCAACAAAAGATGGCGAACCCCGTTCCACTCCCCTTTAGGGGAGGCGAGGCCCGAGATGCTCGGGGCGGAATTCTGAGGAGACAAGAGGAGCACGAGCAAGGAGAAGAGGCCCGAGACCGTCCGAGAAAGGGTGAAGCTTTACAAGTTTGAACCGAAAAGAGCGCACTCCTGCTGAGTGAAGCAAAATATGCTTCAGCAGAGAATCTACAAACATTTAGAAAGGGGCCACAACGTCGCTCCCACATGGCAAGCTTGAGAAGCATTTCACAAAGAAAGCATCTTCCAGATATGCGCCAACGTAATCCTGCGCACCTGATAGACCGTGGTCACAGAGCTGCAAAAGTAATATGCAACAAGAAAGTACCCTGCTTTGAAATTATGTTTTTCTTTCCAAAACGATGGTCTACGGTGCATGGATCCGGAGGTAACCATACGTGTGTGTCAGTGGCTCTTCATGAGGACCCTGTCCAAACACGCTGCCTGATCCCAAAGGCGTCCTGTTTCCACAATTTGTATGCGACATTTGATAACATTTCGACGGCAGTTACGGTCCTCAGAAAGGTACCCTCAGAGCATACTGAATCCCCACCTGTTGCGTTTGTCGTGTCAAAGATGCTCAGCTCCTCGAGTGTGGTTGTGAATTTCCCCACCACTGAGTCGAACAGGCTCTTGACGTTGAAGACCGCCATAACTAGGCCTGCAAGAGATTGCATACCTGTCTCAGAAAGGGAAAAAGGAAGCGCCAAGCACCAATCTGGCACCAGTTTGGAATCTGGTACCCATTAGCGACATCATGTGGCTCCGATGAGAGCGTGTTACCTCATCCTGGATACGTGGGAGATGGCATTCCCAACCTTGCGTAGTCTTCTATTCTTTGCAAAGTACTTCATTTTCAAAGCTGAAAGGCGAGGTAAGTTTTGAAGAATGCGGCCTAGCCGCCGCTGCCAACGGCCGGCGCTCTATGAACCGACAACCCCCAGGTCTAGATGTTTGCAAGAGTGAAGCAAGTCATTGCTTCAGAAAGCGAAGGGCCAAAGCCCCACCTTTGAAGTTGGCCCGCCGCGCCGCGACGGTCCGATACAGGAACGGGTTCTGCGTGTAGAATGGCCAGAACACCGAGAGCGACGTGCCCTGCCCGAGGGGTGCAGCAAACGGGGCAGAAAGGACGGGCAAAGACGTGTCCCGTGCGGCAATCGCCAGCCTGGTCGCGCCGGGATCGCTCAACAGATCGTACCCTTCGTAAAACTGCTGGTAGGGTTTGTTTGAGATGCGCCAGGACACGAGGTATTCGGAAGCGTTGGCCCGGGTTACGAATGCAGGGATAGAAAGGTTGGTCAACCCGGGGGCGTATTGCTTGAAGGTCGTTCCGAGCTGAGCCTCGAGCACGGCGCGCTGGTCGCCTGGAACGGAGCGCACGTACGCAATGCCCTCGCAGTAAGGGAGGATGTAGTTGGTGAAGGTGGCGAATGTCTGGAAATCGGCCTGGCAAACAAACGATACCGTTTCAGAATATGAAGCTCCAGGAATCCTGCTGCGAGAAGTATGATGGCTGCAAACCGGCGAAAGTCCTGCCCGGAGGTTTAACACAGTTTGAAAGACTGACGCCACCAACCTGCCCCTCCCTGAGCTTAACGAGTTCCTGAATACCAGACCTTTCAAACCTCTTCTTTGGATTTGAAAGCAACAACGGCCCTGCGGCTTAATACTTGGCGGGCAAGCAGGTTCGAACCCCTTCAGATTTCGCCCAGAATGAGAAGAAGCAACGGGGGCACACTGACTTGAAGCCGTATTTTCCGTAGATTTTCAGGAGATAGTCACAAGATAAAAATGGTATACAAACTTTTAGGACGCAAAACTTCAAGATTCTGAATCATGAACAGATATTAGACATCCATATGGCTCTGACGGGGCCGCCAAGCTTCTTCGCGCTCCTTCTTGCGCTCTGCCCGAACAGACCAGCACTTGAAAGCTGACAACACAGGGATGCTTAAATGCATTGGAGACAAGCTGTACTTACTGCGCTGATGTTTGGAAAGGCGTGGATTAGGCCATTGTACATGCCTGCTGAGAAAACCTGATTAAAAAGTTCCCCTTGCAAGACCTGCAGCACCACCAAACAAAAAGGGGATATCTCATTCAGAGAGTTCGCACTATCAAGGGTTTTTGGCTCAGGTGTCACAGGTGGAGGATCCTTCAACCAAATGTGCTTTCTGCAGCAAAAAGCAGCTTACTGAAGACTGTAAAGCCTTACTTAATCAACCTCTACTTAAGCATAGTGCAGCTAGCAATTGGCCCCTGAGAGTTGTGACTTGCAAAATACACTGGACAACATGCTGGATTGGTAGGTGAAAGTTGTTGGAACAATACTCAGATACGGAGGGGCACATTCAGATTATTGCAAGTGCAGAATAATGTAAGGGTTTTTGGCCACCAAGCTGATTCGTGTTTGCTAAAGATGCATTATATGCCAGGGTGTCTTTCAAAAAAAATCAGCCATGCAATATGGACAATCTCAAGATGCTGACTTTCCAGAACATTCCCTGAAGAGCAGCCCCAGTATATAGAGGAGCTTTCAACCAGAGCTGAACATTAAATGAGGAACAACAATCATGATGCCAAATCTTTTGGTCCAGAGCATACAGATGGGAGTCTGAGTTCCAAGAGCTCATCACCCTATAGTTTCCATCAAACTCGCGAAGTTGCAGGTGAGCGAGGAGACACAGCCATCAAACTCAAATAAAAGTCAAGAATCACAAACAGACTTCTCACCAGGGCCCCATTGTTGCATCGCCCGCTGAGGTCCGCAGTTTGGGCGTGCACTTGCTTGTTCCACAGAAGAACAAAGGTGAGGACTGACAGGCCAAGTCCGGCCAGCAACCAGGCGACCACCAACCACAGAGTGCGGCGGCCGCCTGGCATCAGCCAGCGCGTTTTCATTTTTCCAGGCCAGATCCGAATGCCTCCACCTTGCCCTGTGGAGGAAACTGCATACTTCACTGTCCACCGTCTTACTCTTATCTCGACAACGTCAGGGAGGTCAAGCTACCTCAATCGAAATAAGCGGACGACCTCGGCTTTTTGTCTAGCAGCCCTTTACGGTCTGGCATCCAAGAACTTTCTCCGTGTCGCAAACCAACATTGTAAACACCACTCCCCCTGGTTCCACCACCCTTCCGACTGGCAAGACAAAAGTGCTCTTGCATTTCCAGTTCCAACCTAGCCCAGCAGGTCAAACGCGAGCATCATTGCTTGCAACCCTCATTGCCCGCTTGAACCTCTGAACGGCCGCAGCTCAGAGCAGCCGCCCTGCTGAAGCTGGGTGCCCTTCCTTCCAGGTATACCTACCTACCTACCTAAATCACCCCCACGCCCGATTGCCAGCCTGAGGAGTGAGTGTACCTTTCTCCGTATCATCAGCCAATTCATTGGTATCAGGCGCCAAATTCGCGGAATCTCTGACACGTGAATCTGAGGTGGATTGGGGCAAAATGCGGGCATTCGTGCTTGTTATTTTTCACCGAATATAAATCAGTATGTGAGGTGAAGGAATTTTCGGCAAGGACTAGTGCAACGATTCAGTCAGGCGTATGTTTTGCGGTGTCAATCTTGGCACCCGCACACAGTGCTGCTCTTTTTCCAGAGATGGAGGTTTATATTCGGTGTCGAAAACTGGCCTCCGTGTTACGTAATAAATAGCATAAAACGCAATCCGTTGGTTTACAAGAGGCCTCACCTTTGTCGTTTAGCGGCACGAGGCCGAAAATTCGTTCATTTGCAGCTTGGCGCGTGAGAAGGGGTCCATGAAACTGACTGTCTCCTAGCCAAAGATGCACGTTCTACCGGTAGAGAGCCAAGCGGCCAGCCCGGGCGGCTGTTTCGATTTGCAATGCATGCTTCAAAATTGCCGTTGAGTCGTTGACGTCAAACTCAACATCAAAGTCAGACTCGTTATTAACCCCATAGTTACATGCGCGGTAGACCGCTGTGTTTGACAGGTAACCATGTTCCGTCGCCGTTAACGCGTTGGGTTAGACGGGCTTCCAAGCTTTAGCTCTCGACGCGCGAACTCCGTAGAGGCCGAGTGTCATGTACAAGGTGATTCATGTTAGGTAGAGATGTGAAGGCATCGTCGCCCCGTCGGCGTGTGGTATGCGCTTTGGCTAAATTCCGACCTCCGACTCTTAACCACTATCTTGAACCCAAAGACCAGATTTTGCCAGTCTCCCAAGTCAGGTTTCCAAATACCCTACTCCCAAATTCCTCTCACGTCATAAATTCGGCGTCTCAGGGCCATATGACGCAAAAGCAGTTTCTGACTTGTCGCAACCGCCGTCACGACGTCACGATTTGGCGACCGGTCGAACCAGATTTATGACATCAGGGATGACCTCAAGAATGAAACTAGAACGGGGGATGGCTTTTGGACTCAAGTTCGCCTCTGGGGTTTTCGAGTCCAAGGCCGTTGTATTATTTGTAAATTGTATGTTTATTTAGGGTTTAGAGATGCGAGATTCCGGTTTAAAATTAGGGCCCACCTGGCGCAAAATTATCAAAGTAGACTCCTTTTGTTAGTGTCTCCGCCACTCTGATTGGTGTGAATCACTCTCAGCCCACCTGGAAGCACCTGAAGTGTGACAATTATTGCAGTCTGTCAGTGGTTACGGGAGTGGTTACAACGTTGACAATGAGACTGACATCGACATTGACATCGACATTGACATCGACGTTGACATTGACATTGACCCGGGGCACTTACATTGACATTAGGGTTACGTTGCAAACTTGTGACGGTTCACGCCAATCGACGAGCGCTTTGTTAGGGTTACGCCATTTCCCATGACATTAGGGTTTACTCACTGACAGTGACAACCGGGCAGAGTTCTTTTAGTTTTAGTGTTGTAGGCCAAGCATCCTGACCCGGTTCCATCCGTACTAGAATCCGTACCGCAAAGTGTACGGTAAAACCTGAAATTCTGACGCATTTTTGTTCAAAGGACCTGAGCTGACAGTACGGTCCACGCGGATACCCTGTGAACCTATGATCCCGCGTGTAAGATGTTTTCACACTTTTTTGGAGCCTGAGACACTAACAAAAGGAGTCTACTTCGTCGTACTTGCGCCACTGGCAGTGGCATGGGCAATGGCCGGCCGGCAAAGTGCTTCAGCCTTCAGCACTGACTGCAGAGCTTCAGCGCAACGCTTTCGAGGAGGTTGATTTGCTCTACAAACGTTTGCCTTGGTATCTAGCTATCCAGGCAGGGCCAGCATTGAGGCGCGACGAGGCAGGTTCGAGGTCGTGTGAAGCGCGAATGACATTGCGCGCAAGCTCCTGTAAGCAATAATTGGCAGCACTCATACTTGCAAGCCAGGTTTCAGCCTTCAGATCAACATTTAAAGTGATTTATATAGAGTTGGTGGCTGACCGCCTTCAAACCTTTTCACATGAGAAAGTACGCGGTTTTCCCCTGAAAGTCATCACTTTTCAGGTTTCAACTGTTCATTGTGATTCTTAAAAGGCTCTTCATCAGGCAGCACCGTTGTGGGATTCCAACCAGGCACTTCTGGAGATCTATACCAGATTTGTTGCTTCATCATCCAGTATGTGACGAAGTCGCTGCTCGACCCGGCTTTCAATCTCGCCTTTGTAATGTGGCCTTGGAGAACCTATAGTTTCAAATGTGTCTGTACAATGCTTTGCAACTTGGCGAGCGTGTACATCTTTTGTTTGCTCATCAGCTTTTGTTTGAAGGCTCTCAAAGTGCTGTTTCCGTGTTTTATGAGCGGGCTTAGATCGCGATTGGACAAAAAGTCCGACTAAAACACCATCTTCCTAAAGTGAGGGCTGAATCTCAGCAACAGCATGTGCAAACTTCTTATAACAGTTGTGAAATGGGGGCACTCTCAAACCCAGGGGCGCTAATCCGATCCTCAATCCTCGTATGTAGAGCCTCATCGTTCTTTCTTGTAAGTTCCACTCTTCTTTTCCGCCACCAGTTGCCGTTGAATCAAAGTGCTATCGGTGGTGGCAGGAACATCAAACCTGGGTGCCCCATTTCACCCTGGCATTGTCTTTCTCTATTTTGAGCATAAAGGTTTTATATCAGCGGAAGTGTCAGGACTGCTATACGAAGGCCCGGGAAATTGGTGGAAGTGAAACACAGAACTTTAACCCGGCAATGTCATTAACTGTGCAGAAGCGCAGTGGTGTTAAGATGAGCTCGAGCAATGGGGCGCCAGGGTGGTTGTACCTAGACGGCGAGCAAAACCAATGGGGGCCATTCCAGATGTCGCAGCTTCAAGGTATGCACAACCATCTCGACCCCTTTTGTTTCCATCATTGCATGGCCTTTCTGTCCCGCTTGCCTCAGGCTTTTGGCCTAGTTAATCTCTGCTTCATGTGGTTATCAGCCACTTTTAATCTGATTATTTACGGTATGTTTCCCGTCATTTGGAAATGTTCAGGTTTTAACCAGATTTTTCCGAGCCGATTGAAGTTTTATACAAAATGTATACACCAGGACAGATCCAGTTACCGACCTGAGGCCATCTATTGTTGCAAGAACCAAGAAGTCAAGGCTGGAATTCTTAGCATATTTTGATCGGGCAACCTTTGCCTCGTCACAAAAGAAACTCTATTGATTTCAGGGAGCACCATCAAAGATATCCAAATCGGTGCAACCAAAACGCTTCAGAAACAATCGGGCAAGCGAGTTGCATGTCACCTTGGATCTGCAAGGGCCAGCAGGAGCAGGATGTCACCATAAAAGAGAGAGTACTTTCAAAAGCGCATAATCTGGTCCTTTATTCACGAAGCTTCAGGACTGTCCCTCAATTGGCGTAATCTGTTCCTTGCCCAATAGATCACAGCAACAAGAACCTTTTGGATGTCCGTTTGTGGAAACCCCGCTGCCGAACGTTATGCTTGGTCAATATACGCAGGTTACAGGGAACTTTATTGCGACAAATATCTATCCCCGATACCTTTCTGTCGGCTGTTTGAACTGAGGAGCACAGGCGCTTCAAATTGGGGCTGCATGGGAGTGTGGAATCTCGTCAAAAAACTCCGGCGGAATCTTGTCAGCAGGGTTCCCAGAATATCAAAACAGTTCATTTTGCAGCTACTAGGTGGGAGTTACGTCGCATGCAAGCAAGCCTTCCCAGGCTCTCGAACACACTATCTTGTCTCACACTTGACTCTGGAAAAGAAATTTCTTGCGTTTCTTGCGTTTGTTCCTTTTTGATATGTTTGATGTTTGCAGAACTCTTTAAGGGGGGTTACGTCACAGCCGCCACATACCTCTGGGCTGAGGGCCGGGCCGAATGGAGCCCCCTAAGTGCCATCCCGGAACTCTACTCCGCTTTGACATCCGGGGGGGCATCAACACCAGCGTCAGAAGCCCCCACCGCGGGCCAGCGCTCGCGGGGGGGTCAAGCGCCAGCCGAAGCAGCCCCCCCGGACGTGGACGACGAGCTTGAGAAATGGAAACGGGAAGTCGAGGCAGCGGAGGAAGAAGTGAAGCGGAAAAAGAAGGGGTACGTGGAACCAGAGCCGACGGGGGGCGACGAAGGCAGGCCCGGGACCCCCCCGGAAGAGGAGCAGGAGTTTACGGACGATGATGGGACAGTTTATACGTGGGACAAGGGGAGGAAAGCGTGGGTGCCTAAGGAGGGGCTGAAAGAGTATAACCCGGAGGAGATGGTTTTCGTGCCGGACGAAGAAGTGATACCGAGTCTGCCGCCGGTGGTTGACGCCGCCGAGGAGGAGAGTCCAGAGGAAGAGAAGCCGCAGCAGGTGAGTGTCAATTGCGGTTGGGAAGTAGAGTCGGAAAGGCGAACTTCGACAGAAAGCAACGGCGCGGACAAGGCGGCCAAGAATCAGGGGGCCTCCTTCTTTTCGCCGACCTGATTCTATGAAGTCGCGTGTTAGATCTCTATCTATTTCGTCTCCCCTCCAAGTCGCTTTCCAACATCTTCGATCTTACAGGCAGGGCAGGAGCGGAAAGGTGAAGAACCGGTTTGACATGCGGGTAGAAACAGGAAGGCGACGAGCCGGCAGAAAGCAACGGTGCGGACAATGCGGCCAAAAAGAAGGGCGAAGAAGACTTTGTGATCTGCTTTCAGCATTTTCTCTCTTCTCGGCTTGACAGGCGGGTCAGAAACGGAAAGGCGAAGAATCTGCAGAAAGCAACGGCGCTGAAAAGGCGGCCAAGAAGGGCAAAGAAGACTTATAAATTCCTTTCGAACAGTTTCTCTTATCTCGGCTTGACAGGCAGGTCAGAAGCGTAAAGACGAAGAACTGGCAGAAAGCAACGGCGCGGACAAGGCGGCCAAGAAGAAGGGGGCCTCCTTTTTCCCGGCCGACCTGATTCTATGAAGTCGTACGTTGACTTTCGCATTCCTTTTGCCTCCGAGAGTGCTTTCCAACGGCTTCGTTTTCTCATTCTTAACAGGCGGGTCAGAAACGGAAAGGCGAGGAACCGGCGGAAAGCAACGGCGCGGACAAGACGGCGAAAAAGAAGGGGGAGCCGCAGAAGCAGCCGGAGGGCTGGTTCGAGCTCAAGGTCAACACGAGCGTCTACGTCACGGGCCTCCCGGATGACGTCACCATGGAGGAGATTGTGGACGTTTTCCAAAAGGTGGGCTTTGGGCATTAGCAAGTAGGGTTTTGAGCTTGGACGTTGTCAGGTTGGTAAATTCGTGTTCGTTCTTGAAGGGCTCTTCAAAGGGTGCGCCAAGCTGCTGGCCCAAAGTTGTGAGGTCTCGAGAGTCCCTGGTTTCGTGAGTCGACTTCCCTTTCTCTTATCATCTGTGGATGGAAGAATAAGAAATGTCAGTACTGTAGACTGTATTCTTCCTTGTCCTTGAACGCATTCCTGAGAAACGGAGGCTTTCTTGGATGTAATAAGCCTGACAGAGTATCAAAGACGTTGATATGCCGAGCCTGGGTTGTACCTATGCCCCAGTCTCAGGCGTCCAAAGCGTACGTGGTTTGTTGATCGCATCTCGTGAACAAGGAGGCTTTCTTGGATGTGGAAAAAGTCCGACATAAGTATCGTTATCGTTTGACATCCCGGGTTTGAGTTCTCGCAACCAACACCGACACAACTGCCAGTAGTCTGACCTGTACTTTAACATTCGCACCATCTTGTTTATGACATTCCGATTACACATTTTTCCAAAACTTCTGTTGCGCAGTGCGGCGTGATCAAGGTCGACACAGAAACCCCGGGTCAAGGTCTTGATAAAAAAACACCTCAGGTGTCCAGTTTCCTAAACCTCTGCCATAAGACCGGCTAAGAGCCTGACCCACTACCTCCACTCCAATTTCAATTCTGTGGATCTGTACCTGATTGTTTCCTGGTCAATCCGTGCAGTGCGGTGTGATTAAGATTGACCCCGAAACGCAAAAGCCCCGGATCAAGATCTACCGAGACCGGCAGACCAACCGGCCCAAGGGTGACGGCCTTGTGACGTACCTCAAGGAGCCGTCGGTGGACCTCGCCGTGCAACTCCTGGACGGAGCGCCGTTCCGGCCGGATTCCGCCGGAACGATGACGGTGTCCAAGGCGAAGTTCGAGCAGAAGGGCGAGGCGTTCGTGAAGAAGCAGGCGCCGGCCAACAAGAAGAAGAAGCACAAGATGCAGAAGTTTGAGCAGAAGAACCTGGGCTGGGGTGAGAAGAACCTGGGCTGTGGTGATCCTTTCTTCTTGCTTGTGTTAGTCCAGACTTTCTTTCCTCGCAGGCTTCTTTTTGGTGGGGTTTTGGCGATTTTCATGTTTCCAAGATTCTGTGGATTACGACACTTGGAGAAGATGCAAAAGTTTGAGCAGAAGAACCTAGGCTGGGGTGAGCTGTGTAAGCCATTCTCTTGCTTGTGTTAGTCAGGAGTTCGTTTCCTTGCAGGTTTTCTTTTGGTGGCTTTTTGACGCTTTCAGTTTGTACAAGGTTTTGGTGACGATGACACAAGGAGAACTTTCAGGGATTTCAGCAGAAGACGTCCTAAAGCTGGTTCTTCAGGCAAAACCACGTCGAAAGTATGTTTTCACATTCTTACTTACACCTTTCGAGTCTTTGTTTTCGCAGGCTGGTTCGATGACAAGAACCCAGCCGAACCTTATGATTGTCATACCGATGAATATTTTCCATTTGAACGATTTTCAAGAACAACGCTTTTGGAACCAGGTCCCACAGCAAAGCTTGGAGCATAAAGCTGTCCATTCTATCCTGAGCACTCCACTTCACTCTCGAGTCTGCGTCTCTGCAGGCGGTTTTGACGACAAGAACCCCGCCGAACTCATCACCGCAGATTCATTCGGAAAACTTCCCAGTGTAATCACTCGTGTACCCAATTCCTTCATCTGTTACCTGGAGTAAAACCACGGTGAATCCCGACTTCGATCCTGTCTTAAATTCTCGAGTTCGTTCTTTTGCAGGCGGTTTCGACGACAAGAACCCCGCCGAACCCATCGCCATCTTTCTGGAGAACATGTTCCATCCGGTAGATTTCACGGAACACCGCTTTCGAAACCAGGTCCTACAACGACTCTCGGAGCATAAAGCCGTCGAATTTATCCTAAGCACTCTCACTTACACTCTCAAGTCTGCGTCTCTGCGGGCTGTTTCGACGACAAGAACCCCGCCGAACCAATCCCCGTCATTCTCTACCAAATTTCATTTGGAACTTCCAAGCCAGAGTACCCTCTTGTAACCAATCCCTACATCTGTTTTTGGAGTGGAAACACGTCGAATCTTGTCTTCCAGCCCTTCTTTAAATTCTCGGGTTCAATTTTGGCAGGCGGTTTCGACGACAAGAACCCCGCCGAACCCATCACAGTCATTCTGATGAACATGTTCCATCCGGAGGACTTTGAAGAGGACCCCGCAGTGCTGGCCGAACTAGAGGCGGACGTCGCGGCGGAGTGCAGTAAACTGGGGCCCGTGGAACGACTCAAGGTGACACCGCCACTCGTCTCACAGTGCCCTTTTGCGGACTGTTGCTGTTCTTGCCCCGAACCGCTCAATGATTCTCATCTTCGAGGTTTCAAGTTTTAGGGTTTAGGTTTTAGGCTTAGCTTAGCCTGTCCGGACTTTATGGGGTTCCACCTTGGTTTCAATCAATCCCCACCTGCCGACTAGAGGTGGCTCCATGCTATATGCGATTCGTGAAGGGGCCCGGTTAATGCGAGTCGGTATGAAGGTAAACAGGAAAAGTCTTCATTGTCCAGCAGTCCCCGTCTGCTTTTCAAACAAGATAGCCGTGAAGTAGGCTTAGTTGCAAGCCTGCTGTCTACGCACTCTTCAGAGAACCATTGTATGAAAGAAACGACCGGGTTCATTCTAATCATGACCTGAATCCTTCGTCGGTAAGATTTTTGCACGTGGGGTGTGGATCTCAAAATTGGGCCATCGAAGAGGAGTCTTTACTCGAAGCGCTCCGAATTCGTTGGTTCATTTCTCTTTTTCTCCCGTCCTATCACAACGAGGAATGAGGCAATACCGTGGAAAACCAAAGCTGTCCGTATCGAAAAGAACAATCTAAAACTAAGACTATTTTATTTTGCCTCACGTTGTTGCCACCAAACTCAGGATCAAAGATAGACTGAAGGGCCTTTTGCGCTTTTTCGTTGCAGGTCTACGATAAGCACCCCCAGGGAGTCATTTCCGTCAAGTTCAAAGAAAAGGAGGCGGGCCTCAAGTGCATCTCCGTAATGAACGGGCGCTGGTAAGTGCTTGTCGCGAACCCTACTCTCTAGCAAACTCGGACTCAAACCTCAATAGATGGTTGAGGAGTCATAACGAAAAGGTCTCACGGGCCTACTTTTTCAGGATTCTGTAGAGTAAATCAAACAGATTGATCGACATGGTACATCACAACCGTCAACTTACAGTCTTCAGAAGCTGATTACGAGTGAGTATTTGGGCCCAAATTAGCGGTAGTCCGAGCACCGAACGAGGGCGGTTGCCTTTCTCGTGCTATCATTACCTTGTTGTGTCACTCTTACTCGATGAATGGAACGCGACCGTCAATGAGTTCTTACTGAATGTGAATTTGGTGCGCTCAGGTTCGGCGGCCGCCAAGTTTCTGCCGCAGAACACGACGGTGTGACCAACTACGCGCATGTGCGAGAGTCCGCCGAGGAGGAGCAAGCGCGGTTAGAGCGGTTTGCTCGAGAGTTAGAGGCGTCTTAAGTCGGTCGTGTCTCCCTTCATTCCACCCAGACGGTTCTTCTCCCGACGCAGTCAGGACCGCGTGCATTGCTCTGAGCATAACGAGACCAAAACGGACATAACCCCCGTCATTGTAACAATCAACAAAACCCGGCTCGAGTCCAGTCAAGCTGCTTGGGTGGCCGTTTGAGAGGATCCGCTGACTTTATGAGGCCTGAGGGTTCCGACAACTTGAAAAGGGCAGATACGACCTAGGTGGGTTGTCCATGTGCCAGGAACACGACCCGGGGTATGCGGTTTCAAGTGCGCCATGCTTGCACTCAGGCCTGCATGGAACTTGTCATTCACGGCCGTGGTAGCCCCTCAGTTATGTACGACGACGATCTTAATGATGACCGCCGTTTTTCGAGTGTCTCAAGGTCATCATGGCGCATCAACAGTAGTGCAGTGCGCAAATTTGATCCAGGGAACCGATTGCAGTTAAGTGATTTTAGTTGGCCGGATTTGGCAGCAAGTGAAAGGCGCAGGATGTCGACAGCGGCAACTGGCAAAACCTTTCCGTGCTAGCGGCGAATCCTACACAATCGACTATATGGATCATGCTTGCTGCAGCGCCTAGCCGCCGTTTGCCTGCCGGCCGTGATATCGGACTCACGAAGGTACTCAGTTGGCTAGATCCATGCATCGGCAAACCTTGTCAAGTGTCCAGTCGGATGGTGAGTACCTGCTGCAGTCGACCCGGCTAGCGCCAGCGTAATTGACGTGGCCATCGACCTGGCCACGTACGTTGATAATTAAGTATATATAGCTACGTAACGTACATATACTAATGGAATCGATACCGAAAGAAACCATGTCGCAATCTTAAATCAAATATTCACGAGTCGACGCACTACAAACATGAATTTCAATGCCCCGCGCTTGAATGGCACATGCATGTGCACAGTGACATGTGCGATGTATTCGTAGCGGGCGACTCGCGGGCGTCATGCAACAAGTCGCTGATCGTTGTACTTCACCGACGCAATATAAACGAGTCTGAGGCTTGGTCACTAGTCGCTACATGCACACCCCGCAGGCGGCTGCAGAGCAGGCCCGTCCATTAACTAATTAACGTTGCGTAAACGAGCACCGGCTTATGATCCAATGATGGCGCGGCGGCATGCATACCGTCCCAGCACGATCTGCCACGATCGAGACTGTGCGGTGAGATACGGATATAGTTACAGCTACTAGGCTACAATGTCGCATTGACCCTGCAGTGCATCATTTTGTTGGCCTCTAACTGTCCGACGCTTTTAAGGACCGGACTGTCATCTTCAGTCGCTGTAGCACACGCCCCCGCCATCGCAATCGTGTCCCCTTCGAGTGATTTGTTTACGCTTTGACCTGAATCCAATCGACTAGCTCAAAAAAAATATCAGACCTTTACTGACTTGCTAATTCGACTATACAATTTGTTCCATCTTTTCACATTTGAATTACGACGGTGGGAAAAATATCCCTACTTTTGTAACAACACTGGTTTTGAGGATCAAGACATCAAGCTCCTCAGCTAGAGCCGTGGAGTAATACAGCCGCTCCATGCCTACCCTACGGGCACGTGGTCGTCCTCGCGGCCACCGGCGTGATGTTATAATATGCGTTGCTGGTCTTATTTAGGCTAATAGCGTATGTCGCCAAGGCGTCGACCGCCGGCTGGAACTGGATCGCAACGCACCCCTTCATGACGACATTGGCGCATACTTGGCACCATTTCCCCTGGGTCGAGATTGCGTTGGGTTGCGCAAACGCCAGAAAGTCGTCGAGGGAGCAGGCACCTTCGCCCGCAAGCTGCTCGGCGGTAGAACCTGCGAGAGACACAAGGCTTACGTTATTTCCGGTCGGTAGGGAGCAGACGTTATTCAGATCTTGGTCTTGAAGGCGCACACTTGGCAGCATTTTTCTGGGGCCGAGATGGCGTTGGGTTGCGCAAACGCCAGAAAATCGTCGAGGGAGCCGGCGCCTTCGCCCGCGAGCTGTTCGGCGATCGAGCCTGCAACTCACAAGATTACAACGTTTGAAGGTTGTAAAGACGAGTGCGTTCGAAGCCCGCACCTACAGGCGGACACCTGTCACCGTTTTTGGGTCGAGGTTTCGTCGGATTGGACTTCATCGAGGAGCACGGGCCGGCACATGCGAGATGTTCGGCGATTGCGCTTGCAACGCGGCCAAAAAGACCGTTTCGTCTCTCCTAAGATTGAAAATGCAAGACTGGTGCGCCCAATTTCGGACGGCTTTGATTCCGGACGGGCAAACCCGAAATTCAAGCTTGTACCAGGCCCTTTGTCATTTTGCAATTGCAAGGCGACGTTGGAAGACCTTTTTGACACCATTCGAGCTATCGACAGTATTGCAAGCCTAACCCCTGCTCATCGTACGGGAGGGCGAGGGGGGGTTGAGAATCGGTCTTTGCGATCAGTAGAAAACAATGCTCAACTTGGAAAACATCTTGGACTCGTCCTCGAAATACTAGACCCATATCGAAGTTGACTGTATGGGTCAATTCGCAATCGCGAACGAGATGAGGTGAGTCCAAGAAATTTCGACCTCAAAAGCGGATCATTTTCTGCCGCACCTCTCTTTTTACGCTCACCTGCGCTCGTGCACTTGATAGACACGCGCGGAGGGTCCAGTCATGCGGACGGCCTAGTTGTGGAGAGCCTTTTTTGGAGGGCTTTCACGGTTTGGATATATCGAGAATATAGCTTTTGAGGTTCTGAAGTGCTCACCCATGCACGGGAGACTAATGGGAACGTAAGGAGCGTCCACTCCGTCTTGCGTCAGCATGCGGACGGCCCACTGCATTTGGGCTTTCTTTAAAAGAGTTTTTTTTTGGGTTTAGAGATTTCAATCTTCAGGGTGTAGGGTTTAGGGTCTAGGGTCTAGGATTAGGGTTTAGGGTTTTGATGTTTGACTGCTCACCCGCGCACGGGAGACTGATGGGCACGTACGGAGTGTCCACTCCGTCTTGCGTCAGCATGCGGACGGCCCAGCTGTATCCGGACAGCGGCAGTCCGGGCGGCGACTCGGAGATGGCCGGGGGGCGGTTGCTGTGGAGCTCGATTAGGATCTGGGCCGCATAAGTCGGTATCTCTGCGCGCAGAGGAATCTGGACTTTAGGAAAACCGTAGATAGCGAAGGAGGAAAAAGTTTGAAGGACCTACTGAAGTGGAGTGAAGTGAATTGAATTGAACTGAAAGCAGACCTGAAGGCCGACCTATGGACCCGTTCGTTGTTTACTCAAGAGAATCGGATTGAAAACCGTTGCAGCTTGCTTAAGATCTGACGCTTTTCTTCGTTAGGCAGTCGACTGTCTAGCTGGGTCATATAACCGCAATCGATTAGTAGGGGTCTTAATCAAATTTTGGTGAGTACCGACATCTTGTCCACGCGCAAACACTCAATCGAATTCACTTGGTATTGGAGAACGTTACCTTGGGCGGCAGACTTAGTGCCGAAAGCTATTCCACAACTGTTTTCCTTTCGAAAAGAAGACCGGACGGATAAGGACACACAAAAGGGGACGAGAGACAAAAGACGACCTTAAAATCTGTTCATAAGTATCCCGCTCACTCGTGTTGAAGAGTGTTGCGTTCGCTGGCACATCAAATACCAGAACCCGTTCGGTGATAAGAAAAGGGACGACGAGAGACCAGACCGGTAAGGACACAAATGAGAAGGAACAGAGAATTGACTGTCTGAAACTCGTTCAATAGTGTTTATGATTGCTGGTGCGGAAGAGTCATCTTTTGGCTGGGAGATTGGGCGCCGGAAGTCGTTCAGTCTTTCGACGAACAGATCAGACTGGTAAAGATAACAGATGAGAAAGACTGGTAATCCATTCCTGAAACCGCGTTCGTTTTAAATTCAGACACACTGGTGTTGACGAGAGTTGCGTTTGACGGGAGTTTGAGCGCCGGAAGCCGTTCGGTAATAGAAAAAGAAGAGAAGAACCGACCATAACGATAGAGATGTCCAGGAGAAGAACCGAGTTATAAGAGTACCAAAAAAATTCTGCAAATCTATCTAGACTCACTGGTATTGAAGAGTGTTGCATTCGCCGGCAGGTTAAGCGCCGACAGGAAGCTGAGCTGCGTTGGGTAGTGTGCGCTGTACTCGATGATGCGTTCCGCTTCCGGTTGGGAGTTGATCCGCCGGGCTTGCAGCCGCACCAGAATCTCGTTCAGAAGGGTGCCGCCGAGCAGGTTTCCGGTCAGGCTGCGGCGGTACCGGTTCGCTTCGAGCCAGTTGGCGAGATCAACGACCTGGAAGGGGGTACAAGCAGAGTTGAGCAAATTCGAAGAGCTGACACCCTTGCTTTTGAAGGCCTTAAAATACTGAGCTGAGCTCCTAAAAAGATAAGGTGAAACAACAATACAAGTCCTCGAAAAGGGCCTCTGAGCAGAGTTTCGGTCAGACTGCGGCGGTATCGGTTCGCTTCGAGCCAGTTGGCGAGATCGACGACCTGGGGAGAAGACGACGGTCAAGTAAACCCAGAAAGTTGGAAACACCAGAAACTCGAAAATCCTTTGGAAGGGTGCCTCCGAGCACGTTACCGGTCAGGCTGCGGCGGTATCGGTTTGGCTCGAGCCAGTTGGCAAGATCGACAACCTGGAAATAGAAGAGAAGGGTTAAGCAAACCCAAAGATAAAGAACGGCCAGAAAAACACGTTAAAATAACAAAGGGGGCCTCGGAGCAGGTTAACGGTCAGGCTGCGGGCGATAGTGGCTTGCTTCCAGTCATATAACGAGATTGACGACCTGGGCAAAGGACACAAAAGTCAAGCAAACCCAAAAAGCTGAGACGCATAAAGCCCGTTTAGAGGTGCCTCGAAGCAGGTTTCCGGTCAGGCTGCGGCGTTATCGGTTCACTCCGAGCTAGTTAGCAAGATCGACGATTTGGGTAAGGAGACGAGGGTTAAGGGTTAAGCAAACCCAAAGGCTGCAGGCTCAAAGAGTAACACTGGAGAAGCTTGATGTTATGGAGAGCGGGTTACCGGTCAGGCTGCGGCGAAACCAATTCGCTTCGAGCCAGTTGGCCAAATCGACAAGTCAGGACAAAACGACACCATACGAGAAACGCGTGCCCCCAAGCAGATTACCCTTTCAAGCTGCGGCAGTATCGGGTTCCCTATCGAGCCAGTTAGCAAGATCGACGACTGGGGAAGGACACGAAGGTTAAGAGCTAAGCAGACCCGAAGGCTGGAGACCCAAAAAGAGAGGTTCAGTCATCCCAAGCGCGGGTTAGCTGTCGGTCAAACCGGTACTGGGTTCGCTTTGGGCCGATTGGCGAGATTGGCGACCTGGGCACAGGAGACAGAGGTGAAGCTTACGATCCCTCTTTGGCCCCAGACGAGTATGCGTCTGGAGAAGGCCAAATAGGGACGATTGGGAGCCACGTGTCGGGCTTACCTGCGACCACGTCGGCTCCTGCATCGCTGACGTCAGCGGAACGCTGCTCTGCCCCGTCAGGATCGCGTCCCGCTGCGTGTTGAGATCGTCGAAGACGTTCCAGAAGTTGTTGAGCTTCGGGACGGAGCCCAGTGACGACTGCAGTGACGTCAGCAAGGGCTGGGAGGCGTTCTCCTTGGCGGCGAACTCGGCGCTCTGGAACCACTGGTTCATGGTCGCCAGGAAGAGCGGGCAGTTGTCGTAAGCGCGGATCAGAAAGTCGTCCGCAATCGGGATGCTGTACACAATTGCAAGTTCATTCTTTTGCACTATTTCAACTGTTTAACGTGGTGGTTTGAAGGTTGAAAGGTCTGCCATTCAGAAGGTAAAGAGGCGGGGTTCATGGTCGCCAGAAAAAGCGGGCAGTTGTCGTAGGCGCCGATCAGAAAGTCGTCAGCGATCGGCATGCTGCAGACAATGGGAGCGACAAAAATGTGACTTTTGATGGTGTTTCGAGGTACGAATAAAATCCCAATTCCGACCTTCAAAAGGTGCAATCGACGCTCATAACCGCTGGTTCATGGTCGCCAAGAAAAGTGGACACTTGTCGTAGGCGCGGATCGAAATGTCGTCCGCAATCGGGATGCTGCACACAATTGCAAGGTCAATATCCCAACTTTTTGATGTTGCGGTTTGAAGAGTGAAAGGTTTGCCATTTGAAATATCATGAGGCGAGGTTCGTGTTCGCCAGGAAGAGTGGGCGCTTGTCGAAGGCGCAGATCAGAAAGTCGTCTGCGATCGGGATGCTGCACAAAGATGAAATTGTCAAAAGCTCGACTTTTCAACGTGGTGTTCTAAAGTTGAATGGTCTGCCATTCCTAAAAGATTATGAAGCGGGGAACACGCTCTGAAACCATTGCTTATGGTCGCCAGGAAGGAGCCAGCAGTTGTCGTAGGCGCGCATCGAAATAGTACTGCAGTTGGGATGCGGCATAAGAAAATGTGTCAAAATTCTGACCTTTAAGTTGACATTTTTGAAGCTCAAATACCTGCCAGGAAGAATCATGAAAACCCCAATAACGAACACCAAGTGGGTAATTCGACGATGTGAGACCACTGATTGCTAGTCGCCAAAGGAAGCGGGCAAACTACGGGGGGCGTGAATCAGCAAGTCGTCTGCAATTGGGTTGCTGTAGATGCATAACTGTTCTTGTTGACGGCGTTCGAAACCTACCTGCAACTTTTTGAGCCTAATGGAACCCGTTCATTGAATGTAAGAGTATCGGCCCTAATCCCGAAATTTTGCAATTCCGGACTGGTAAAGCGAAAACCTTATTTCGGACCTAATAAAGCAGTCTACCGAGCACGTTGGGACATTCACCAATTCGGATTCCGGATGGTTCGAACGCTATTCCGGACACCGTGTGTCAACTTACCGACTGAATTCTCTTATGTCCGGAATAAGGTTTTCGCTTTACCCGTCCGGAATTGCAAAATTCCGGAATTGGGGCCGATACTCTTATTGGTGCGGGATCTGGTTTAGTTTCATCGTACGTTCTATTCTCAGACTTTCACTTTTGCTTATCCCCTTCTGCATATGCCATTGAGCTTATTTTAGAGTTCCACATTCTGTCTCTAGTTTTGAAACCACTTATTCAACTTTCACCTGGCGCAAAGATGAGATGTCCAAGTTCTATTTCAGACCTCACCTGATTGAGGCTCAGACATTCTATCCGAAAGGACAGCTCAATACGGCAGAGAAAAACATTTTTCTGTCAGTCCAACGTTCTCTCAAGCCCTGACTCGCAAAAGAATTCAACCTCACCCCCTCCAGCCAAAAACTCGTGACAGCCAAACCGAAGCTCTCACCTAAAGATCGGAATGGTTTTGGCTGGCAGCGGTGTATCAGTCGCGTTCGCCGGAAAGGCTCCCTGAAGCCATCCGGCGGCGCTCGCTAGCGTCCTGTCAAACCCGGAGCTAATTGAGCGCACATTCGTCCCATCATACCTTCCCCCCGCCAGGCCGTTCACGCAGGTCTGAGTAACTTGGCATGTGGTTGGGTTAAGGTAGCGGTTACGGAAACCCTGCCCAACCCCAAAGGTTTGGTTCTCTCCCTGGGTGGTTAGCAGGGCGCCACCCTCGGCGAGCGTGGTTGCGTTCTTGTAAAGGACAGTCCTGTACAGTGAGGGAAGAGAGTGTTATTGTTGACGTAAAAAGTTGAAGGTTTGAGTCTCGCAGTCTTGGGCTTCATCTTCCGAGAAAAAGCCCATTTGTAGAAGGTGCCTCGATTGACTGCCCATAAAAGATGCGAATTTCGTCCTCTACGAAGGTCTCTAAAGGTGAAAGATCCATGAAAAGCGTAATGCAAACCCAAAGCAGAACTTTGGAAAACGGTGACCTGCATCTCGAGTTGGATGAGAAGTGCAAGAACACCTCAAAGAGGCACATACTTCCTGTGCCACATTTGCACCCTTTTTCCAATCTGCTCGTGTATGCAAAATACAGAGAACAATGGGGCATGCGGCCAGATCTTCTGACAAAATCTGTGTTTCAACGCCCTTGGATTACCTGCAACACTTTTGCCCAGCACAGCCAAGCTCTGATGGAATCCAAGAAACAGATCATCAAATGACTATGAGAATCCCAGTGGCAGCAAGATTCTGGCTTCCAAAAGAAACATTGATCCCAATCCCCCAGCAATCATGAATCCAAATGCAAAGAACGACAGTGTCTCCTCAGAAGCTAGTAAACTGGAATGAAGCTGGTTAACAGCTCAAAATGTCTTACCTCGCCCCGTGACGGTGGATAGTCATCGCAAGCTCCAAAGTGGCATGGCATTGGGCCGTCATCAAAGCCAGCAGCAGCACACAAAGAACTCCACAGCGAGCGAGCGCCATCATTACAATTGGAGGGGCAGCCTCCAAAGCAAGCCCTTTGTCAACACGACAGAATTGACATCAGCAGGTTGACCAGCAAAAAGAAATACTTTGGTGCGCAGAAAGCAAGGAGAAGATAAAGCTGACTGATTTGCTGGAATCTATGTTGCAATGCCGTGCAGTGATTGGCCCCCTGACATCAATTGCTTCGAGCATCTCTATGTGGAACCTGCTGTCACCACGAAGAAGCTAAGCCCAACGCACGGCGTTCGAAGGTCCGTTCAGCACCCCTCAATCTCACACTGATCATGACAATGTCACGGTCGGCTTGCAATTTGGACTCGAATCCAGCTAGCTTGTGCGGCGCGTGTGCTTGAAGAGCTCCAGGCATAGCGATCCTGCCGTTTCTGGCATTGTCAGCGGAAGCAAGAAAACCGGTGTTCGTCACCGGGCAAGTACTTTCATTATATATAATCGCAGAGTACCATACCTAGTAGCATTAAGGGTCGTCCACCGACCAGAGTTTCGTGGTACCGGCCAATGACAGACTCGCGCGAAGAAAATGATGCCTGCCGTTTCTTTCACACAAGTTCACCTTGTCGTTGGGTCCCCTAAGATCCTGGCAGGACGCCAGCTTACAGCCGTCGATGCGTCTACTGTTGATTGTGAACGCTCGATTTGACGGTGATCTGTCACGTGGAGTCCCAAAAGAGCACGACCCTAATCTGACTCCTCAAACCCTAGAACCCGACGTTGACCAGGCGCGTGCGCGCGCAGGCAGAAATCAACAGCTGCATATATGGAAGGTGAGCTGTAGCTGGATAGGGAGGCGCCATTCCAGAAGCTCATCCGCATTGCCATAGGTAGTTCTCGCATCTGTTGAGGGGATTGTCGAGTTGAAACGGGAGCGCAGGAAAAGAGGAGCCCTGCTTATCAAATGCAGCGGCGTGCAGCGTGCGGCAAGCAGCAAGTGACTAAATCAATAAGGCCTGCAGCAGCAACGATGTTTGACGCCAGCGCTACTATACTCTTGATCCATTTTCTTGAACTGCCATAAGAAGTGGTGATCAGAGGCCAAAGATGGCACCTGAGTTCCCCACCCCAGTCACTCCACCCCCGCCACTTTCGGCTCACTCTATTGAAGTTGAGAGAGCCAGGATCGCTGAAGAAGCAGCTCGACATTCTCCAGCAGTTACGCAGTCGTCAATCCTGTATGAAGACGAATGGATCGTTGCTGTGAATAAGCCCGCCGGCAGGTATTGCGAGGACGTTTTGGCAGGGGTGGTGGGGCTGCTGGCGGGCCTTGGGGGGCTTTCACACCAGTCAGGGTCTGACTCTGGAAAAGCGGTGGTGGAAGCTGGTGTACGTTGTGACAGCATCTATGCAGGACGAGACGAAAGTCAGCTGACAAGAGGGGGTGTCTCATCAGATGTTGATGCATTGGTGGGGGATATTGGCCGACTGCAGGCCAACGAGGAGGTGGCAAAAGTTTTAGTTGAGAATCCTGGAGCCTCGGATGGGGATAATGATAGTTCAAGTGGGGCGGCACCGCAATATGGAGGGGCTGAAATTCCTGCGGCACGGGTCCACATCCGCCCACAAGAAGCGAAGCTGGCCAAGCAAAGCAGGCGGGAAGGGGGGGCGGCAGGAGGCAAGAATGCTGCTGAAGGTGGGCCGCTTTAACCATGAAATGGTGTCTTCATCTGAGTGGTGAATATAACAGTAAACTACTGATTCTCAGAGAATTCAAAGTCTTGCATCTGAGTAGTGGATATAACAGTAAACTACTGATTCTCAGAAGAATAAAAGGCGGACCGAAAGGCCTTGACTGGAATTTGGACCATCTGTTTCAGTCTTGTTTTGCAAGCCGGCCGGATCATGTTGCCTTCATCCGGCAGTGCCGTACCGGCGCTGACGTCAGCAGAACCGCTGAAGAATCACATACTTGACTCAAACCAGTATGTCCGACATTCGATTCGGTGTGCGCCAATCCAAAAGGGAATTCCTCAGAATCCTGTAGCTTACATTCAAGTAGACACGAAAGCCACACCTACTCGGTAGTGCGCCAAGTTTCTGTGATCAGAGTACCCAAAGTTTGAGTCAGGGGACGATCGGAGGTAGCTCACTCTGCAGGCCCTTGGGTGCGACAACCTGTGGGTGTCGTCACGAACCGTCAATTGGAGTTGACGTGCTTCGTGCTGTTTAGCGCGAGGGGGTAAAAGTGGGGAGCAGGAGAAAAGAAAGGCGTTAGACGCCCATTCATTTGTTAGTGAAAACCCGTGTCTCATCTTGGCCCATGTAGCAACACTGGTGCAAGTTGATTTAGGCCTGGTTTGAGTTGAGTGTCTGGAGACAAGTCCCACATGCTGACAACTGTGTACACTTAGACATTAGCAGACGCTCAAAACAGCCTTCCGCATCAACATTGCAGTGCCGGGCCCGGGCATCTCAACCTTTCCCCATGTCGCCGCAGCCATGTAGGGCGGATGCTTTCTTGCAATTGGTTTCTCCATCGTTCGCATCGCCGTTTTTATGATCGCTTAATGATTTCGTTGTAGCAAGTTATCATCCAGTCAGCGTAAAGCTGATGAAGCATCTCACTTGCAAAGGCCACTCGCAAAGGCTTGAGCTGAACGGTGTCGTACGTGAACTTCATTGCAGCTTTGGAAGCTCTTGCTTACATGGTCCACCGGCTGGATCGTGACACAAGCGGAGTTCAAATCGTGGCGAAGTCGAAGCACGCCGCAGCGGCATTCATGAAGGTAAGGGCTCGGACTGACACAGGAAGGATTTCGTTCGATGAAGGCTGGTGGACTTTCGATTTGATGCCCTCTCAAATGTAAGAGTCTGGTCACGCCCCATTTTCAATGCTTTTTCAACAAGGATGTCCAGGAACAGAACCTCTTCAGTGGATGATTTCAGACACAGTTATTAAGTTCGTTGGTAAAAGCAGTCAGGTGCCCGTTGGAGGATTCGCAGCAGGCTGGATTTACGCGTCCTGTTTAGATTGCCAGAAGGCTACGTAATGGCAGACTCACTTCCTCCCGGCTTGTGAGCTCTTGGTCGTCCATACTCGACGAATAGAGGAGCAGAAACCCCACCGTATGCAGAATGAAGCATCTGACGCGACTTTTATGCTCGGAAATGCAAAAGTGAACTCTTCCGGCTGGTGAGACGATTGTTGTTGTTGCAACCCTCTCTGGAGCACGACGAACAGCAGTACTCACATTCGTTCAACATCGGCCTTGCACGTCTCCAACTTTCTTGACGGTATCTTTCATAGCTCTTTGCTGACCGCCAAGTCCGCAAGACCTACCTCGCACTCGGGCATGGCACCCCCCCAGATTGGAGAGATTTCACACTGCGGACCGGACACGGACGCTCCCGCCACGGGATGTTCCGCGTGTACGCAGAGGAGGACGTCGGGCGGAGCCTACCGGGGGCAAAAGCTGCCCGGGTGCAGTCAATGGAGACGCGGTTTGAGGTGCTCGGGACGTTTGCCCCGAGGGATAGTCACGGAAACTTCACGTCAAAATCAGAGGACGGACTGTCTCAACAATGCGTGAACCGGTGTTCAGCGGATGAGGAGGACGGGCGCAGGCTTTGCGAAGCGCGTGACAGCAAGGAAGGGTTAAGCGAAGGGGTTAGAAAGTCAGAGGAGGTGCTTCGAGGCGGTCTTGGTGAAGTTTGTTTGGATGTACGGGAAGCCGAAAGGAGTTGCGAAGAGGCTGGTAGCAGTACAAATGGGGCGGGTCTCGGAAATGATGAGCGTTCGAATCTGGAGCTTGCTGATGAAAACGGCAGGGTGAGCACCAATTTGCCACTTGGCGAGGGCTCCGACGGGCATGTTAGTCCTCTCAGTGATGACGTCCATGGGCGAAAGTTGAATAACAATCCCTCCATCTTAAGATGCGAGCTAGGCCAACAGGACGAGACTTGTGAGGATCAGCCAAGCGCGCGACAGTTGGGACCGTCAGATGTTCTTGCGAATACCACAAACCCGTCGATCTTAGCCAGAGAGTTAGAAGAAGCCCGATTCGTTCTCTTGCGGTGCCATCCGCTGACCGGCAGGACGCATCAAATTCGGCTGCACTGTCTGTTTTTGGGGCTGCCTCTGATAGGGGACGCTCGTTACGGGGGTCTGTTAGAAACGGCCGGCAAAGAGCAAGCGGCTCATTGCCTGCACGCCGAGAGTCTTGCCTTGGATCATCCGTTTCTAGGAACGCACTTAAGCATCAAAGCGCCCGGCCCATCTTGGGCTTCTGCGGCGACGTAACTTGACGTTGATCATTCAAAAGGACGGTTCTAGTACTCTGGCTTTTGTCGTATTGTGGCAGAGGTTGCAATGACGACTTCGATGTGAATGCTTCGTAAGCTTTGCGCGAGACGGTCAGCACAGGTCGAAATGGAATTCGCCAGTCATCGATCTGATTGTGATTGCCATCAGGCTGATCATTGCCCTTCGTTCAGACGTTTCAACAGTACTCGAACGAGAGGAAAACTTAAATTCGATAGAGTATATACAGCATAAGGTGCATGTCTTTGGCCCTCTCCTCTCCGGTTAGCGATCGGCTCAACGCATGCATGTTGTATAAGGTGCCAGGCAGTCAAAGTGCTTCTCTTAGTTGCTCGGCGATTGATTGTGCGACATCTCGCATGCCTGATCCGGGTCCACCGCCATGGCACTAGCTAGGCGCGGCTGAGCTATAACACTACTAGGGCCTGAATGTGCAAATTTATGCGCCACGTGTTTACAGACAGAATAGTTAATTGCAAGGCAGCCCCTTCAATCAGTCAAAAGCTCATGGCCCGAATATGATATATGATTGCAGATGCCAGTTAAGATGATGCGCACATGGCTGGCAGGATCAAATAGCTTGACGATTGAATGGATCACAGCCCGAAATTACTTAACACACATGGTAGTGCTAGTTTGGCAACCGTGCAATGGCCGTCAGACCCACAGCACAATGCTTGAAGCAAACATTGGATCCCGGCTCAAGATAGGAATCGGCTTAGGGTCTTCGAGGCTTGATGCAGTCACTCCTTTAGGTCACCGGAACCCTGCCAGTCCAAGTTAGACCAAAGCCGCCCGGAGGGTACACAATGATGTAGTGTGACGCTTGAACAGTGTTGTCTTTATGTCAGCAGGGAAACTGTATGTCAGGCTCGGACCACCTTTCATCTAGAACTCTTGTACAAATTGGCGCTTTTCATGAGGGGAGCCTTATGCATTCCATCTATATGTACGGTGAACGAACATCTCTCTTTTATGGTTCGGTCCTCAGCTTGAGGACTTCTTTCTCCACCACTCGACAAATTTGAGGTTTGCATCCATGTTATCGAACTTGTACGTCCCGTATGCCCAGGTCGCGCCTTCGTTGGTGACGAGCCATCCTGTGAGAGCGCCAAGAACTCCCGCCAGTACGGCGCCGTGAGGACTTTTGGAGAATCTGCAAGATCGAGGAAGGTTGAACTCCGACTCGATCTCCCACAAAGTCGGACGGTTTTGGCAGTTGTTCTGAGAACTTGAAAGCGAAGGCTGTTGTTCGACTTGATACCTGTTCTATGACTGGACATGCAACATTGACCTTATGACATTATACCTCGTAGACACTGGCCAAATGGTCGGCTTGACTGCTTATATATTCATTACTCGTGCCTCAGAGAAGCACATTTCCAGATCGCCGTCAAGCCACCCAGTCACTATGAATGCATCAAGCGTCGAAGCAATAAGCGATTGGCCTAAATCAAACAAGGAGTAAGAAGTAGACAGTACCAGGTTGCAAGAACAGCTGCATCGAAAAAGGGGGAAAAAGGTGGAAGTACAGAGGTCTACAGAAACCAATACAAATGACCGGCCACCATCAGGGGCTCAACGAATTAAAAAAAACATGGTGATAGCATACAACATACCTCAATGCAACTCCTGCTGATCCAACCGCGCCGGCCACTGCACCGTAACCGCAGGCCTCCGAGTTCTTTCTCAGCGCCGCAACCTGGAACAGAACGAGCAGTTCAGTAATGATGCTCAGTAGCCAGTGCGCTCTTGAAAAAGAGGGCTGGCTGCTCTTCCCTTTTGCCCAAACGATTTGGAGCACCTCTCGAGAAAGAGGTGAGCGCTTCTGAAGCACTTCCCCTTTCATATCCCTTCCCTTGCTGCTGTGGTTTTTAAGTTAAACAAGATAATTGGGACAGAAGGGGCAGCAAAGGCAACTATTTAACCAAGACCGGGGCAAAAGGCCAGAAGATCGAGGGGCTGTTCTTGTTCACAGAACTCACGACCACTGGAAAAGGATCTTTTGGACCACCGAAAAGATGCAATCTGATGCCAGTCTTATCTCCCAAAATGTGACCGACAGCAATATCCAGGGAGCACAGTGAGTTTTCTTCGCGATAATTGCCTCTAGTGAGCTTAGCTGCATTGATAGCTGACGACGGGCGTCGGACAGGAAGAAGTCATACAAAAAGTGGAAGACAAAAGACAAATTTGGGCAAAGAAGATCCTTGTAATGCTGTTTTTGTGGATAGCATTACATCAGATTGCGCGTTTCAGAAAAGCGTTCCATGAAATTGGAAGCACCCTTAAAAACTGGTGGTACAACATCAAGACAGCAAATCCCTGAAACTTTTATTGACCAAATTCGAAAGTACCTGGTCAGCTTTATTTCTAAGAAAGAGGGGCGGTGCGGCTGCGCATCGATTTCTTAGTAACGCAGATCTCCAAGCGTTCCTTATTCCTAGGCTGCCAGCTCAACATTGAATTTCATAAATGCATCAATCTTTCCTGTTCAGATGATGCAAGAATGAACAACCTTCAAATCATGGCTGACAAACACGCACCTGTGGCCCATACACCGGGTCTTCTTTCGCAAACGCCTCTATGTCCTTCGACGTCCATGCTGGCAAGGGTTTCTCGTCCTCCTTCATACTAGAATGCAACTTTACAACAGCGCCAAATTTCCGCCTCCATGCTTCCTTGTCGATTGCCCACCACGGCAGCTCTTTCTTCTCTTCTTTACTTGCGTCGCTCATTGTGGCTGCGATGAGATGCTATCTCTTTTGCAGCTATACGATAAGAGAATGCGTTACTTTGCAAGAGCTTTTTGTACTTTGTAGGTCGGGAGGGCAATCTTGCTGAAAGATTATCAATCAGATCAATGCAGGACTCAAACCACCTCCATCTGAGCAGCGCCAACAGGTAGAATTTACATGGATGGAAGTCGACTGTCTAAGGAGGAGAAAGTGAACATGCTCCAACGACCTGCATGCACAAAGTCTCCTTCAATTGCCTTCAAAGCTAGAGCCGAATCAAACCGTGTGCGCCACCTGAGCTCTCGAGTGTTCTGGTTCTGCCCTCTTCAACTTCAAGTTCAACATGGCACAGGCATTGGCATTGAGCCCGAGCAGTGGAACTAATATTACGATTTAAAGCATAAATCTCGGAAGCTTTCATCGACTATAAGGCACTGTTGCGAGTCCCCGGTCGATATGCTGGGTCGATCTTGCTGCAGTCTGGAGATTCTTCACGGGTGAACGTTCATAAGCAGGCTTTCATATGTGCGACTTTGCCTTTCTCTCAGATTAAGTATATATTAGATCCCAGACAACACACATGGAGGGGAAGACCTGGGAAGACCAGTGATTTTGATCGAATGCGCTATGCACCTGGGTGTGCACGCGTTCATTAATACGAAGTGACCATCGAAAGGGTTTGCCAGCGGAAACAAGTGGAAACGCACTGGAAGCGGCATTGGGAGAGAAGGTGCCGCCTTCAGCCTCAGGAGCAGGCTTGGGCTGCATTCCACTGTGTTTTCACCATGTGGATTCTCAAAGCAAGCAGAATCCGTGGCGTCGGGCTGAGCTGGCTGCCATCTGTTCCACTTTTGTCTGATGTGCTAGCTGGTGGTTCACAACCTGGGGTGCCTGATCGGCTTTTCTCCAATGGGAAGGCATCCATTAGCAGGTGAGGGTGTATGGACAGTCTAGTTGATTGCCCTGGCTTTTCACCCAGGACTAACGAGTTTCTTCCCCAAAGCTTGTGATTCAGTATCCTCCTCAGGTTTCGCACACCATCGTTATCACTGCGTCAAGGCGCAAGAGTGTTCTTCAAAGTTGCACTGAAGTAGTCAAAGTACCCTGAGCTCGCTGCAGTAGACGCTCGTCGAAACTCCTTGGAATTCTCCAACTGATCTTCTCTGTTCGTTATGCTCAGAAAAAACTAATCGCGCCATTCTAAGATTGAGTGCATAACTTTAAAGACAGATAAAAATTGTCAGCCAGTCTGGAGGTCGAGTGAAGGTTGTCTTTTTACCAAGTACAAGTTCTCTCTGCTGTTATGCATAAGTATGTTTGATGTCAGTGGTGGTAGTAAGAAGGAAACCGCTCCCACACGGTGTACGCGTGGGGAGGCTTCTCGATGCTCTTCTTGTTTGATGGGAGCCATGTCACTCAGCAACTGCCTTTGCTTGTATCTCGTGCTTACAGTACTGGACTTTCTGATGCACTTTTTGTCAGGTCTTTGCATTTGGTTGAATGGTGGTGTCATGTTTTGGCTCGTTTTCTAGGAGGCTGCCCGCGCCTCAACCGCTGAAGGTCCTTCAAGTGACAAACTATGTCAGTCTATGATTTCTGTGGTTTGCCAAGCAGCAAGAAACTGTACTCAATGATTACTCAGCAACATTTGCCTTGTTGCAGGTTGTGCACACCTATCAGTCACAGGAGCACCAGCTTCTGGCCAAATTTGACATGGTGTTGCATTCCTTTGCAGTGCCTCAGCTGCATCCAGCCAGACCGCTGCCATCAAGCAGCTGCGGGAGCGAACGGGTGCGCCCATGCTGGACGTGAAGAAGGTGCTTGCGCAGTGTGCTTGGGATCAAGGTGTGCGTCGTGGCCTGCATCATTGACTTGGTGATCGAAGCAGGCATGATTGAAAAACAGGTTTTTGAAACACTCAATCTTTTTGACTCTGCTTCCTTGTTCTCTGCTTGCCCTTGCTCACTGATTACAGCCCCGTTGCATGAACTCACCTTATCTGGTTCCCCTCCTACAATTACATGTGTGCTCCTACAATGAAGATTGTGAAGATTGTTGCTCACTGATTCCCCCTAACATGCCGGACTGGTCTCTCACACTTTCTTCTGATCTGCAGATGCCGCCTTCACCGAGCTTCGCAAGAAGGGCCTAGCAGCTGCCAGCAGAAAGACGTCCCGAACTGCCGCCGAGGGTCTGGTTGGCGTCTCACACGACGCCCACTCAGCAGTGGTCGTCGAGCTGAACAGCGAGACCGACTTTGTGGCCCGCAACCCGAAGTTCCAGGCCTTGGTGCAATCGATCGCAGAGGCAGCCAAAACGGCGGGAACGAGTGAGGAAGGAGCTGGCGGGGCGGCGAGCGGTGTTGTTTCTGATTTGGAGGTGGGTGGTTTGTGCGTCCTGTCGAAGTTGCTGATTGAAGGTGGACTCTTGAGGTTATTTTGGGTTGGGAACGTGCTGCCTGACACCATAGTTGAACAACTGATCGACAGGCAGGCCCTTTGTCTGGGCCCCTCTCGTTTAAGTTAGACAAGACCAATTCAAATGCTGGGATTTCAACGGGCGCCCATTCTGTAAAGTGTTATGAAAAGTCAGTAACGGCCAGATTGAACCACTCTTATGCGGCACAAGAGTGGTTCCATATACGCACCAAGCAGTGTTAGATTGAATTGCAGGGTCAACATTGAAAGAGAAGGGCGTGGTTCAGGTGGTTCGAAGGACGGGGCTTGGGTTTGCCGATTGCCTAAGAAGACGTACCTGTAAATCTTGTGGTGTCCCGCCAGCTGCACTTTCGTTGGCCCGAACTTTTGCACTACCTAGCCACTTATTGCTGAGACACGAAGCAGCGAAGTCTCTCGCTTTTCCCACTTTTTGCACTCGTTGGCTGCTGATCGCGGCACAGTTGGTCAAGTTTGAGCATCAACTGTCTCCCCAGGCAAGCTAGACGCTCGAAAGGCTGGTTGAAGCAAAAGCGTTGGTCCATGTGTGTGGTCGCCTGTTCTCTTTCCTGAAGCACTCAAGCCAAGCTGGACGTTGGACACGCTGGTGATACGAACACATTCGTCTCATCCGACTTTGGACTTTCCTTTAAGCCCGTGCGTATCAAAGGCATGGGCCGAAGTGTGGGTACAGAGAAGTGCGCACATACATGTTCTTACAACACTTCTCTCGACAATTTCGAATCTAGCAACCGATACGAGACTCCATGTGCACTTTCGACCACGAAACTGCCAACATTCGATTTTCATCTTAAGATGAGGACTACATGGTAGGGCGCTTCTGAAGCTTGTGCGTCATTTTTAACGTTTCTGTTTCTAATTGCAGTCAAGTAAGCTAGATGCTCCACCAGCGGGCCTCACTGCTGCAACAGTCGGCGATGCTGTCAAGGAGCTAGCTGCGACGGTGGGGGAAAACGTGCGGCTTCGACGAGCCTTCCGGCTAGAGTCCCCGTCCGGCATAGTTGCCTCGTACCTGCATACCAGCCCACAACCAGGTACGATCTTGGAGGTTTGGTGTTTGGTGTTCGCTGTTTGGTGTTCTGTGTTTCGGTGGTCGGTGGTCGATGGTCGATGGTCGATGGTCGATGTTTGATTTGTATCGCTTCGGGTTTGTGGTTCGTGGTGTTCGAGTTGTCGATTTAGTTTCAATAAGATCTGCAGTTCGTCGAGCGCACCTTTGTTCAAGGGGAACCGTCCGCTTCTTCAGTCTGCTTGCTTGATCTGTCTGACCGGCTGCCTTAGCAGCATCTGATGTTCTTCGATTCCCGGACATATGTGTTGTCCGTCCCAAATTCGGACCGCATGTGACGCTGCCAACGCTTGCTATCCAGTTTGGCCGCACTGCACCGATCGGAGTTCGTAGGCAGAGCGAGGAGGAAAAAGTGCTCCAATCAACGCATGTGCCTCTGAGAATCTTCCATGTCCCCCGTGGATGATAGTTCTACCCCGCCTTCTGTCAGCTAGCAATGATTGATGGTGATTTGGATTCCTTCTCCTTTTTGCTCAAGCGCAGCCAGTGAAGACAAAGCAGTCCGTATGTCACGGATGTCCTGAACCCTTTGTTTCTGATGGTCTCGCGCCTTGTGTTCCTCATTATGGACGACGATTCGCGCTCCTCTCGTCGGTTGTAATCTAAAACCCGTGACCTTCTGCACTTGTTTTTCATACCCGTTTCGTCTCAGTGGCTCTCTATGTCTGCTGATCTCAGACCTAGACCCTTTTCTAAAAGCACTACCTTTGCTGCTTTAGCACAGCGTGCCTCACCAGTGCAGGAGGCTTCGATTTGTTCTTCTTTAGGGACTTAGCAAGAGTGTTTTTAGGGGGTTTAGGGGTTCAGGTTTAGGGTTTAAGGGTTCTAGAGCTGGCATCGGTGATGAGATAGTTATCCTTGCGCTTCGACTGGGGCTTCGGCCTCCATGAAGACAAGACATAACACCAGACTGCTAATCCTGGTCCTGAGATGCCCCAGGTTCCGTCCTCGTGAGACTCGAGGAGGTTGTTCAGCGCTCCATTTCTGTAGATTGTCGTCGGGCATAATCAAAAGGGGGAAAGGAAATGAGCATTGCAATAGAAACAAGAACCCGGTATCAAGGTGCCGACAAAAACACGTGTCATTGAACCAGCAAGCTTGCTCTTGTCGTAGACACTTCATTTTGGAGTTGCACAATATTGTCTCCCCAGCATTCCCGGGTTGTATTATGAAGATACCTGGGCTTAGTAGCTACGGGAGCTCTTGCAAAAGAACCGCCAGGGCCGGATCAGCGTCGGCATCGTTCTACCTCTCATACTTATATCTAAGCTGTCTGTGTTCCATTCAGCGTTGGGTTCGGGACTGCTTGCGAGGCCGCTCTAGTGAGTGAGTCTCCCCTGGTCAACTTCTGCTGTTTACGGCGATAAAGACATGATCTACTATGGCCAACTTGGAGTGGACTGGTCAAGGATCGGCGACTGGTGATGCCAGCAGACAATCGTTCTTTTTTGCAATAGTTTGCTATACCTGAGAGCCCCGTCTATATGAAGCAGCTTCTCTGCTTCTTGGCAGTGATCGATTTCAGCAACCTGACCAACTCAAATCGTCTGGTCAACCGCGCGCATATAAGATGCCAGCTATTTCAGTCCTGCCCTTAGTCGTTTCCACCATCTCGTGCCTCTTGTCTCCGTAACTTCTCAAGGAAAGTGTCGAGACTGTGCCTTGCTTGGGTCATTCAACTTGGCACAGCAGGTTCGCTATTACTCCTCGTCAGTGTGTCCTACTCTAGTACGATAAATCACGTTCGGAAGGGACGTTAGGTTCTCGGAACGTCCTTGCTCGCTCTGCCGTCGCTGCCATCTCGTTGGGAAGCGGACTCCCACTCCTTGTCAGTACATCCTACTCCAGTATGAGAATGCACGAGAAGGGACGTTCGCATTTCCGACTGGCCTTGCTTGCTTTGCCATCGCCTCCCCTTTTGTCAAGAAGCCGACTCCCCGGCTCAACAGTTCTTTGTTGTCGGTCTTGTCGGCCAGCTGGTTTTCGTGTGCAGCGAGACTGAAGGGTTTGGAATTTTCAAAGGCCTCCGATACGAATCTTAGCCCAGTGCCCGCTTCTGTTGGGCAATAATCAGTACCGAGGATCTCAGACCGTCTAGCTTGTTCGTTTGTGCATAACAATGAATGCGTCACCCTTCAACTAGCAATCACGTTCTGGTCGTGATCTATCAGGGGACGGCGTTTGCGCATGCGGTTTTAGACATTGACTCTGCTCCAGCTTTCTGTCGTGCTCGGCTTCTTTGGTGCATGCTGGTTGGTCGTCGGCTAACTTTTCTCGATTCTTGGAATCCAAAAAAGTTACCGTCTTCTCTGACGCAAGAGCCCAAATTCTAAGTGCTGCCGGCAATGATGACCCAAGCCAAGACGAGGCCCACGCGGTTTGTTACTGCGGCCATTGTTTGGGGATTTTTTTCTGGTCCGATGCCGGCAGCTAGAGGCTAAGAAATGCATTTCCTGGGGTCCTTTCACTGTGACCCGCGAGAAACACATGTCAATCTACAGTTACTAGTGCCTGTTGCAATAGGTCCCGTTGCTAGTGGTCAAAGGCGTGATCAACTCTTCGGTGTGGTATTTTTTGAAAACTTTGCTTGCACGGCCAGGGAGATCTGACGCTGCTCCCAAATGCAACCGAACATTATGGCCGCATGGCGTCGTCTTGAATGAGATGAACGATGCTTCAAAGAGTTTTGGTGCCCCAATCTTTGCTAGCTGCTCCAACAGGTGCTGGTGTCCCAAACTTGTCGCGGGAGCCCAGATTCCTGGTCTCTTAAATCCTGTTGCTGAAGACCCAAGCTCCGGTCTTCCGCCGAAAGCACGCCTTTCGCTGACGTCGTCACAACTTCGTTCGCAGGTCTTGTCGAAGAGCCGTGTGTAAACCGGGAGGTTCTGGCTAAGTCCGTACTTTCCGCTTTCCTGACTATCTCCGTTGAGGTCTAGCTCCGAACCTCTGCCACGAAAGGCATTTGCCGACCTTTCCGTATTTTGCTTCTCGGGTCTCGGCGGCATAAGCTAGCTCTCGTCGCCCTCCACACCTCCGAACCCCCGCCTTTAGTTCCTTGAAGTCGTCGCTCAAATCTTACTTTCAGGTGTTTTGAAGTCTTCGCCACAGATCTTCATCCGGAGATGCTGCAAAACAGCGTTCACGGCTGACCTCTTTCTTCCCCCGTTCTCAGGTCTCGGCCGAATAACAGCCCTCGTCGCCCCCCATACGTTCGAAACCCCAGCTTCTAGTTCCCCGAAGTCGTCGTCTTGAGTCCTATCTTTCGCTTTCTCAAAAGCTGTACCAGGGTCGTCAACCGGAGTCCCTCGAAAACCGCGTTCACCGCTGACGTCTTACCTACCCCGATTCTCAGGTCTTGGCCGGATAGCAGCCCTCGTCGCCCTCCACAACTCCGAACCCCCGCCTCTAGTTCCCCAAAGTCGTCGCTTAAACCATACGTTCAGGTGTTTGGAAGTCTGCGCCAAAGATCTTCAATCGGAGTTGCTTCAAAACCGCTTTCACTGCTAACGTCTTTTCTCCCCCTGTTCTCAGGTCTTGGCCGAAGAGCAGCCCTCGTCGCCCTCGACACCCCCGAACCTCCCGCCTCTAGTTCCTTGGATTTGTTGCTTGAGTCGTATATTCCAACTTCTTGAGGTCTTCGCTGAGGCCTTAACTCTGTGCTTCCACAACCGCGCGCCTACCACTGACGTTTCCCTTGTTCCGTTGGCAGGTCTCGGCCAGATAGCAGCAAGTGAAACGGGAATTCTGCGGTGCGGCACTTAGTTCCGGTTCTTTCAAAACCTTCGCCGAGGATTTAGCTCCACACATCTACGAAAAGTTCTTCAATTGCTGACTTTCTCCAACCTTTGTTCCCAGGTCTCGGCCGGATAGCAGCCCTCGTCGCCCTCCACACCTCCGAACCCCCCGCCTCTAGTTCCGCCCTCCAAGACCTCGGCTCCAAGCTGGCCATGCACATCGTAGCTGCGCGCCCGGTCGCCGTAACGCGAGAGGGCGTCCCCGAGGAAGCATTACAGCGCGAGCGGGAGATCTTGCGGGCGCAAGCACAGCAGTCCGGGAAGCCCGAGTCGGTGGTTGCCAAGATGATCGAGGGCCGGTTACGGAAATTCTACGAGGACGTGAGTGGCGGTCGCTTTTTCTGGTGCCCTTTCTAGTTCCTCCTGGATTGCTCTAAGTCTCTCTCGAAAACCGTGCTGCTTCATTGCGTCCCTTCTTGTTGAATCATCTAGTTTCTGGAGTTGTTGGGGCCTGCTCTGCCCGAAATCTATGCTCTTCTTGCTTGAAACGGGTAACAAACTAATCTACATTTCGTCAACCGCGTAACTGATGACTTCACGGCTCACGCCCAAACGAGCAATTTTCGATACAAAATCAAGGCCGGAAGTCAGAACTTACTCAGCAGATTGGTCCGTGGGACTTTTGGTCATGAGCGCTGTGAAATACACGTACCGGGCACGCTGATGTCGTCCAATCGCAGAGGTGTGTGGTGCTGCATTATAACCTTGTTACGCGCGCGCGCGTCAATTGCGCATCCTCGCGCTGAGCCGACTTCGTCCTCCTTGTCGTTGGCTGTTGGCTGCGCTCTGCATGTTGGTGTTGCGATGAAGATTCTTGTTGATTTTCAAAGACCTTTGGATTTTGGGTCAGTCGGGGACCGAACTGGGACTTGACTTCGGATGGCCTTACCAAGGGTTGCGGGTGGGTAAGAACCCAACTTAGGATTGAGCATGTCGCTTTTCAGAAAAGCATCTGTTTTGGGTCCGAGCGTGACCAACGTCTGACCCAACTATTAAAACCAAGGTCAGGTGCGCGCCGGCGATTCCTTACCCTCACTCTTTTGCATCAGCGCCGATTCTTGCGTCACCTTTCAGCCTTTCAGTCGACCCTTATTACAATCCTGAGACGGCCAATCTGATTACAACATGATTCCTCAGCACGTGCCTCGCTCATCTGCAGGTCGTACTGCTCGATCAAAAGCTAGTCATGGATGAGAGTAAAAAGGTCAGCAAGTTGCTTGAGGAGGCCAGTAGAGAAGCGGGGTCGCAGATTACGGTCACAGGGTTCGTGCGGGTTCAAGTAGGAGAGGGGATTGAGAAAGAGGAGAAAGACTTTGCGAAAGAGGTTGCGGCGCAAGCGAGCAAGAGCGCATGATTAAGGTTTACCAAAGAAGACACTATTACTGGGACTGTTGAGCCTGCTGCGAAACATTGATGTGCTGAATGAGTGACTACGGAACTCGAGGACCGTTTAAGCAACTCCGACTCGACCATCTTTTGCTTCTTACTGAGCTTAAATAATTGTATGCATTGATGGGTTATGTGATGTATACTAACCAACTATGACCCTTTTCTTTCAATCTGAAGTGGCCGTTCGGTCACGCCCATGGGCCCGCGAGCATATACCAAAGGCATGGGGAGCCGTGCAGGGTGATGAGCCATGGCAATCCTATCAATCAAAAGCCTTCCACACATCGAATACATGCATGCGTTGGCAGTATGATCCAATTAGCTGTAGCTATCGCTTTGCAGTTGCTTACGTATTGACTTGATTCTTGTGGCCAGCTCCTACCGCTATTACACCTTTATTTAGCGGGAGCGCCCCCCTGTTCGCCTTTTTGGGGACCCCGGATGGAGTTCCATCGTGACGTGCCCGAGCTGTCCGCCGGACCGGTACGGTAAGTTTGCCGGGGATTTTGCGACCCCACGCCGACGGCCAAGTCGCCGACGGCCAAGTCGCCGACTCACGACTCAGGAGTCAGGCCCCGGCCGGGCCCGAGGACGAGGCAATTAAGATCGTGAGTGGACGGTTCGGATCAGTCGACTGCACAAGTACGGGGCATTGGACGGCTGCGATCAGTTGCGTGCTCAGGTCGTCGGAAGTCTCGAGCGTGTCGGAAATTGTCACATCAAGAGTCGTCCTCGGGAGATCGAGAACGCCACTTGATGTCTCCCGGGAGGAGAGCCGCCGGTAGAACGGTTGCGCCCTTTTGAGACCGAAACGGGTATAGCGGTTTAGCGACCATTTCAATTCTCGGCCCGGAAGCTCGATCCGACCGGCGCGCCAGGTGGTGGGATTAGTTGACAACAAGCAGTAATCAGTGATCACTACGGTAGCTGCAAATTGCCATCAGGATTCAAGTTCAACGAATCTGGTAAGGTCCAAGTCCATGCACCTTGCATGACCTTGCATTCGATGAGCGGGGACTGCGCACCATAGTAAAGCAGCAGGTTAGTACCGGTATTGAAGTAGGTACTACAGGAGGTACTAGGTACCTCGTGAAGACTGTTCAAAATGCCAATTGGCAAATGTGGCCTTGCACTCACTTAGTCACTGCCCCTGTTCACTTCTTTCCATTTCAAGAGAACTTCGAACGATTGACCTGCCGAAGTGGACCCTTTGAGGCTTCTGAGAGTGGCCGTTGCGGCCCTTGCTACACTGATCATTCAGGGGGTTTGTAAGGGTGCGCCGAAATAGCTGAACCTCTGATCACGACCCTGAAATCACACTTCCAATTGAGCATTGTATGTTAGAACGCCAGTACTTCTGATTCGTGCGCAGCTGCCCGCATTACCAGTATTGTCTTATACGCTGATCAGGTTGGGGGCTCAAGTGGGAGCTCACTGCATGCTGCTTGTGATCTTCTGGAGGATGCTCATCTTTTCACAGCGATCCAGTAGAAAGGGTCAGTCGCACTTAGGATCAAGTCCCTAGAGCTGGCACCCACAAGAAAGGGGATACAAAACCAACACAGAAAGTAGGAGTGCGCTCCGCAATTTCTCAAACCGCCGCTGTCAGACTCAATTGTATCCACAAAGACACCTATAGAAGGAACAAGAACGCCGCCAGGGAATACTTAACCGTCGCAGAATCCAATGAGCGCGCTCCGCAACCCCCCAGGCCGCCGCTTTGGCTGGGGCCTGCCCCTCGCCGCTCTTGCATGCTGTGCGCTTATCGTACAGCTGTTGAGCGGACAGTCATGGGTGCTTCCCGCCGTTTGCTGTAAGGGATGCGTGCGTGACCCCCCGACAGGCTGTAGTCCAGGGGAACTAGACAGGGCTGATCACTCCGTGTTCCATCTGTCGGAGTCTGACCTGCCCGGAAACGATCTGGTCTTCAAGCTGTTCTCAGAAGAGGTGAAAAAGGATGGGCCGGGGTTGTTGGCAAGTGGACAAGGACAGCAAGTGCGTACTGATCCGGTTAAGTTTGCAACTAGAGCGGAGAAAGAGGTTCCAAAGTTGTTCCAGGTTTCTGGGCAGCGGGAGACCGTCGCCTCTGGCAGTGACGAGTCCAGCCCAAAGTCTCAAAACCCAGCAAGTCAAAAGGCAACATTCAACTCCTCATCTGATACTCTTCCAGATATCGATCACTCAACGGCAGAGGCCGCCAAGAACAAGGCCTCTCATCCCTTCAGAATTGCACTCTTGAGCTCGTACACCCCCCAAAGGTGTGGTCTCGCGGAAGCCACGCACGATCTGTACCACAGGGGGTTGGTTTCGGCAGGGCTGCTGACCCCCCGCGTGAGTGTGGGTGTAATTGCGGTGGACGAAGGGGGGACGGCGGGCAATTACTCGGAGGAGGTTGCCTTTGTGATCAGCAAATGGAACCAGGAGGACTATGTGCGAGCCGCTGACGTCATCAACCGCGACTATGACGTCCTCAACGTCCATCATGAGTGAGAAGGCGCTCTTTCTGTGCCTGGCCCTTACGACATTCTGCTTTTCTTTTTTGTCCCTTTCCATTCGCTTTCTTCTCAATTTGACACTTCAGCTTCATGCAACATGCGTAGTATGCTAGCAGACCCTCTGTGTCATTGCATTCCGATGGAACATCTGAACCATAATAGCAGGGATGCTGGTTCACTCCATTTGCGCCCAATTGCCAGTATTGTGATGCCAATGACATCATGTCTGTTAAGAAAGACTACTCAATTCCCCTTCTGACGATGTCCCTTGTCTCGTTTCCTCGACTCTGAATTAGCGGTTCAAGTCTGCCTGCAAAAGTAGGAGGCATCAGAAAGTTGTCCTTAATCAGGTCACGTCAAAGCACCACTTTGTTTCTGGGTTTTTTCGAATAAGGTACTCCAGATTCGGAAGAGAACTTCTTTCTCCCAACGGGCTCCGCTCTTCTCATATATCCCTTTCCCTTCTGTCCCCTATAGGTACGGAATCTTTGGGGGTGACAATGGGGAGTTTTTGCTGGCCCTCCTATCCCGCTTAACCGTTCCAGTCGTAACCAACCTACACACCGTCCCTACTTCCCTATCTGTCCAAGCCAAAACGGTCGTCGGCAGAATCCTGCACCATTCCGCCCGAGTCCAAGTCTTCCTCCCCTCCTTATGCGACCGCCTCCGGAATCAGTTCTCCCTCCGTTTCAAATGCTCGTTTTCGCCTCGAGGGGTCCCCTCGCCATCAGCCAAAACTCGCCAGATCCTTTCGGGGGGGTCAGATGAGGTGGTGATCGTCACCCCCGGACCGCTGGCCCCCGCCCATCGCATCGAACACATGATCGAAGCGATGAAGATAGTGCGGGCCGCGATCCCCCAAGCAGTGTATCACGTTCAGGGGGATCTCCCGAGAAATGCTGACGTCACCGCTGCCAAAGATTACGTCAGCAGTCTGAGGCGCCTGGCGGAGTCGTTCGGGGTAGAGGACGCGGTTCGCATCGAGGAGCGGTTTGCTGGTAACGAGGAGCTAACCACGCTGGTTAGCAGGGCGAGTCTCGTGGTTACGCCGTACATTGACCGGACCCAGGTGAGAGGTTAATCGCTCTTTGCAGCTTCGAGAGTTTGTGAAGTCAGCATCAGAGCCAAAAGGGGCACGACTCCAGAAGAGTATTGAAGCTTGACTAGTTCCTGCCAAATTGCGGAGTCTGCCAGGATCCATCCACTTAGTCTCAACAAAGTGTATAAAGAGACGCCTAAGGTGAATGAATTCGACGTTTCCGTGTGTGTGGGCTCAAGTTTTTAACCTTTCGCTTTGCATGCTCTGAATTAAGCCGATCCATTTTCACAGAAACAATCCAGAAGTTTGTTTTTTATTGTTTTCGCGAGGACGTCTTTCTGATTTATGACTCGATGACGTTGACCATTATTTAGATGAAGCCGTCGAGATACCCGAAGGGCAAGGAAACGCGGCGAAACTTTTGAATCGGGCACCGAGTGGCGCCTAAGTATGGGCATTCGCTTCTGTCCAGACTTTGTGGTCATGAGCTGACATGCAATCAGTCGCCCTCACGGGTTTCTTTGGAACACGCTCTTCAAACGCTTACCACAAGGAAACCCGATTCATTTCCAGTTCGAGACCGCTGCGAACTGCGCCCTATTAATCACGAACCGTGTTTGATCTTTCCACAGGCTCCGACATGGAATTTGCTGCTGCGATCGACCTTCGTAACCTCCTCCAATCGTATTCCTTCTCCGTGAACAGCCCACGTGTGAAATTGCTTTCTCTAAGTGCTCTCCGGAGTTCTGCCTCTTGGGGTCGCCCCTAAACTCCTTGATTATTTCGGGCATCTGATGTGACACTGACGCCAACTGAAATACTCAGAATTGTTTTCAGATGTACCTAGTCATTTTCAAAAAAGTGGTTATAATAAAACGGGTCAAAAAAGGTTCTAATACTGATAAGAAACCGATTCCTTCATTCAGGTTTCCTCTGACGTCCTGGCTCTTGCCGTCGGCCTCGAACGCCCCGCGATCGCGAGCCCCTTTGAATCCGCTCTGACGCAGACCAGATTGCTCAGAACCCTTCTTAGGTTTGGTGACAGCAAAACGGAATATATTTTGAAATACTGATGAAAATTTGGTTCCTTCAGGTTTCCTCTGACGTCCTGGCTCTTGCCGTCGCCCTCGAACGCCCCGCGATCGCGACCCCCTTCGAGTACGCTCGATGGCTCTGCAACCGGACCAGTGCCGGCCCCCCCGTTTGCGCGCTTGTCCCCTTCCAAAACCCCGGCGCGCTAGCGGCGGCCGCGGTGCGCATCCTGCGCCGCCCCGACCTGCCGCGCGTCGCGCCCGCGGCCGCGCACGCGCGCGGCATGCTCGCATACTGGCCCGAGCTGGCGGCGCGCTGGGTGGCGCTCCTGCGGGACGTCAGCGTGACGTGGCAGAGGGACCGGACGTTCCGCGTCAGGCGGATCCAGGGGCCGTTTCCTAAGGCTGACGTAAACGATCCGAAGAACGACGAATCTCAAATGAAAACGGACGGCTTAGGGGGGCAATCTCGTTTGACGGCCTCGCAAACGGAGCGGGATGAGATTGGCGGGCTTCGATTGAAAACGGGTCCTTTCAGGGGGGTCCATTCGGCCGGTGGAGCGCCCCCCCTCGAGCGGTGCACCGCGCAGCGGGGCGCTGACGGCTCCTTTTACGCCACCAATAGCTTATTGGCCCTGCACGGCCGCTTTTATAAGGGCGGGGAGCATAGAGTCAAGCATACCCTGCTCCAAGGCTCGGACCTGGTATTAGGTGCCGCGGGCGTCCGATACGGCGGAGCGTTTCTGTCCGCACGATCGGAGATTGGACAGGTGGAAACGAGGCTCATTCCAGACGTGGAGAATTTACGACAGGAGGGGAGGGGCGCGGTTCTGGGGTTCGAGTCGCTTGTGTTCGCTTCCGGGGATGAATCTGCGCCGGTTGCGAGAGTGTCAACGTCGTTCCGACTGCAGCCAAAGTCGACGGCTCTGACACTAGAGTTTCGAGTCGAGGCGATGGGCGGGTGCTTGGCTGACGTGGAAATCATCTCCGGAATGGATTGCATGTCTAGCACTTTCCCCGGGCTTACTTTCGACACGTTTCGTGCCCGGTCGACCGACGGCAAAGACATCGGTGTCTCAGCTACGAGCGCGGAAGCGACGTTGTTCGATCGCACCAAAGACGGAGTTTCAGACTGGAGTATTGTCATGAACAGGGCGGGCGATTTCGGTGTCGTCACGGTTCCCCGTAACGAGTCTCTGTTGAGCTCCACGTTCAGCGAAGTAAGCGAAGAGGCGGGTGACGTCAGCTTCCATTACGTGGCGAGTCGGTATGCCCTAGGCGAGGTGTGCAGTGGTTTGCCAAAGTCCATCGTAGAAGAGAAGATTCTGGTATCGAAGATAGATGTAGATAATTGGTCTTTTTTTGACGGAGTCGTTCGAGAGCTTAATCCTAACTGAACGGCTTAAAGACTCATCGATTCCCATTTGTCTGAGATTGCCGTGCGAGATCTCAACCGCTTTTGATAAGATACTGACAACGTAATACTAATCAACGCATGCCGACCGTTAGTGGATAAGTTCAAAAGACTAGCGCTGTGAAACGAGGCTGGTGGTTGGAAAAGGCGTCCTGAATTCTGGAGCGGCAGAACAGTAGAAGAAGCGGATGCTTGCAGCCTGCGAGAGGACAAAAATACTTGCAGATACAACAAGGTCTGTATTTTGGACCGCGGTGAGGTGCCAGCGAAGTATGAGGCGGAAATGATTGTCTTGGCGCCGTGCATGGCAGAGGGTGTCTGAACTCGCCTTTCATGAATTCCCCACAGTCGCCGAGCCCTCCGCATCTTTAATCAATGCATGGTTCAAGTAAAGAGTCTGGACGTCATGCCATCATGCATACTAAGCACCGACGGCTGCAAGTAAAAATCCTATTGCAGGTTTTCATGCCGGTCCGAGTCGTGCACGATGGAATTCAACTTCGAAACTGAGTGCGTCTTAGTGCCCGTGCCACGTCAGTGATCTCAATGGTGTGATCATTCTAAAGAGCTCGGACTGGTTGTCACGGCGGGTCGATCATGACCCGGTGAATGATGTATACTATTCAGATGCTATAGCACTGCATGCAAGTCTAATAGTACGTATAGTTGATATCCTGAGGAAAGAAAATCAGCGGTATACGTCGCGGTACCTTTACACCATCATGTACGTACTAAGCGGAACCGCAGCTAGGACCGGTGTCCCCGATAAGAGTCGTCGGAAGTATACGTTTTGCTAGGAACAAGGTCTAAACTTGTCAACGGCTGGTATTCGGCGATCGAGGACAGGTGGGTTTGGTATGGTATAAGCCGCGCTTGAGGGCGCTTTAGTAACCGTTTGACCGTTCACTTTGATCCATTTCATCCGTTCGTTTGCAGCTGCGAGTCGAATCGACTTGGGCGCATCTTTCCATAGAGTCTGAGAGAACGGACCCGGAGCAAGCAAGTACTTCTTTAGTGTTCTGATTTCGATCCCACAATCAAAGTAATTCTCATAGAACCAGTTGATGACTCCAGGAATATCGGAGTTCACAATCGCTAGGAACTCAAGGCTCGTGCTCGTTCGAAGTGGTTTACTTGCGCCGTTACTAAGGTCTCTTAGTGATCTGCCAACAACTCGTCTGCACAGGCTGCATTGCCGAAAAGGGACCGGGCCTTTTAATTTTCTGAGCTCCGAAGTATAATGACGTACTTCCAGAAGCATAATAGTGATATAAAAAGCAAGATTGTGTGTAAGGGAAAATCCAATTTTTTTGAAACTCCTCGGTTGGGAAGCTTGAAGAGGGCTTGAAGGCGTTGCCGTAGCACGGAAATTTTGAATTTTAGATCTGAGCCATTGGAATTACTGCGTTGTGCAGCGTTGCAAGGCGATGTTCAACGGCTTTTTACAATGGAATGAAATCTCGCGAGACGATCGCAGGAGCCCCGGAAAGTTCCGCTGTAAGAACACAGACCTTCGTGAACGTCCCCTCAGGCTGCAGTCCCAGCTGCTGTTTCTTCCGCTGAACCTGCCTTTCCGAAATCTTGCACGGAATTCCGGCATGTCGTCATTTAGTAACCATTATAATTTAGCCTGTTGGCAAGTTGCCACTTGGCAGTCACCAGTATCAGGCGGAAATGACGGTGCGGACTTGTAATTTTGCGCAGACCCTGCAATGATTGCGAAGATGAGAATGCGCCCATACGGGTCCTCGACACAACCCTTCGGGAAGCAACTTTCGTAATTCACATCTTGGTCACAAACCGAACACGTGAACATGTTTTGCACCCTGTCAGTGTCACCCGGAATCACACCGCACTGCGCATAGTAGTACCTAGTACATACACGAACACCCATTTCCGCCCTTTGTTTCAGCAAACGTGCCAGGGGTGAGGGAGTTCTCAAGCGAATCAGTCCGAGTTCTCATGAAGAGAGCTTCCTTGTTTAGGGCACATACCCGCCATGTGCTCTTGGAGAACATTTGCGCGTTGATATGAGACTATGTAATAAGGGGAGGATTGAGAGATTGACGAGGCGGCACCTTTCGCTGTTGTGGTTCCGAGACAAGCAAGTGTGACCATTGCATATATATACATTTCCGGCGTTGCTGTGCAGGATCAGATGATAACTCATGGTGAGTGTCAAGTTCCTGCAGGTCCGGGGCAGGCCTTGGATCCTCAAGCTTAGTTAGCAAACCGACTGTCTGTTGCAGCATCTTTGCACCTGCTAGTTCATTAGCAGACCGTGTATGCAGCTCCAGATTGCTGACATGTATCGCATCATTGCGCCTGATCATTGACAGGCTGGCCGCACATGATGTGTACATCAGATTTCTTCCTTTCTTACAATCTCGCCTCTGAACAGCGTATTTCCTTCAAAAGCTTTCTGAATGCTTTGACGTTGCTTGGAAGCTCTATGGCCTGGTCCAGTCTGTCTCAAATGCTGAGCAGCTTCCTGAAAAGAGGTCAATCCAGACTCCCAATTTGAAATTTGTCGTGGCTGTGTGCTTGGCACGAGTCTCCAATCATCATCAAAGGTCCCCTGCTTGTGGATTCCCATCAGGTTTTGACTATCTGGCCAACAAGGAACTAATTGTTCGCAATGATTAGCAGTTGGTTTAATTGACCCTTTTTCATCCTGCAGGTTTATTATAAGTGCAGCACTGGCTGAACTGCACATTGGCTTGTCTACTCTCGCTGATCCAATCTGGTTATCATAAGTTCAACACAGTGGATACTGAGGCCAGATTTGCAAATTAATCTTGAGGAGACTGGATTGCTGCTGGGACTACTGTTGGTAAGCATCTCTTTGAAATCACCATTCTCTTTTAAAGAGGCAGTCTCTGGAACAACTCTACTTGATAGCCTGAGAGGTACTACCTTATCTGCCCCCCCAATGTAAGGTGTGGGGTGAGCTCCAGATTACGTCAACAATGGCTGCTTCCTTTCACTTACGGGCCTAAATCAATGTCCAAGGTTAGTTCTTCACAGCTTATGCAGGCAGGCCGATGAATCATGTGTCGTTGCAAGGCCAAGAGACCGAAACGCTTGTTGGGTGCACACGTTGTCGCCGCTGGATGATTTGTGTCCCTAATGTATGAACAGTAAGGGCTGCTGATAAGTTTGCTTATCAAGGCTGTTTTTCAGTGAGTAGGCAGACTTGTAAAAGTTTGCAGGTACTTTTATTATCATACACATTGCTGTGGGTTCTGAGCATTCCACATCTTGTTGTTTACAGGCTGTACTACCGCTGACACTCACGATGGCGCTTGTCAACTTTGCGGTGCTACTGCTTCTCGTTGCCACTCTCCCAAGCTGCCACCCTTTTACCATAAGGGATTTCGAGGAGCGCCTTGGCTATAGCCTCAACGCCACAACCGCGGTACTGGATATGTCCAACGCAAGCCCTCCGCTACAGGGTCCCATTCCCTTGGAGTTGGGCAGCTTTGTGAACCTGACAAAGGTGGATCTTTCAGGGAACAACATTACTGGAGGGATCCCCCCGGAGCTTGGCCGGCTGGTCAATGTTACTTCTTTGATCCTCGACGATAACCACCTGTCGGAGCCCATTCCGAAAGAGCTAGCTGGGCTGATTAAGCTCAGGAGCCTCTCTCTCAGCAACAACAGCTTGTCGGAGGGGATTCCAATCGAGCTTGGCTCCCTGTCCAGCCTGAAGAATCTGGATCTTGGTGCAAACCACCTGTCGGGTCCAATTCCAAAGCAGCTTGCTGCCCTAAGCAACTTGACCTTCCTGTTTCTGAACAATAACAGCTTGTCTGGGGAAATACCCATCGAGTTGGGGGCGCTGCGTAAGTTGTACGCGCTTAACCTGGCTGCAAACAATCTCACTGGAAACATACCTCCTGAGTTGGGCGACCTTGCGGGCATTTTCCACATAGACCTGAGCTTAAACAAGCTGACGGGTAGCATACCTGGTGAGCTGGGCAAGCTTCCAGTACAGATACTGGACCTGCAAAATAATAGCCTATCAGGTCAGATACCCCCTCAGCTGGGCAATCTTTCCAGCCTTTTTGCGGTGGACCTATCATACAACAATCTGGACGGGCCTATTCCCCCAGAGATAGGGGATATGGGCTGGAAAAAAACCAGCCCGTTCGGGATGTCCGTATACTTCCAACACAATCGTCTGTCGGGACCGCTGCCCGCGGAATTTCGACGCCTGGTCGGCAGAGTTCTCACTCTCAACCTGGGGAACAACGAGTTCTCCGGGCCTCTGCCCTTTACTTTCGACGACTTTCCCGCGTGCTTTGCGGGCGTCATCCTCGGAAACAACAACTTCTCGGGGCCGTTTGTGTTGGAGCGCAGCAATTTCAGCTGCACTACCGGGTTAATCCTCAACAACAACAGCTTCTCCGGACCCATACCCGCAGCCCTCGGGAACAACGCTTCCTCTCTCCGTGGTATCGACCTATCAAACAACAGGTTTACTGGGCCCTTACCCCCCGAGCTCGGTAAGCTTAAGTACCTATGGGTATTGGGCGTGAGCAACAACTCCCTATCCGGCCCGATTCCGCCAGAACTGGGGGCTTTGAGCAAGCTGACAACACTTGCTCTTATCGGCAACAACTTCAGTGGGGAGATACCGCCCAATCTGACGCACCTGGAGGTCTTGGACGTTAGCCGTAACCCGGGCCTTGTTAACCTGCCCCAAAACCTGACCAACAACGCGGAAAACCTGACTTTCCTGGGCATGTCTGGGCACGTTCCTGCCTGGGTTTCGGGCCTCAAGAAACTCCGGGGCCTTGTATTGAGGCCGCTCGATGGCCAGCCGTCGGAAGCCGTCCTCGACCTGTCTCACGTTCCAAACGGGACTCAGTTCGTCGCCGTCAGCGGAAACCAGCGCAACCTCTCGAAGATCGTCTTCTGGGAGGCTTGCAACTACGGCTGCACCATTGACCTCGTTGGGACTGGGGCGCGCCTTTCGCGCGGCACGAGGAGGGAGATCTGCTTGGGTAAGATCTCGGTCTTCTTATCGGGGGACCGTCCTCTGCGCGACGTCGATGCGCTGACCCTAACGAACAGCCAGGGCACGGTTTCCCTGCTCGATCCCTTATTCTTAGACAAGATTGATCTAGGCCCAGGCGGTCGTGCTTACACGGGCGTCAGCTTTCCCCGGGTTCAGGAGGGCAACCTTTGCAGGAACCCAGAGTCCCGCAAGGTGGTCGTGATTATGTTCTCGGTGTTTGCGGGGGCGCTGCTACTGGGCGCGCTTGTTGTCTCGATCGCCACTGCGCTACGGAGAACCAGAGCCGGGGGAAAACCACGCACGGAGTCAGCCATTGGAGCGACTCGGATGCAAGCGCCCCGTCTGGCCGGAGCTTATATCTGGGGCCTGATCGGCCCACTTCTCACGTGGGGCGCCCTGTATACGGATATCCGCGTCCTACTGGACGTCCGCGGCGCCTGGCCGCAGTGGGTCATTCTCGGGAGCATTTTGGCGTCCTATATTTCCGGGGCTCTCCTGGTGACGGAGCTTCTGCCGACGTCCGGCAGTTCTCTGCCGCCGGTGACGTCGCTGCGCATGCGGTGGATTTGGCCGCCCCCAGAACCAAACGCTGTGGGGGATCTGGGCACGACTGCATATCCTATGAGCCGCGCCAGGTGGGCGCTTCTATTGGTCGCTTGGCCTCTAGCTGTTCCAGTTGTGCCCCTGCTCGACTTTATGGTCCTCGTTGACCGGGTTGGCTTCCACGTGTCAACGTCGGTCAACACGGTTTACAGTATGAGACCCTGGTATCAGACCCGGTCTCTGCTGGAGCTGGCGGTACGTACCGTGCCACAGATTGCTTTCCAGACGACCGTGTATCTGTTGGGCAACTCGCGTGCGACGCGCTTCTACGTGGACGAGATTATTTTCGTGTCGTCTATCGGCGTTTCCTTGGTCTCCCTCCTTTTCCAACTCCTGACACTGTTCTGGGAAGCTGCCGCCGCCCCCGAGTATATTTGGATCACGTTTTGGAGGCACTTTAGGAGCGTGACTGGGCCGTGGACGACGTCAGCCGATGCCTGGTATGATGATAACAATCTGAAGGTGGGCAGTGAGAAATTGGTGGAGCTGCCTCAGTGATCGGGGTATATATGCAGAATATTATTTAACGGTCATTCGTGCTGGAAGCGACAATCCATGCGGACCATGCAAGTACAATCACGACAACGTCCCTTTCGGGGATCAGGCAGTACACATTAGGGGTTGCATATCCTAGGGTTTAAGTCGGCGTCAATTTTATGGGAGGCCGGTGCCGCCTTCTGTACGAACGTAAGGCCATCATTAATGGCCGGAGTTGCTTCTTCTCGACAGTACCACCGCCGTAAAGAATGATCGACAGGTCGAGGAAGAATACTCATCATGCCCGTTTGAAACGTGACCTTGATGATAGGACTCCAGTCGAGTCATATTTCTCGCTTGTTCAGTATGCAATGAAGCGTCACTTGGAGTCATCCGGTTCAGCTTTTATATCAAATGAAGTCAATGCTGTAGAAGGATGCGTGGTTGATCTGGTTGATCCGCGTGTGTGTGCGGCAACGGGGCAGATTATGCTAGCTGTGTTTGATGTTTTGGGCATTTGTTAAATGACCACGAGCCCTCTCAGTCTTCTTTTCATTTTAAGGTCCGACCTAGCTTATCGTACTAGTGGCAATATTCGAGTCCATTCAATGGCAAAGTTCTACAAATCCAATGATTTCCTTGAGTTGGAATCCAGTGCGAAAACGAACGTTTGCCTTTTAGATATCATGAGCGCTGCGGCGCGCACACTTAGTACCAGTACTTAATTGTTGCGGGCCATGCCAGCAGTGTAACTATAGTATGCTGAACATACTGCTTTAGCCGATCGGACGGTACAACCTGATTCGGTATGTGTCGGATCTGTGCATGAGAAGCTCACTCAGTGAGCGCGGCACTGATATATCCAGAATTTAGGATATGCACGCATAATTGGATCATGGATCGAATGCAACGGTAACTTACTTGTCATACTTGGCACGGCAAGCTTCACGCAATTCGACCATGTACGATGATGCGAACAGTGATTAGGATTGCGGCTAACACGGTACGCGAGTTAGTACGTGGGGCCGGTGAATTATTTGCACGCTTTGTATTAGTGACTATTTGTGGGATCAAATTGAAACAGGCTTAACGGAAGCACGCGTACTCCTGCAATCGGGCTCAGGGCCTGATATAACGACTCTAGCCATGGCCTTTTGCGCATCATTGTGGTTTATGTCATGTGCTTACACTGGTTTTCCGGCCAATGTCATGAGGTGCATAGCTCAGTACTATAGATGAAGCCAGTTTTCTACTTTATGGCACCTCAAGCTGAGCAACAACTGTACCCGCCGTACGCTTGTAAAAAGTGAGCGCGCGCCAGAACACTGTTTTCAGATGATGGGCCGATCGGCCAACGGACATATGTTCAATCCTACACGCCCTCTCGGTACAATCAGTTGCTAAAGTATAGCCAGCGAATAAGCCGCCCGATAAGCAAGGATCAAAATGTTTATTTTTGCTGTACAGAAGAAAATAGAAGTTTCTGTCCAGTATTCTGGACTCCTCGAATCAAGACATTATTAGCTCGCCTCTAAGATACGAGTTAAAGAGCGCGCTGTGTTGTAACAGTGTTGCATGCGAGGCAGCTGTAGTCGAACGCATGCTGTATAATAAAGCCTACTACCCTACAGGTTAAGGTGATAAGCAGGTCGGATTTCTTCAGTTTAGTGACTGGTCTCGGCTATTCGATGGTAGTCCTGCGTTCTAAACGCATCCTCCACCAGTTTCGTATCGACAGGCCCGGACAGATCAAACCCTCTAAAGCTGTTGACGTTTTGTAGCACGCCATCAAGTGCGGACCAACTTTTCGGGTCTATATTTGACACCAAAAACTTGTCTTCGATTACGGACTTTGGGTAACCTTCGCAGACCTGACCCACAAAGTACCGACTCGCCACGTAGTGAAAGTTAGCATCACCATTGTCGCTTTCCCCACTGCTACAGAAAGTAGAGACCAGCAGAGACTGATTCCTGGGGATGGTGATCACACCGAATTGGCCCTTTTTGTTGGAAACGAGGCTCCAGTCTGGAAGCTCGTCTCTGGTGCGATCGTACAGCATAACTTCACCGCTCGCAGCAGAGACGCTCCGTGCTTCGCCGTTTGCTAACCGTCCGTAAAAGCTGTCAAAAACTAGCCCGGGAAAGAGACTCGACATGGAATCCATGCCGGAAACGATCTCGACCTCCCGCAAGCACCCGCCAAACGCTTCGATCCGAAAGTCGAGTGTCAAGCCCGCAAACCCAGGCCGCAGACTGAAGAACGTTGACACCCGCCCAACTGGTTTCGACTCGGTCTCGGAAACGGATAGAAGCGTTTCGAGTCGCAGAAAGGCGTCACTCCCAGGTCTTCCGCCGCTGATCTCCCACGCGTCCGGTACGAGCCGCGTTTCCAGCCGTCCGATCTCCGATCGTGCGGACACGAACAGCCCGCCGTACCGGACGCCCGCGGTCCCCAGCACCAAGTCCGAGCCGTGCAATAGCGTATGCTTGATCATATGGTCCTGGCCCTTATCTACCTGCCCGTGCAATGCAGACACCCCATTCGCAATATGGAAGGTGTCGTCCTTGCCCCGCTGGGCGACGCACCGCTTGAGGGGGGGCGCCCATCCGGCGAAACGGACCCCCCCGAACGTAAGCCTCCGCAGCCACCTATTGACCTCCTCGCGCCGCTTCTGCGACGCCGTCGAGAAGAGCTCCCGCGCCAAGTCGTCCGTTCTCACAGCTTCGCCGTCGTTAAATCGACCGACTTCGTTCTTCTCGCGCGCTCCAATCTGAGCACTTTCCCGCGCGCCAGATCCGCTCCCATTGCGCCACGTCAGCGTGACGTCGCGCAGGAGCGCCACCCAGCGCGGCGCCAGCTCCGGCCAGTGCGCGAGCATGCCGCGCGCATGGGCGGCGGAGGGGGCGACGCGCCGCGCGTTCGGGTCGCGCAGGATGTCGATCGCGGCCGCGGCTAGCGCGCGCGCGTCGCGGAACGGGACCAGCGCGCAAGCGGGGGGTCCGGGTGCGGTGCGGTTGCAGAGCCATTGGGCGTATTCGAAGGGGGTCGCGATGGCGGGGCGTTTGAGGCCGACCGCGAGTGCCAGAACACCTGACGAAACCTGCGTTTGAAAGGTTGGTTAGAGCTGATTAGAGTTTATTTCAGTGGCATAGATGGAAGAACATTCAGAATCGTTTTGTGTATTGCGAAGGGCGTCGCGATGGCGGGGCGATTCAGGCCGGCCGCGAGTGCCCAAACGCCTGACGAAACCTGCGGGTTCAGACATTGGTTAGAGCTGGTTAGGAGTTGATCTCAGTGATATGGAGGTAAGGACGTACAATATTGTTGGTTGTATTGGAGGGGTGTCGCGATGGCGGGGCGTTTCAATCCGACCGCGAGTGCCTAAAATTCTGAGAAACATGCGGATTTATTGCTGGATAGAACCGACTTATACTGGCACAGAAGTGATGGGTGTATTTGAAACGAGCGCGTTTGGCGGCGGATGATGAATGCTAAAATGCCTAACGAAACCTGCGGGTATGGATATTGGTTAGAGCTGATTAGTCTCGAGTTTCATTGGCCTAGAAGTACGGACCGACAGAACTCGGTGCATTTTGAAAGGCATGGCGATGGGAGGGCGGTTTGAGGCCGACCGTAAGTGACAGAATCCCGGAAGAAACCTGCAAGAAGATGGGTTAGTCCTCGTTCAGAAGTGGATTTGAGTTGAGTTTAGGGGTCTGGTGCCACTTGGCGTACTCAAAAGTAACGAGCAAACGTCCGGATGGTGGACTCAAGAGTAGTCGTCCGGACTCCAGAAGAATGAGATGATTCTCGAAGTTTCACAGGCGAAGTAAAGCGGGTTTTGAAGCAAGTTCCACTTGTTCTGAGAAGAAGGGTTCTCAAACTGATGAGGGATTGCGCTGGTGAAGCCGTTGAAGTCCGCAACCGCAAGTGCTTAGAAGACAAGAAAACCTGTTTTGGAGAAGTTCTGGCCGGCGTGGGTCACCAAGTGAATTTGATGTACGTGTTTGAGAGAAGAAACTGCGGCCGAGGGAGACTCCTTCATTTGACCGGGCTCTGAAATAATGGGGGAATAAGAGACGATCTGCAGCTGATTGTTGACTCGGCACGGGGTTCGAAGTAAAGGTTTTAAACTCAATGAGCGTGAACGAAGTGCGTATCGGTCAAGCCCCACTCCATTTGCCAGCACTTCAGACAAATTTTAAGGGGGAATGAAGGAACCGAGTGAAGGTGAACTCGCCGATTGAGTTTGCGCGTGCTCGGAAGAGTGGGCTACCAAGGGAGGCAGTGCGTTTGAGTCGGCGCCGCAACTGCCAAAACTCAAACATGAATCCTGGGGTTCCGAAAATAGAGTCTGAGATGGTTCCAAGACGAGTTAGAAGATTGCTCCAGAACAACACCGAGTAAAGTTGGAGGTTCCACGAGGATCGGAAGGTTTTCAAGCAAGGTCTCTCAAACAAGTGGGCGTTTTTGAAATGGGGCTACGAAGGTTCCAGCCCGACTGCGAGTGGCAAAACTTCTCAGAGAACCTGCAGAACAATCAATTAGGCCTAGGATGACAGTTTTAATGGATGACAAGCTGGTCTCATCACCTGTTCAGACCGTCAGCCGGAACCCGTTACATTTTGCCGTTGGAAGATTTACGAACGGGCCGGATTGGTTGTATGCGACAAACATTTTCCCGCTTCCTTGCCAACCTCCAACTCTGTCGAACGTTCTACCTGGCCATTTTGAACTGTCAGACGTTTGCTGAGGAACGTAGCCGTCCAATCGAACAAAGCCGTCGGAATCGGCAAAGCGATGATCCGTTTGACCGGAACGATAAGTGGTTTCGTTTGTGCCCTGCTCATACGCAGAACCTTCGTCGACGTCTGCTAACTCCAAGCTAGGCCTTGTGCGCAATCGCCTCTCCTTTCTTGGTGGACGAACGCTGATCCAATCGTTTCAGGGACAGATTGAACACCCTTACTTGCTCCCAACGAATAACTCTGAGTTCTCACAACCATCTATACGCTGTTGGGAAGCTTGCGTTGATTGCACAGTCCATTGAATACAGATAACGGTACAAAATAGTGTATCAGAACGCGGTTCTCAGCTGAGTCGGGTCAATATACGGCTTCACCACCAAACTTCACCTGGTAAAACGTTTTGAACTAGATGGGAGTGCAGAAGAAATAGATAAAATGCGGTTCGCACCTGAGTCGGGTCAATATATGGCGTAATCACCAAGCTCGCCCCGCTGATCTGCCGTATGAGTTCGTCCTTGCTGACGAACGTCACCTCGATCCGAACCGCGTCCCCCACCCCGAGCGTCTCCGCGAGTCTCCTCAGCGTTTCCACATAATCTCCCGCGATCTTAGGGGGATCCCCCTGAATATGGTACACTGCGCGGGGGAGTGCCGCTTTCACTTCTCGCATGGCCTCGATCATCGATTCGATGCTTTTCACTGGGGCCAGCAGTCCGGGAGTAAAGATCACCAGCTTTTTATTCTTGTCTGGGTCGTCCCTCTGTCTAGCTACCGGTTCGGGCACCCCGTGCGGCCCAAACGTACAGTTGATTTTAACAGAGACTTGGGTGCGTAGACGGGCGCATAAGGAGGGCAGGAATACTTGGACTAAAGTTGAGTGACTCAAAATCTGCTGTAGAACCACCTTGGCTTGGGCAGTGAGTAATAGGGGGACAGTGTGTAACTCAGTCACTACGGGGATGGTTAAACGGGTTAGCAAGGCCAGAACGAGCTCTCCCGACTCTCCTCCGAAGATACCATACCTGAGAGAAAACACAGGAGTTTGTCATGGGTTTTATTTCGCTAGCCGCTGGTTTCTAAGGAGTCATAATTTGGGTTGGAGAAGTGGTTAATGGATAATCAACTGCCTTCTGATCAACGTAAAAAAGGTCAACTCAGAACGACCCAACAAACAGATTGTATCAGAAATAAACTTCAATCGTTTTGTGTTGAATCTGGTCAAGGCGTTCTATCTGGTGCAGGGACGAATCAGGCTGCAAATATTCAAAAGAAACTGGCTTTACGTCTGGTATCGCATCGATTCAGAATCTGGAGCAACATTATACTTGCGAAGGAGTATCTCTCGTCAATCACAGTTGGACACCAGCTGATGATTGCCTATCTGCAAGTTGCGGAGCTGGCTAGCAGGCATAAGCTTATCAAGGAACTTTGGATCATTATCCAATCCAAAACATTTCCTGAGTCGGAACTTCAAAAGACTCAGTAAAAGTGAACTGCCCTTAAGGTTGCGTATGAGATTTGGAAAAAACAACATTTTGTGCCAGACAGTATTGGGGGGAGCAGAGAACTTGGCTCACTCGTGATGGACGTTCAGCACATCAAAGTGACGGTTGATGACGTCAGCAGCCCGGACGTAGTCCCCCACCTCCCACTTCCTGATCACGAACGAAACCTCATCCCCATAACTGTATGGCGTCCCCTCATCGTCCACTACAACGATGCCGATACTCAAATGGGGGGTCAAAATGCCAGCTGCCACCACCCCCCTGTGGTACAGATCATAGGTGCCCTCCGCAACGCCGCACTTCTGGGGGGGGTATGAGCTCAAAATCCCAATCCTTAGGGGAGCAGGGGCTTTGCTGACCTCAGCAGCGGTCAGACCCCCGGAACAAGACCCCGGAGTGCCATCACACACTTTTCGTGGGCCAAATTGTACCGTCGAGGCCGGTGGACTCCCCCTGGTGGAAAGATGCACCATAAGGACGAGGCCCGCCAGAGCCACAAGCAGCCCCCAGCTGCGGCGAACTAGAGCGGAGACGAGCAGCCACCGGCGGTGAGCTGTTCGCGCACCCATGCCTGATGAAGCTGCCCTACGCCTATGCTTTTCTGATCATTCTGAGGACCACAGCAAACTTGCATAAGCAGCTAGATATAAGGATATAAGAGGAGTGGCACAGCCAAGGGCGGCTAAGCCCGTGAATGTAGTCAATCAGCCCATTTGGAAACCCCTGCGACCTCACTATGACCGCACGGGCAGAGACCCAGCCTCACCACCCATCAATCTGCACAATTACAGCTGTCACTAAGGAGGCCTCATCATATCTTGGCGCTTTCAGGATGGAAACCAGTGAGTACCCAAGTTGGCGTGGTGGCGAGGAATTGTTGCGGACAGCTTTTCTACCCCTGCACGCTTCCAAGTAGATACATCAATTCTCTAGGAATGGACGCTAGCTGGAGGAAGGGGACAGATCTTGCACGTTGAGGGCAAACTCGGTGAGGCATCACAACCCAGTATGAAATCCTGGCGGCATTGTGTGCACTATAGAATGTGGACGTGTGCACCAGAGGCCGGTGAATGCTACTGCAATAGTAAGCGGCAGCACTTACCAAACAGAGGCAAAATGCACGACTCGTGCACGTACTGATCGTTCTTCTTTAAGATGCATGCAGGCCTGGATTGATGCTCCCAGTCCTACCCAGCCAACATGTATTTCTATGGAATTACAGCACGATTGATAAAAGCCTGCTCTGGACAGTGGAAGGTCCCTGAGCAAAATCGAAGCTCATCCGATCTTTGCAGTGCTTTGCGCCCAGCATGACCATCTCAAGCTCTCCATATCATGGCATATGGAATCTCCGTAGGGGGTCAGGGCCGGGTCAGGCCCAGCGTACTTTTCGGTGAGCACGGGTGACGGCCCCTAGCTACCCACTTCCTTATAGTTACTTCAACTTACGCATATGCCCTTTGCCGGAGCGGGCGGCAAAGCCTGGGGGCGGTCCACTGGCCACAAGACTCAAACGCGAGACATGACCGTCGATTTAGGGGAGTGAGCCAAACGTAGCCGTTGATCTATTAAAGGTAGTACATTGGAGATAAGTTCGAATGTTGAATCAAGAACGCGCGCAGCAAGCATAGATGATAGTACCATAATAGGTAGCACGTCTTGAGATTTGGGAGGCACCCACCGCCCGAGTACTGAATGGCTCATTCAGCAGCCATGTGTATTATGCAAGGATACCTTCATCTTCGCATGAAAACACAGGGAGGTCGTCCAGTAATAGTCAAGCTCAATAACATGGACAACGTATTGTGACGCCGGTGCTAGAATCGAACTGGCTCTTGGCTGCCGTTCTTTTCTCAGTTTTACCGCATTGCCTGGTCTCTTTAATTTCAAAAGACGTTCTCAAGCTCTCTGTGGCTGTGCCTCTGACCGGACGACGAGCCGCGGTACGTCATTCAGACACTCTAAACACGTGCACTCCTTGGTGCACGGCACACCAGCCTGCGGAGGGATGTAAAGGGAAGCTCAATCAATGATACGTCTCCGTCCTTCGTCACCATCCGTTCGCCATATATATTGGTGCAACTTTATGGCATCATGATCTTTCCGTAAAGGAGATGTATAGAAAGATCATCTAGCGTATGAAAATTTCTGGCCCCAGGCTCGATTCGGATAAGGCCCTGACCGGCGAATGAAACAATGATAGCGTGAAAGAGGAACGAGACCCGCTCAGAAGCTCGCAGCACTGCCGTTGTTTCAGTAGAAAGCGTGAGTTGCCCGTGATTTCCAAAGTCCACAAGCAGAAGGCATGAGTTCAGGCACGAAAGACTACGTTATGAGAAAATAAGAAGGCGGACTAAGGAAGCGAATCGAACCAAATTCTATAAGATGAAAGTGATCAGCAATCTTCCGCGAACGCATGTGTACTTTCAATGACTTCAGCAAGAACAAGGAGGGCTCTTCAATGAAGGATGCGAGTCATGCACCCACAAGCTTCTTGAGTGGGACACGTGGCGCTCACCTGGAAGCACACGCAGTACTCCTTTTGGCACTGCGACTTGCGGCAGTGGCACCCCCCCCGCACGTGCCTCTGAACCGCTAAGCCCACGCTCCGGTCCTGCGCAAGGAGGACGACACGTTTCTTAATCAGACTCGTTCGAAGGTCTTTGAAAAGGATGATTACATAGAAGCTGGTCAGCTTCGGCGTTTAAACCGCTGCACGTCATCACTGGTTGGTCTCTGCTCGCGGTTGGCGAAAGTATGATCCGTCAAGACTGTGATAGAGGATTAAGACCGGGATGTGCCGGGATTGGAGGCGTTATGTCCATAAACTTGCAAATAGCCGGGCAAAATTCGATTTAACGACTGGGCTGATATTGTAGGACCTTCGGAGAGTCGGCCGACGTCAGCCCACACTTGCTCAGATAGCTGCATCCGGCTTTGAATGCGAAGCAGCTGCAAGAGGAGATTGCAGTCACCGACTTGATGGCTGCGAAAGGGGAGCTAAAGAGACGTTCATTCTCAACGGGAACCGGCTCTAAGAGCTTATTCCCATAGTATCAGCACGATTGAAAGGACTTGCGGATCTCCCTCTGTGGGCCGCGACGATACCTTCAGCTTGCGTCATATCTGACTATCTCGCCCCCTCCACATGGCTTGAAAATGGGCCGGTAGAACGGAAGCGCTAAGCACGCAAAGCCTGGGAACGACAACCCGCGCTGATGATGTCACCCGGCGACAACTGACGTCAGCACGAGGTGCCTACCTGCGAAGTGCTCTCTGACGTCCAAGCGGCGTTCGTCGCGCCTGAGAGTCTGCCGCCCTTACCGCTGATAAGCAGGCTTGTCGCCAGACGCGTGCACCGAAATGGCAAATCAGTGACGTCAATTTGAATGAAGTGACGTCAGCGTGAGCTCACCTCGACGATCCGGAAGGCGTTCGGCTCCTTCCGGATGATGGCGGCCTTGCGCTCGTTCACAATCGCCGCGTTCTCCTCCGTGTTCAGGCAGTTGACGCACAGGCAGCCGGAGCAGTAGACGCCCGCGGCAAAACAGTCGCAGTACCTGCGCAAACATTCAGAACAACTTCTTTGAAGACGAAAGAAGGAGGGACGTGTCTTGTCAACGAGATTTAAAGTAGCTTCCACATCACTGTCGTGACGGTTTATGCAGAGGCAGCCGGAGCAATAGACGCCCGTAGCACACAGTCGCAGTACCTGCGGGTTCGTCGAAAGGAGATATCGAAAAATGGCCAGTGGAAATGCTTTACCTCTTGATTTCATGTTAGTGTATCATATATTTCAAGACAGCAGTGTTGAGGCGCTTGACGCAGAGGCAGCCGGAGCAGTAGACGCCCGCGGCAAAACAGTCGCAGTACCTGGCCGAGCATTGCGATGGGATGTTAGAAGTGGCTCGTCGAATTGAATCGGTACACCTGCCGAACAATCAGGGTAGATGCAGACGAAGCAGAGGCATGTAAAGCAATAGAATTCCAAAGCAGAGGAGTCGCAGAACCTGCGCGAAAGAAAATGTCAAAAGTGGCTTGTCGAACAGTTTGCTTCGTTTTCCCTTAAACAATGCTGATGTAGCAGAGGCAGAGGCTACCAGGGAACTAAACGCCCGCAGCAGAATTGTCGCAGTATCTGCGTTAAGAACGGTTTCCCTGCTTCAATGAGATACGATCATGGTAGGGTCACCGCGCTGGGACTAATAGGTTTACTTTTGCACATTGAGGGTGGGTAAAAAAGCGAAGCGAGTTGATCTCCGGGTTGAGGCTTAAGTTTTTATCGAGGATTATGTATATTGTGGTTCATTGTTACGGTTCTTAAATTAAGCCTCACGGATCTCGCGTACAGCCTATCCAAACTACCAGTGATTAGGCAAACTGAGGCAAAGGCGGTCACAGCACTAGACGCGTTTGTCGAGGCAGTCACAGTTTATGAAGGATAGTAAACGAGTTCCGAAGAAGAGGCTTCCAAGGCGAAGGCCTTGCTTCTTTTGCCTCGTTTGTGTCGGCGCTGAAAGAGCTGGCTTCCAAACGAACGAGAGAGACAGAGTCTATGTCCATTTTGAGGTGCTTTGAAGGCCGTGGAGGCACAGACAGCTCAGGCAGCGAAGGAGTCGGTGTCGTTGATTGTGCGTCCGTATATTGTGAGGGCCAAGGCTAACTGCCGAAATCTGAAATCCGTACAGCAGTAATACAACATACAAAGGACCGTACTTCACATCTTTAACGGAGAGTGCAAGGTCAACTCTCTGACATTCTATCTAGCGTGTCACTGCTTAAGTCGCTCAGAACCCTGTTTGAAATCGGTCAGTGACCCAGGACAAACCTGCCACGCTGGCAAGATGAACGCCCCAGTCTTTCCGGTCGACGCGGACTCGTTTCTGTAGGCAGAGAAACTCCACCAAAAGGAGACTTCGAAAAGACGGAATCATATGCAGCCCATTAGATAAATCTCACAGTTTGAGGCACTTGGACTTCTTGCACTTGCACCGCAGGCACTTTGCCGCGTCCTTCTCCTTCTTCCCCGCCGGGCAACTGTGCCCGTCACTCTTTGCGACGCTGCCGACGCTGCCTCGGTCGTTCTCTGCTAGCAACCTGCAGGAAGAAGCACAAAAAAACCGCTCTTAGTTTCTCACAAATTCGTTTTGCTGACACCTTTGCTGGTCGTTTTTGGCTAACAATCTGCATCGAAGTAACACAAATTGACCGCTTTCAGACACCTCCCATTGTGCTAGTGACAATTCCTGGTCGTTCTCTGCTAACCAATTGCACGAAAACAACACAAAACCACCGCCTTCAGACTTCTCCAAGTTCGTGTCATCCAGACTTCCCTGGCGTTCTCTGCTAGCAGCCTGCATAAAAGAAGCACGAAACGACCCACGCTACTCTTCCCCAAGCACCGCCGAGAATACTTCTCCGTACGTACTAGTCCGCATCATACGAGGAACAAAAGTGACCGGTACTACGCTCCTACGCTCCTATTAAAGACGAGCGGAAACAACACAAGAAGCCTCCTAGAGATGATGGGAGCTCTGTATGCATCTTTCAGCGCGGGTGTTCGTCCGGTGAACCATGCAATGGACAGGATGTTATCTCACTTGGTCACCATATATTGACCTTGGGCTTCATTATCAAGACTAAGGCAATTGACTGCTCAACGGCGCAATGGTTTCGTGACCAGAAACAGTTCACAAGGTCTAAGAAGTCCAATTGCGCGTCTAACGAACGGATGTCATAATCCTCGGAACTTGCATGGTCCCACCAAAAGGCGTCCTGACGTTAAGCCCCACGGAAGTGCGCCGCTCCACAGAGAATGCACACATTTTCCAGAATTGGCGATTCAAACCATCCGATTCTGCAGTGGTGGGCAAAAGAGGCAGGAAGCACGGTTTCTCACCGCATGTTCTTTGCCAACACCTCCTGCCGCCGCCAAAACTGCACCATCTGAGGATTCGGCGCCGCATCCGGCCCTCCCCCATCTTGCGCGCTGAATGAGCCCCCCGGCCTCTGCGCCACCAGCCGAGAAAAGTCTTCCAGCCCCTTCCGCATAAGCCCCGACGCACTCTTCGTTCCCCCCGGAGCGCTCGCGGGCGGCTGGACGTCCGGAAACGCAGTCGGACGCATCCGGTTGGGCTGCCCGCTGGCAAACGCCCGAAAGGCGCCTGACGTGCTGCTGACGTCAGGCCCCCTGTAGCGAGCCTCGGGGGGGCGATGGAGCGCCACGGCGCTCCGGATTTTGGGCGTCCCCGTTTCGGGGGGGTGGAAGCCCGCAGGTTGGGAGGGCTTGGGCGCCCCCCCGCTTTGGCTGCCCGCCGTCCCAAGCGCTGGCTGCTGTTTTTCAGGGGGGACTTCTCTGGGCTGCTTTTGGGGCAAAGCGCCGTTCCGTTTCGCCTCTTCCACTGAAATTACCATCTTCTCAGCGGAGGCTTTTGCAGAGTCAGCGATCTCCGGCACGTGGCCGTTCCCCCCCGGTCTCTGCACGAGTCTGTGCGGCAGATTGTGGCTCGCGCCCGGACCCGCTCTTCCGACCACGTTCATGCTCGGAACCCCCACGTTAGCCCAATCCGTCCTGCGGGTTAACTCCCCCGGTTTGCTAACCCCGGGCTTCGCCCCTAACAGCTGGGTCTTCCCACAAGACCAATGACTGTCCCCAGGCTCTGACCAACGCTTTACCGCTGGGTTTGGTGTAAGCGGGTTCCCCACCCCTGGCTGGTTTGGGAGGGTTTTGCCCGCGGTTAACTTCGCCCGGTTGCTCGCCCCGGGCCGTTCCGAGAGGCCGGCGCTCCGGATCAGAGACGGCCCCGTCGGCAGTTTGGTAAACCCGCTCAAACCCGTGCTTAACCGCCGGGGAACCTCAGGTACCCGGAGCTTCGGACCGGCCCCCTGACCGCACACCCCCGCAGGGGCGTTTTTGGGCACCGAAACGGACGACGCCACGTGGCGCTCCCTCTGCTTGCCACGTGTCACCTCCCCGCCCTTGCCGGTCCGTCCCATTTTCGAGATTGGAAGCTCGTCACCAGACCCGCTGCTGCCCTCTCCCCCGGTTTCCGCCTCCTCCCGAGCCCTCTTTGCCGTTTCAACCGCAGTCCCCCCCCCAGCTTCTGGGCTCGCGAGACCCCCCCTTTCCACGAGCGCGGCCGCCTTCGCGAGCGCGTCCATCGAGAGCTTGCTGGCCGTCCGATCGAGGTTGGACGGCAGCGTATGCAGCGCCGGTTTGGCGAGAGGCGCAGAGGGATCCCCCAATCTGCCTCGGTCGCCCAGCCGCTGAGAACCAGAGTTGGAGGACTTTGGGGAGACGTGAAGGAAAGCGCTGGCGGCAGTGCGCGCCTTCTTCCTGACTCCGGACAGCGGGCGCTTGGTTCGCTTTCTGCGGACGATCGGAAGATCGGACGGCTGGCGTGCGTCCGATTCGCGCGTGAAGCGCTCATGGCCCTTCTCAGAAAGGGGCTCCAAGTCGGCCTCCAAGGCGCTTCCTGGGTGTGACGGCTGTGCGGTAGTGTCCTCCCCTAACGCTGTTTTGGAGGCTTTGAAAGATCTGGTAAGGGAGTCGGACGGTGATTCCTGGGCGTCTGCATTTGGAACGAGCCTGCAGGGATGGCGGTCATGATTCGGCGATAGGTGCACAACCTTACGAGTTGCAATACGAATAACCTTTGATTTGGAGTCTTGACTTTGATTGCAGGGCTTTCCTTCAACCTCTTCCGTCTGTCCTCAATGGAGATGATGTATGGAAGTAATTCTCCATAGCAGAGAGCGCACACCCTGAAAGCCAAGCACTGGCTTTCAAATCTCTTTAAGACACGGGGGATGCAAGAAAAGTGCAATTTGCAGGCAAGCGCGGATCTGGTTAAATCAAGGCCTCTGCTTTGGCAAGCACTTCTCCAACCACGTAACATAAAGCGGTTAGCACTCAGCGCAGACTCCCTTTTCAAAGAGAGTTTTGTTGAGTCCTTTTTCTGTTCGCAAACCGAACGAAAAGGAGCTCGCTTACCCGGAAACGGATGTAACGACAGGCTCTTGGCTGGGGGCGAAGATCGCGCAGAAGCTTTCTGTCACCTGCACAGAGGGCCAAAGTACTCGGTCCTTTCGTCGGCGACGTCAATGGAAAAGCCGGCAGGGTGCCAAGGGTGCTTGGGATGCGATAAGCGACATAACACAAGTTACGTCGCATGGAATTGCGATGTCTTTCTGCATTTGCCGTCACTCAGCTCGTTTTGCAAGACCAGATGGTCGCCCCACTAATAGGTCTACTTCAACGCTCGTGGGAGCCGAACAACGTCGCACTTGGCATTCTCAAAGATATTTGTGCCTCACCGTAACGCCCAAGATTTGCGAACTAAACACCATAGACCAAAGCCACTGGAAGGAAGTATGAAGAAGCCTATACAAGAATCCGCATAAGATCGGATTCCAGGCGTGTAAAAATCTGAAAGCAGTGCGGTTCGACCCACCTGAGCTACGACAGCCGATTCCTTGCAAATCGCTTGCGACCCTCCTTCGGCTTCGTCTTTCCAAGTCTCGAGGACAGGATTCGAAACTTGCTCTGCGTCGTGGTCCAAAAGCTGCGCAAAAGTGACGGATCAGAACCCCAAATGGTCATTTTCAATCAAAGTCTCCAATAAGATGCGGACCGTGCCATGTTGTCTGCATAAGCGCCATCATTTTGGAGAAGTGAGCATTACATTACACAATTACTGAAAAGTGCCTTGCTACACAGCAGTGCATCATTCTTGGGGGCTCTTCTAAAGCATAGCAGCCAGGCCCTTAAGCCTCGAGCGCCTCAGAACACGCAAGCCGCGAAAGCGGCCAGATGAAATCAACGACTGCACATTTCTAGACGGCTAGCAGTCACTGTAACAAAGGGCTTCAGCAAAAGGTTGGAGCTTGGATCGTTCCAAACCCCGACAGGCTTTTCGGGTTGCAGGAACGGACTCTGCTGGAATGTCTTGTATGCAGACAATGTGGAGCCTCACCTTTGCTTCACGCTCTGCATCGTCCCCCTTCTCCTGCCCAGGAGCCTTCTCCGGCTCGGCTGACAACGCTCCCTCTGCGGCGCCCCCAGCGGAGTCCTCCGGCGCGCCTCTTGTTCTCTGCCGCCCCGCTCCAAGCTCCTCGTGTTCGCCACTCCTTCCATTCTTCACATCACAAACTTCGTGGGCCCAATCACTACTCCCTTGCTCCATGGCCGCAGCTCGCTTCTCCTCACCCCCTATCTTCTCCTCTCTGTCTTCGGTGTTCTTCCTTCCACTGTCCAGAGCCTTTCCCTGTTCTCCAGTCTCCTCCGTAATCCTTGTTCTCAATTCTCCGCCCTGACCCTCCTTCTCCCGCCCCTCCCAAGCTCGAGGAACTTTTTCTGCGTCGGCAGTCTCCTTCTCACCACCCCTAGTTGTCTGGCCTGCGCCCTTGTTCCCTCTCCTGTCGCCTCCACTTTCTTCGTTTCTGCCTCTTGTCGCCTGGAGCAGCCCCTCCTTCCCCAAAGGACTCAAAATCGCCTGCCCCCCCTCAGCCAGCTGCATCATTGCAAACACCATGTCGGGCGCGATGCCGCTGCTCCTGCGGCCCGAAGACGGGGCAAGTCTGCCTGCTAGCATAGAATCAGCATCTACTGAACCCAGAAGGCTCCCTGGTGGGACGCTTCCCGCGTTCCCCTGCGGCTCTGCAACGGAAGCCACTGGGTCCTCCGTTGACTCAGCGGGGTTGCTCTGCTTTGCCCCAGCCACAGGGCTTGACTCTGTTCCGGGGGGGTGCTTTTCAGATGCTGGACACAGGCTCGGTTCACCCCCTTCCAGATCCGCACCCTTGCTACTAGCCCCTATGACACTGGGCGTCTGCTGAGGCAAGCTGACCTCTGCTTGACAGTCTTTGCTGCAGCCCGACTCACTGCAAACTTTTCCCACCGCCCCTTCTACGACCACACTGCGTCGCAGCACCCCTCTTTCTGCTGACGCTCCCATCTCACCCTGTTCAAGCTTCCCCTGTTCACTGCATTCTGACAGCTTCTCCGGTGGCTTGATTGCACCCGCCTCGCATCCCCGCCCTGCCATTCCAACCCAGTGGCGCCTTTCTGGTGCCCGTGATTCGCTGCTCTTCCACACAATTGCCGGAGAGGTTCTCTCCAGCGGTACTGGGCTGAGTTTGAAGGGCTCGTCATACCTAACAAGCCCCTGCTCTTGCAACCTGATCAAACCGCTTTCCGGCCCCTTCTGCTGCACATTTCCGCCTGCCTTCTGCATCCGTCTCTCCGCGCTCTCGAGCATCCCCCGCACTGAGCCCTGGCCCTCCCTTCCCGTTTCTCCCCAGTGGAGGCGCGTCTCCTTAACTGTCCCTGGAGGGGGGTCCAGCGACAGGTTTGGAAGTACCCCCGTGAGGATCTGCCGCAGGCGCCAGAGCTCGCGCCCCTGGACCTTGCACAGCTGGTCGCGCACCTGTGCGTCCCGCAGTAGCTCTGCATTTAATGCCAGCAGCCGCCTCCGCTCCTCGTCAGACGTGCACAGCTCCCGCTGAAGCGTGTGAACGCACTCTTGGAGGGTGTGAACGCGCCCCTCGAGCCAGGCCCCGAGGGACGCCTGCGTTTGCAGCAGGGAGTCCTTGCTCTGGGGGCTCAACTCGGTGACCGGGGCGCATACTGGGGGAGGGGGATAGGCTCTGCTGCTGCTGGGGGATCTGGTAAGACTAGGGAGTCTGCTCTTTGGAGGAAGGACCTTCTGAGGCTCTGATTGAATCGACGGTCCATCCATTGGTGGGGGTTCAACAGCTTTGATGAAAATGGTCGTTGTGTTGGCTGCAGAAAAGATTTGCACCTTTCAGCATCCCAACCTCCAGATCAGCTTTGAATGAGGGTTTACAATAATTGCAAGGTGCACTTTGTATGCTGATTTGCTGCATCATTTGCATCATTAACGTACCCATACCTTCAATACCTAGAAGTCCTGACGTCCAAACCTCGTGAACTAAGTTTGGAAGCCTGCGCTCAAGTCTTTTCTTTCCACGGTAGTTGATTGGCAGCTCACATTTTTCCAACTACGAACCGTACACGGGCTGTGCCCCTCAGAACTGGCTCTTGCACAGCCTATGACGCAGAGCACCATCCCCAGTAAGTTGTTGGGGATTCCAAAGTTGGAACACTTCTTCTTCTGAGCTCAGGCTTTGTCTCACCTGCAAGCCTATGCTCATATTCGAGGTTGGCACACCATCATGCAGCTTTGAGCATCTGCAGACACAGTGACACTGCCTCAGTTCTGTGGCCTTGCAGATCCAAGTGCATCCAAGAAGGTTGCTGGATGCTGTTAAAAGCTAATAGGGAAGCAGAGCAGTCTAATGCTTCTACATACCGGAGTAATGAGCTATGGTACATACAAATTGCCTTGCTATCATTGAAAGTAGACACAAGATGAGCATCTTTGAAACAGAGCAAGTGGAATCAAAGTCAGCCAAGTATATGAGGGGAGCTGGGGAGTGAACTACTTCCAGCGAAACTCAGCTCAAGCGTCAGAATTTCTTGGACTAAAAACACACTGCAGCATCTTTATCATAATGAAGTAGCAGATGCACATTTGGTCAATTGCAAAGCACATGCGGTGGTGACTTGGCATAATCGGTACTCCTACTGGGGAGATGATACATATTGTGACACATGAACTCCTCCATAGGGCCTACTTGCCGAAAGCTTTGCTAATTGAGTGATCCTCCGGACTCCTTTAACCAACTTTTCGTGGTTCAGAGCAATGAAAATCGAAGGAACGCAGAGAGACGCAAAGAGAACAACCTGCAGAGTTTTCGCTTCTTGCTGCATTCCTTGGTCGATGTGCCACGCTCCAGCTGGCTCAAGAAGTGGTCAAAAGCTCCTATAGGACCACGTTTGCTAGGGGCTAGCGCACAGCCAATACCGGTATAGGGTACCTGTGCAACTCGTGTGATCTGGTTGAAGCACCTTAATCCGATCGAAGCACCCCAATCACGTACCTTTCAAATGCCGGCTCAGACACAAGTGCTTAGCACCAGGGCAACCTGAAAAGCAAAGAAACGGAACCGCTGCCGACTACATACCTGATCTGCTAGTTTTTACACCTCAGTGCAGCATCCCTACCGACCCAATCCGTCTTTGCTAGTACTACAGTACTCTGCTTTATGGCGTCTGCATTTCAGTGGTTTGTCCATTGTTCTCAATTCTGAATCTCATCACCATCACTGGCATCAGCTGGCTGGTTGATATTTTACACGCACCGGTGCCAGGTGGTTCGTATCGCCGACCGGTCTGGCGCAGCTGCTGCGGTAAAATCTCTTTGGTCCGGTGTATTCCAAATTTTGAATTTGAATCTGAACCTTCAAACCCCGGAGATTTGAAACTTGAAAGTACCGGTTGAGAATCGAAACAGTAATGCCCCAGGCGCCGGCGAAGCAATTTCGACGACGGGGTGTCCTCTGGTGTGTCAGCATGACCACGTGGTACCTAACGACCGTGCCAGTCGCCGAGCAGCTAGCACACACGGAAGCGCGGGCGCGCCGGTCGGCCCGGCCGGCTTGGGGCGGCCGCGCAAAAGGCGACGGTCGATCCGTACCTATTATAGGCGCACTGCCAGCATGAAGGGCTGAGCGTGCTCATGCACTGATGCCATGCATGAGCAGTATACCTACGTGCACTACCGTAGTTCTGTGGCTCATATCGGCCGGTATACCGGTATGCAGCTGCGCGACAAGCTCGGACCGGAGTGGCGCCGATCGGGCCCGAGCTGGGCCCGCCGGCAGCCGCGGCGCTTAAATTATGAAGCGCCACATGTGATGATGCGTACCGAGCCGGCGGCTCGCGATCTTGGACGCTTTAAGTTTGAGGCTTTATGCGCTGAGCGGCCATGCACATGACTCTCAGGCATACAATTTCGCCAAATACGGTCGGATGCCATTGACTCAGCATGTGCTAGTCACTGACTACGTTGTCGTGTCGGTTGAGTCGAATGGTCATGCTGGATCCACACACGGACGCATGCCATCGAGCCGCCGCCACCGCGTGCCACACGTCGGCCGTGGGAAAATGATCGTGCACGTATACTATGTAATGATGCGTGCAACCGGCGGCAATTACGCAGATTGTACGCGGCGTCTGCACATATGAAGCGCAGCGTCATGGCTGCAGTGCCGCTGCGCGGCGGCCTGCCGCGCAATTTATTGCACTGTGGCATGCATGTGAGTATTTCACTGGTTCTGTACAGTCAGAGCAAACATCGCTAGCTTGCACGAGCTGCTGGCGCCTGCCGCCGTAGCCGACTCTGACGCACGAGGGTCTTTTCAAGGCGCAGACCGCCAGCGCCACATCATTGAGAGAGCAGGCTTGCTTTCTGAGAAAAATGCTAACTCTGCAAGAGACTTGAAAGCCGACTCTTAGGTTATCGTCATTGACAATAATCTGGTCCACATCCGGTACCCTCTGCCATGGTGAAGGACGCTTCCTAACAAGGTTCGGAGATACTTTTTGGGTTTACTATATCCAGAGTTGGCAGGTCTCATCCTCCCGGCCTCTGATCGGTCGTGACAGTTGGTATCGCTTCCGGGCGTCCCGTTGCTGATAAGTAGGGTCCTCTTCGTGCAGCAGCATCCAACTACAAACACGGCATCGAGGTCAGGTTGAATGCAACAACAAGATCGAGGAACACAGACAGTGTGTTTACATTGATTGGCGCTTACCTGCAAGAGGCAACAGGCTACTATAAACAGCGCAAAAACGTCAGAAGAACTCGACGAAGGAGAACCGTTTACAACGTTCGCCATTCTTTTCCTCCAAACTGTAGCAAGTTTTGTCTCATACGGGGACCCTGTTGATTCAGCAGTTCAGAGAAATTTGCCAAGATGAACATTGTCTAGCTTCTGCACGAGTCTCCAGCCTGCCATCTCCGGTCCAGGTACAACCAACATCCTCTAGCTGAAACGTGGATGCTTCGAGCACTTGCCAATCCGCGTGGTCTTAGAAGCCTTCTTGATAGTTCGAAGGGTCACAGACGTGCACTTACACAAGGGTCGACATGACTTCAGGGAACAGGACCTTTCGAGGAACAGAACTCCGAGGGCCAGCCAGCCGATCGTACCTTGTTTACTGCTTCTGAAGATAGTGAGACCTCTCCGGTGGACGCGAAGCGCTGTGCTGCTGAGGCTGCCGCGACGCAGGCCGAGTGCCGCCACTCCATAGCTACGCGAGCGATTGTGACAAGCTTTTGATAAGCTCACGCGACGCTGGTTTACGGCAATCAGCCTTGCTATACCTATGCCGATCTGAATGAAGCATAGGTTTCCAATGTGCGAGTACAGATCTGATACGGGGCTGACGATATACGAGAGGCTATCGAATGCCATCGCCCTGCGAGGTGGCTCAGACTTTAGCAGCCCCCCATATTGGATACGTTGCTAAGAAACTACCTCAGCTCTCCTTAGGAGGTGATGATCTTCACCATCGCCTCAAGGTCAGAATGCTTTAATTGGCAATGATTTATCAAGGGTGGCGCACTCAACGGCAGACTTAGATGGCTCTCTCTCTGGCAAGCTAAACGTGCGCTGCTGGGAAATAGCAGGTCCCCTGTGAACGAACACGTGGACCGAACACGTGCGCATTCGAAAACCGCTGATACAGCACAAATGGTCCCACTCCGTCATTACGAAAATTACGGATGTCCACTCGTATAGACCTACCTTGCTTGCTCCGCTCGCTGGCCGGGTCCGACAGGAAACTGACCAGTTGCTCGTGGGCGCACACCTCGGATATGCCCCAGTGACGAGCCACCACGACAGTGATCAACCGATACGTCTGCAAGATTAACCGGGTTACGTTTGAAAAAACATCGGCGAGACAGCTTAGTACAACGGTGATGAACAGGTAGAATCGTACAAGGAGATCGTTCTCTACAAGAATGATCATGGCGAGCCACAAAGTAAGACAGCAGATTATCTGCCTTGGGAGAGCCCGGTCGGGGATCGAGTGAAGAACAATGGGTTAAGAACCAAATATCAAAAAGACCTTGATCAAACAGTACGTCTCCAATGTGACGCATCTTGCGGACGGCTCATACAGACGAGAGCCTCCGGAATCAAACAGAATACCCTTGCAAAAAGTAGGTGATGACGTTTGAGAAACAACCTGGACTCTGCAAGCATCCCGCGGGTAATGCAAGTCAACATGTTCTGCTGCTCCGTCTTGGCAAGCTGATCGGGAGAGGCTGGCTCAAGGTCACGAGAGCAAAAGCACGATATATTACCAGGCTTTAACATCAATGGTATGAGGCTCCTTCCAACAACCGCGACAAATACTGCCTTTAATCGCTCAGCTAGAAGCGAGGGTCAAGCACTCACAGCCACCCGGGTCTCGTCGGATTGTTGCAGCAGGTGCCATAGAACCGCCTGCGGAGCAGCAAGGGATAATCTAATCAGGGGCGAGCAGAGCCGCGTGCCGCTCGAAAACCCACGACGTGCAGAATGAGCAGAGATGAGTGCCAACCCGTACAAGTCTTCGCTTAGCTCCTCGTCAAATCCACATAGTGCTGTACAATGAAACGCAGGAGGTTCAGAAAGCATATGCAGCGCAATTAGACGCATAACCAAAAGCAAACCCTTTGACACGACGTGCAATTCGGCACAGCTGGGCCCGGCAGCATACCCCGGGCGTATGGTACGAGGTTCCGGCTGCTAGCCCGTACACCAGGTTCTTCAGTGAGTCTTCCCCCGAGGTACTGAGAATGGGCGACGGTTCGTGACGCTCCGCACCAGCGATGGAGGCGAGGGCATGAATAGCTGCCTGCAAGGACATGGCCAGCTCAACTTTAAGGTTGCAAGTACGCCGGTTATAGAGAGCACGCATCAGTCCTTTCGACTATCGCTCAAGCCAGGGCACCGACGTCTGCGACTCGCATCTTGAAGACGACTCTGACATCCTTGCAAGTCCAGTAGCAAGACGAATAGAGTCAGTATCGCTTTTCAAAGGACAGTCCAGCACTGTTTAACATCTGAAAGTCGACAACAAATTTCGTGACCAGACTCGCAAGTTCTGAGAAAAGCTTGAACATTACTTTAGCAACGGCTTGATGGAAGCTTTGAATACAATCCCCGACAGCAGAACTTTACACCTTGTTCAGGGGCAGTCCGGAGTCAACGAGTACAAAAACACGGAGTGTCACCTGAAATGGAGTCGCAGATTTCAATTTTGGTGTCAGCTCAAGATACCACGGCCATATTTAGAAAGATCAGAAAAGATTAGCACGCTTCTACGTGCCAGCGCCTTAGTAGATCAAGAAGGCGTCGTCACTGGAACCATTCAAAATACAAGTCCACCTCGAGTAGCTCAACGTGAAGGATAGTCGTGCTGATCCAACACCACGACTTCCACAGTTGCACACATAAAGCATTCCTACTATCCCGTCTAATCTGCGCTCACCAACTGTTGGCTGCTCTTCATGCGGGTGAATACAGCACGGGCCACGTGTCGGGCAGCTGGATGCGCCACGTCCGGTTCCCGTAGAAGCAGCTCCGCCCCGCTCGCACTAGTTCCCATCTGCCCGAGCGCGTCGATTGCCGAGTCCTCCAGGTCGTCGACCCCTTCCAGGTCTTCGTCGTCCTCTGCCCGCACGATTATATCGTTGAAGGCGCGTACCAGCGCCGACGCCTCTGCAGAGATTCGATGGGGTCGCTTCAGAAGCTCACACCAGTGTATGACGACTCGGCGCAGATCGACGAGCCCGTTCAAATCTGACCGTACCTGTCCAGATGATAAGTACAACCGCCTTCTTCGTCAGCGCACTACCATCTCGTCAAAAGCAGGGCGCTGCCTTCAGTACGAGCTCAATCAGAACAGCTCAGTATCAAGAGTCTCGCTTCGGGCTTCACTGAAATTTCAATGTATTCTCAGCAGAATCAGAAACTGGGCTCTCAAGGTCTTGCTCACCATCGGCATGCACAACGAGCGTTGCCGTCTTTATTTTGACTGGATCCTCTTATACCTCTTGTTTCTTAGCACTCTAGTTCCCATTACTATCATACTCCTGTTTGTGACTACAAGTCCCGCCGAAAAACCCGCATATTAAAAGAAAACTCAGAAGCACGCCTGCTATAAGGCATGTTCAAATTTCACTGATCGAGCCAATCAATATAAACCCTCCCTTCGACGTCGAAGAAAACTAAATAAAGGCTGTGATTGCGCGAGCATCGACCCACCTTGCTCGTCAAGCGGCGACGGCCGGCCCCCCTCCGGCGACACCAGCCTCGCGGCGACCATCATCGCCCGTGACCGCACAAATCCGTCCGTTGTGTCGCCCGCAATCAGCTTCTCCAGCTGACGTGGCAGCTGGCCCTCGACGACGAAGCTCGCGCCGTGCGGGCTCTTCGCGATCTCCCCCAGAAGCTCCAGGGCGTTGATGCTCGAGAGAACGTCGGTGGACTGGCTCAGATCGTCGACGAGCGGGCGCAGGAGGCCGGCGGTGCGGACGGCGGCAAGGGCATCCGGGGAGGACGCGGCGATGTCGGCGGCCAGCTGGAACGCGCGCATTTGGACCTGGGGCGAGACGGGAAACCTTTTAGTGGGGCCAAATGCTGAGGAAACCGACATTTGGACCCGAGGGAGATGGGGGAAAGTCTAGTGGGGCCAAGTGCTGAGGAGATCAACTGCAATCACCCCACGAAAAGTGGGGTTCTGCGAAGGTGCATCAGATCCAAGTACGCGACAGAAGAGCCTGAGTTTTCTTGTCTCCTGTTAAACCGGCATCAATATCCAACCAGATAGGGATTAGCACCGTGTGGAGATCCAGTGTCCACTCGCTTCTGAGCGGAAGAAGAGTTTAGATTGTTAGCAATAGAACGTACGGCTTCGTCCATCATGATTCCGACTGCATCGCACGGCCACTATGCAAAAATAGTGGCATGCCCTACTTAACGGGCCAGGCTTTCTTGGCGGCCAGCTGATATGACGGTCTTTCACGGTCTGAAAGGTTTACTCAAGATTCAAGACACATGGTCGGTGTACGTGTTTCGAAGTCAGCTCACCGTTGATGAAGCGGTCACTGTCAGGTCCTTCAACCGCCTCTCGCACTTCCGGAAGAAGAAAGCCTGCATTGCAGACAATCCAGCTTTTTAAATATTCCGGTTTCCCACAAATCTACCGCTTTTGTCAAAAAGCATCAACGAAAGTGCACGTGATCTTTTACTTGAACAATCGAACCAGTCGACCGCCAACGTCATCAACGAGAGTTCAGAGCAAACCTGAATATATTTCATCGGTAAATGCGGAGCAGACCAACAGAGAACAGACAAAGGGTGACCGACCAATTACATGTAAACTGTTGATGCGTTTAGAAGCTTACAAGGCCGTCAGAATGGGACGCCAAGCTTTGAAGAGCGGCTGATGCGGTTTTTGCGACCCCCTCATCACTGCACACGGAAGAGCGGATGACGATTTCGTCGCATCCAGAGCTGGCAATTTCTTCTAAAAATATCGTTCAAGCTCTCAAGCAACGAACCTCCTTCCTGTCAGAAGGTGCTTTCGTTAAGCTAGATCACATGGGGGCTTGTGTCCACAAACGCGAAGTCAGTGGTTCAAGAGAATTTTGAAGAACGACTGGAGGAGTACGACTCCCGTTAATATGTCAATGAATGCAGCAACTCAAGTACGTGACTCCCATGCATGAGAAGAAGAGGACCTACAAATGACTAGAATTGGGATAGTTCGACACTAGAGAAGGAGCTGTTGCAAGAGTCGAGCTATGGATAGCTTCTTTAAGTCCATAACAAAGAGAAAGCTGACCTGTCGGCAAGAGTCTCCAGGAGAGGCTCTATGAGATGTGCGTCATCAATGCTCCTGACCGCTGACACGCTCGCAGCATTGTTGTGGTCCAAGAGGCGCAGAATCTGAAAGCACACAATCTTTTAGTCAGTGCGCGACTGGACTGTGTGGTGATTCCCCTCACCCTTCAGGCAGGGCGTTTTGGCAGCTCATTCGTACTCGCAGACTGCCTTGTAGGCATAAGAACAAATCTGAAAGTAGGGTACTAGAATGCACCTCGGTGACTTCTGAATTCAGCTTTACCTCTCAATTGCGTTGCAACGAGTAGAGCATAACCAGGTTCGACAAGAAGTTTGTTGAACAACTTTGGCTGAACCACCTTTGTCGAACAACTTTGGCTGAACCACTATTGATGCCCTGATTGCCAATCCATGTTTTAAGATCACATGCTCTTCTACACACATCGTCAAGCGGTCTTTGTGATATGCAGACGTGGACAAGACGAGGTCACCACTGCTTGAGCAGACAAAATCTATTTACACCGGTGAAAAAATCATAGAGCATACCTGAGTACAAGCCAACTTCCGAATGCGCGGCTGACTGGCCTGCAGGCCTGCTGCAGCTGCCGGCTGTATTGAAGTCAACGACAGGTTTGCAATCAATGTCAAGATAGTATCAGGCCAATTCGTCCTCCGCACCCCTTCCTCAGAAAGGAGGAGTTCACTACGAATTGCCTGATGTGTACATGTTGCTTGCAGTTCTGACTTGGTCAATTGCAGAGTTTCGGCATGGATTGGCCAATTTTGTGATGCCCTGCTCTTCATACTATGTCAACTTGTCCTTTTTTGGAATGTTGTGCCAAATAGGAAGCCTTTTCTACGCAACCTTCTCACTGCGCCTCTCCTTCATGTCTGAAAGAACGTTGGCAGCACACAACAAGGAGGCAGAGTGTCAAGAGCTACTAGAACCAGTGTTAGTGGACAGGACAGCTTTACGGAAGATTTTACTTTCAAGGGAACTCACCACCACCAGTGGGAGAAGCGACCGGCCATATGGGGACAAGAAGACCTTGTCCAGAGCATTGCAGATGGTTTCCACAGATTGAGGGTCGTCTGCCTCCTGCTGAAGCAGTCTGCAAACCCGCTTTGCAAAGAGCATTCAGCAGGACCACCTTGATGTCCAGGGGGGTGCATGTAATGCTAAGAATCTCCAAAAATGCATGTGCAATCTTCTATCATAACTTCAACCAAACCTCATTACAATCAAAGTCACTGACATTCCTCGACAAACAGGAAGCTGGTGGATCAAATGACATCTTTTGAATTGACGTGAGTGGACATTGGCTATCCAACAACAATCCACCGAACATTGGATCGACTAGACTAGCTCAAGGTTTTGTTTTCTTGAAGCTTGAAACATGCTTGCTTGTCCAGTGTATCACCTGAACACCATGGGAAGGGGATACTCCGCCAAAAAGCTCCTGATCACATCGTCGGAAGGCACTCCTGCACCAGTTTATACATTGTCTGTAAGACTACACAAGACTTAGGGAAGATTATCCAGGAGCAAGGAACAAGTTTCTTATAAAAGAAGGCAAAAGCTGTACTGATGGGGGAGTGGTGTACTCACAGAAGAATGCTGTCAGGCCTTTGCAGAATTTCAATGGTGGCACAACCAATTCTGCAGTTGCATTAGAAACGTGGAGAATCAGACAAGCACTAGTCAATGCACTCACCGAGAACAAGAGAAAGATCATGTGCAGCATTCAGGAACTTTGCAGTGTCCATGTCTCCTTCGCCGTCAACGTCCATTGCTTGCGCCATGCTAGATGATTGAAAGGGGAAAAAGCAACGATTAGGAGCTTCGATTGCGCAAGCTTCAAATTGATATCTTCAAATTCCCTTTCGCCACCATTCAAGTCTTCTGGAAGTTCCTACATAGGACAAAAGTCAGCCAGCATTTTTCTCAGGAGCTCAGCTCCTGAAAAGTGGGTCAAAGTTTCAACCTGAGACCACAAGAGGAATGTTGTCCGTGAAATTCTTGAGTTCCCAAAAGGCACGTTTAGGTCTCGAGCGCAAAGCGAAGTACTCGCCCTAAAAAGCTCTTTAAGCTTTCGATGCCCAGATGGATACAAGCAGGAGAAAGTGAAGAACTTTCAAGATGCTGGTGACAGTGAAGAAAGGTTGCCTGATCGACGAGGTCGTCGAGGAAGACGGCAGCTAGGGAAGACTTGGAACTTGGAAGGCTAGAACGCCATTGAGCATTCTGTTCCAGCTAGTCCTGCAGCCCATTCGTTGAAGGAGAGAGTCAGCTAGTTGACGGCAGACGGAGTTGGTCGTTGATAGGAAATAAAGAGGTCAGACTCTATCAGCAGGGATTATGTTCGAAAAGGATGAGTAGCTCCCCCCCTCATTGGTATTCTGACTGGTCGCCAAAATGTCCGCCGCAGCTTGTGCCCTGCAAGCGCCCTGCTGCGGGGCGCCACATGCAGCATCCTCACTGAGCGCATCTTCTATTTCCTCATTGCCATCATTTGCCTCACCCCCGTACAGCCATTCTCTATGTCCAAGTGCTGGTGCTTCAGCATGCCGGCTCGCATCACCGCTCACATCAGCATTCGGTAGCATTCACCACGATCGGGTCCCTCGCCACTATTTATCGCATGGCCCTGCCAGGGCAGGACGCAGCACAGCAGTCCACGCCCTGCATGAGCTCCCAATCAGGCGCTGCCAGCTGGCGTCAGAGTTTTGGGGAGGCAGCCTCAGCAGGCGGAATGCATTCGCGCCAGCTCCAATGGCAGGGCGGCGGAGGCAGCGGGGAACCAGCATTCAGGCGGCTAAGAAGAAGGTGGTGAAGCGGGTCAGGAAGGTTGTGGAGGTCCAGGAGGTCCGTGGCGCTTCACTTGTCTCTGCTTTTCTATCCTCTTAGCTCCTCCTTATTCTTTGGGATTGTGCATGGTGGAAGTCTACCTGGCGTAGTGATGCTGGTAATGGTGGCATTGTAATGAGGGTTGGTGGCCGCACGTTGATCATCAAGCCCGGAATTGAGCAACATTTCGGTGCAACGCCAGCGGATGAGAGGAGCTTCAGGCAGGCTCCTTGGCTAGCTGCCGCCAGCTGTAATTGCGGCAGTTTCCGTCAGGAGAACGAGACCGCTTATTTGGAAGTATGCTGGAATCTCTTAATCCTGATGAGCTTCTCGCGCTTTTCATTTTTGTGCTGCACCGTGTACTGAAGTTGCTTTCTGGTCAAATGGTTCCGGCACAAGCAAGTGTCATGACTGGCATCGGACAGTACGAGGAGACACACGTGCAGCTCCAGGGTGCCATCTCCTTCGTAATGAGCATCAAAGGCTGAACTCATTTGTAAGAAGGGCAAATTACAATGAAATGTGGAGACATCCAGCATGGTGAATACTGAGGGATGGTCCAGCGTGCAGCTCCAGGGTGCCATCTCCTTCGTAATGAGTATCAAAAGCCGAACTCATTCGTAAGAAGGGCAAATTACGAAATATTGCGGAGACATCCAGCATGGTGAATACAGAGGGATGGTCCAGCCAACTTGAAGCAGACAGCCACTTGACTGCAATTGTTCTGTGATAGCCTGCTCTTTTTCCAAGCAAAGTTCCAGGAGTCTAAGAACCCAGCTTAGAGATTACGAGCGATGCAGTCAGCTCGTGTGGATGCCAAATGATGTGCACCACCTTCAAGGTGCCACTGGACCAGAATGCTGCAGTTTGCGAAATCTCATGCCCAACTATGTCAAGGCCCGACAGGGGCAATCTGTGGGCTTTGCTGGTCGCTCCTCAATGAGGCCAAAATCTGTTACTTTGAGTATTCATTTCATCTGTGATCAGTGTTCGATTCATCAGTGGTCAGCGGAAGCGGAGTGCCAAAAGTGCACACAAACATATGTTGGACTCTTCGCTAGACTCTTACTTGCCATCTAACACTCGTTCCGATCTCGCATCCATGCAGGAGGCGCCAGAGGTTCGTGCACCAAGGCCAAAGAAGACGGCAGCTGCACCCGCCCCCGCAGCACCCCCCCGGACGGAGACAACTTCTGCACCCCCCTCCCGTCCTGCTCCAAGCGCCCCCGCTCCCGCCCCCCCCCAAACACCTGTTGCTACCAGGCAGGCCCCCTCAACCCCTCAAACTCCCACAGCCGTCAAAAAGCCCCCCCCAACCCCTCAAACACCGCCGGCTGCTGCTCGCTCCCCCCCTCCGGCTGCCCCTAAAGTTGCCCCCCGGGTACCAGAAACTGCCACCTCGGCACCCCCCCGAGACGCAGGCCCTGCGGCGCCCCCGGTTGCTGTCCCCCAAGCTCAACCGGCCCCTGTTGCTGTAACAACGCAGGCGCAGCAGGGCCCCCCCAAACAGAAACTGGTGACAAAGTACGGATTCCCTCTGGTGAAGGAACGGCTGCCGTACTCGGAGCTGTTGAAAGACGGGGGGCGCAACGTTCGGGCGATCTACCACTTCCACGACCTGCGAGGCGACGTTGGAAAACTTCCGTTTCAGGAGAGTCGGTTTAACGACCTGCCCCCCGGGGTGCGGATTGACGGCAGCCGGAAGAGTCTGGGATTGATGCAGAACTACGTCCCGGAAGAGGAGGTTATGGCTGAGCAGCCCGTGAGAGTGTTAGTCGCTCTTTCCGATGAAGAAAAGGTGGTTAGGGCGACGCTTCCCCCTGTAAAATACAACCCGGGGTTTTGGAAGGAGTTTGCGGATGCGAAGTTGCAGTATAAGCTGATCGAGACGATCGACCCGTATAAGCGGGCGGCCGAGCGGCGGCTGGTTACGGAGGACACGGGCGCGGAGAAGGCGTTTGCGGGGGAGGGCATGAGCGAGAACTTCCGGGCGTTCAGTTTCCCCATCGCCCTGGTTCTCATCGTGATCATCTACCAGGGTATCGCGAGACTGCAAAAGGCGCGCGTGGACCAGGAGGAGCGGCAGCGGGTGAAAGACTTCCAGAAGCAGAGGCGCGCGTTGGCGCAAATCGCCGATACGCTCGGGTATAACGTATCCGTCGAGGAGGTGGAGCAGATGCAGAAGGAGTTTATGAACTCGTCGAACGAGCAACTAGGGTTGGAGACGACGGGCGATGACGTGCAGGACAGGAAGATCAGGGAGCAGGCGTCGCAGAACTTGGACCTCGTCGTCGGCTCAAGGTACCCATCCTAGTTCCCGTTTTGTTTCCTAACGTTGGAGCCAGGCCGTCTTTCTGCTTATGAGCAGCTCTGTTGGCCATTCTTTTTACAATCTATGGTGTTGCGCGGGAGGTCTTACATTAGAAGCTTGGCTCGTGGTAAGATGCTAGGTGCGGGTCGACTTGACGGGTGTTAGGATACTGTTTTGCAAGATTACGCTAATCAGTCTCTTATCGTCTCTTTCGAGACATAATGGTGACTCTCCTTGATTGTTTCAGTCGACGCTGGACATGAGTGATTTGTTTTACAGAAACGGTGCAGGTGGACTCATTGATTGCTATCCTTAACTGTTAGGGTATGCCGCTGCCACGCTTGTTATGCTGTTTGAGTTTCTCACGTTCTATTCTTAGCATCAAAAGCTTGACCTCTGGCTTCGCTATTCGCAGGTTCAAGAAGTCGGGCGCCAAAAAGTATGCAGCCACCGACCGGAAAAAGTCGAAGTATCGGCAACGGCTTCAGCCTGTGACCCTAGACGACGTCGCAGGTTCGTCTTTGGTCCCCACTTGTTTGTTCCTGAGACACATAACCAGCACACCTACCGGTGCTCTCATCATATGCATGAACATGACACTTTAGTCCGGGGGGCTGCTTCTGAAACTCAGCCTGAATATACTGCTAGGATATGCTTTAGCATTTCAACTGATTGCCCCACGTTTTTGATTGTTGGTTCAGCCCAATTCACAAGATCCAAATCTGCAAATTGCGAACCTTCTGGCAATGTCGAGACGCTGAGGCCTTCTTTGATAAAGAGTTGCTTCTGCCCACGAGCTTGATTGCTCTGGAAGAGTGCGATTCATTTGCTAAAGCCGAGTGTTCCTTTCTGACGCCATAAGGGAAACTTACAAGCGAAATGGCGTACATGCAACAGGGGTTTATCTACCGTAGCGTCCTTGATGCTTTGTCTGCTGAAATCCCTGTCGTTTATTTTGCAGGTATCGATCATTTGAAAAAGGAGGTGGTTGACATCGTGGCCATGCTCAAGCAACCCCAAAAGTGGCTGGACCGCGGCATCAAAATCCCAAGTGAGCCTTTGCATCGCATCACCCTTTTTCCAGCTTCAAGCCGGTTGCCTGTCATGTCGACACGAAGGGTCACTGCGGTTGGGTCCATTTTTCTCATCAAAGTCATAGATCTTCTTGCCGAACGTGTGAGTTCAGGTACCTGGTCCTGGGCCGTACGATGGTCATTGTCAGTTGATCAGACGGTTCGAAAGTACGCTCAGACAAAACGAGGCCGTGTCGCCCATAGCTACTTCAGTCCGCATCCTCGAAGGGAAGGACATGCCTCTGCTGACGTGATTACCAGCTGACGTTCTCTGCTCACGTCACCTGCAGCCGGTATCATCCTGTTCGGCCCCCCCGGTTGCGGGAAGACGCTCCTAGCGAAGGCCATCGCGGGAGAGGCGGGCTTCGCCTTCTTTTCGACATCGGCGTCTCAGTTCGTGGAAATCTTCGCGGGCGTGGGTGCCGCCCGTATTCGGGACCTGTACTATGACGCTCTCATCAACGTGAGAAAGAGTCTGTTCGAGGTTCTCAACTTGTGGAAGTGACGAAGAAGCTTTGCTTGTCACTGACCGGTCGATAGATTGTTGTCTGGCGCTTCCCAGCGGCGCTCGACCACGAGGTACCTTGGGTGCAATGAAATGTGAAACGAAGTCGTCCCAGTCTCAGCTCCATACATAATCCAAGTTACTATCAGGTTGTTTGACAGGGGTTGTGGCTGGCGGTCTTTTGGTCGCTGTACTTTAAGTCCATTGTAGCTGCTTTATACAAGGGGCTTACGACTCGCTGGTTCGACAGAACGGGATAGGGAGATAGCTTACGTGTCAAACTCCGGCAGAAGTGAGGGTTTTGAGAGTCAGAAAAGAGTCCGGAGGAAGCTCCGACTTAATCAGCGGATATCGTTCTTGGCTGTTCATCTGACTTACTTCGGTTGCATACCTAAGTTTTTGGTGAAATGCTTCATTGTTGCAGAACCTCTTCTTACATGGACGAGGACTTGCAGTCGTCGTATGATGCACCTATTCAGATACTACGCAATCTGACGATTGAACTTGAGCGTCTTTGCGTCTGCAGGCCCCAGCCATCGTATTCATCGACGAGATTGACGCCATTGGGCGGCAAAGGGGATCGAAAGACAGTGGAGGAGAGGAGCGCGATCAAACCCTGAACCAGGTAATGCTCTACGTTTGATCTGCAAGCTCCCAGGATCACATATGATCCACAACTGTTCTTTACGAGAGACAATCACTCGCTTTGACGTCTTCCTCTTTGTATCTCTAGGACTCAGGATCTCCGAACTTTCCGGCAGAAGTGTTCCTTGGTTTCTACATTGCACGCGGATCAATCCACTGTCGTCTTTGCTTGACATTGACGAGCCGATAAACGGTGGTTAAAGTACTCTCGTGCACCTCGGTCCTGATGGCATGGAACCTTTGCAAACGTTTCTTTGCCGCTGCTGTTTGAACGGCTCCCAAGAGACGGGGCTTGTTGAATCTCAAGAATCCGCATCGAGGACATGAAAGTAGCCCGAAGGTTGCTCCAGGATTATATCATTTTTCAAAGACTTTCGTCAAACTTGTTTCGTTATGACTATCAGAGTATCTCCTTCACGCTGCAATCCCTTTGCAGTTGCTGCTGAGCTTGATCGGCTTTTCCAGCACCGGCCAGGTAGTGACGACTTGTGCCACAGGATAACGAAGGGAAACTTGAAAAGGCATTGAACACCGAGACAAGCTTGCAAGGTCCGAAATAGCTAAGCAGCATCACGACCTGATTTACGTTGCATGCATCCACAGTTTCTTTGTGAGCCTGGATTTTCCGGGACTGGTCAGTCGCGCATACTCATTGTGAAGTGATTCAAAATAAACGCCGATTACACAAAAGCGGTTCAGAAGAATAATCAGCGAACACGGACTCATCCACGTTCCATTTCTTGACAGTTGCTGGTGAGTTTAGACGGCTTTTCGGGGACCGGTCAGGTGGTGACTATCTGCGCGACCAACCGTATCGACACGCTCGACAAGGCGCTGACGCGCCCGGGGCGGTTCGACCGCAAGCTGTGCGTGGAGCTGCCGAGCTTTGAGGACCGAATAAAGATCCTAAAGGTGAGACTTCTTTGAAGAGGCCCTTTCCTGATTGTAATCTAAGAGGAAGGCGGGGGTGAAGGCGGGGAGGTAAACGGGGAGAGTGTAGAAGGCAGCGGGGTTGGGGTGAAGGGAAGGGGAGAGTAATAAAGAGATGGCAGAAAGTGGCGGGAAAGGGTGGGAAACGTGTGACAAGAGTGTGAAAGTTGGGGCGCCGGATGTTAACGTGCAAGCCAGTGATTGTGCCGTTGCCACGGAGCCAGATTCGGATGCCGCACCCTCTTCGACCAGAGGGTGAGCGTAGAGCTGTGGAGCTTTAACGACTGCGAAAAGCTCTCTACTGATTAAGCCCTGAACTTTCGGTGTCTCTCTCGCACTTGCCTCTCCAAAAGAGCTAAAAACAGCACACGTCTGAGCTTTCAATTTATGCGCCTTCACCCGGCTGGCCTCTTGGCCCCGTTCTCTCGTTCTGTGAATTCGCGGCTGTAAAAAGCGACCCGCTTTTGTGACCCTGCGGAGAGTTTTAACATCGAAGCCGCGTCCTCTGCAGGTGCACTGCAAAAACAAGCCCATCGCTAGTTACATCAACTGGTACGATCTCGGGGGCGCCACCGCGGGCATGTCGGGCGCCGCCATTGCAAACGTCGTCAACACGGCCGTGTTGGAGTCGATCCGGCAAGGGAAGGACGAGGTGAGGTTGGTTCCTGGTTTGTATTGTTGAACTTTTCCAGTTGCTTCGTTGGTCTTTGTCAACGTTATTCGTTAAGCGTCTTATGTTGCAGATATCGATTCCGGACTCTTTCCAAACTTTTGACACCATCTACATACAGCTTTGCTTGAGATGAGAGCTCTCTCCAGCTGGAACCTACGAACGGGGCGTCACGATCACGATATATGCTTTAGCTTAGCCCACGTCGTTTTCCTGCGAACAACCGTCGAAAACGCCAGGAGCCCAGCGAGGTCCAGCTTAAGTCAGGCCGGTCTTTCTGCAGTATTCGCAAGCTTCACGTCACTTGACCAGATCCCATCCTGGATGGCCCTCCAACCTTTAGCTTGAGGATTTGAAGTCCTAAACCCCCTGTTCTTTGAACCAATTTATTACGGTGGGCTTGACGAACACTGCTCGACGAAAGATAAACAGATTTTCCCTTTTTTTGAAGGAGCAACTTTCGCTTACTTGCGTCCTTCGGGCAAAGCTCGATTTGTGTTTTCAAGGAACCACTCTGTCCGAACCTTCAGCTCATTGTCTTCCTTTTTTCCACAGATCACGACGATGGACCTGGTAAACGCCGCTCGCCAGGAGAGCGACGGCTACCAGCTGGCGGCGCCGATCCCCGACGTCCGGAAGCTGGGCTACGCGATTGAGTGCGCGGCCAAGATTGTCATGGCTATGAACACGATGGACTTTACAAAAGTCACAGCGGTAAGAACGTCTGCTTGCATCTTTGAAGTTGGTTTATAACAATAATGGTTCTTCCGTCTCTTCTTTTGAACACTTTATCATATGCGATTGTGAGATAAGATTCTAGCTCGCCACAACGATTCCAACATACGGAAGCTGGGCTTTGCGATTGAGTGCGCAGCTAAGATTGTCGTGGCCTTGAACACGATGGACTCCACAAAAGTCACGGCAGTAAGACACGATTGCTTGCATCTTCTGAGTTAGTTCTTGGACGATCTTTTTCGGGTTAGTTCTTGAATGTACTTATTCTTCCGTCTCTTTTCTTTTGCGTGTGATTGGGGGAAAGTAACTTACTGGCCGCGCCGATTCTTGCCATTTTGATGCTGGGCTATGCAATCGAGGTTACTGGATGAATGGACTGAATTGAAAGTTAACATGTAAGCATACACCTGAAGCTACTTTCAAGTTGGCAGATTGCTTTGGGAGATTCCAAAGGTATATGACCGAACAGCTTTTGTCTCTGCCAAGCCTCAAGAAAGACGCAAGATCTGCAAGACCGAATTCTCGAAGTTCTGGTTCATGAAAATGCAAGAAACTCCTCTTACCGCTGTGATTCTTGTAAAGTCCGTCGTGCTCATGGCTGTAGATTGATTCGTCGAACTCTGGAGTCGAAGAGGCAAACCCTATGATGACACGTTGGACCTTCCGTATCGAGGGCCCCCTTTTTCTAAGGCGGACCCTCCTTCGTGAGGATGGTAAAGTCATAGTTACTCTGAGGGTTGTCCTGCTCGATTTGTCTTGCTCGATGATGGCGACATCGCCTGATGTTTGTGTTACCATTATTTTTTTTTTGGTAAGGATGATGAGCCCCCCAACGGAAAGGTGTGTCAGCATTTTGATGTCTTTCGGCTAAGCCTTTTGATGGCTTTCGGCTGAGCCATTTCGGCTGCCAATTTCTCATAGGCTCTTACTTATGTTAACAAAGCAGAGGCGGGGAGTGCGCGCCAGCGCATGCAGTGAAGGAGCAACCAAACCTGGTTTCTTACTGACTTCAGCCATCGCGGTTCGGACCTATCTCTCCCTGCCTAACTGCTAATGCTCCGTCCTCGACCTACTGTTGCTGAGAACCCAACACGTTCACTTGCTTATGCTTAAGCGGTCTCGTTCTTGCAGATGTCGTTCTATCAGACGAACGAGGGGGAGGACGCCATCGAAGATGCCCACATGGACCGGATGCGCATGTTTATGCTGCACGAAGGGTGAGCCCCCACATCGCTCTAGTTGCTCACGTTATTCATAAGTAGGGGGCAGCATTGATTTTGGGGGTGGCTCAGTACAACAGGTAGCTAGCGTAGCCACACGATCTCGGTTGGCCTAGGTCAAAAAGACGGGCCACGTTAATATTCAGAGGTGCGCTGATGTTGGCGGCCGGCCCCTTCGTCTAGAGATTCAAAGGATTCTCTGCGAACTTGATTTGGGGTTGCACAGCTGCGTGCGAAAAATCTGCTCGGCAAGGAAGGTTCTGGTCAGGAGAGCGGAAACGAAGTACATACCGTGGAGAAAGACTGCAAAAAGTTGCACGTGCTTATGGGTGGAGGCGTGTTTTCAGACTGCGATTGAAGATGCAACCTCCCAATGTGCTGCTGCGTCCCTGGCCAACGGTTCTGTGTTTGTGCTTGGTTTGCGCTTTCAATGATGTGATGGGTTACGGATTCGGTTGGTGGCAGCATGACGGCCGTTTTGAGCTAACGCCTGAGCTTGGATGTCTGTCAGCAAGAGCTTGGATCAAGTGGCATAGCCGAAGCGAAGAGTTGGATTGCTCGAAGGAATCGCGTACTTTGCTCTGTAACGTCTGGTGCAATGGCTCTCGGAAGATTGCTCCACTCCTTCTCGAATATGTGGAAATAAGATGATTCACCTGATCGCTGCATCGCTTTTTCTATTTTGATTTGGACCTTTCTCCTGTTCCGAGTCCAAAAAACGCGTCTCAGTGAGGGCAAGGACGATGACGAAAACCACGGTTCGCTCAGCATAAAGGCCGCTGGCCTTGCTGATTCTCTACTTAGCTTTCCCTGAGTCCTTGCCCGAGCGCGCTTGTCATTTTGTGAATGATCGTCAAGACCTGAAATATTCAGTTCCTTCAAGACAACTTCCATCTCGGGTTCTTTATGGTCAATCTAAAGCATGACGCCGGGTTGGGAAAGAAAAGTGTGTGAGGCCCGATTTCAGATGAGTTCCTGTTTCCGGTTATCAGACACTTCGTCGATCTGCGCCTTTGACTGTCGAAGGGCTGGGGAGCGGGTTATTTTCTGTTGACTGCTGCTCTTGGAACCAAAGCCGCCTCAGTTTGTTGAGTTCCAATCTCGAGCAGCAGATGGGAGTTGATCTCAGAATTACCTAAAAGCAACTAAATGCGACAGCAGCAGAAAGAAGTTTGTAGTGAGAGCAGCCGTCCAAAGTACTGAAGTCTTTCAGACCAATTCCAAGCCTGTTTTCGTGTCGAGAATTCAGGAAGTGCGAGGTTGACCAAAGCGTTGACCTTTGCGCAGGGCCGGGTGGCACTTTGACTACATCTCAATTCTGCTCGCCCCTCGTGCCGTGGATGACTTGTACAATGGCGGCCTAGACAATGTAAGCTTTTTTCTTCTGCTTTGACAGTCTGTTGTCATTTCCATGTTTTGATTGCCGTGAAAAGATTGGTTTTCTGAGGGTTTGACGCTAGCAGGCATAGAGCAACACCGTTAGAGCAGCACTGAGGGCCGCAGTTCTGCCGATTTGAGAGCAAAGACATGAGCTGAGCTTTCGACGACAAACACTCAGCAGTCTGTCACAAGGACCGCTACAGATTGCGGAAGAGAACCATACAAGGTCTTTGTTGGTTTGTCGGTTGAGAAAATTGTTTTGAAACGTCTACGAATGAGGATTGAAAGCACCCTTCAGTGCTTGTGCATAAACCCGAGATACTCTCGGCATTGCGTCACCCGATGTCTTTTTCGGGCGTTCGTTAGTTAGAGTTGTCTGGTTGAAGCATGACCTCTCGGTCGACGAGCGTTTCCTTTTGCCGCATACAGCCGAGGAGCCCGCAGCTGTCTGGGTGCTCTTTCGCTGGGGGTGCTCTTTCGCTACCCAGCGAACGGAAAGGATTGCACTGGATATCTTCGTCAGGAGATTTGAATCTCGTTTGGTCCAAACATCCTCTTTGGAGGTGTCGCAATGACAAAGGACCTCAACAGAAGACGATCTCTTCCAGATCTTCTTTTGTTGTTTCTGCCTCCAGTTGAGTGCAGCGAGCTTCCTGCATACGGACGAGGCCCGGACGCAGGCTCGGGTTATGGTCCAAACCGGGCTGATTGACCCGGACGTCCCGAACTACGACCTGAACGTGCTCTACCCGCACCACATATGGGAGGTTAGTGAGGAGCCGTTAGTGATAACCCGTTTTCATACTCTAAGGTGTATCTTTTTGGAAGTCAAGCGCTCGTTTATAGTCCAAGACAGAAGGGTCTGCAAAGCATGAGGTGGCACTTCGATGGTAAATGGGCCCAGTCGTTGTCCGTTTCTCAGAGTAAGTTGCTTACGCTTTTGCAATGTTTTTCAAAAGCTCGGTCAGTGGCGCGCCAAATCTATTGGTCTCAGGAGATGCTGAGTTCTTCCCTGTGCGAACATAACCTGAGTAAAAGGATGTTGATGGTACGGAGCTTTCCTTAAAGGTGGGTGTTCCGTTGAAAGGTTAGACCCGTGGCCGCGTCCTAACCCAATTTTCCTGTTCTTTCTGCAGCTGCAAGACGTCCAGATGGCCGTCATTCTTGAGGCCGCATACAAGCGGTGCCAATCGGTGAGCGCCCATGCCCCCTACTCGACTCACGTTCCAAGCGGATCTTGCACATTGCTTGGTTACATTTCTAAAAAGAGTGGCTGGTTTCTGCTCAAACTTTCTCGCCTTGGTTCGATCAGCCTGTTTGGCAATGCACCTCTGAATTCATGCGGGTTGAATTCATGCGGGTGGTCAAAGGGAACGTGAGCTGGTAAAATGCCCTCTCGTAAGCAACTTCGACGAAGAAGGTGCTCTTAGCATACTCTCAGATACTGAGTCTCTGACTTGCCGGCCCCCTAGACACTACGAAGGTGCTCAAAGAACAGATATCTCTCATAAAAGCCAGCTTGTTCGATGTACTGCTCACTTCAAACCCTGTATGTTCCCGCTCTGGGTGCTCTACAGTCGAGGCATCAGTACGGGCCAGGTTGTGAATACATACAAAGTGTTGTCCCAACTTATTAAGATATCAGTCCCCATTGGAAACTTCTTCACAAACCTTACAAAATCAACCACTGTCACAGGATGTTCACAAATCTCTAAATGCCTGCGCAGGTGTTGAAAGAGAACGTGACGCTAATCAACGCGCTCGCATACGCGTCGATGGAGGAGAAGGTATTGCTGGAGGAGCGCATCCACGAGCTGGCCGACAAGTACGGCAACTTCGAGGAGCGGCGGCCGACCCTTTTCCGGGTAAGCTTTAACCCAGAGGTTAACGGTTTGATTTTACCTCGTCTCTAGATGGTGAATTGAATGTGCATCACGAGCTCGCCGACTAGTGGAGCTGTGCGATCCGTAAATGCGCCGCCTCGCGCACAGATTGTTCTCGAAATGTGTTTCCTTTGTGTACCCTCTTCGATCTTATGCAACGCTTTGCGGCACTCTCCAACGACATCAAAACAATGATCCCCGACATCAAGTCCTAAGATTGTGGTTTCTGAACCCTCATTTCCCCCCTCTCTAGATACGCGACGCTCGGCTGGAGCTGTGCGATCCGGAGGTGCGCCGCGTCGCGCCCAAGATCGAGGAGCCGTGGCACGGGCTCGACCCGCAAGTCTGGCTCGAGTACCGGGAAACCCACTTCAACCTGGTGCAAGACTCGCTCTGGGAGAAGATGCGGCAAGAGCGCGCGATCGAAGAGAACGAGCGCGCGGCGCTCTCGCGGCGCGTGCAGCGCGTCTCGGCATTACGAGAGGAGGGGGGCGCGGGGGGGTCCAGTACTATGGCGGTGATGGAGCGGGACGATGGGAATGGGGGGGAGCGGAGACGGTTGCAGGAGGGGGGGGGACGCGGGTGAGTGATCTGGGGGGGTCGAGGTTGGGGGCGACGATGATGGGATGGAACGGATGGAGAACCGGGGGGAGAATGGGGCGGGGGGCGGGAATGGCAATGGGAAAGGTGGCTCGGCAGGGCGGCAATGAGCGGTTGTGCGCTTCAGTATGGATTTCGGAAGTAGACCAGCGGATTGTGCATTATGTAAGGAGAGGCGGCTGAATGTTGGGCTGAACATGCATATGGATGCAGCGCTCGCCTAAGCGGTGACTCGAGTTTGCCGACATTCATGCTGCATATCAGCCCTTTCAGCTTTTCCACACGATGTGCAATTGCATCTCATGGCATGATAATCGATTGTGACTGTCACTGAGTGTGCGCATAGTCGTTGACAATGCATTGTGCTGGCATAGCTACGTCCGCAAAATAACTGTATGTTGGACGGAGCGCCAATAAGTTGAGCATTAGAAAGAGTTGCCGCGGTTAATATCAAGTTAGCTGCACACAGCGCGTCATAATTGTAATGAAGAGCAGAATTGTGAGAGTTTACGGCCATGCATTTGCAGAAGATGTTATGCAGGCAAGCCGGTTTTACGTCTTCATCCCATGCAATTGAACCATGCCGGTTTGGCGGCTGTCGATACTTGATCGAAGCTAGAGCTAGTAAAACACTATCTCTTGTCTTGTCTTGCAAGTTAATTGGTCTCATGCGAAGCGTGCGCGCGCGGCCAGGGCCTGCTGAGCATGAAAGCTGCATACTAAAAGGCTAGAGTTAGTATTCGAGCCTTAGTATCGATCTTTCGATCCGACCGGATTTGAATCGAACATAGGATGAAATGCCTATGCAAGGCCGATCGCGCAACATGTGATTTATAATACCGTCAGTCACAGTCACGCATGTGCATAGCGCGCTAAATATATGAAGAACGTAAATATTAGATTTGCCTCATGCTTGATGGATGATGCGGCCTGGAAAGCAGGCTGCTCATGACTCAGCAAATGTGCATGTGCCTTTTATACATGCTTCATGCTTGAATTGCATGCGTGCTGCGCTGCAGAACCTTTTAGAAATGATGTCTTTGTTTGTCCTGTCACCTTCTTGATCTTGAGTCCAAATGTTAGATCGATGCGTGCACGGTATTGTTTGCTGTTGACGCCGACTGTTGTTTGCTGTTGACGACTGCCCATGTTTCGTACGAGCCGAAGACACTCTACACATCAGCACTGACTTACATAAACCAATTCAGGATGCGCTCGCTCGCCTCGAGGTCGGATAGAGTTGACGAAGTCTTTCAAAAAACGTCCAATGCTGACGATCTTCTACCGGCGAGCGTCACTTACACGAGGTTAGAGTTATTCCAGCTGAGTACAATGCATACCAGCCTTTATTTGATGAAACTGTGTATGGCACTGCTCACGAGTGCAGGCTTCCGCGGCGACACCTCTGCCCGCTTGACTGACTCCTCGTGGGCCCAAAATCTGACACCTAATCAACACGCGAACGCAGCGACGTTACTTCTCTGCGGGAGTCCGGTTTCATGCCGGAATCGTTAGTGCGACGTCCAATTCGACCTTCGTGAGACACCTCGACCACAACCCGCCAGCAATAACAGCTCAACGGGACCCCCCCAAACGTTTTTTCCCTTTCGGGGGGGTAACCGCCTACTTCTTGAAGTAGGACATGAGCGAGCCTTGGTGAATCTCCGCCCCCATGAACGAGATGGTCGTAAATTGGGGGAAGTCGCGGATCGCGTTGTTGTCCATGTCGACGAAGTATTCCGCCGGAACGAGCGAGACGAGCAGCTCCCGAGCGTTCACCAGGCCCAGGTTTTGCAGGTCGGCGTTGATTTGGAGTGCCCGGTTCTTGGTGGTGGAGAAACTCTGGGTGGAGAGGTGGCCCATGGCCGAAGGGGAGAGCGGAATCTGCAAAAGCAGATTGATAATTTGGGTTAGGTTATCACGAGAGTTAAGATTCCCATTTTTGAGGGCCCGGTTCTTGGTGGTCGAGAAAGTCTGGGTGGAGAGGTGGCCCATGGCGGAGGGGGAGAGCGGAATCTGCAACAGGGTTTACTAAGTGGGTTAGGTAATGATAGAATTTCCGTTCTTCTTGATTGCCCAGATCTCAAGAGCCACGGCTGCGAAGACGTTACGAATCAAACGCGCGTGCGGTTTTGACCGAAGATACCAACCAGAACAGTGCCCAAATGGGACAGAGTTTTGATTGTCCAAATAAAAATCTCATTTTTGAAACCGAAAAGGTGCTCAGCTTCCGGGCTTGGATACGAACCCGTTCCAAACCTTCAGAACAAATGCATTCCGAGCGCCGAAGCTAGTGACCTTTTCCCGAGTCCGAAACGAACCCAATGACCAAACTCAAATAACTCCCACACCCTAAAATCAGCCAAATCCCTCACCTGCGTGAGCGTCCCCGCGTAATGCCAGTCGAGCGGCGTGTTGATCCCGACCGTCGGCTTGTTGATCCACACTTCGATAAGCGAGCGCTCGTCCTTGCGGACAGAGATCTGGTTAAAAATCAGCAGCTCCTGAACACCGGGGACGGTCGGGGGAGTCCTTTGGACGCGGTAGTGCGAGATGCCGCGGCCGACCTGCATCCGGATCCCAAACATTTAGATGTATGAAGAGGGCTAAGTCTTGTCCACGGTACCATTGCTTCACAATGGACCAAACGATTGGGGTAAGGCTGGATTTGTAACGACGTGGTTACATCGCAAAGAAACAAGACCAAATGATTGGGGTAGCTGACTTTGTGACGACCTAGTTACATCGCGAAGAACCAAATTGCTCGAAAGCCAGCGAAAGTTGCCAAGTCGACGTGGAGACGGCTCCAACCTCTGGTTTCTAGCTGGTTCGGTGCGATTTTGGGCAGAGACTGGTCACGAAGTTGCAGAAACTGGTCAATCAATTCGCCATGACCCAAAATGAAGTTCGCAAACCGTTATGCCCAAGTCTATTCGAAAGCCCAACACGGACAGTGCATTTCAGCGGGCCAGCGTGTTTCAAATACAATGCACTATTTCTTAGACGAGCTTCTCTCACTTTTCCATGGAGATTTTCAATGGGTAACGGAACGGAACTGGAACGGAACAGGATTTTCACCTTGACGGGCTGGCCCATGGAGGAGTTGAGGTCGGTCACTTGGATCTTGAGCGCGGGGTATTGCGCCAGGAGTTCCGCCACGGTGTTGGCCGGGGCGGGTTCCGGTTCCGCCAGGAGCTTCCGGAGTGGGGGCGGAAGGGGGTTGGCCGGCACGGAGGCGGAGGCTGCACCGTTGAACAGAAGAATTGAAACGGTTGGTCTTTGTTCCGTGAAGGAATTGGGTCCAAGGGTCGAAGAGAGTGAGGGTAAAATTACTGCTGGGGACGTTTGGTTCAGGCGGATCCCGAACTGTCTCAAAAGTACTGCCTGACACACATAATGAAGGAAGAATGTTTTCAACCCTTGAATCCTAGGAGGGAGGAATACTTTCATAATTATTTTGCTTGGATTTTCCCTTGCATCAGGACAACCCATTTTGGCTTTCCCCACCATCTGAAAGTACAGAGGCTTTCCGAAGTCCTCAAGAACTAGTAGTGACCCAAGACACGAGCCCATTCAACTCACCGGCGGCCACTCCCGAGGGACCGGCGTTTGTCGCGTTCCACAGTTAACCGCCGAAGCGTAAATGTGACCCAGGTTAGTGTCGGAAATCTCAACACAAACTTGTACAGACCACTTACTCTTTCTCTCTTTCCCGGAACGGAACATTTCCAAGCAGTTCTAACTTTAGCTGACCCCCGTGCGAGGCTTTCCATATTCCCTACGAAAACAAATCGGCCCAAGCCACGGGAAAAAGTACTCACCGGCGGCAACCCCCGAGGGACCGGCATTGGTTGCGTTCCACAGGTTAAGCGCCGGGGCGTAAGTGTAACCCAGGTTAGCGGTGTCGAGAACGTCGGCGACCGTGATCGTCTCCAGAACGCCGTCCGGCCGGTAGAAGGTGTAGACGGAATCGAGCCAGGCCGGATCGTCGAAGAGCTCGTTGAAGCCGGACGACGTGTTGGCGTTGGGCTGCCTCTGCCACTCCGTGAAGAGGCGGTCCTGAGAAAAGACGGGTTAAAGTGTGTTAGGCGCTGGGTTAAGGGCTAAATTAGACGAGGATTGAGTCGGGGAAGGCCGGCAAGATTGGTTTGGAGGACAAGGTGTGGTATCGGGCTGCTTCGTCCCATATAGAAAAGTGGTCCCGAAGAAAGAAGAAAGAAGAACTTGAAAGGAACATTGTTCGGAACATTGTTCAGAAATGGTGTATCGGCAGCTGTTCAAACTTGAAGTGGAAAGAAAGACTCTGCTTGTTGTGCTCGGAAGAGAACTCGAAGTCTGAACGTTGGGAGGAACTCGGTCTTGGAGCGACAAGGTGAGAACAGTGTTGAGTAGATAGCGGAAAACGAAGAAAGCCTTTTACACTTTCCACTTCCACGATCCGCGCTGCAGGACCCCTTCTGGACACAGAGTCTGACTGCCTCGCGGCCATTTTCACGAGGCGACTTTTAGAGAATCGAAGAATTTTCCACGAAGAAGAGAGCAATTCCTACAACAGACATCGTCAAGAAGATATAGGTTGCTCTGCCTTCAAGAAAGCGCTCAAGTCCAATATCGATTTCCGTGACATAAGCAGAGAAGGCGACTCACGATGTTGTAGTGATGAGACCAGAAGGACGGGTCCCATCCGGCGGTCGTAAAGGAGCCCATGTTGTGGAAACGGCACGTGGGGCACGTGCCAGATTCGGGGAAGAGGCTCAGGTCCAAACCGGGTTGAAACTGCGCCTGCGCTCCGACGGCAGAATGCGCAAACCCGTGGATGATCTCGATCGTGCCCTGGTTGCCATAGTCGCTCTGGAAAGGACGAATCAACAAGTGGGTTAAGAAGTGTGCTCAGGGTTGAAGACCGATTAAAGAGAGAGGGGTTAGGTTCAAACCCGGTTGAAACTACGCCTGCGCGCCCTCGGGAGTGCGCACAGGCGTGGATGATCTCGATAGAGCCCTGGTTGCCGTAGTCTCACTGAAGAGAACGGGTTAGGAGGTGGGTTAGTCGTCGACGGTTAAGAAAAAGGGTCGGTCACGTTCAAAACCCAGCTCGAAATGCGCCTTCGCGTCGATGGCGGAGTGCGCGAAGCCGTGGATGATCTCGATCGTGCCCTGCTTGCCGTAGTCGCTCTGAAGAGACCGGGTTAAGGAGTGGGTTAGTCGTCGAATGAAGAAAGAGGGTCGAGTCCAACCCCATCTGGAACTCCGAAAAGCAAAAACCCTGGCTGCCAATAGATTCTCTGAACAGCACGTGTTGAGAAGTTGTTTGGAGATACTTTTTACTCTACTCCTAGGATGCCGTAGTCGTGTTCAGATCTCAAAAACAGTGCCCAAGGACTCACCTTGGTAATCCAGAACGACGGTGGCCGGTTAGAAACCAGGCTGAAGTTAGAAGACGTGCATAGAAACAAAACTTGAGCACTCAACCCAGGCAAAGGTCACAGACATAAAGAAGGCAAAATGAGCACTAAATCTGGCGATACCTCGAACAACCTGAACCAGTCAATTACTGGCAAGAATATTGGACTGGCAACTTCTGGACTCAGGCCAAATCGAGGACTCTTTATAGACCCGCCCAAGACTTTGGTGGGCTGATCTCCAATTCTCGTAGACTTCGCAACCGTCCAACAAAGTGTCTGGGTCAGCTGGGTCTGGAGGAACCCTCATACCATGACTCTTGCAATCCTTCACCTGAAAACCGAGATGCCTGAACTCCAACAAGACCGACAATTCCACAACTCCGAGAGCAAGTAAACATGCTTACCACAGTGGGATCTGACAGGCCGAGTGCCAGATACGGGTCCGACGTCTGCGTGACGGCTTTGTATGTCTCAAGGGCAGAGCAGTACCGCTGCATCAGCGCAATTCCGGCGGTATCGTTCTGGGTCCGCTTGATGTCATACAGAGGGTTCTTTTTGTCGAGGTACTGGGGTAGCAACCAGGAGCCTGGATAAAGCGGGGGGAAAGCGTATGCATAAGCTCGTATGCATGTGGGTTGGTCGTATGGGTCAGCTCTCTCAAAAAAAGAGCTACAATCAGAGGTTGGGTACGGACAGCTGGTAAAGAGCGGCTTACGAGGTAGGTTGTGGTTGCATCAGGAGACAATTAGTGCAACGGTTGTGGGATGGTTTGTGGGCCAGTCCAAGGACTTTCTTGGGCTCGTCTTGAGGGACGTATGGGCTGATAACTAAAGGATCCGTGTACAGGGCAAACGAAGGGTCCTGGTTTGTTACAAGTGCTGATCTTACAACGGTTCATGAACCGTTCTAAACTGGCTGTGAGCTGGCGAGACTGGATCCACATACGAATATAAGCTCATTATGATTACGTGGCGAAAAGAGCTTTCATGTGGCTCTGGGCATGTCTTGAGCGCAGTACAGCAGTTTGATTCACGAAATGTCAAAAGAGCTTTGTAAGCACATCCTCTACCGCTTTTGTTTCTCGACCAAGTGGGCAACAAAAAGAACGACAACCAAAAGAAGGCGAAGGATCGAGCAGCCGTTCTGAGATAGTCAAGCCAAAATTCACACTCGAATATCTGGCGCTCGAGAAGCTCATTCTGGAAACGAAAGCTCGGTCAAAACTGAACCAGAACTGCATGACTTTCCGAGCGCGGGGATGCAGCTTCAAAGCAGGAGCTTACCGTTGGGGTTGTCCCACTCCTGCAAAAAGAAGATCGAGCAGAGTGAGTAGTTGACTCCTCAAGGGTGACTTGACAAGCTTTCCAGCTTGTAATCAAGTTTGCAGATTCCCGTTGAGAGAATGCACAGACCGCACAACATGCGAACCTGAGTAAGTTTGCTGCGGATGACCCCATCATGTAGAAGCAGTCCAGCGATGAGGTCATAGTTACGCACCACGACAGATTAAATGTCAACTCAGCGAAAAGAGGGCGTCGAAAACAGAAAATGCGCACTCACCCAGTAAGGCATGGCGAAGGAAGGGTCGTTGAGCAGGAACTTCATGGACTGCTCGAAGTAGTAGATCTCGGCGCGGTGCCACGGCAGAAAGTGCCACCCGTTGTGAATGTAGCCCTGGGCCTTGGCTGTCGTGCAGTGGTAGCAGTGGACCTGAAAGTAGGTTAAGGAGCGGGTTAATCATTGATCTAATTATGAAAGTATCTCTAGGGTTCAAAATACGAGTCTGCTGCATTGCAAGGCTGTTTGTAACATGAGGATGTACGTCTGGGCCTTGACCGTTGTGCAGTGGTAGCAGTGGACCTGAAAGTAGGTTAAAAACCAGGTTGATGCGCTAAGAGGTATGAGCTTATCTGGAATCGAAATTGGGTTTGCTAAGTTGGACGGCTGTTTGTGACGTACACGAGTTTTTACATCTGGGCCTTGACCCTATTGCAATGGTAGCAGTGGACCTGGAAGTAGGTTAAGAAGCGGGTTCATCAGCTGACACGTATGGGGATTTTTGTGGAATGGAAAGTGGGTTTGCTGGGTTGGAAGAAGGTCTGTGGATCGACAATATACACCTGGGCCTTAACCAGCGTGCAGTGGTAGCAGGAGAGCTGGAAGGGGGAAAAGAAACTCTCGGGCCGTTAAGCAGTGGCAAAGCCTGAGGGGGGTTCAGGTGGGCTGAAGATCTATGGGATCCAGGGGGGGGGGGGAGGGGAGAAATGGAGAGGTGCGTGACTTTTACAGAGCCAAAAATCGTTGGGGGGTGTGAGGAACAGCAGTCAAATGGGGTTGGAGTTTGGTTTCATTTCAATACAGCGAAGTTCAAGGGCGAAGAGTGAAGAAAGGGACACGGCTTTTTAGCTTGCCTAAAAACTCTGTCTGGCAATTGCCGTGAAGTCGAACTTTGATATGCACAGATCTGATACAAAAGTGGGCTTCATGTGAGCACAATATTGGCGAACAACAGGTGGCAACGCCTCTTGGATATCTGCAATGCCTGGTGCATGCACGGAGGCAGTGTTCCTTGATGAAGCTGGGTGATTTGTCAGGACATATATGGCGAGGAAAGGAACGCGCAACGTCTTGATCCTGCATGCTTTCTATAATCGGTGCGGCTGGCAATAAACACAAGGGCTATATATCTCACATGTCAAGTTTGTTTCAGAACACATACACAAGGAAACTGATCCAGATCAGTGTCTTGCAAAACTGCTATTCGTATGCTCATACTGATGTTTACTGAATCATAGGAGGACCATACAGTTCTCTTGGTTGCGAACGACGATGAAAGAATCTCATCATACCATACAAGTCTCAGCTGTCAGTCACAAACATATCAAGCTGTTTTGAAAGCTCAGTTCAGATGCAAAAGCGCAACGAGCAGTACAGACCAAGCTGTGAGCAATGAACAATGAGCACTGAGGAATAAGGAATAACAATGGGAATGATATATAAGCAAGAGATAGTATGCTCAATCCTCACCCTGGCCTTGTTCTTGAGGCTGTTCTGGTTTTTGGACTCTCCATTCAAGCCGCGCATCAGGTCAAAACCCTTGGCGAGCTGAGCCATGTACGCCGGGTCATTGACAACGTCCAGCCAGGAGCGCCGTACACTCAGGGGCTTGGTTCTATCATACCCTTGGAACTTCTGCAATAAAAAGGGAGATGGCAAGCTGTCAGTCCTTGCTTCTTAATCATGCCTGGAAAAGGTGTTAGTGACTTGATTCTTGTCTAAGGAAAGGAGCGACCACTGGGAGGTCTGCTTTTGACGTATCTTTAGAGGTTCTTCAGGGGAGCAAAGGAAATGCAGAAATATCAGCGGGATTGTTGAAACAAAAGGTCCATCTCTGGCGGAGAACAAAGCAACAGCCTTGATGGGTTTGGTATTGCTAGATATGTAAAACTTCTGTATGGTTACAAGACAACCAGGTGTGACCTTTGCTGATGACAGAGTATGGCAGAGCTGGAGGATTTGGATGAAGGGGGCTGTCACAGAGGAGTTTCATGGCGATTGCTTGGGCAAAACATGAAGAACAAGAAAACAAACTTATTTGGAAGCTAAGATCCACGAAGGAAAGCAGATGAGAAAAATCTTTCTTTCATTGGCGCCTGTCGGGAAGATGGAACTTCTGGAAGAAAGACCTTGAAAAAAGACTTTCTGAAGAGATTGCAAGATTGCGAAGTCAAAGAGATTTGGCTTCCATAGCGCCAGAGAAAAGGTGCAACTCCTGAAGAAAGATCTTGATTGTAACCTATCTCAAAAGAGAAGAGGTTATCCCAAATGCCATCGATCTTCCGGAAACACCATGCAATCAAGAAGTTAATACACAGATTTAAGCAGTCCTTATTGAGTGACGGAAGTTTACTGCTAGGTTCCAGGTTTGCTATGAAGTCTGCTGCGCAGGTTTATTATGAGAAAGGCATGTGGGATGGATCATGCGCAAGCATCAGACTGCAAGTGTGAAACCCACAAACGAATGACACCAAAAGCAGCCCAGAACCTGTTGCATCCGTAAAGACAAACCTGAAATGACGTAATGTTTCCTGAGCTAGCTGCAGAGTGCAGTTTTTCAGCAAATCCAGCCTTTTTTCCAACTTAAGAGGTTGAGGAAGAATCAGAAAGAGAGAGGGTCCAGATGACTTGTGGTCTAGCTTGATGCCATTGTGAATCCCAAGTAAATAATCCGGCCAGATAATTCCTATTACAGTAAGCACTCATCAGCTGCATATGGTTTCTCAAAGGGGGCACCTTGATAAGGCAAGCACGAACCACACTTCATACTCTTAGGAACTTTCAATGCTAGCATTGATGGCAAGCTGGGAGAGGTAATCCCCAACTCATCTGGAGCTCAAGATCAAGCGGCCATTTTCCTCTGCGCGTCACTTGCTTTCTTTGACTATCCCCACCTCAACAACCCTCTTTGAAAAGATCCACATGTTCAAGGTGAGCCTTTCTTCCACTCAAGCAAACCGGTTTGCAGAGAACGTAAGGCCAATCCCAGACGGCGAGAGCAAACATATGCACGTTCCCTTACCATAAGCAAACAAGAAAAATTATAGATAGATGCGAAGCACACAAAGTCACTCAATGCTGACGTCACTCACCACGGGCGTGCCCTTGTACGGCAGCGGGCAGCAGTCCCCGAGGTCCGTCCCCTCCTCCTTGACGTCGGTGACTTCCCCGGTCGCGCTGAGCACCATCGCGTTTCCCGAGTTGTCTTTCGCGGTGCCGGGGAGCGTCTTGCAGTTGTTGATGACGTCAGGCGTGATGTAGATGCCGCCGTCGGGCTGCGCGCCGAACAGCTGCTGGGCGGAGGCGCACGCCGCGAGGAGCGACACGAGCGCGAGGGCCGCGAGGAGCGGGCGGGGGGCCACCATGGCTGCTCAAAAAGGGGGGTGAAAGAGTCAGATTTGTAAAATGAGAGCTGACGAGGGATCAGAACCGAAAAGGTCCTCAGAGATCCACTCCCGAGCTCAGTTCCTCACAAAGAAAATGGCCTGCCTGGGCTTCGCACCAAGTGCTATCAATGTCATCTACTGGAGTCTGAATAGCCCATGAGCTGTTTCCTACCGTAGGCGTGTAACCGCGTGTTCCTAGGTCATCTGCGTGAGCACTGTGCTTTTGATTGCGGTCTAATGGCGCCAGAGCGACTGTCAAGTCCAATACGCTATGTCTTGAGGTGCAGATCCCGGAACGTCTAGGCTGCGCCAAACTCGTACACTGACTGATTGCAGGAGTGGTACTGGTAGGCGGTGGTACCAAGAATGAAAACCATAGAGTGGAGTCTGGAATGCGCTACCTAGTGTACACTCATTGTGACTGGCTGAGCCTACTACCGGTAACTACTCCAGTGTGTCTACTGGCCGGTACTCAAAATCCGGCGCGTCGTGTCACCTGACACCTTCAATGCGGCAGTTCAATGATTGAACCGGTTAGTTGCCGTTATTTTAGGGACCAAAGCCGGGCTCGACCGACCGGGGCTCAACTAATCCTGAGCACGCTGTAACTCATGTGGTTTGGTTATACATAACCGTTTCCGGAACCCAGCTTTGATTGCCCCCGTCCTGAGCGCTGCTTTTAATCTTCGGTTTGCTTGGAACCCTCAGATTGAATGAGGGTTTGATCACTTTTACGCGGCAATGTTTATCCGGGGACAAGGAGCTGTACCTACTACCGACCACTAATAGTAAAGGGGTTACCCCGATCGATGTCTGACATCTGTCTCGTAGAGATGGGAGTTGACTTCTTGGTTGGACAAGTGGCAGAACTTGACGGAGTTGCAACTCGCGATGGAGCTTGAGCCGTCGATAACACTTGGCATCATAGCGTACAAGCATCACCAGTACATATATCTTGCCGCTAGCGATCAGGAGTAAATGCGCGGCTTTATAGGCCTGGTTCAGCCGTGCAGCACACCGAGCCGTACGATAAACCCGCATATCGACACGATCGATCCTACGGCAACTCACGAAACAGGGGGTCGTTGACAGTTTCCTGCGACTGCATGGCGCCAGAACCGCGTACACGCGCTAAGGTACGCAGTACACTACTGGCTTTACTGCTTTTCTCAACACGTCAAACAATACGTGCACATCATTACCCAAGAGTCTTTCTACCAGCTAAGTTTTGCGCCAAACCTGATACCCAAGTAGATATGTACTTCTGACTGTTGAAGTGAATATCTGAGAGAGTCCTCAACTTTCTGAGTGGCGCAGTAAACAGATACTTTTCCCACTTTCTTTCCATTGTTTTCTTTGTTCAGATACGAGCGCTCGTATGTGGTCATATACATCAAGCGCCAGCTGGCGTAGTGAATCATAGTGACAATTTCAGTAAGTGCCCAGTAGGCTCCCAAGCAAGGGCGGCCTGAACTGCTCATTCAAAGAAATATCTCTGCACCAATCGAAACGCTCTCCCACATACTATTTGTTACAAAAGTGTCTGTCTGTATGCAAGCTGCTGTTTGATTCGGATGGAGCTGGCATCTTCGTATAGACAGAGGATCACTGGGTGCATAGGCGGAGTCAGCAATATTGTGGGGCGTTATATATCAACAAGCTACTGAGCACAGTCGACTGCTTTGGAACTGGGTTAGGGCTACATTCACAAAAGGTCGTATGCGATCAAGCAAGGCAGTCCGGCCTTCATCAAAGCAATGATCGAGAGTCTTTATTCTGAGAAGCCAACTTAGCTCCTTGAAGGTATCAGCGGTGCTTAATACACGCCGCCAGAATTTAAGATGGCTGAAAGCCTTGGACGTTCAAACACGGGTCAGACAGGATCGGTGTTTTGCCACAGAATTTGATCTTGCACAGCTCAGCTTTGTACCAATCTGCACATTTTGGGACGATCAGGAAGACAGCGTGGTACTAAAAAGCTACAGTCCTCCATTAATTGTGTCAAGCACGGATCTGCGCTAAGAGCCTTGAACACGGCCAAGGTGCAAGCATAGACACTGCATTGCTTTCCTCGCTTGCGAGAAGCAATGGCAGCGCTGAGGGAGATGTGCCCGGGAAAACAAAAGCCCAAGTAGTATACGGTAGACTGCAGGACTCGGCAGGTTCTGTAGATTCGCGCATTTCACAACAGATGGAAGGAGGGGGTGCACCGGAAACGGTTGCCGAAACGGCCGTGCGAGAGGAACACGAGATGGCTTCAGACCCACAACTATCTCTGGGAGCAGAAGGGTCTGTGTCGAGACTCCAGGCATCAAAGTCGGAGCTGGAGTCACCGAGTTCGACCGCACAACTGCCCGCGCAAACCACTGAGCGGGTGCCACGTGGCAGCTCGCAAGCTCCACACGTGGACAGCGGGGTGGAAGTTCCCACCAGCAGCGGGCCCTCGACGCCCGCAAACAACCGCTACTCCCTACCCCGTAGCCGGCCGACGTCTCCCGTCCCCAGCTTGAAGAACTTCGATTCCATCCGCCCGAGCTCGCCCCACCGACCCGATTCTCCGTCAGAACCCAGCCGAACCGTTTTAGAAAAGGCCTCCGGCTCCCCGCGCACAAACTCTCCGTTCCTCCAGAAAGCCCAGAGCTTTGGCCGCGCGAACGTCTCGGCGAAGCGGATCAGTTCGATGCTAGTTGAGAAACGGGGTCCCTCGGCCTTACGGGCAGATTACGAAGACGACCAAGTCTCGCCGCGCGCGTTTGAAGTGAAGCCGTTAGCGGATACGGATGGATTGTGTGCGGTGCTGTATCATTACCTGTGGAGGAAAACGAGCAAGGCGAAGGGATGTCCTGGGCTGAGTCTGCCCGATACGATCGTTTATCGGTACCGGCAGCCGATGCACTGGTTCTTCACGAGCGTGCACGATGGGCAGGTGAGTTAAGCTCAACCGCCCATATGACGAATTTTTGAACCCAGATGAACACCACAGAAGTTGCCAACTCAGAGATCTGTCATGGGGCACCCATGCTTGGCATCAATTGACAAGGCTCTTCGTTTGGTCGCATGAAAAAGCTCCTCTGGGGCCTCAAACGCTGTTCTGTCCTTCAACTTATCACAGCTATATCATCTTCCTCTCGACATTGCCCGGGCCATTTGTTCTGCTCTTTCTGCCCCCTGCCCCACTCTCCCTGGGCGTAATTCAATCTGTGAGCTGACCAGTCTAATCGAATGGAAGTTTTCCTCCTCCTCTAGTTGATGAAGAAGAACCGGTCCAACGTGCTGAACCGCCTCATCTTCGAGTCGCTGACCAAGTCGCGCGGTCGCGTTTCGGACATTGTCGCATGCCACTTGTACACGGACGACGAGTTGGGAGACCGGACAAAGCGTCCGAATGAGCAAGTCACACACGTCGAGTTTTTTGACGAAGCGGGGCTCAGTGAGTGATCCTTGGAGGACTGTTCGGGACAGTCGCAGCAAAGATGATGATATGAGATGACGCCATGAGATCGGTCTTCTTTGCATGGAAAACAGGGGCGTGCGGTTTCTATTAAAGTGTGTCCTTTGAAAACGGCACATACCGCCAGACAAAGTTAGTGAAAACCCGCTGCCGCTCTTCTTGGCATACTCTGGTTAGGTCACCATCGTTTGACCAACATTCGTAGCTCTTCCTTTGCAGAGAACTTCCTGTTCCACGGCGAGAAGCAGATGCACGGTGTCCTGCAGCGGTTCGTCGAGTCGAAGGGCGACCGCAACAGTGAGTCACAACCCTCCAGGTCGCCAGAGTTCGTGAGCTCGGGAAATAAAAGCCCTCTTGGACGAATTTTAAATGGCTTTCGCGATCCAAAGTAGTGGACGAAGTGCAAAACATGAAGTCAAAAGGATGCTGCAATCTGCTGGACAGGCTGCTTCCGATAGCGCATCCGCATGAGATTCACTGTTGCCAGCAGAACTGAGCAACTGTTTCCTTATTTCTCTCTTACGGAATTGATCTTCAACACAAGACCGTCAAGCGTAAGGAACCCTTTGCCTTTGAAGTTTGAAGACAGCTCAGGTCTGGATGATTCGACGTGTTGTGGTGGTAGCTTCTGCAAGGGACGCGCAGCGGTTTCCTGCCGGTCTCGTCGCCGGAACGTCAAAGGCAGTCCTGGTAACATTCATGACAACTTCTTCTGGCGACCTTGCAGCGTTGATACAAGCCATGTGGTCGCCGCAAGTGTGCCTTCTCGAGCGGCGGATCAACCTGCGGCGCATCACAGACCCAATGAACGAAGTGAGCATCGCTGAAAGCTGGCATCGTTGTCAAATCCTCGAGCTCCAGTCTGTCTTGACCAGTCAGAGCGCTTAAATTCGACACGTGAACCCCTGCGGTATGCACCTGGCAGCCATCAAGCAGGCGCGGTATCGTACCCAACCACGTTGTGTCAGAAGTGCGGAAACTGTTATAGTCAGGTGCTTGAAGATCCTGTTAGATGCTTTGTAGCAACTGAACAGAGTGTAACGCGCAGACGGTTCCGCTGAGCTCTGCGTTGCGTTCTTCTTTGGCCTTCAATGTATACGGGTTCGCGCAAGGGTTTAAGGACTAAGGCCCGTCTCAAAACTGCGGTTCCGCTCAACTATGCTTGATGAAATCCGCTTGGCTTGGCAGCTGCACGAGAAGGCGGTCACGTTCGAGGGTGGGGAGCAATTTAGCGAGTCCCTTGCGGTTCCGGCGGACGCGCTCGCGACGGAGGTGCAGGTGAGCCGGAAACGGAACGCTTCTTGCAACCTCTAGAAATTCTCGTTAAAAGCATCAGCCGATAACGCTGATACGGAAGCAATCCTAGATTCCACAAAATGATTGTTCCTACTCTTCGATGTTGTCAAAATCCAGAAGTAGAACGGGTGCCTTCGCAAGGAGCAGGTTGACAACCGGCAGCATTGTGAGCGGTGTGCTCTGAAAGTTGGGATACAAAGTTTCTACTCCAAAGTTGACAACGATACGCAGAACGCTACCCTTAATGGGCGATCTCGGACTACCAGAAATCAGCATGTGTCCGAGACCTTCTTGGTTTCCTTTTCTTGCGATCCAACTATGCCGACAAGCCAAGTCAGCTCAAACTCACGTCGCCGTCTCGCGGCGTATCTGCAAGCACATTGTGGAGCTCTGTGAAGTGAAATTATGTAACTTTCGATGCTGTAGAAGCACTCTTCTCAAACCAGTGTCCTCATTTCGCAGCGTATCTGCAAGCACATTGTGGAGCACATCGCGGAGACGTCGTCGGGGCAGTCCCTCATCTCGCGCATGGTGCTGCACTTCAAAGTGGACGCCAAGAACAAGGTGCGCCACGCCTAGTTGTTCCTCACCCGCACGAAAGGCGTCTCGTTACAAATACAATTGGGCTGGGATGGGCTTCAGTCTCAGAATCCGGATGCCGCAAAACGGATCGGATTGTGCCGTAAAACGGACCCGATTGCCACAAATGCTTACACACAAGGAAAGAGGTTGTCAATCTTACCTTTCGGAAGCAATTATCCCCACTTGAAAGCCCAACAAGTTTTGCAGAGGCCAAGAAACTCTCCCTAGCAGTCTTTCTTGTTCGCTTTTGGCGTATTGTGAGCCACGCGAGCTTCATGTTGGATGTGAACTTTACTGACATAGAATCCCGTCGTCTTGCTTCCCAGATCTGGCTCCTCTGGTGCAGCTCAATCCGTCTGTTCCGGGGGCCTAAAATCGGGCGGCACGTGACCCCCCTGAATCTGGACCCCCCCTTCCAAGTCAAGAGCGCCGCAGACGCTGAGAAAAGCTCGAAGCACGGGGGATCCCTTGGTTCGGGGGGGCTCTGGTTCGTGTGTCCCGGATGCGGCGAGACTTACGCCAGCGACAGGAAGTGTGACGTCACCTACAAGGCGGTCATCTACCACTGGCAGAAGGTGCGCGCGACCACACGGGCTGGGTCTGAATCCAGCACTCGCCCATTTTCTCTTTTCTCGAAGCACTGTCACCGACAACCTTAAGCAAAGGTCACTTTCAAAAAGGCACTTGAACTGGAGAGATAGAATTGGAAAACATGAAAGTTCCGGTCTCATTTCATGACGGAACGGAACGAAGCCGATCCTCCTGCTCTACCTTGTGCCGACGAAAAAGAATTGAAAAGAAGACCAGGGGCCTTTAACGTCCTTCTATCTCGTTCGCACGTAAACTGATAATCGCACTTGCTTTCTCTCCGAAAGGACTTTCGCTTTCGTTTTTGCCCGGAGTGCCTATCAGCGAAGCACATTCCTCCGAACATTACAATCACCTTGAATGATTGTTGCAGACGTGTGCTTCTCCCGGGCGAAACTCCATTCCCTCGGTCATTGCCAAAACCAATTCTGGGCTCTCGGAAGCCCGGTACGCCATCCTCCAAGAGCACCCGGTCTTCCTGTACAAGACCGTTCCGCTCTGCGAGTCGTGCTGCACGGAACGGAACAACGCGATGCTAGCGGAATTGGCCGCGGTGAATCCCGCTAGCGACCAGGGGGAAGCGCCCCTTGGGGGCCGTCGGTTGGGAATACCAAGCCTGGCGGGAGCATTCAGAAAGCTGGGAACGAATAAGGTATAGATCACACCATTCTTCTGGAGTAAGCTCCTCTTCTCACAGAGAGCGCTCAGGAGCGCCTTTGTCAAGGCGCTTGTTCCTGTTCTCACAAAAAGCGCGTGGGTGCTGTTAAAGCGGGTTCAATTCTTGTGGATCTTTGTCGAATCGAGTATGCATATCCACGTGCCTTTGAAACCGAGTTCGACGAGATACTTAAGATCGCAGACGCGCCGCCACGCGTCGTTCCTGTCGTGTTTCCTTGTGCACCGTCTCAACAACAAGTTTAACGATCTTTTGGATATCAACTGCGGTGTTTGCTTATCCTTTTCAGGGCTCCGCGAGCACTGCTCGCGCGCGCATGCCCGCGACTTCGCGCCCCGCGCCAAAGCCAGCCGCGGCGGCCGCGCTTCGGCCGCGCCCGCGGTCGGCTTTCGCATCCATGAAGCGGAGTGCAAGCGGAACGAAAAATGTGGACGAAGCCTCAGGTGCAGACGCGCCCAAACCAGAAATGCAAGCGGAAAGAACGGAAGAGCGGAAAGAAGAAAGTGGGGCCGGAGAGAGTCGGAAAGACGAACTGGATGGAGAGATGGAGGACGGAACTAGATCGGAGGACACTGGAATCGCCAAGGGAAGAGATGGGATGGATGTAGGAAGCGGAACCTCAGTACTAGTACAAGAAGAAAGCGGAGGGCAGAGTTCGGTAAAGAAGAAAGGGGATGTGACGGACCGGCATTTGAAGGACGGAACGGAAACGGAAGTCAGTGAGAGAGAGGATGGCGTGGGTCGTGGAGCAGAGGCGAGAGAAATGACGTCAGCCGAGGCGACAGGACAGTTCCGACAGCAGACAGACGCGTCGCCACCAGAAACTACTGCCGGCGGAATGCGGAGGACTTCTGAGCGGAATGGTGGGGACACGGAACGGAAAATTAGCTCGAACTGCGCAGAGACGACTGGCGGTGGAAAGGGATTGGGAAACTTGGCTGCGGAAAGCGGAGCCAGCTGCCCGGGTTCCGCTCGAGGAAAACGGAACGTTACGGATGCCCACGTTGTCAAACGATCCGGGGAAAAGAAGAGCGACGCGAACGGAACTCAGCAGCGGAAACCGAGCGGAACGAGTGGGCGGAAAGAGGGGACGAGCAAAGCCGCTGACGGCTCCGCCGTAGATCGAGCCAGGGCTGTGTACTCCAAAAAGATCACCCCGCTCTGGGCCGTTCCGAAGACGTGATAGAAGCATTGCTCTTTCCGTTCAGGCCCGACCTGACATGTTCTCAGGGTCCGAGTTGACTCACGTTGTCCGACGTTTGTTCTCGGTCAGTACATATTTTAGGCCGTGCGCGCTCCAAGAGTTGAACCGTCTCTGAGTCCGCTCGCAGTGAACAGCTTAGCTACACGAGTTGGTATCGAATTGAGGACCTCTACCTGTCATTGTTGAAGTTGGATCCTTTGCCATATTGGCGCTGCGGGTCACTCGCAGCGTGGAGCCTCGGAGCGTGTCGATCAATGTGTGAGCTAGGCGGCCCTGGCACAACATGGCAACGAATCCATCGGCCGATGTACTATATATGCGTGTGCGCAGGTTGGATGTACACATGTATGCAACATAGCAGGCCGATGCATGTAGTTAAACTTTGATCAAACTGATCTGAGACGGTCACCGTCCGGACTCAACGTACAAAACGCACCCAATGCCAGATCGCCGTGCGCTGCTGGCGACCTGGCATTGCGCATGCACGTACCGATGCCTGATCCGCAAACAGATCAGCATGACGATGCATAGTGCCAATTTTATGGCGGCGTATGTGCAATCGGTGATGGTGCAACAATGTGCGACGCGTGACCGCGTCCCTTAGCTAGCCTGTGCACTGCCATATTCGACTTGGCAGTAGCAGGGACAGAATTGGCCCGCTGCAATCCTAGCCGCGATAAGCTCCGAGGTCCGATGAGGCTCAAACTCTTATTTCCACATGAGTGGCTGATATACATCATGGCATTTCATGGAGCAAAGTTGCATGGACTTGCATGACCAACATGCCAGTGGCAAAAATGAAGCTTAACGGAAAATCCAAGTGATAATGTCTCTATAGTACATCGATCTTCACTGCCAAACTTAGTGACTACGACAACAAACTTTGGTACAACTGATCCTAATAGTAGTCGCTTGCTAATCATCACCCTACGTCCTATACCTGATCGCTTTCTGAATCTCTGGACGAATGGACGATCTGAAGCCGTTTGAATGAACGGATGCGATTACCGCATCCTGAAATGGACGTCCGTGCGGCCCCCCCGGTAACAGGAACTAACTGGAAGTATGCCCCATAATATTGGGCACACCATAATACCCTTCTGTAAACGCCGTAGACTATTACCCTGAGATGCGCATTCCTGTCACCATTGGAAGCTCGTGAAACCCGTCACCGATCGCGCTGTTGATCAGACTGCGTGGCACCTCCGTAATTCTGCTATCAACCGTAGCTCTCAAAATGTTTCCGTAGAATAGAAGGGCAGCTAGCGACTACCAAACTCTGGCAGCACACCTCGCTCGCGGAAAGTGCCTCGCCGCAGCTTGTGCCGTTTGTTTACCCGCTTGCCTACGTATGCCGTAAGCGACCAATGTCGATCGCTGTCCCGTCAAAATCAAATTCAAAGCTGGTCGGAGCAACCCCTTTTGGCTACCCCAGAAAAATGAGAAACTAATCGTTTGTCTGTATATCACAGTGATCTTAGCCTAGTCCGAACACGAAAGCGCCTCTCTTGTAGCCCCAGATTACCGCCGCAATTTTGCACCCAGACTTTGCAACGCATGAGCGCCCACCTTTTTCCCCTTCCGTTGAAACCGCAGGGCAAAGCTCCGGACTGCCGAACAAGCCCACTCTCTCAAAAGCCCAGCACGGCCTTATTCGAAGCAGAGTCCCGAACCTTTCACGCCACTCTCAACCAATCCCGCTAAACCCGCTCCGCTTTAACCGTTTCCACTAACCCACCCCCGCCGACCCGCTCCTCTGTTCGTTTATTTACAACCCCGTCGGCAGCACCTCCTCCGCACTCGGGCGGGTTTCCCCTAACCCACCCCCGCTGACCCGCTCCTCTGGTCAACCATTTTACAAGTCCATCGCCAGCACCTCCTCCGCGCTCAAACGGGTTTCCGCTAACCCAACCCGCTGACCCGCTCCTCTGGTCAACCGTTTGCAAACCCATCGGCCAGCACCTCCTCCACACTCGGGCGAGTTCCACTAACCCACCCCGCTGACCCGCTCCTCTGGATAACCATTTTACAAACCCATCGCCAGTACCTCCTCCGCGCTCGGGCGCGATTCCGGACGTCCGCTAAGCAGCGACCGGACGAGCTGCAAGAGAGCGTCCGAACGATCGGGGAGGTCCACTTGGCCTTGCCGCTCTGGGCCGGAGCGCGGCAGCTGCCGGCCCGTCGCCCACTCAAAGATCATCGCGCCGAAGCTGTACATGTCGGCCTGTAACAAGGGTTGATGGAAAGGTTAGGGAGGGGCTAAAGAAGGGGTTAGAAAGGCATTGGAAACGAATAATCTTACAAGTATGAGTGTCGGGAAGGTGCGCCCCGTCGCCTACTCAAAGATCATCGCACCAAAGCTGTACATGTCTGCCTGCAACAGGAGTTGATGGAAGGGTTAGGGAAGGGTTAAGGAAGGGGTTAGAGATGAATAGGAACGGGTTAGTATGAGTGTCGGGAAGGTGCACCCCGTCGCCCACTCGAGAGATCATGTGAACCCGACCTGTACATATGGCCTGGAAAGGGGGTTAATCAAGGGTCAGGGAGGGGTTTAAACGAGGGGTTAGGGAGGGTTCAGAACCAGTTACGTCACTGCTGAGATTGTTGAGATGTGCAACCGAGTCGCGCCCCCAAAGACCGTCATGCCAAAGCTCAATATTTCGGCCTGCAACGGGTCGTTGAAGGGCTTACGGAAAAGCTAGGGAGGGGTTCGGACGTGGAGTACTGGGAAGGTGTAGCCCTCTAGAATAACATCGGGCGAGGTTCGGGCATGTCAGCCTTGCAGGGAGGGTAAGAATGCGGTACGGAGAAGGCTGACCAGGATTTAAGCAGGACTACAAACAGTTGAGTATTGCTGGCCCGTCAATAGACTCAAGAATGAAACGCCAGGATTGTGTGTGTTGGCAGCGACGAGAAATGCCGTATGCTTTGGGTTGCGAAACAAACGGCTGAGACAAGCGTGAAGTTATAACACCCCATAAGCACAGTAGCGACGTAAGGTTTCTTGTATGTATGTATCAGATCCTTCATGGCGCCATCCACGATCCGAGAAGAAGAAGTTCGATCTTGTCAGATTCAAGAACTTCCTGCCTCAATCCTTCTCTACAAGCAGAACCACAGAACGGTTAAACCCAACCAGAAGACAGCCTCCCTTTCCTCCCTCCCCCTTCCAACTTAAGTACGCATTTTTTTTTTTGAACCGGTGTGACAACCCACAACCAGCAATTTGACACCAAACCCACCTCCGGGCCCGGCTCGTGCTCTCGCAGCAGTTCCGGTGCCACATAAGCGCCGTCCCCCTCCTCCCACTCCCACTGCCGCCTCAGAACCGCCAGCCCGAAGTCGCCGATCTTGAGCGTCCCCTCCAAATCGAGGAAGATGTTCTCGGGCTTGATGTCAAGGTGGAGCACGCACTTGCTGTGCAGGTACTGCAGGCCGGACGCGACCTGGAAAAAGCATTTTTGGGGGGTCAGACAAAGCGCGAAGGCGCCACTGATAAAAATATGCATGAAAGGGTTGAATTCAACCTCCCCAAAAGGTTTTCCTCTAAAATGGTTCTGGCCCTACTTATAAGTCTGGCGCCATGCAGAACCAAGAAAACACAAAGTTGACACTCCAAAACCTGGTGTTGAACTTTTTCTAGAGGTAGAACATCTGCAGCCTCGAAATCTCTTTTGAATATTGAAAGAAGACCTGTCTGTGGAATAGCCCCGAAATAACGTCGCTCCAAAAGCAAACGCGATAAAGCGCCCGATTCCAAAACTAGCGTCGAACAATCACCTGGCGCACCCAACCCCAGATGCGGTCCTCTTCCAGGGGGGTCGTTTGGCTGGCGGTCCAGTCCTTGAGGTTCCCCCCCTCGCAGAGCTCCATCTGGATGAAGAAGTGGCCCTCCTGCTGCCAGCCCCGGTAGTACTTGACCACGTTCGGGTGCTCGGAAAGACACGCGACGCTCTCAATCTCGTGCAGATACCGCTCCCTGCAAAATTGTTGGATTTCACGTCAAACAATGAGTAAAATTGGCCACTCCGCTGTATTCTGAATCATTAGGGCGCTACAAAGAGCACTAGCGGGTACACAGTCTGACTTGGAACGCAGAGGTGAGGTCGCAGTACGACCATTTTGTTTGGCGCGGAATAAAGGTCCGGATAGGTGCGGGCACAATGAACTTGGCTGACTGGCCGGTAGGTTTTGCAACACTACTTTCTTGTTGGTAAGTGGTGAGTTTTAGCCGCAGAAACATAGAAAGGCGGGTCAAGCTTACAAGCGCAAGTACCATGGCCCGCAGAGAAAGTTATCAATGTGAGTTGACACGCCTGCTTATCCAGCTTTTGAGGCTCGATCAGTTGTCGATGATCAAATCGACGAGAAAACATATCTGGCCAGCGATATGCTGTCTGGTACAAGCCTCACAGACATCAATGACTTGACTTTAGCGTCCTAGAATCGCAGTCCCGACTACCGTTCACAGCCAAAACAACGCCAACATTTCAAGCTCTTTTGTCGCTTTGATTCCTCGACTTGGCCCCTGGCCATCACTTCTCTTTCGACCAGTTCGGAGCCCGCCGGACTTGAACGTAATCTGAATTCCGTGACCTCACCTATCGTCTCGGCCCTTGAACTCGCGCTTGCTCTTCTTGATCGCGCACAGCCCCCCGCTGCGTCGGTCCCTTGCCTGGTACACCGTGCTATACGATCCGCGCCCGATGACCTTGAGAAACTCGAAGTGCTTGTCGAACAGGAAGAAGGACTGCGTGCGCTTGAGGGCGGTCGTCATCAGCAGCTTCGTCTCCATCAGGCTGCCCTGCCGCGTCATCCTCGACTGCCTGCACGGGGCGGAGGGTGACGTCAGCATCACACTTGTTTTGGGTCAACGTGACGTCAGCAATGGGTGGAAAAGTGCATGTGGCGTGATGAGCAGTTTCGTCTCCATCAGGCTGCCCTGCCACGTCATCCTCGACTGCCTGCTCGGGGCGATGGGTGACGTCAGCATCACACTTGTTTTGGATCCGCACGACGTCAGCAATGCGTGGACAAGCGGCAACCAGACGTTACACAACGAGCAGCTTGGTCTCCACCAAAGCATGACGTTAACATTGATGGTGTTTGAGTCAGCAGGACGTCAGCGATAGGTTCCGGGCACGATTAAACTTGATCACCAGCCACATTGCTGCATTCACTATGCCTGTTCATGAAAGTTGGGAGTCAGTCAATCATCAGCTCGGGCTAATGCTGAAGAGATTGACCTAGGGCTGTGCCTTGGATCAAAATCAGGACAGATGAGATCTTTGTGCTCATGGCTCTTTTCAATGCAGGACCCCAGTCGTTCCTCCAGTGAGGGTCTATATTGAAAGGAAAAGGAAACAAAAAGGAAAAGAGAAAAAAGGACAAGCAGAACCCACCTGTTGGATGGTGCCTCCGGACACTCCTGTTCCCCCTCCTCCGGAATCGTCTGCACCTGGGGGGTCTCTGGCGAGTCCATATCACCCCCCCCTCCGAACGCCCCAACGACCGCCCCACTGTAGCTCTGCTTGCTTCCCTCGCTCCCCCCCTCCGAGTCCTCCGGCATGGGAGACAGCGGAGGGCCGCCACCTGGCATGCCGGGGCTGGCCGGAAAGTTACTTCGAGCGTTAGACGCGTTCCTGACGAGACGAGCGTTTGAACGGATGTGGAAAGAACTGGAGGAATTGCTGGATGAGGGGTCCGAGTGGCGCCTGCTGACGTCGTCGCTGACGTCACCGGTCCGCATACTGACGTCATCTCCGCCAGGCGGCGAGGAGGCCCCCGCGGCGCCTCTCCATGGCGAGTAGAGCGGAAGCCGCGCCGTCTTCTCCTCTGCCGTGAGCTTCCTCACTCGGCTGCGAATGAGCGCTTCCCGATCCACTGCCCCTTCCCGCGGTGACAAACCGCCTGAAAAGTTCTCTCGCGGAGAGAACATGCCAGGCAACGAGGCCTCACCCCCGGCTGACAGTTGCAGCGCCCCAAACCCCCGCCGCTTCCGAATGACTCCTAGAGAACCTTCCCCCAATCTAGTTTCCAGGCTCTTGATCCCGTTCTTCACAGCCCATTGCTTGGCACGAGGCGGTTTGCGCGGCGGCAGAACCCCCTGCAGCCCCTCTTGGCCTATCAGCCCCTGCGCCTTTTTCAGCCCCGCCGCCTGCCGGTTCTTTGCTCCGGGGCTCAGTGGACCCCCCGCACGCGCACTGTTGTTTTGAATTATGGAAACCCTTGGTTTTGGGGACGGAGAGGGGGGCACGTCGATCGACGGCTTTCGTTCCTTTGCTGGGGGGCTCTCGTCCAGACCCTGCACAGCGACAGCTGGCAGCATGGGACTGGCCGCCGGTGGGCTTCCCCACAGGCTCAGGCGGACAGCTGTCTTAGTGCCACGTTCCGCCCTTGGTGAAGTAACTTCAGCGCCCCTGTCTGCATACTCGTCCACAGCATCCATCTGATGATCCGCTGCTAGTTCCATCCTAGTGGGGCTCTCCTCACTAGTTCCCATCCCCGAGCTGCCCCCGACAGACTGACCCCTCGCTTCACTGGTCACGTCAGAGCCCCCACCAAATATCTTCCCCTTCTCTCCCCCCATCTGAGCGCACACCTCGCTAACTATGCCCAACCCCGCGCTCTGCAAACCCTCCCTTTCTCCAGCTAACCGACCCGCTGCCTCGCCAGGCATGTTCACCCCCACCTCACGCAATCCACCCCCCTGCTCCAGGGCTGCTGCAATCGCACCCGCTTCGCCGACAAGCTGCTTGAACGGCAGCCAGCAGTCGAGCGACATCCCGAGCCCCACAGCTTTCGTCCGCTTCGTGGGGCTCTTCTCTGGCGTGCGCACGTTCGCACTCTGCGCAACACCCCCGGTGTCACCTGCGTCCAGCTCGGCGTCACTCTCGGAGCGCTTGACACCGACGCTGCCGCTCTTCGCCCCCCCCGTCGTGTCCATATGGTCAGTCTGCCCTCTCGTTTCCAATCCGGAATCTGAGACCGCTTTTCTCCCTAAACCAACCAGAGGACCTGAGCCCAAACCAATCTGCAGCAGGCTCTCAGCTTGCCTGGCCCACAAGTCCCCCTCAGCACGTCTCCTGATCTCTGTACAGCTGTCGCGCAGAGAGTTACTCCCTTCCTGCTGCCTTTCCGAAACTTCCTCGTCTTCTTCACACAGCAGCTCGTCCTCGTTGCACAAGAGCGCCACCGCAACCCCGACCGTCGCCACCTGACCAAAACCGACACCCCTTTCCTCTCCACCGAAACTTGCCCCGCACCCAAACTCTGGAGTAGAGCATTCCCAACTGCCGAAAGCCTGGTCCCTGCCCGGAGCCCTCCGGTGAAAGCCCCCCACCCTGCTTGCCTCACATCTTCTGCCCCCGTCTTCACTCCCCTCTACACGTTGGGCGACAGAAGGACTAGCTGCCGGTCCTTCAGCACTCTGAACCCTCTCCATTCTCAAAGCCTCCCCCAAGTCAAACGACCGGTTGGCCCAGCCGCCAAAAGCGAGCGCCCCCCTAGGAGCAAGGCCCTCCTCTTCGCTCTCCACAAACTCATCTGCGCAGTCATTCCACACGCCAGCCTCATCATCGCTCGAGAGGCCCTCTTGCGACCGGCCCCGGCCATCGCCCTCCGACTCTTCCGGCTTGATCGCGGTCCGCGATGCTTCTTCCAGCAGGGTTGCCACCCCGTCGGGGTTCTGCCCCTCCCCTTCCTCTTCTTGGCCGCTTGGGGGGGGAGTCTCAGACGGCCCTTCCCTGAAAGCTGCTGCCCCCCAGGCTGCAAAAGAGACACTCCTATCGAGCACGCCATGAGTTGATGGCTCGTGAAGGGTGGGGCTGACCGAACGGGGGGGCTGATCTAGGGGGAACTGGGGGGAGGGGCTCCGTGAGGAAGGGCCGAAAGAGAAAGTCCTATCGAACTCGTCTTGGCTGACTGTCGTGCACTGAGACGTGGGGCCCTCCAGGCCTGTGGACGTGCTCAATGTTTGGGGGGCTTCTGGCAGCCCCTCAGACGAGACCCCCACTACGAGCGCTGTGTCAACATGGAGGCGGGGAAAGCTCTCCTTCGCAACTCCGCCCTCGTTCCAAATGGTAAACCCTGGTTCCGAGGAGAAGTGGTTTTGCAGATTAACAGGGGGGCAGGGTAGGGCGTTCCCCAAGTCGGGGGGGACGCTTGCTGCATGCATCTGGTTGATCCCCCGGGGTTGTGGAGAGTTGCCAGGGCCTAAGAGGCTCCTTGAACGCCAGAAGGCAGAAGCGCTGCTGGGGTAAGAGGGGAGGATGATGTCGCCTTCTGGAGTAATGGGGGATATCTCGCCACCGAGGGGTCCTGCAAAAAGGCTACGAATCAGTAGAAGCAGAGCTGGGACAAAGTGAGCAGAATATGGTGGTTACAGAAGCCTGTTACCAGTGCCTTTGCAGGTTCATACATTTGTAGGAGTCGAGTGTACCCGCCAGGGGTACACACAATCCGAATTATCTCACAATGTCAGCGGGAAGCCTTATCACTCTCAGACCCTAGTCCTCTGACCAAAAGCGAGGTGAGCTTTCTCCAAGACCAGCTTATCAGTTGTTGCTATGCTGGAGGTTCAGAAAAGGCCAAGTGTGTCCAGACTGGGAGGGAAACGAGGGACGCACAAAACGCAAGGCATCCAACAAACTCCATGTGATTCAAAAGAATGATGTTTCTGCATGTGTCTCCCTCTGGCTACATCTAGCACAGATGCTGCGCGATACAATGCGTACAGGCGATAGTCTTCTTCTCAGTTAAGGGAGGTTGGGTGCACACTGCTTGGATACAACGGTGGCAAAGAGTCCCCTTATGGAAATTTCCCCCAGAACTTCATAGATACAGACAGTACACAAGTAGCACTGCTCCACACATTGCCAAACCTTGAGCAAATCACTGGGGTCAATCTCCCCAAGCAGGAGCTTTAGAAAAGCAGCACCTCTATCACAAGGTTGCTTGGAAACCACAAACCTTGCAAATGGATTGCGCATTCTTACCTGCCAGCGTGCTGATTGGAGACATGAGCCCAACCCCTGCTTGGCGCTCAGGCGAGACCACTGCCATCTTCCTGACAGCATTGGAGGCTGCCTCTAGTCGCTCCTCATGGGACTTGAACGGTGATCCAGGTCGGGAGGGCAAGCTGCCCCATGAAAATCCACCCCACAAATCCATCTTTCGGGAGAGGCTTGCACTCGACACCTGGCAAGAATAAGGAATGGCTTGTGGGTTGCACTCAACACCTGGCAAAGACGTATGATGGCAAATGGGTTGTTGAATGCTTACATCAGAATGGGTTGAAGTTAAGGTGTGAACTCATGGCATGGGCGTTCTGAGGTCTTCTCTATTTCAGGGATCAGTTACCAGCTTAACAAAGCGAGCCAGCCGAGACTTGATGGAGCACATCCGCTTTACCCGCCTGTTTCAATCAGTCCAGGCAGAACCCCAGGTTGACAAGTCTTTCCAGGAGGGTAAGATTGGTTTGAAGTAGAAGAGCGCCCCACAATGGCAGGTTGGTCAACATGGATAGGTGAGGGTGCCAACCATCATTAAGAGCAGTCCCATCAGACAATAGCTCCCAAACGATAAGCCATTACCCCTCAACAAGCGGATTCTGTACACCACATCTCTTTGAGTGGGTGATGATTCTTTCCAATCCAGACTGGCACTAGCTTGTGCTCCCTCAATTCTAATCACCAAGTTGTATGAGTGTCCACCAGTGCAGCAGCATCACTCTCTCACAAACTAACGCCCAATCAAGCAAGCTTCACAGATAGAGGCAGGGTAGGAGCATCTGGGTTGTCATGTGAGCATCATGTTGATGAGGTGTGATCAATCACTGACCTCCTCCTTCTCTTCAAACCGCAGGAAGGGCCAATCCAAGCAGCATTTCCCAAGTACTATTCTACGAAGGCTCCACAAGCAGCATTTGGGAATGCTTCAGAATTGCAGACGCACGACGCCGCTCACAGTTTGTCTTCCTACTCTCTGAAACAAAGAGCACCGAATGAGCAGAACACCACTTCAATATCCTGAACGAAAGGAACCGTATCTTTCCCGTATCTGCTCGACCTCCTCCTCCTCAGAGTGTGCGCGCTTGGACTCTTTACGTGAACAAATTCCTGGTCTACAATCTACTAGTACAATGCCACCTGAGGTGGAAAACGAAAGGCGCCCTGAGGTTCGCTATGGATGTGGTCGTTAGAATCAACACCACGGTTTTTTACTGACCGGAACAAGCAGCAGAATCTAGGCAAAATGGTTGCAAGATCCATGTACCGGGCCCAGTCAGGGTCTCAAAGTGTCAATACATTCTGGAAGGAGCGGATTCTTCCGCCGCCGCGCTTCGGACTTCTCCCGCCAAAATGGCGAGTACACGTGGCATGATCCTCATCCAGATCTGCCCGTTTGCCAAGTTGGCCGGCGAATCAGAGCGAGCGGTTCGCAGGCCACAGACCCACCAAAAACAGATTCTTCCATTGTCGAAGCTGTTGGCTGTTAGACCGTACCGCCAAGGGAATTCGCCAGAAAATAACTATTTTGGGGTCGGTGTGAAAATTTGGAAACTAAATTGGGAGCTGAGGGTGAAAAGGCGAAATGAAGAAAATAATATAAAATAGCCCTTTTCTGCTACTTTGCCTGGCAAAGTATTAAAATTCTGATTTGTGCGAAATGTAAAATAAATATCTGAATCGCAAGGTGAAATCTGAAAACGTTCATAAGTAATTATTCGCACAAAAAGGTGGTGAATTCCCTTGGCGGTACGGGACATCCGCAGGATCCTTCGACGAAAGCTTTCGAAACCACGCTTCCGAGAAACTCGGTTAGGCATGAGGGAGAAGCTGGATGTGTCAGGCGTTGGGTGCACGAGAGTAGAACAGGTGGAAAGCAAAGGAGAGACCCAGCTGGCGCGAGGAGAAGGGCAAAGGGGCGCCAGGAGAGCAGCTGAGGGAGCGCTTCGAACGGCTCCCTGCTTTTGAAATCCCTTCTCAGCTGGTTAGCAGCAAGCAGTGAACCCTAACAAAAGTCTTCAGGGGTCTGGGGACCCTGGGACAAGGCTGGTAGGCCACCTGGGGTGGTCGTGTCATCTGCTGACATCATCCCAGCGTTTGCTGGGTTTGCTGCATAAGGCTGTGCTTGCTCCTGCTGGAGGTGTTAGGGGTCCTGCAGGAGTTTTATGTTATTCATGCACCTGAGAAGGGGCTCGTTCTGACGGGCTGAGGTGCTTCACTTCCAGATCTGCAGACGGCTGTGCTCTTGTGTAGCTCAATGGCAACAATGAACGGCCAGGCTCATGTGAATAACAATGGCATCGACGGAGGGTCTGCTGGGAGCTTCCTCAAAGGGCCTGGGCTCGGCCTGGGGCCGCGTGGCTCCAGCCTCACGCGTCAGCAGTCGATCTACTCTCTCACGCTCGACGAGTTCCAGAACGCGTTAGGGCACGACCAGGGGAAGAGCTTTGGCAGCATGAACATGACGGAGTTCCTGGAAAACATCTGGTCGGCGGAGGAGGGCGCAATGGCACAGGGGAAGGAGACGGGGGGGCTGCTGCGGCAGGCGAGCCTTGCGAAGCAGGGCAGCATCAACCTGCCGAGGACGCTCACTGGTAAAACGGTCGACGAGGTCTGGCGGGATATCCATCAGAGCAGCAAGCCGGCAGCTCCGGCTCAGCAGGAACGGCAGAACACATTTGGGGAGATGACGCTGGAGGACTTCCTGAGGAAAGCGGGCGTTGTTGGGGATGAGCTGGACATTGCGACCGGGGGGGTGCTCAGCAGCCTTGGGGCGACCCCCCCGGTGAGCGGCGCAGGGAATATGCAAAGCGTGGAGGCACAAGCGAAGCAGCACCAAGCTGAGTGGATGGATTACCAGATGAAGCAGCAGCAGCAGAAGCACCACCAGCAAATGAGCCAGCTCATGGTGCAGCAGCACTCGGCACAGCCAGGTTTGTGACTGCTTCAGCAAAGACTGCGTCTCTTGTGAGGAAGTGGAGTCTGCTGTAGAAGGGTCAGTCGTTGAACTTTGGTGAAGCACCATAGGCAGCCAGTTCCAGCTGAATGGTTCCTGCTTTATTGGGCTCTTGACTCAGTCAACTTCTCTATATTGAGAATGAAGTGTGCGCGGCTGCCTCGACCCTTCCTACATCCTCCAAGGATATCTTAGTGCACTCAGCTCTACCAACATATGTACGATGAAGCACAGCATTGAGCTTCAGTGAATCAGACGTCCCACCGGGTCAAAGCTCGTTGAACCAGATTAGGGTTCTGAAAAAGCATTACTCCTGCACTAACTCCTCATTCACAGTGCGGTGCAAAGTTACTCTCTAATGTCTCCACTTCTGATTCTCAATCTATTGCAAAAAATGGCGGACTTAAACACCTTCAAACAGCGCAGGGTTCCAAACAGGCAGTACACCAAAGTGGCCGAGTGATTGATACATTCACAAATTGCATCTTGTTTGGGGACCCATGTTCAGAATGGGTGGAACCAACAACTGCGCATCCCTCATACCCTTCAAGTCGAATGTGTCTCTTCGCATTAAACAGCGCAAGAATGAAGCGACTACATCTGCCGGGGTTCTTTCTAAACACACATCTCCATTCTCCAGGCAACCCCCATCGTCCCCCCCCCTTGATCATGAAAGACCCCCCCGAGCGGAAACCGGACCTGTCGCAAAGTGATGACCAGAGCAGCCTGGATGAAAAGGGCGGGGGCCTGACACCAAATAGCATGGGGGGCCTTGGGAGCGCTCAATCTCGGAGGGGAAAGAAGCGGCAGATGCCGACGCTGGACGAGCAAGGCAAAACGGTAGAGCGGAAAGTGAAGAGAATGATCAAGAACCGGGAGTCGGCGGCACGGTCACGGGCCCGAAAGCAGGTGAGAATAGGCTCATTCCATGCCGTCAACATGCTCTTTGCAGTCTGATTGTTGGCCTGGATGAGTAATCAAATTGCGACTAGAAGTGGAGTTGTCGTGAGAGTATGCCCTTGTAGGTCAAAAGATGTGCTTCTATGGGTAAGGATCATGTTCTGCCGATTTTCGTGTCCAGGTCAGGAAAGGGAAACAGTAACCTCATGTACACATGCTGTCAATCACTACAAAAGTCGTTCTGATTGATGGTTGTAAGTCTTTTGTGTAATCCGACTTGAGGTTTGCAGCTCGGATCAGGCAATAGATGCAGCAACTTGGTTTTAGCGGCCCAACGATCATTCATCAATCATGTAGAAAGGCTAGATTCAAAGCTAGACCCAATCAGCTCATTCTGCGGACCCAACCAGCTCATCCGCAGAATGAAGCAAGTTGCGCTTGGATGCTTTCGTGAACGAAGAGTTAGAAGATTGGTTTCATGTCCTGAGTGGAATACTATGCTGATTACTTCCTGAGAAAGGAGGCTGTCAGCTCCTCTCGTCAAGAGAGGGCTTCTGTTCATGAGGCCTCTGTTTTAAACAAGGAGTGTGTATGTTGACATACTTCAATCAGCAATTTGTTTTCACCTATGGTTGTCCCTCAAGGGCAGTCTTGCCGTTTTCATATCTATGTATTGAGCCCGAACCCCAGCAGTAACGAAAACGGTGCAGGCTTCAGAACAACCCTCTTTTGAAGCCAAGGCCGCTTCCGAAGAATGATGTCGCCGTTCCTGGTTCCTGCTCTTGATGATAAGCATCGAGTCCTTCGATTGTTCAGGATAGGTAACCGCTACCGCACATCCCAGAGACTCACGCACACAAGTGTCCCGTTCAGGTTCCTCGCTCTGAGGAATCGTCTCTGGTTGATAACCGTGCTGTGGCTGCCTCCAGTAAAATTGGGGTTTATTGGAGACCTTGCTAACTTTGCGCCTGACCAAATTGTACAATCCGACAGGCCTACACGCAAGATCTTGAGGAGAAGATAGCCCGGTTAAAGGAGGAAAACGCGATGCTGCGAAAGCAACTGGTGAGTACACGGGCTCGGTTTGACCCAAAGTTGGAGTCTGCACTACCCAGCTTTCCCCGAACAGAGGTACTTTTGTCCCCTGGTTTCATGTAACGTACTTGGATCTGCACTAGCGAATCCGGGGCATATTGGGCCTGTAAAAGGATTCTTGCAAGAAGAACAGTGGGGTTCTGCTTCTTCCGAAAGTACTTTAAGAATATCCTTGCTTCGATTCTGCCAAAACGCATCCGTCGGTTCATCTTTTCTCGCGTCAAATCGTAGAGAAGCCTGTCTCCTCCAGTACAAACGAAGAAGATGAGAGGTTTGGAGGAAGCAGGAAATCGACGCTTTGTCGGAAGTTCGTGTTATTACAGCTTAATGTTTCGGCCTGTGAATCTTGAGGGTCGTTTTGCGAGCAACAATAAAGTCAGCCAGTTCCTTTCACAAGCTTGTCCAGAGTGTTTTACTGTACGAATCATATTTCTTTTTTTGCAGGGGTCTGACGCACCCCCTCCTGAGAGCCCTACGCTGCCTAAGTTGAGGCGAACACGGACAAGTTAGTATAGTGGGCCAAAACTGGAGTCTCATGCAGCTCAGCCCGACTTGGTGGATTGCAGAAACTGTACAGCTATTGGACCGTTTTTGGAACTCAGGGAGGAGCCACCGTAAGTGTTGGACATCCACATAAGATGAAAGGGCTCCTAAAAGCGGTGGTGGCAGCTTGCTCGCACCGCCGATTTTGCATTATAAACGGTTTGGGAGTTTGCTCTGGAATGGATGCATCGCCTGCCATGTAAACGATGAAACTGTCGAAATAAGCCGGGCAAGCTGAAAGCATCGTCCTGAATATGCAGAATTAGCTAAGCTGGTGGTGAAGCTCATTAGAAAGCTAAGTTTGGTACATTCCCGCTAGGAGTTTGAGGGTTTGATGTTCTCAGGTTGATTCATCACTTTTATACCAGAAATTCAGACCCGTAGCAGCTATTGTTGCAGGGCTGATGCCAAAGTGCTAACTTGGATCCGTATATTTAATTGCTGCTTTGTACACAAATCGTCCGTGTGTGTAAAGTGCATGGCCTCCGTCTCTCAGTCCAGGCGGCATACCTCAGCAGCTCATGGCCGATCCAGTTTTGAACACACGAAGTGAGCCTGCCTGTTCCCTGATATATAGTTTAGCTCATGTTCGAATCAATGCCAGACTCGAGGATCGAATGGCGCGCCTGCTGCATTATACGAGTGACTTGCACTGATAGACCGCGTTCTATAAGAATTTCGTACTACACAGACATGCCAGGCACGGTAACTGTCACTGAGACAGGCTAGCCTTAGCAGTGAAGCCGCCGCCGGCGCGCCCCTACTAGCCTGCGTGCATAGCTAGAGCTTCTACTAATGTTCGTTTACTATATACTACCTATACTACTAGTGCGCTCACTGCATGAGCTCTAGTACGTAACGTGCATGTCCAACGGAATCATTTGCATATGGCGCCATGCCGGTGGAATATATATATGGCAGGCCGCAATCAATGGTTGCATGTATGTTGTACGTATACCATCGATCGCGGCGCATGCAGCTCAATGACGGTCCTTCCAGACAACCCTAGGTAGGGGCAGGTCGTTGAATGGATGAATTTAGGTGTCCATGACTAAGGCGCGGCAGAATGTACGTGTAGCTACAAAGTTAGTACGTGTAAGGGCAATCAGTATACCGTCGACCCGCGCCGGGCCAGTGTGAGTTCCTCTGATTTGCATGAAGGAGGACTCTACGTTGCATGCGGCCGGCCACCGGATATAGCGTTGGCACACATTTGAGGGCCGGCAAGACCGGTTCAATGACAGTCTTATTGAAACTTCGGACTCGTATATGCCCGATCGATCAACCACGGTCGACATAATTGCATGACCGTACGCACTGGCCGGCCCTATATATTTCAATCATTAAGCATGCCAGGCTATTTGCTTCCCGGTGTCTGGCCCTGGCACGCCGCGTTTGGTGCAATTATCGGACGCAGCTCACTGCCATCGAGTCGGATGCAATACGGGCCCCTATCCGGCTGCTGCACCGTTGCATTACACTTTATGAGAGTAACGCGAGCAACGATATCATTTCAAACGAAAATGGTTTCATTTGAAAGTAACGAAATCACCAAATGCTGCAGCAAGTGCCTGGCTGACAGCGCAGCAACTATGCTCTGCTTTCAGACCTCCAAAGTAAAACGACGTAAATTGTTGACTTGACGTGCGGGAACTGAGTTCAATCAAGCCCCTCCGCCGGGTTTTCTATCGCAGATTTTGAAAGGCGACGCCTTATTTCCTGAGCTCTCGATCCTACCTTTACGTCTTTTGCTTTTCCACCTTTACCCTAATTCTTGTATCCTCGACCGCTTTTTTGATTGACGGCCTTTCGACTCTGGCTCCGATTGCCGCGTTTGACCAGCACTCTTCACAGAACCCAACGAATCCTCCTCCGTTCCTTCCTTTCCTTCTTCTTCGCTGCTCTCGTCCTCGTCGTTCGCTTCGTGCCTGTCGCTCGGACCACAGCTCTGCCCGTTCATTGCCCGCTCCGCAGCAGCAAGCGCTTCAGGTGTCTTCAGCTCAGCCACTCCCAGAGCCAAGTCCTGCATAGAGTGAAGTGTAAGAACTCTCCGGCATTTTCGACTACAGTGTGTGCAAACGACTTCCTCACTTGTATCCTTGTAATCCAAGTCTGAGCCGCTCGAAGGACATGATTCAGGACGATTGAAGTTACAGTCTAGCGTCGGAGAAGGAGTCGGCTCCACACGGCCTACGGAGCCACACAGTGAAGACGTAACGGGTGCTTTGTGCTGCGATTCGGTATATGTACCCAGTGCGCTCATCTTTGGCAGTCGTTAATTTGGAAACATATCCCGACGCTCCCTATGGGGCCTCTCAATACGAATCTTGCCATCGTGGTGCATACCTTGAAAGGCGGCGCATGCCAAATTAGTCGTGTATGTGATGCATCCAAGCACTCGAGAAATAAGGAATTTTGAGACCAAGTTCGTCTTTTGTATGTCAGCAAAACAGAGACTTCAAACGTTTGGTTCTTGCAGCCTAGACACTCCGTATGTCTGGTTTCGAGTTAAGCCAATGTTACACCCATCGCTGAGAAAGTATTCCTCCCTGGAGATCTTCGAGCAGGACCTTCTGGGCTGCCAATCAACTCGATCAAAGCACGTGAGCCCACTCGTCCATTGAAGTGATCGCGTATCAGACACTACATTTAAGGGCATGTGGCCAATGAAAGCGCTCACCATCTCTATGTGAGGCTCGTCATTTTCTCCCGCGTCTGCCTCGATGTCAAACGATTCCCTCGGCTTGTCCTGTAGCAGCAGAAAGGGCCCTTTCTTGAACCGGTCACATAACCATTTTTGTCACTCTGCTCGTCAGCTTTTCAGTCTCGTTTGCTAGGCGAGAGCCCTCAGAAAGGTCACCCCTTTCGCACCAGTCTTGGAGACCAACAGTATTGTTGTGTTGTCCGAAATCTGAATACTGGACTTCTGCCCCTCATGCCAAAGTGTCCTAACAACAAATGCTAGGTCTCTGGAAGGCTCTTATAAGCACAGTACACGCTCCTCTAAAAGGAGGGAGCCGGACCTTGGTGGGTAGTATTCCAAGACGGATCAATGCCAATCTGACCTGAAGGATTCAATGCTAGCATAGAAAAGTCAAGCAGGAAGACAAGGTCAACGCTCTCACAATGAAAAACCTCAGATCTGAGAGATATACATGAAGAAGCACAGTCCAGCGGCGGTTCCAGATACGCTGTTGTTCCGCTTCTAGAACCAGTGCAAACAGGCGCCAATAAATCATAAGCGCGAATAGCCCACCTTCATTTCATCTTCCAGCTTCGCATTCGCTTGCGCCATCTCCGGAAGGAAGTTCTTTAGGCGGGACAGAACTGCAGAAATACATAGGCAGGAAATAGTCACGTACGAAGGATAATCTGCGGAACAACCCCAACTCCTCTGTCCTCGTCAAAAGATCAGATGGGAGCACAAGCACGGACACTTGAAGCCCCTAACCCCCTTCTTTCCCTTCTCTCAAGTTTCGTGTTGTATCGGTGATGAAGTTCATGAGTAGTGGCTGCCTCAAGCATTGGTGCCGGGAGGCCTGTTAGAAAGTCAGTTTGAAGTGGTTACAAGGGAAAACATGCTAAATGAAGCAACATGCTCCCGTCTTTAGGCACAGCTTATGGGCATCCCAGTACTTTTTCCGGGCGCACTTCCCCACTTCGCTTTGTGCGGTTTCTTGTGACACCCTTCAATCTTGCAAGTGTCTTGATCACACAGAACCACCATACAAAAGAACAGCAACATCTTCAACACTTCCGTACATGACTTTCCACATACCCACTCGATCCTAACTTCGCCCAATGCATGCATGGTAAGAGCCCACTTGACTCAGAACAAGCCTGTCCTACCGACGAGTGACAACCATAACCTCTTAGAGTGTCAATGCAACCCCAAGAAGAAAGAAAGAAAACCCTTTGTTGAAAGAAAGCTCACTGCTGCTCTCAGCCACTGGTCCAATGTTTGGACGGGCGCGGTCCTCTGCCGTCTGCTGCGCCAGCAGCAAAACCCCCGGCGGTGCATTTGTCACACCCAGGAGGTCTCTGCTTGTCATGACTCTTGATTGTTTGTGAGCTGTGAACACACTTTGTTCTTTCGTGCTGATCTCAAGAAGATCGGATCTCTTCCTGTCTGTTCTACCACCAGCAACTACACGGGCTGATGTTGCAGAGAAAGTGCAAAATGTCAGATCATCGGCATTCACGATTGCTTTTCAAGAGTATTGCAAGCAACAAGCTCCTCTTAAGGATCGGAGCAACTTTCACACCACTTCCATTGCAGCATTGCTTGACAAGCTTGTCCTCTGCACGTCCGTGTGCCAGCCCAACTGACGCGCCTACTCCCCTCCAGAACCTGTTCCGCTGACAGGAAAGACGTCTCACAGCACCAAATTTGAAAGCAGAAGGAGTAAGCAGAAGTGGCAAAAGAGAGGCCCACATTCCAAAGACTGTGCATATGGAATCCAGCTTCAACGAGTTCAAGTTCAAGCCCTGCTAGCTAGAAACGAGTGGATTCTGAGACGTTAATTTCAAGTCTCTGCAAGCCGAGGGCTCAGATCGACCCTCCGGAGCCCGCAGCTTCAGCCCCTTGCATGCGTACGATGAAGCATAAGAACATCGGACGGTTCAGAAAGTATAGAGTTTGGCTTCTCTGCCAAGTCGGCATTCCCAGAGAAGAACTTCCAACTTTGAAGGAAGGCGATTCAAGCGTTGTTCACAGTTCAGCGCTTTCGAGGGGAGAGCTAAACTTGGGCGATTCGGAAAGCCCTCCTTTGATCCTCTGACAACATGCACTTGAAACACCAACAGTAGGAGAAGGGTTTGAGCAGCTTCCTTGAGGATAAAGTGCCAATGGCATCTGCAATGCTGTCCTGTCGGTTGTCCGCTGATGGCATCCACTTTGCACAGCGAATGCAGGCAACCCCCACATTGGATAGCGTGCAACCAAGCTGCGCAGGCGCAGGCTTCTTTTCAAGGAGGTTTTGTTTGACTAGCTACGCATCGATTGGAGGCTCTAGAGGTTTTGAGCTCCAAAGAAGAGCAGGGAATTTTTCTAAAGCTGCTGCTCTTGAGCGGAAAGCAATTCGAGCAACGGCTGTAGAGGCTGAGGTGGAGCAATGGACCGCTGACAAGCTCATTGACGCCAGTGAGGAGTTCAAGGCCAAGGCGCTCATAAAGTCCAGGGAGCAGGTGAGGGTGGCATCAAAGCAGGGATACAGGGTGCACTTTGTGATGTGCTCTCTATAGGATTAGCTTTCCTTTTTTTCAAGGGCCACATCATGTGCCAACAGGACTGACTGCCAACAGAAATGTCAAAAGAGTAGCCCTTGTTGAAAAATCGAAAATTTGGTTAAAACCGAGGTGGTTTGAAAGACTGGAAGAAACTCCTTGAAGACAGATCATGTATAATCTTCTTTTGCAGTGGTGGTTGTTGCCTTGGCAATGGAGAACTTGTTAAGCACCTGCTAACGACTTTAGAGTATGCACCTCATGAGCTAGACCTCGCGGTGATGATGTTCAAGATTTGTCTGCGGACTGTTACACCGAAAAGAAGTAGAATTTTGCAACAGTTTGCCCAAACCTGCCTGCAGAGGTTCCTCTAACCATTTTCAATTAATTTGGGTGAAATCCATTGACGTTATCAAAAAGAAGTGCATACTGAATGGTTCTGTCAGGTTGAAGTCAAGGTCTTCCCCACGTTGCACGCCTCTGAAACACAACACGGTACCTCTCCACAAATGTCCGCTGCTCCCTGTTTTCAGGATTTTCTTTAGCGGGAATGTTGAGCCGGTCAAATGACTGAGTGGTGGCTTAAGCAAACCGCATGCATGGCTACATAAAGCTGGCATCAGACGGCCTACCGTTTGATAGTATGGCTGTGTCCTTACCGTCCATTGCTGAACACTTGTGGTTTATGCTTCATGCTTTGCTTTTCTGCCAGGTTGAAGAGAAGGACTGCGTTTGAAGGCCCTGCTGCAGATATCTTTTCTGAAAAAATGTCAGCAAGTACTGTATAACCTATCCTTGATCACCATGTCCCCTAAACACTCCACTGACAAGTAGTCTTGTCAGCATTGATGGCTTTTAAGTAAGCCATCTTACTTCGGATCCGTCTATTGCCATGAGCCTTTTCAGCTTTTCTTCCACGAAAAAATCTTGCTTATAAAATTCCTTGATGCCAGGCAGCCGTTATAGGCTTCTGAAGCATAACCACAAATGATCTGGGATGACACAAAAAGCTTAGAATGATCCCTATAGTCTGCCTGCGTGCAAGGTCCATCTGCTCCAGGTACAGTCCTAATGTGCCTCCCTTTCGTTTCCTTTGCTTGCCGCACATGGCAATCTGCTCTTCTCAATGGTTGGGTACAGAGTCTTCCAAAGACCTGTATCAGCTTTGTTTCAAAAAAGAACCGGGGCAATGAACTTGGCACGTCAGGCGCCATAAGCCGGCACATAATTTTGAGCCGCACATCAAGCCAAATGTTTGGCAGTTTTTCCACTTCCTAATTGGTTCCAGCTGGTATCATTTAGAGGTGCCTACCCTACTCCCATCTTACTTTTACCGCTGTTTTTCCTGTCTGATCGAAGACAAATTACCTGGTTCTACCTGGTGTATTATCGGATCAAGGCTGTACGCATGTTTTGTCTCGCTGAACGTAAAGTGTCCTTGTAAGCGTTGACTAGCCATAACAAGTAGTAAAGTCAGTTCTGCTGAACTTGCATAAGCTGGGTGGTAAGGCAGCATTGCATTCTACTACATGAATGGAAAGGCGTCGTGAACACATCAAACTCGGGCCCCTTTTGGTCGAGGTTTTCTACACCGACCAGATAGTCGGTCGTTTTGCCCATTTTATTGGCTGTAGGCTGGTTTGAGGATTGGAAAATTCACGGAAGAGGGAAAGCTTCCCAGCACTTTGGGCAATTGAGTGGTGCATCCGGAGTGACTGAAGCATGCCACAAATTGGTCTGGTACATCCTTGCAAAGGAGCCCGGCGCAACCTTCATCACTGCAGCCTGCTATCTTCGCTCGCCGATACGGATCGTTTTTTCTCTTATCACTCTCGTTCCCCCCGACCTTGTCCTTTGGTCAACCCTTGCCAGGGCTTTTGTTTTGAAGGCTGTTGAACAGTTGCAGGGGCAAGGACGAGCAATTGCTGGCATCAAGAATGTCAGATGTGGGTGATGCTTACTTGATGCCCTGGCGTTGCCTAAGGTTGCACGGTGCTTGTTTGCAGGACATGTTAAGACTCTGCCGCCTCAAGCATTTCAAATCGTGTTTCGTTTTTTGCACAATTGGGGCTTTTGTCGCACTAAGCCTTTCCGAGTCACCTATGGCATTTTTGCTGCCAGCCTTTTTGTCCTTCGGTCGTCGAAGCCCTTGCGTCGACCTCTTAAGAATCACGATTTCTTACCCGTATAGGCAGGTAGGGAGACTTATGCCGCTGCCTGGATTGTCAGGAACTGCGGTTGTTCTATCTGACCAGGTCATCACCGTTTATCCGGATCACCTGCTGTAATATTCCGCTGTCTTTGATGGAAAAGCGTGCTCCGTGTTGCCTCTTAGGATGGTCGAAGTTTATGATCGGATGAATCGGTCAAGCAAAAGCATTGTTCCAATGTCAACAGTGATAATTCAGGCTTTGATTAGCATAATCAGGATTGGACACCGTTCATTGTCAACGACCCTCGTCGACACGAGGTCTCCAAGACCAAAGTCTGGTTGGAACAGAAGATCAAGCGAGCGTCAGGGAAGCTGGCACACTTGTCTAGTCTACTTTTCGGTACTCAAATATTCAACTATGATTTCCGTGCAGTATGACGAAATGTACAAGCGGTCCGTCGAGGATCCGGACGGCTTCTGGAGCGATATTGCGTCCGAGTTTCACTGGGAGCAGAAGTGGGACTCGAGCAAGCCGGCGTCGTCCTGGAACTTGGACGTCCGAAAGGGGCCCATCTACGTCGAGGCAAGTGGGAGCGTTGCATCACTCTGCGGTTGCTGCTCAATGAGTCGTTTTGGACGCCTTAAAGGGACTCGTCTCCGTCATGCCGAGTGAAGCTTGGCATTCCCCTGAGGCTATCGCTCAATCCGTCCTATTGGACATCCGAAAGAAGCCTATCCATGCCGGGGCAAAGTGGGACCGTGGTGCACAGTCTTTTCTAGACGCTGCTCATATTCGAACCTGGCCGCTTCGTTCGAGTTTGGTCAGCGAAACAACAGGGTTCTCATGTCGTCGGATGGCTGCGTCTGGTTGATCCATATTGGCAGCTGGGGCGAGAGGGCGTCGGTCCAGGCAACCAGCTAGCTTCGGCCTAACTTGCAAATCTGTACACAGAACGTCCCCTCGTTTCCTTCTTGAGCGTGTTTCTTCCAAAATGGGAACATGGCCCCACTTATAGTCTCTCTAATCTTCATCAAGTCCCTGTTTTTCTTGGCATTGCCTTTTACTTCGTCCCTTGAGGTTAGAAGCCCGGTCTCTCTTTCCGCTCTGCACACGACGAGTGAAAGTTTTGACTGACCTTGCGGGATCTATCAAAGGTTCCTCTTCAGATCACGTCGGCTACCTGGTCGATGGATGTCTGATGATGCTTCTCCTACGACGCATTGCGCTTTCGAGCCCCTCTTAGGAACCTTTTTCTGGGCCGAGAGAGGTTTCAAAGCAACACTCCCCGGGAGGTGGCACAAAGAGTTCCTTTCCGAACATAGCCTCTGTTTCTCCTTTGCAGTGGTTCAAGGGCGGCAAGACCAACATCGCGTACAACGCTGTCGACCGGCACGTGAAGGCGGGGCGGGGGGGCGAGACCGCCATTCTATGGGAGGGGAACGACGTTGGGCGGGATCGCAAGCTGACCTTCCAGCAGCTTCAGGACGAAGTCTGCCAGGTGCTTCCTCTGCTTCTTGTGGAATGACCTCTCTGCCTCTTAGGCAACAGCCAACTATCCAACATCCATCCCCTCTGTAGTCAGTCAAATTGTGGGAGGAAACTGATGTGTTCCGGACCGTTTTCTGACCTTCCAGCAGCTGCAGGACGAAGTGTACCAAGTGGAACATCTGTTACGCGTTTAAAAAAAATACCTGTGACGCTTCTTACGTTTGTTGCGATGTTATCTGAAAAACGGGAAGCCGCAGCGTTTGGTCAAGCCCTTGAACAGCTTTTGCCCTCCCACTTGTCCTACTGAACGAGCCTTGAGGAAAGAACAAGCGCCCTCCCGCCCACCCGTCCGTAAACATCTGCTTCAGTATTGGGCAGTCCGAGAACCTTGTACTGATCGAGGTGGGAACTCCAGTTGTTTACCTCGATGCCGAGCAATCGGCAAGTCGTTTGAGCAGTCTGCGACACCAATTGAGAAGTCAAGATCCACAATTTCGCTTCTCCTAGAGGTTCTGGAAGGTATTCTGCCCGTCTGATCGAACGGAAGGCCGACAATATGATCCCCTGAGCATCACCGGTGTGCCTTTCTTTCCAGGTGGCCAATTACCTGCGCTCGATTGGTGTGAAAAAGGGCGACTCGGTGACGATCTACATGCCGATGCTGGCGGAGCTCCCGGTCACTATGCTCGCGTGTATGCGCATCGGAGCCGTCCATTCGGTGAGCCACGGCGTCTTCTTTACGACAGAACTCCGTTTGGAACGTGTCTGGTTGAGTTGCTATGGTCAATGCACAGGAGTTTTGGCCCTCTACTATTGACGATTCTGGGCTGGTTCTGGCTGGCTAGAAACTGGTTTTATGTTTTTTAACCAGGCTAGGGCGATGATTAGCCTTGGAACAAGGTTAAAGCGCGGTTAGTCGTTCGATAACCCAAGAGTGAAGCTGGTAGTCAGCCTGGTTAGCAGCCACAATTCCCTGTGTATGTACCCCAGCTGACTGATCGGTACCTGGGATCTAGCTGGCACTTGAGTGCTCAACGAAACCTAGGGGATCGGTCAGTCCACGAGCACCCGTTCTAAAGCTGTGCTCGTTAGCATTAAGCTACGGGTAGCTGGTCGGCTTTGGTCAAGCGTTAGGCTTAGTTAAGTGGATGGAAGGACCTTGAAAGCACGTGTGCGGTGTTCCAAAGGATCATCTTCCTAACTCTTTTCCGTTAAAGCTTGGTTTGCTTAGGATATCATAAGAAGCCACCCGCAAGGACCTGATCAACGACTAATTGGTTTTCCATTCAAAAGATGCGCAAACATCGCAGCTGAATCAGACTAAAAATACCTCCTTAGGCTGGCTTGCGCAGACTCTTCAAACCCACTACTCCGCTTGCAGGTTGTTTTTGCCGGGTTTTCGGCTGACTCGCTGGCGGGCCGCATGATGGACTCCAAGCCCCGGGTGGTGCTGACGTGTTCTGCGGTCCGGCGCGGCAACAAAGTCATCGGCCTCAAGGAGATCGTCGACAAAGCGGCCGACATCTGCTCGAAGCAGGGCTTCGACGTGGGTAAGCGGTTGTGGCGTTTACAGCTGTAAAGTTGTCAGGGATTTCGCCCTGCTTCGACTTGGGTTAACGGTTTTAAAGACCAAAGCTGTAACCGCTGTAAGCGCATCGAGAGTGGGTTGATGCTCAGATGCCTGATACTTATTGGTCTGCCGCTTCCGATTGCTACCAGCAGCTTGTGAGACATCCGTTGCAATTTTGTCAATCACCAGTTTAAACGGCGGACAGACCGACCAGTTGAGGAGATTCAGGGCAGGCTCCAATCGTCCGGAACTTTCAAAATCTGGAATCTCAACGCGTTCAGAAGTTTCTCAGGATGGGGTGTATGGTGGGGTTGGCTGCAACGATTTCTTTTTCCTTAGAATATAAAATGCATTGAGAAAGATGCACAGCTGTCCTTTGCAGCCGGGCTGTATTTGTGCCTTCCAGTTATCCGTTTGGATACCCCGTCTGATCTGAAAGCCGGACTCTGCCGGAGGTGATTGAGCGGTTCCTTAGAACCCTCAAAGTGGCTCTATCTTGTCAATGACGCCATTTTTGATGCCCTTGCAGAGCGAGTACTCGTCTACGACAACGAGAACGCAATCTCTAGGGAGAAGACCCCCTGGAAAGACGGACGGGACGAATGGTGGCAGGCAAGTGGTCGACTGCTCACACCTCGGGTGGTCAGGAGGGTGCCGCCCTCGGCGAGCTTGTTGCGTTCTTGTAGAGGACCGTCCTGCAAACGAGTGGGGCAGAGTTCCTTGAGTATTCGGGTTTGGCTCCAAAAGTCGTCCATGAGGTTTGGATATGAAGGTACTCAGCGCGCTGATCAGATCCTCTCGTTCAGCACTCTGCGCCACCACTACATCGAATGGAGATTTGAAATGCGTTCGTTTGACTCCCCATCTCTGCAGAGGAAGAAGCGATGAAGCTATTTCTGGTCGGGTCTTTATCTGACGAGTTATTTTCTCACTTTGCACAGGACCGAATACCCTCTTTTGAAACGGAGTCCCCGGTCGAGTGGGTGGACGCTGAGGATCCCAGCTTCATGCTGTACACCAGTGGCAGCACGGGAAAGCCAAAGGTGAGCTTTTAGTATTTAGAGACCTAGTACGTCAATAGTGCGACATTGAGTTCCGTTCGCAGCTTGGTCAGTTGGGAGGTATTCCGATCTTTCCGGACACGTTGCTCAGGTAGTCCCGGTCATCTTGTTCCAGTGGCATACGATTTCACGAATGGTAGGCGGTTGGATGCGATCGTCTGGTAACGGAGCATATATTTCTTTGACACGGCCTTTACAGATTCTCTGCCCATTTGAAGGGTTGTCATATGCTGGGCTGCCTTTTAGATGCCTCTCCTCTTTGCAGAAATGAGCGGTCGGTGTACGCTGGCCGAGCGACGCGCTTCAAGTGCTTCGTTTCCGATTGTCGTTCCTTTCTCAGCGGTTCGCTTAAGCATACGGAAGTTCTGAGTTTACGAACAGCCCTCTTGTTGTCGTCCTCTCAACGTCAAGCGCTGCTGCAGATCCAAAGCTAGAGTCTCCTTCAGCTAACAATCGTCCGTAGGATGTTTGCCATTTTCTGCACGCCTTTCTCTCTTTCTTCTGTCCGCGCGCACAATGTCTAGCACACGACTCGCTGGTACATGCTGGGCGCAGCAACAAAGTTGAACTTTTGCTTTCCGACACTTCTGTTTCGTCGGCCATATCTTAGAATGCTGGCTGGACGTTCGGACGCACTCTAACGTCTTCGGACACCTTCTGAGACTGTCCGCAGGGCGTCCTGCACTCTACCGCCGTGTGTATGCTGGGCGAAAAGAACTTCGAGCTTTCTTTCTCGACGCTTTTGTTCCATTCCCCGATCTTCGATACGCTTTTGACCTTTCGAACGGCCTTTTTGGACACCCTCTTGCGTCCTGCACATAAGCGGCGGCTACATGCTGGGAGCAGCGAACAAGCACACGGCTTCATTTCCGACCCCTCGAACCAAGATTCAAGTTTGATTTGCAGTTCCAAGGTTCGTACGCAATTCCCGCCTTTTGGGACAGTTTTTTTGGGCCGCAGAGCGGCCGTGGGTACATGGTAGACGCAACAGCAACAATCAAATCCCTCCATTTATTTGGAATGGATTGTCAACATTTGTTTCGGACGGATCATGAATTTTCGGAAATGTTCTTCCTTTGTCCGCAAGCCGTCCTGGATACATGCTGGGCGCCCTACGAGCTTCAAGTACATCCGCGACGATACTGGTCCATCACACGACTTCTTTAACTTCCGGACGCACTTTGGCGTTTCGGACGCCTCCTTTTTCTGTGCGTACGGCGTCCTGCACACGACCGGTAGGTACATGGTAGACGCAAACGGCAACCTTCAAACACTTCAATCGAACCTGATTTCCTTCGTCCTGTTTCCGTACTGGGTTTTGAACAATTGTGCCGGACAGCCTCCGGCATTTTGGACACTCTCTTCCCTTGTCCGTAGGGCGTCCTGCACACGACTGGCGGGTACGTGATAGGTGCAGCAACCTTCAAGACTCCTTTCCAACTAGTCCTCCCATTGTTTTTCCTCGAGTACTTTGCCAACGGTCGTTTCTGACGCATCTTGGACGTTTCGGACACCTTCTGCCACTGTCCGCAAGGCGTTCTGCACACGACCGGCGGGTACATGCTAGGAGCCGCCACGAGCTTCATGTACAGCTTCGACGCTACTGAAATCCATCTGCCCCACTTTTTGAAGTTTCGGAAACATTTTGGCGTTTCAGACACTTTCTCTCTCTGTCCGTAGGGTGTCCTGCACACCGAGGAGGGCGTACTGGCAATTTTCAGTTACTTACTTCGAACCGTAAATCTCCTTCGTCCGTTTCAGAATGGCTTTTCAGTACTTTTTTCGGACAGACTCTAAAATTGTGGACACTTTGTTCCTTGGTCTGCAGGGCGTCCTGCACACGACCGGTGGGTACATGCTAGGCGCTGCTACGAGCTTCAAATACATCTTCGACTACCGGCCCGGTGACGTATACTGGTGCACCGCGGACTGCGGCTGGATCACAGGGCACACGTACCTGACGTACGGACCGCTGCTCAACGGCGCGTCTATCGTCGTCTTTGAAGGGGTGAGGAGAAACGGGCTCGGATTTGCTCTTGCCAACAGCTGAGGGATGGGTTTTTGCTGTCAAAAGTAGGTGCTGGAGTTGAAGTTAGGTTGGTTTTGGGGCACGCATCCCTCGGGATTGCGCGCTACTGATTGGCGTAGTCATTGTCGTGATTTCAAGACCATTGAAATGTTATGAAGCTGACTGATGGTAAAAGCTATGGAAATGTGACGTTATCAAAGGCGTCTCTGCTTTGCCACTCAGCTGAGCGGTGCGGCGTTTTGTTTGAAGTGCTCTAAGAACATCAGAGTTGCGAAATGCAGGTGCAGAGCAGGGCTGTGCAAGTGCTTCAGGCATTTCCATCTTTGCCATCCCGTCGGCGATCTATGCCGCATTCGTTCAGCTTGGATACTCTGGCTAATAAGGCTTTCACCATCGATCAATTGCGACGTGTCACAAACTCGGAACATCAGTCTGATGCTCCCGGCGTTCCGAATCTCCTTCTAAAGCGGTCTCTGCATCTGCTTGGGATGGATTGGTTACTCTCTGAAACCAGCTGTAAGATTTTCCCCTCTGCCGCAGGTCCCGACGTATCCGGACGCTGGGCGGTGTTGGGAGATCGTTGACAAGTATCAAGTGACGCTCTTCTACACCGCGCCGACTGCCATCCGCGCATTGCAGAAGTCGGGAAACAGCGTGAGCAACTGCAGAGCGTCCCTCCTTTCGAGCCCTTTGAATCTCAAGGATGTGATGTAGGGAACACGACGTCCTCACGCTTGGAAACATGGGCTGTGTGCTGCTCAAGACAAGAGTTTGCATTTAAGCTCACGGTTGACCAGAAATTTCCCTGTTAATCTTATGGATGGATGCGAGCCCCTGATGAGCTAGCTCTTCGTCGTTGTTTGTCACATACTCAAAAAGGAAAAGCCCTCCATCCGACAATCACTCTTTAAGATTCCCAAGAAATTAAGGACATTGGGCCTAACCTTGAAGCGCGCTTTGCAGAGCTTGCACGGGTGTTAGTGCTTCGATTGTCACCTATATCACCGGCCACGTCCTCGCCGCAACTTTCAAGAGTGGAATGTTTTGTTAACGTCCTCGTTGCATTTTTCAAGAGTAGAATGGTATGATACACGGATCTGGCACAAGGACTGCTTTGTGTTTATGGACTAAACGCAGTGCTTATATGGTCTCTTTTGCCCCGCAGTTCGTGACGAAGTATTCTAGGAAGTCCTTGCGTGTGCTTGGCTCAGTGGGGGAGCCCATCAACCCAAACGCTTGGCGGTAAGGGGGCCACCTTTTTCTTGCCAGCTTTCAGATCTGTCGACAACGCCGATCTGCACGGAAATGGTTCATCAAAAGTGGACAAGAAGGCACTATCTGAGGTCCTTCTCCAGAATCCAAGGGCAAGACAGATCTCATTGATTGTCCTTTCGTGCTGTTCGAATCAATCTTGCTAGTCGAATCGTTCAACCAGCGAGTCTGCGGAGCGCCTCTGCTTGTAACGTTTCTGACAGAGAGTATCCAGAAGCTGCTCGGATAGCGCTTGTTGATTTTGAGTCGAGCAGTGAGGACGTAAGTCAAAGAGCCGATTGTAACAACATCATGAGCTTGTGTCGCTGTTTCGCTCCAGGTGGTATTACGAGGTTGTGGGCGATAGTCGGTGCCCGATCGTGGATACGTGGTGGCAGACGGAGACAGGGAGCATCCTGGTGAGTCCCTGTTCTGAGTTTCTTTGTTTCTCACAGCTCTAAGAATAACCCTCTTTTGCACTTTGAGCGGAATAATATTTTAGTATCAACAGAATTTGATTGTTGAAGAATCGAAATGCTCTGCACATGGAAGGTATGCTAAACTGCTGTGCTTCGAGGACTATTTTTGCGACCACCAGAAAGCGCTGAGATTGCACGTCTCTGTTTGTCTTCAACGTGCTTGGAGCCCTCCTGTGGAGGACGGCTGTTGTCAGACTGCACGTCATCATTTCAAGGATTTTTATTGAAGACCCCCGTGTAGGCCCGAGTGGCCCAACGTTCTCCTAAAGCTTAGCCTGATTGCCGTCTTTCCAATCAGGCCTTTGGCCCAGCTTGTTCCCCGATTTGAGACGTGGTCCTCGAATCCTCTGCCCGGTTAATCTTCTACATATGGTCAGACTTAAAACCTCAATTTCACATTTTGTGCCTTTCTCTGTGCCCCACAAGACCCGTATGTCGCATCCATTGTCTCTGCCTTCAGGTGAGTGAGAGGCAGGCTGGTGGTGCCGGTTTCCGATGAGCTCCCTGACATTTCCTTGCTCACCTACTCTTATTAGCTATGGTGTTGAACGCCATCAAGAGTGAGATTTCGTTGGATAGAAAGAGGGTACACAGTGTGCGACGTTCCTCTTGCCATGCCAGTGGTTTGCTTCGCTTTTTGCGAGTTGTCAGCTGATTCCCACTTGCCATTGGCATCGCTTTTTGCGAGTGGTCAGCTGATTCCCAGTTGACATCGGCATCCTCTGTATGGCCAAACGAGGCCGGTCATCGGTTTTGAAGCTCTTACTCCGGAATGTCGGCGATTGTGGTACTCTCAGTCGTGCGGCTGATGCGATTTGTATGCTGGTGTTTTCGGCCTGCGAATGGCTGGTGGTATTTTTTAAAGCGACGCTTTCGAAAACTTACCCAAGATCGACTCAACTTACAGTCTTGTGGGGCTCGTAGAACAACCCGGTACTGTTGCTGTATGCTAAAATGGTCGGGACTGCCCAAGTCCACGGCCAAATTTTCGCACTTGGATTGACTGATTTGACCACGTGGCTTGAAAGCCTCTTTTGATGGAATCGTGTAGGTCAGAAACATAGGCCGTACAGGACCTCTCCTGTGGCAAGCAGACTCGCGGAATCATCACGAAGGCGAGGATTGGAAAAGTATCCCGAGCGAATTGCTCACGAGTCGGACAAGTAGGGCCTTGAGCCGATGTGCAGTTAACGGGTGGTACAAATCTGACTTCCTTACTGTTCGTCGTGACGGCGAGTACCAGGGTCATCTTCTGGGCAGTGTGTTCTGTGGTGCATTTTGCAACGCTCGCACAGTCTGAGTCACGCTGGTCAGGACGAGCAGGCGTGTGAGGCGTCATCTCAAAACCACTCCTATCAACTATCGAGCCGTACTTGTTGTTCTGTTTGTTACTTTTGCGCAGCCGGGCAAAACCCTGCCTTTTTGGGACACAATAGCATACATAGCGCTGTTGCTCTTTGCTCTGCTTTTACTGGCAAAAGCTTCGTAAAAGATCAAGCTACCTGTTTCCTTCATTTCTGCTCATGAAACAGCTCTCCTGCCATCAACTTAGCATCCTGGTCTTGGCTGCGTGTCTGCCAGAAGAATGCTCCGCTGAGACAGAATCTTACGATTGATATGAGCGGCAATGACATGGAAAGCATGGGGAGAAACCCCAAGCGCGGCGTCAGTAGAGCCGGTGTCTCCTTGATTAGAGACCTTGGAGAATAGAACGTTTTGAAGCTTTCATTACGCTGTGCTTTGCTTGCACTTCGAAAATCCCTGGGCTAAGCTCTTCGTCCTTTGCCGTGATTATTGGACGCACGAATATTGCCGGGGCCTTGTGGTGGTGGCATTGACACTTAGGCAAACTGGTCGGAGCAGACTTAGATGCTCATTGCATGTCGGCTACAGCTGCGGAGCCACAAAGGAACCTGGCTTTCTTAAATTGCTGAGCAACAAGAAAAATGTCTGTATTTTCGCCATGACTATCCGGCACTCGCAGGGCTGCTTGACGTAAGATTGACGTGGGGTCCATGAAGCATCCCGACTAACCGTCAGCCTTCGGATAAGAAACGCTTTCAAAAGTTGCGTGTGGCGTCGTGTGTATTGCACTCCTGGACTATAGGGCTGTTGCCATTTGGGTTGAAGGCTGAGCAGACTTAGTTTGCACAGTCACAATTCAACATGAGGGGATCAGAGACTCGTAATAATCAGCATCGGGGCTGAGGTAACAAGGGCAACGACTATAAGGAAACTTGGCAATAGATCAGCCAGTGGCAATAGCTGCATACTTTGAGTCCCACGTTTGCAGCTCGAGTTGTCCTCCATGTCCTTTCGGCTTTTCTAAAATGGACATTGGCAGTCATTATGACTTTGATCTGGTCTTCACTAACACCTACGTGAGGGTGTTGTCGGGTTCTTTGTTCGGTTCTATACCTTTCAGACGTGTCCATTTCATTGGTTTACTCCAAGCAGGACTGTTCGGTTGATCTGGTGCCCTATGTTGCCGATGTTGTTGCTTCAAGAATTACTCCGGTCTGTCGTTTGCACACATGATTTTCCAAGAACCCACTCGCACTAGTCAAGGTCAGGTCGCTGCACCGGCACTTCGAATGTGCCGCAAGCAAGTTCTTCGGGGGCATTCAAGTCGGCGAAGTTTGGCACAAGGGACTCAAAACACGGAGCCTGTACTACCATATGTCAAGAAGGGGTCAAAGCTCCACACGGTGGATCAGCATTGGTCTGGTTGCAGTGTCCACAAGGCGCGCAGTAAATGTGGTTTTGTCGTCGGCTGCACTCGTTCGAAGAGGTATGGTGCCCGCCGACGAATTGCTTCCTTGTTACGTCCTAGTCTTGAAGCCTGGTGACAGGAGTGACGAGCTTCGAACTTCTGGCTTACCGAAAGAATAAGCGGATAAGCTGGGCTCTGATGCCACAGATTGTTGTCACCTTTCGGTGTCACGAACTGTTACCATGTGTTGATGCCTCGACTGGATGAGAAAGGGATGCCCTTGATTTCAAGGATCGGTCATCCAAGGGGCTTTCTAGGCTCGATGCAAGTAGGAGACGTCGGTTTTATTTTGGCTTGGGTTGGTTGACGGCCAGTTTAATCCAGCCATGCCCGCCCGATTAGGCTGTATGACTTCTGTACTGGTCATTGCAGCGGCACGGGACTTTGCTCTGTTTCGCTCGGTTGGCTGACAAACTCAGAACTCGAATTCCAACGCTTCGTTGGGTGGAGTTTACTCACTGTTGTTGTTGAGTGTGGAGCCAGTGCAGACACCTTTAGCCTCCTTGTGTCTTTGATTGGTCTCTGGCGGCGGTTATGGACTATGAACGAGCCTGATAGCACAGATACTGTTTGGCCCAATAGCTGTGAGAGCCTCCGCTTCATGACCATGTTTTGAGAGTCTACTTGACGATCCGTGCTTGGCTGCGACACATTTCGAGCAAACTGATCGAAAGTTTTGGTACTCAGGTTGAGGCGTTGTAGTTGAATCAGGCCAATCTCACTGTCTTCACTCGATCCGAAGAGCTCAACGAGCAAACCATTTCCTGTCTGGGAATGTGACAAAGAAGCTCAACTTTCTTGACGCTTATGGCCTTCATTTTCCCTCTTACTGTCTACTTGGTCGTCTGCACCTTACAGAGATCATGCATACCTTCAAAGGTAAAGTGAGCGATTTATAGCTCTGCGGCAATGATTGGGTTGATTGCTGGGCTACTTGCTTGCCAGAGGCCTTTCCGGTTGTTGAGCCGTCGCTCCTTTGACGGATAGAGCGAAAGGTAAAGGCTTTGACAGTCTTGGCCTCTTAAGGGCGTATCTCGACAACGTCATCTTCTAAAGCCGTCCGCTGCCTATCGTGCTCGCAAAGCACATGTGCTGTCTTCTTTGTGCTGGCGAGGACGATCAGGCGTTTGAGTCGATGCCTCGATCGCTGTCTTGGAAAGTGCAGAGCCGCACTTTGTGGACTTCGCGGAAGATCCAGCCGCTTAGTCTCGTGGCTCTTTGATATGTTCACAGCCGTATCGGAACGAATCTTGATTTAGATTTCTCTTGCTTTGAACAGCATGAGCTAACGCAGTTCATGTCTTGACGTGTTCTTCATCACCAAGGGAACAGTTCTTCTGCACATCTGATTCATCTGTCACACGATTTGCTGCAAAATCCGACTTGAACCCGCTCGTTCTGATGCCGAGGCTTCATGCTTACTCCCACTTGGTCTAAGGGCTTCATCGGTCGACCCGTTTGCCCTCGGTCAAGGAGCTTCCCAGTCCGTTTGTGTGCCTCCTTTCTAGTCATGCGCTCGACTTCAAACTGTAAACAATGATGCAGCGTCTTCATGTAGTTTTAGCAACGTGGTATGCTTTGGCCCATGTTCTCTCAAATACCACTTCAAAGAACACCTTCTTGGCAATGATTTTTCGCGACCACTGGCAGGATCGCGGTCACTTAGTGCACCTGACGACTGAGCTTCGCAAAGGTCATGCTTGAGGGGTCTCAGCCCGAATCTAAAGCTGCCTTTGACTGGCTGGGTAGCGTTCAGTAGCGTTCAGGAGTGACAGAGGGTGCTTCAGGAGCCCCTCCTGGAGCGACGATTGAAGCACGACTTTCCTGTAACGGAGCCTACTTTGGGGTGATCTTGGGACCGGCAGAGCAGCCTGTAGCTCAAGTTGCGGCCACACCGAAACTAACGGACATCTTTAAGTCTTGGTGATCTCTTTGCGTACTTTAGTTGGCTGTAAGCCAAGCAAAAAGGTTTGTTGGCCTAAGCTCGCGGACCAGAAGCATGTGTTGCTTTTAAGGGGCTCTTTGAAACGACCAATAAGGGTTGGAGTGAAAACAGCTTCTTCGTCTGGGTAATCATTACTTGCTTCATTTTGCCTTCTCATCGCGCCTAAGTGTGCCCTTTTCCCCATGCTACTGTGGCCATGACCTTTTGGCAAGGATGCACACACTTTGAGCTTATTACCAGCTCACTGGTGCTCAGTGGATTGCCGAGCCGACTTCGCGTGAGGTGGCGAAGTTGCACCGGAGTTGGCGTTTTGCTTCCAACAGCTGTGTTGAACTTGTCAAGGGCACTTCAACGGCGAGCTTTTGCAATTGATTCCTCTCTGCCTTGTTCAGATCAAACCAAAAGCTTTTTAAATTGGTGTTGGGCAGCGTATGTGTCGAGAACAGGCTGTTTGCGTTCTCGTTCTTCATTGGGAATGGTGGGATGCTATAAGTGCCCTCTGAGCACTCCCGCACTCATTCAAGTCCCTCAGAATGCGATAGTGGAACATCTTCCCGCGTTTATGAAGCAACGTTCCGACCCCAACATTCGAAGCTGTAGCACGAGCTCTTGTATCTGAGTCCGTCTTGAGATTGTTTCAAGGTTAAGCTAACTGGATTCAGAATGGTGCCAATGATGCTTGAGCTCAAACGCGAGCTTTGGCTTGCAACGACGCTCTGCCAATTTGAAGGGCAATTATTTGACTGGTTAGTTGCTATGTTACCGGCATGTCTTTCAATCTGTTAACGGAGCGCAAATAGATCATTTTGCAACAGTGACGTTAATGCCACTTTGGGCGTTTGGCGTTGGTTTTGAAGTAAGCCGTTTTTGGATAGCCTTTCGTCCATCAAGTCGCGGGCCATCCTTTGACTCCTTGTTTATCTCTGTTCTAACTTAGTTAACATCGACCGCGGGCTGCCAGTTCTGACGTCACTTCTGGAAGCACATGGCAAGGTTTTTATCTGTTGACGCTTTCGTGTAACGTGGCCAGTGGTACATCTGCATGAGGCTACGAAGAGCGCACGCTTGGGGCTGAACCTTAATTGTAATCAGACCACGTCCGACTCTGAGCCGCTGTATTCGAGCCTCTCCCACGTTGTTTGCCTTGTGGTCAGAACGGGAGTCGACCATTCTTTATTGGCTGAGCATCTCTGAAAGTCTGATTTGGCCAAGTGGAGATAGTGCAGCCTTTTCAATTGCGGGTTGCTGTGCCCATCCTCTCTTGTAGCCTCGGAAAGTACAGCCTGCGTATGTACATGAATGTTGTGATGCACGGTAAAAGGCTGCCCCCTTCAGGATGGTAGTATAATTGAAATGTGTCATTTGTCGCCAGTCTTGAAACCCAGATTGTGATTTTCAGCCACTGAAGTTGAGCCTGGGATATTAGGCGAATTCTCCAGTACAATTCTAATCTTGAGGAGTCAGCGAGCAAAGGTTCCCCTCTTCAAAAGTGCGACAAAGAAGCTTGACTTCCTTGGCGCTTCTGGCCTTGTTTTGCACTTTACTGTCTATGGTTTGTCTATGAGCTGCACCTGACAGAGATCGTAGGTACTTAAACCATGAAGTGATCCTTTATTGCATTGCCGCAACGATTGGGGATAATTTGCTTGGCGGACTTCTCGCCAGAACTGATTTCCAATTGTTGAGCCATCCCTCCTTTGACGGGTAGTGCGAAAGGTAAAACCTTTGACAGTCTTGATTTGTAAGCCGTCCGCTTTCTATCGTGCTCGCAAAGCACATGTGCTGTCTCGTTTGTGCCGCCGAGGACGAGGAGGCGTTTGAGTCAATGCCTCAAATGCTGTCCTGAAATCGTAGAGCCGCACTTTGTGATTTTCGTGGAAGATTCAGCCCCTTAGTCTCGTTGCTCTTTAATTTGTTCGCATCCGTATGGGAACGGTCTCGATAGGTTCTCTGCTTGCTTCGAACACCATAAGCGAATGGCTTTGGCGCCGTCCGTGCAGTGTTTGATGTGTTCCCACCAAGGGATTGTTTTTCTGCACACTTAGCTCGACTTTCATAAGATTTGCTGCCAAAATCTGATATGAAGCGCTCATTCTATGCCGAGGATTCCTGGTCAAGCCCACCGTGTCGTCAGTCGACCCGTTTGCCTCGGACAAGGGATTCCGTTCTCCAGTAGTGTGGTTGACTTCAAGCAATGTCTTTCATGTGGTTTCAAGATGGTACATTGTTACTCGTTCTTTCTCCTCACCTAATACTGCAAGAAAACTTTTCTTGGCAATGATTCCTTGCGACGCTTAGCCTGTGCTTGGAGCTGAGCTACGTGCAGATGTCTGTTACGTGCCTTTTTCTGTCCATGCTTGAACTTTCCCAGCTCAAACGTCGAGCTGGCTCCAGTTGCACGGCTGTGTTCAAGAATGTCAAACGTGCATCGAGAGGCGCTTCTGGACTGACTATTGAAGGGCGGGTTTCTTCGGGGCAATCCGGTGACCTGCTGAGCAGCTTGTACTTCAAGTTGCTGCCACACCGAGTGTAGTGGACGCCTTCTAATCACGGTGACTCTTTTCCATGCCTTATTGATTGTTTATTTGTATGTCTAGTGGACAGGCTTGCTCAGGTCCTTTCGCAAGTCGCCTAAGGTCGGTGGATCTTTGAGCATACGTCGCTGTTTGAGCGGCAACTCAAACAACGGACGGGCGAAATGATTCGTACATGGGCCTCGCTTCTTCATCTGCTTTGCTGCAACTTTGCCTGCTCACATTCGCATGTTATCGTGGATCGTGACCTTGTGGCGAGGAGGAACATACTCTGAGGTGATAACAAGCTCAGCGTGTTTCTGCTTGTGCAAGTTCCCGAGCCGACCTTGGATACACTTTGCCTTCCTCGAGTCTTAAGTTGCAGCCGTACACCCCTTTGGAGTTGGGTGTTGGCATTTGTCGTTTGACCACAGGCTACTCCTTTCTTGGTGTACATATTCTATAGCCGAGCCCTCTCGTACTCAAATGGATTCTCTTTCGATTTCAATGTAGAGTACAAAAGTAGACTGGAAAAAACGCTCCCCGGAAAAACGCTCCCCGGCGTAACAAAGCGTCGTTACGACTCCGAATGACAAGATGTGGCATATGCCGTTTCACTGTCCCTGACCTTGTTATTTCTTAAGCTTCCTTGTTGACCTTACATTTCTGGCAATGATGCTCAAATCCCAAACGCACGCTTTTGCTCGCAACTGACCTGGTGCATACTGAAGGCCAGTTGTACAGTAGTCTGTTGCTACGACGACGACCTGTGCCTACATGTTGACGAAGCGTAGCCCGACAATTTTGCGGCAGTGTTGTGTCTGGGCATGTAGTGTGTTGCGAAGAAGGCAATGTCACCTAGGGCGAAGTCTTCGATCCTGGCCGTCAGATTGAGGGCATCCGTTCGAGTGCCCTCAACAGAGTCCAAGGAAACAATAGTCTCTCTTGCTGTTCATCTGGAAACGTTGTGAAGACTTGGACTTGTTGAGGCTTATTTGCTCGTGGCCTTGGCCGCATCTCTGCATCCACATATGTGGCTATGAAGAGCATATAAGTAAGGCTTAACCTCAAGGTTGTTATAGGACGAGCCGGGGAGTGTGTTGGCGTTGCGCAAGATACTTCTGAAGACGCTTCTGCATGCAAGCTGTTCCGACTTTGCTGCGTAGTGGGCAGAAAAGGTAGTCACCCTTGTAACCGCCCAGCAGCTCGTAATTTTGAGTGAAAATACGCTCTGAGTTTACTGCCGGAGTCTTCTTGTTGCAAGCTTGCTGCTCCGCGACTTTATTATAGCTTCTCACTAGGGCAAGTGACCAACACTGGCAACGGCTGCAATTACCGTCATTTGGCCGAGCCACAACCTTGGAACTCGGTTGCGCATTATCTATCAATTTCTGCTTTGGTTGGATGTCAGCTACGCCGTCCCAGCTGCGTGGCACGTTCCACACCATCTGCTTCAAGTGGAAGATGCTTGGGATAACATGCAAAAGCAGCTTGGCGATGACGTTCCGCCTGCTTGAGCTGCGCTCAGAGATTGTGGGAAAGGAAGAGCCAGCATTTACCCGTGCCCAACGAAGCCTTTCAATGTCTGCAAAGTCTTTCAGAAAGGCGCGACTGACAATGTTTACGAAAGAAACCTGAGTACATGGTGCTTACTTGCACCTGGCCGTGATGAGCATCTCTTGGGTTACACCCAGTCTTTGTCTGTCAGCCAGAGCCTCTGGCTGTACGGCAGCACCTTAACGGCCCCACCTTAGGCTTGCAATTTGCCCCTTTGTACAGTACCCCGTTCCAGTACTTCTGCCTAACGGAAATTGCAACAGCTGGCTTAAATCTGACGAGGCGTCCAATGCACGGCCCGACTGAGTTTGAGAACCTGGGGCAAGGGAAAGCTACCCGGAGCTTTTCTACCCGGAGAGTCTTCTTTACGATATCCCAGGATACGATGTCCGTAACTCCACTTTTAAGCCTAACATGATTCTTGCAACTCCTTCACTTTGCGTTTTGCAGATCACGCCTCTTCCCGGCGCTTGGCCACAGAAGCCCGGGTCGGCGACGCTTCCCTTCTTTGGAGTACAGGTCCGTTCTCATACACCTTTAGAGACCGCTAGTGTGACGCGCCTGCGGCGTCCAGAATAAGAGAGGCCTTAAATGCGGTTCCCCCCGTGAGTTATAGTCATGCTCAACATTGACCTGTTCATTTGGCGAACGCCGTGTAGAAACGGATAAGCAGACTGGGTGTAAGGAGTTAAAGATACTTCGTGTGTCTGCAATCTTCCAGTAGAGGTGCGAATGCTGTTCCTTTCATACATACCCCACAGCGAATCTAAACAGTGAACCGGATAGTAAAGTGTGCCATCTGCCGTGTGAAAGCAAGTTCTTGGTATGAAAGCACACCACCGCCCTCTTGAAAAGTTTCTCCTAGATAAAGCTCGCGCTCTGACCTGCACCTGAGTATCTAGCCGGTTCCCGTTTCCTCTGCTCGTGTCATCCTCTGAGCCTCTAGCTTTTGTAACAACTTTCCAATCTCCTTCTCGTCCGTTTTCCGTTTTGCAGCCTACAAACGGAAACCCGAGCCATCTTGAGTCTCCCCTCAGATCGTTTAAAGCATTAATCACCTTTGGGCTTGGATCATATCAGTCAGCTTATCCTTTCAATTTCTTTTTGCAGCCCGCGGTCGTGGACGAAAACGGGCGGGAGCAAGACGGCCCCTGCTCCGGCTACCTGTGCATGAAGGCCCCCCCGATCTCCCTCATGCGGACGCTTTACGGCGACCAAGAACGGTACGAGACGGCCTACTTTGCGCCCTTCAAGGGCTTCTACTTCTCGGGGGACGGCTGTCGGCGAGACGAGGACGGCTACTACTGGCTCACGGGCAGGGTGGATGACGTCATCAATGTCAGGTGAGGGGGAGTGGTCTTGGGCTTAGACGTCTTGCAGCCTAGCGGGTGTTGAAGACGCGGATTCCGCAGTGCATCGCTGGCAGAAGACGTCAGAATCTGAAAAGAACTGGAAATCTGGTAAGAGTTTGGAGGCTCAGTTTCTGGGAAGAAGGGGTCACGACTACCCTCGTCGACCTTTCTTGGCAGCGCTTATTTGCCTTGGCGACTGCAACCCATTCCTCCGGACCGCGCTTAATTGCGTCAAACTTGATTCTCAGATTGTTCGTTACAAAAAAGCTGCGGCTTCTGCTCGAGTCTTGCCCGCTGTCAGTCTCAGGCTGATCGCCAGGCCGGCCCATCTCCAATCATAACAATCAGCCGAAGAAGGGGTAGCTAGCCCCTATTGTCGACACCGTGGTCTTCCCTGATCAACGCTCTATTGTTTGCAGTGGCCACCGGATCGGGACTGCGGAGGTGGAGTCGGCGCTTGTGTCGCATTCAATGTGCGCGGAGGCGGCTGTTGTTGGGTATGATCACGAGGTGAAAAAGTTCTTGTCCTTTTATGTCCGTGATCTGCAAGGCTACTGCTGGCTTAGGTGTTCTTTTGTATTTTGATGAAGTGAACTCTCCATCGTGTTTGCTGACATCGCACTCAGCGGGAAGGCACCAGTCGGCGGGTTTGAGCATAATTAAGAGAACACGTGCGAGCGTGCTGCTTGCTTAAGCTTGACTTGTGCCCGTTCCAGCGAAGGGCCGCCTTTTATAACCATGCAAAAGAGGTGGGAAGTTCCATAAGCTGGTTACTGCGCAAGCTGTGCAGCTAACGCCGTGACGACGTTTCTTGTTGAATGCTGATGGAAAAGTTTCAGCTTTTTAGACCCGAGGTGTTTGCTTAGCGTTCTTTTCTCTAACTTATTTTAGCTACGCTGATATGCAGATCAAGGGGCAGGGCATCTACGCGTTCGTAACGCTGATGGAGGGTGTTGACTACTCCGATGATCTTCGGAGGCAGCTGGTTACGACTGTCAGAAGCGAGGTGGGGGGGGCGTTCTGTTTGTAATCTCCGCCCCCTAGGTTAATCCTCACAGAAGAATCCTGGGGGACAACGGGCGAATTCTGTCAAAACTTAGAACTCTCCATTGAGCGCTGGAATTGACAACGGAAATGGTGAAGTTGCTATGAGGATCGTGGGAGCTGGTGATGTTCACATTCCACCCAATTCCTTGCTGGCATCGCCAGTCTTTCCAGTAAATTGTCTGGTGCATGTGAAAAGGAGCGAGATCTGGCCACCTGAAGTCGTCTCCTTCTTGGGTTTTGCTGCTTCTTGTGCTCTTTAAATGTGGCCTTTCGGAGTGCTTCTTCGTCTGCCTGTAAAGCCTGTAAAGAGCCTTTCGCCACCGACGTGCGACTTATATTCCTGGAACTAGACAACTCATGAGATGCGTGGCCCTTCAGATACGTCCTGCGACAGACAGCTTGCTACTCACATCGGTGGGCTTTCCTCTGCCGTTTGGTACTAAAATTTGCGGTGATAACCGCTAATACTTACTGCCTGCCGTTCTTGTCCAGATTGGTGCGTTTGCCGCTCCTGACGTCATCCACTGGGCGCCCGGGCTCCCCAAGACGCGCAGCGGGAAGATCATGCGGAGGATCTTACGAAAGATTGCGGCCAACCAGTTGGACGAGTTGGTAAGACTGCTCCGCTATCTCTCGTGTACAAAGTCGTCGGAAAAAAATGTCTTCAACATGGCGAAGGCGGATGTACCGGCCGACACAACGCGCGTCAGTTTTTCTGCGCAGACTTACGGAGTCGTCGGCGTCCGTGCAAGCGAAGCTGTTTCCTTCTTCTGGTTCTCAAAAATCCATGAACGGCCACCATTACCGCTGCACCTGCATGCCGTTTCTTGAGTTCAGTACGTCTGCGTCGGAACCGACAGCTTTGGGCTGTTTGTGTGCGTTCCGCAAATCAAGAGACGAAGACCTCTGAATTCCAGGGATACCGCGGCTCTGCAGATTCGCGGTGACAGGAAGCTCATTCGTTCCTCCTTCCCTTTTGCAGGGAGATACGAGTACCCTAGCAGAGCCAGCGGTCGTAGACCAGCTGATCGAACTGCGAGGGAAGTAAAAGGATGCAGGTTGGCGGATGAGTTTGGTAGCTTTCCTCAGCATGATTCTCGAAGCAGTAGGGAGAGTCCAATATATGTAGTAAAAGTAGCTGTCTGAGATCATCGTAGTAACATTTACTTAGCCGCGCTCACCTTTGCTCCTGAACCCGGATATATGCAAACAAGTGAAGCGCAGTTGGCCCGATATAATCCGAAGGAGTACCTAGGAAAACGGAAGACGTAAATCGAGTATTTGAAGGGACGGTCATTGAGGGGTTGGGCCGAAAGATCAGTTTGGCAAATCAAGCTTAAGCGTCCGAACGTCCTTGCAAGCCTGCGCCTCTCAAGGCTTGACCGTGATACTGACCTTCTGAACTAGTAAACCTTCTTGAAGCCAAATCAGGCGCACCAGGCCCTGTTTTAAAATCTTGTCGCTCAGCTCTTCTCTTCGAAGTGGTGGAGAACTGCGGAGAAGAGTCTTGATATGACATTGATCGGCCGGTCTCACTCACTGCAAAGTGGATCGACAACATTTGACTCCAAACGGACTGCTCTATGTCCCTTCTGGACTTCATATGCCGACTATCTGCTATGTATTTCAGTCCGGTCCGAATCAACATATGATCACAATTGAGTGGCGTTATATACTCTGGTAGTGGCAATGACATTCAACTTGAAGCTTGGGGACCTAAAGGATACCCTAGCGAAGGGCACTGGTCAACGAGCCACTGAACGTCAGAACCGGCGCGCCACTGTCTAATTTGGCTTATTTAGATGGGCATAAGTACTTCCAGCTCACACTGACTGTTAAAGAAATCTTTTAAATCTGCAGAACTCTGTAGGGGATTTGACGAAACCTAGAGCTGCGGCATCACGAGATGATACGTACATAACACAAATCAGCCTAGCCCAGGCGCCCTTGGGACCAAGACGATCACTGTCTGGCCGGCTAGCTTCTTGTAGCCCTGACCAAAGTTCGCAAAGGATCTCCTAGGGCTGCCCCCTTTACCGTGAACAGGCTTAATCTTGCCACGATTGCCGCCCGAGTCGGCCCGGGCCCCGGCCCAGCTCTCGCATTGACGTTATACGTGCTTATTTTGAGCTTGCAACCGCCCTTTCAATTTCTGTGCGTGCGGCCATGTGTTTAAGATTTGTTTGTTTGATCACAGGTTTGATTTGCGTTTCTAATAATCCAATCTGCCTTGTGTACGTGCTGTTCCCGTTGTTGGTGGTGCATGCAGAAGCCTGGCCGGTTATGCATTAGCTTGGCCGGTGTCGCGATTTTCAGTTGGATCGTTCAACTGACAGTGACCTGCGCTTTTACGCCGAAAGCGCTACTCCATTTGAAATATGCGTGATATGTGAAGATAAAGACGGGCGTCCGTTGCAAACAGACGTTGTCGATGTGTCACAAAAGCAGAAAGAGCGAAGGCTGCGAAAATCTCCATGATCGATCGAAGGTCAAGGTCCTAACTTAGTCAGATTTTCTCCTCTCACAGTCACTGAGTACGTCACTGCAACAACGGCCTTTCTGCAACCGCAAGCATTCATTAAGAGTTTCAAGAAACAGCGCGACTAACAACTTTTGTGGCGATGACGATCTGCCGCCGTCTGAGAACGATACGTCGTTCCCACACAAGTCTGGCCAGCAATCTTTCTCAGACGCCAGGGGTTTATGTTGAAAGCATTTTGCTTTATTGAGCGCTTGGCTTCGCTCGGAAGTTCTCAAGCTAGCTGCCGGGTCTCGATGCTGAGAGACTAGGTCGATCTTTGGATTCCCGGAGCGAGACTGAAATTGTGAACGCTATCATATACGCAAAGCGATTTGCATGGCACCAAAATCCCGGGAGGCACCTCTAGGTTACCGATTTTCTGTTGCAATCTGCAAGGCTTTCCGCTGGCCAGTGTATGGGTGGGGTATCGCAGCAGTTTGCACCGAGCGGTCGTTCGAGAACGTCTTGAAGGCTGTGGCATTTCAATGCTGCAGGGATCTGAACGGTTCAATTAATCGACGGATATCTCAAGCCTGAAGTTAGGCTTAAAGTTTCTTCTCACTCTGATACTGATCAGATGATTGGGTCTTGCTAGCCGGCGCGACGCCCATATGTGCTTCTAGGAAGGCCTGGCAGATTCAGGGGTAGAATCAGGGTCAGTTCTTAACAGAATATAGACCCGGTCCAATTCCTTAACTCGGCTGAAGACACTTGTTATGTATAGCTTCGTTACAAGTTGTAGTCATGGGTCACTTGTGCAGGCGCGAATTATCGTGTTTACAGCGCTTCTAGCTAGCTACCTTGACAAACAGACCTAAAAGCCGCTTACCACAAGCTTCTGCATACAAATCATTTCGAGTGGTTCAAAGTTCCTTCCTTCCTTCCTGTACTCAAAGCGGAAGTAGAGAATTGCACGTTCAGCCTGTCAACTTGTAAGTGGCTATGACGAGCTTCTTTGAATCTCTTCCAACCAGAGATACCAAAATTGCACGAAGCCACTTCGTCAGTTGCGATTATCAACGAAGTCAGTGAGGACTAGACGTCTCTCCCGTCTGAAAGCATCTAATGAAATAAAACCGGCGCTTCTTGCTAGCTCGTAATGGGTGCATTATTTCGAATGCATACGTAGACTGAGGGTCGACTCCTGGTTCGTGTCAAGCAATGGAAAAATGCTTGGGCACGGATATGAACCGGCCAGCGCCGATCCATCTTAACGTCTCCTTAGTATTGACCTGACCCCTGGCCAATTAACATTGGCTTTGTTCTTCTCAACTTGGTTATATGCGGTTGGACATACAGTAGTAGAAAGTGCTACGGGTGTTAAAACCAGTGGCTATGACGATTATAGAAAGGCCTGAGCAACGCTACCATCAGGACAAAAGCTCGTGCGTCCTCATGCATGTCGACTCCTCGTTACCAGCCTAAGGCAGAGCCGCTCGACACTTAAGTCAGCTGAAACCTTCACCTTCCGTTCGCTAAGCGAAGCTTTGCGGTTGAGTCCGCTGTAGCTATCAGAAGCATCTTGTTTGCGTAAGCAGCGGACGTACCTTTCTAGGTATAAGTCCGGGACAGCATTTGGCTTGCGCGTCTGTTGCAACGGCGCGCTGATCTTCAACAACGCTCAGACAACTGTTTCCGGGTCGTTACTAGCCGGCGCTTGCCTTTTTCGGCAATGATTGGAACCGGCTGGCCATTGGGTCACGATGGCTCAGAGACGGCGGAAGAGATGGATGCCACATAATTTGAACTTTAAACACATCGAGGGGTCCAAAGGTTCAATCTTTGCTGCTCGTGTCTGCCTCCGTGAGAAATGAGACGGTTACTGGTCTCTGGTCTCTGTGGAGTAGTCTGCCCATATGGTCTTGTGTCACGTCACCAACGGATATATAAGACAAGCAGTTTTTGTACGACTTGGGATAATCAATTGTGGGCTCTTCGACCATGAAGGTGGTCACAGTTTACCTGGGTCTGAGCCTGCCCCCTTTCCATGGAAGCATCTCTTTGCAAACCCTGTTTTGTAAGCTGGCCTATGAAGCTGACCCCTTGGCGAATCTGGTGCCCTTGAATGAACGAGCGCGAGGTACGGTCGCCCACTCCCTGCATGGCGGTCGGTCGGCTTACAACGCCGATCGTCCGCCGCAGTGGATTATGGAGTAATCCGATTCTACTTCGATCCTTCGAGCATCATTCAGTGGATTTCAATTACTCACAGAAGCCCTTGACAATTTCAAGCAGCAAGCCACCCCCGCTGAGGCTTGGCTGCGACATCCAGACTGGCACTCAATTGTATGCAGTGCAGTCTCGTCATCTGTTTTGTGAGCTTGAGCTGAATCCTTTGGTAGCGCTTGCGTGGCGCCCTGCGATCGTAGTGGATCTCGCGTGCGTGAATAAGGAGAAACCCCCTTCTCCTTTGCGGTCCATATAAGATTTGTCAGGTCCTAGTGGCTCAGACCGAAGCAAGTGTGCGCCTTCTGATCGAGTCTGCCAGTCGCGCGCTTTAGGCCCCGCACCGTCCAACGGGAAATGTATTGTTGACCAAGATAGGCACAGTCGTTCTAAAGGTGACTGTTCTTCGATCGAATCTGCAATTCCTTCCTACCTTGATTGTAAGGGAAAAGTGACCACCATTTGCACTTCAGCGAAGATGCAGTAGCCAGCTCGGGGTCTAAAAGATCGACTCCGATCCGGGCCCTTGTGTTTCCTGAGCTGCGTTCCTGGGCGCCCATTGCTTTTTGAGAACCTGCCTCCAATTGCCTCGTGAATAGTATTTGTAGATTCTGAACCAGTGGACAGACTTATACGTTTGAAAATGCCGTCTGAATATCAAATACTCCGTCGTAAGTCTTGATCGTATAAAATGAATTTTTCTTCTACTGATCAAGATATTAATATTGCATATGGCCGTCAGGATTTGCGCTGGACGAACGGCTTCGCTGTTTGACAATCTGACTTTATTGCAGCAAGGCAGTATTGCAGCCAAGCAACAAAACATGAGCTTTGTTTTGAAGTCAAGTCTCAAACGTAGTCGCTGAAGGAAAAGAGGGAGACTGCACAACCCAATGTACATGTGAGTATTATACACGTGGCAAAGGTCCAGATTCCATTGAGCAGTAACAAAAGCCGTAAAAGAATCTGCACTAGGTTTGGCGATGACGAGCAACCTTTTGAACAGTGGCTGCTCAGGGGCTTGCATTGATTGCAAATCGGCCTGAGCCGTGTCTGGAAAGGATTTTTCCGACAACGTTTCCAAAACTAGTGTCGACAATTGAGATTGTGTGCACAAACAGCTTCAGAGCCTGCACAGCCGCAATCGTTAGCAGCCAATTGATTCCACCAATGGTCAGAAACTCTGACCCGGTCAGCAGCCCCACCTTATCTCGCAGCTTGCAGATATTGGGTAATTATCAACCGGGCAGTCCGCTAGGATGACGTCTCGTGCGGTGCATCAAGTGTTTTTTCCATCGAACAATCGCCCCGAACATTATAATTTATGGACGCCTAATTCGTGACAGGTGTCGCAAATCTTTGCAATATGCACTGCAGTTCTATCTTCTTAAGTCCTGGATTTGTTCAATTTGCAATGGAGTGCAGAAGAATGGGCGCAGCATATGCGAGCACGCTCTCGTAAAGCAGCTTAGCGCTTTGATTGAGTCATACGACTCACTGCGGCGAGACGAGGAAGCATCGACAGCGGAAAATAAAGCTGTCGGTAATTCTGTATTGCTCCAGCTCGATCTGAAGCTCTTCAGCAACCCTTGAACCTTTCCGGTGCGTAACGGTTCCAAAGGGTGATTTGTGGAGAACGGTTCGCTTTCGTGGACGTCATCGGTATCGGAGATCCTCGCTGCACCCGTCATCAGCTCCGCAGAGTTTAGTATGATGACGTAGCTTAATGCTCTTCAAGCTTGTGCTTTTTGAATCGGGGTCGTTTTGCAGCTAAGAAGTCAATCAAACGCAATTTAATTTCAG